TCATCGTGAGGCGAAGTATATGGTTCTTGGTGTTCTGATTGCGCAAGTAAATGAGCAGTTTCAACGGTGGGTGAACTCAAGAGTAAACGCGTATTCAATGGTGGGTACGGCGGTTGAATTTTAAAAGAGAACTCCTTGCTCGGGGGCGGTACGTGTCATGTGTGCATGTTTGTTTTGGTTCGCTTTTTCGTTCTCTTTCGCGGTTTTTCTGGTGATTCTATTATGTTAACAAATCTTCAAATTGGAATGGTGCATGTCTCTGATGTTCCTTAAAGTACATACAAAGTTTGGTGTGATTTGGTCTAGGTCTGATGGTACAATGGTGTTCCAAAGATTTCAGCCAATGGTTCTGTCTTCTGTCAGACCCAATCAGATTCGAGTCAAAAACACTGATCGGTGTGTCAATTGTTGGGTCTGGATCTCAATTGTTGTACTTTTTTTTGGTTCCTTATTTGTCCTACTTCTTCCGTATTTTGTTTCATGATATTTTGCTGTGATTTAATTGTGTATTTTATTTTATTTTATTTTGTTTATTGTATTTGACAGTTCATCTCAGTTTGAATCTGTTGAATTTTATAATTTAATTGTATTAATTGTTCTCCTGTTTGACATTTCAAACGTAATTGCTTTTGGGCAAGTTTGATCTGTTCTAGATTAATGACAAGCAATTGTCTTTGTAGAAATTTATTCTAAAGAAAGTATAAAAGCTTAAAGAACTTTAGAAGGAATAAAAAAAATCAAGAAATTAATCTTAATAATCGAAACTTTTTTTTATAAATTTTCTTTTACATATATCTTCATTGTCTTTTGAAGGAACTGTGCCTAAGGTTATAATCTCTCTATTTGTGTCTATCTCTCTATAATTACAATAGTCTTTACAGTCTTCTGTTGTTAATTATTGGTTTATCTCTTTTATTTGTTGGTCTCGTCGTTCAAGGTAAACACAAAGGGAAAGAGAGGGAGTTGTCACAGGTACAGGTCATAAATGATAACTACCAATCCTTTTCTTTCTCTCCTTTGACGGGTGTGCTGCAAGGTTCCATCCTCAGCCCCCACTTATACAGTATATACATTAACTCCCTCCCCCAAATTCTTAGATCCAACTCCCTCTCAACATCCCCTACAACGCCGCTTAACAACATCAACTGTCTTCTCTTTGCCGACGACGTAGCTCTGCTCGCTGATCCTGATCAAATGCAGCATCTACTCAACAAAGCTGAACAACATTCAATCCTTACCGGCTATCGATGGTCGCCATCCAAATGCGCCATCATATCATCATCCTCCTCTCCTTCAACCACTTACACTCTTTATAACACACCTATACCCGCTACTGATACCTTCAAGTATCTTGGCATGCAATTCAACTTTCGTGGGATGGACACTCAACTGTTCATCAACTACACCAAGGACAAGGTGCAAAAGTCCATGTACCGTCTTCACAACATTGGCGCCCGGTCAAACGGGTTTTCACCTCTTCTAAGCATGCAAGCCTATCGACAATTCATTCGTCCTCAGATAGAATATGGCCTCTGCATCACCAATATCAACAACACCAACATGCCCGCTCTTGAGCGTATGCAAGATGATTGCCTTCGTCTCATCGTCGGTGGTCACTCAACCTCCTCAGTCAAGGCCTTTCGAGTCATGCTCAACCTGCCCACCATGGTAGAACGATGGCATGTTCTCAACACCAAGTACAACCTGCGCCTTACAAGGCTGCCAACAGAATCATTGATTCATCAAATCTACACTACCAACAATAGATACAGTCGCTTGTCGCTTATCAGCAAAAAGAATCCAATACACAACTCGTTTATTGGTGACAATTCAAACATTTCTGATAACAAAAAACTAAAAAAAATCTTCTCTTCTTTTCGGTCGCAGGCCCTCATCAATTCTTCGGAAAAGATGATCCAAGCCTGTCGACACGACCTTTCTATAGACCCTATTTTCTTTTTACCTATGACTAGGAAGGAGCAAAGACGACTACTGAGGTGGCGGATGAATTGGTTACCTGGCAGAAAGTCAGATTGCTATTGTGGAGGCGAAATGAGTCGAAACCATCTTCTTACTTGTCCAGCAATACCTCACACCTACTGGGAGCACATTCAACGCGTCTCTCAAAATAACCTACACCCTTTCGACCTGCTTATGAAACAACTTCCAACGAAGAAACCAAAAACAGTCGAAGAAAAACAACAGCTACTACAGAAATGGCAACCAATTTGGACTGATTTCCTCAATATTCTTTTCCTTGTTGATCAAATCTGTCACAAAAGCCAAGAGTCTTTCGAGCCTGAGCCTGATAAAGGCCAGCTACTATACGACTGGCTTCTTAAATAACAAAAAAATATACATATAAAAACAAAAACAAAAACAAAAACAAAAACAAAAACAAAAACAAAAGCAAAAAAAAAAAAAAGCAAAAGCAAAAAAAAATGAAACAAAAAAAATTTATTTATTTCAAAAAAAAAAAATTTCATTGTCAGCCATTTCATTGTTATGCTCAACATCCACCCATTCCACCACTCTTCTGCTGCTCAACTCACCACTTCTCATCTAGCCGAAGCATTAGCATTCTGACCTCTGCTATCTTGTAACCTCTAATCATCTCAAAACCGAGGATAGTTCGTTCTGCGTTCGTCCTTGCTCTAGCTCTCTTTTTTTCTCTTTCTTTTTTCTGCAACCAATTTCTGCACTTTTTTCCCCCCCTTTCTTGGGTTTTTTATTTCTGTACCACCAATCCCGAATATCTGTATTTTTCTTTTTGCCCGACTTATGGGATCGTATACGATATTCTTATTTTTGCTCATGCATAAACAAACATAATATTCACCTTAACCAACCGCGCGGGCATGTGCTCTTTTTCCCTTTGGTTAAATCATTGCCTAAATATCAATGTCGCGCTTCTGGCGCTAGTTCGATTCTGAGCAAGACCACGAGCATTTTTAATGCAAGTCGTTTGCTAGTTAATCCCGTGCTGTCGTAATACATCGTCTCCGCTTGGGCTTGGGAAACCCACTTCAGTACCTCTGTCCAGTCAAATCTTCCACGCTTTTTCTTCTGCTTGCTCAAATTACTAACCACTTAAAATCTGCTATTTGTATATATTGTATTTTTCAGCAATTAAGAGACAGTCTCAGAGAAATTAAGAGAAAATTATTGGATAAAATAAGAGAGAATTTTAGATCAATTAAGAGAAAACTGACCAATAAAATAAGAGAAAAAAAAGGGGCAATTAGTAGAAAGCTTATAGTGGTTACATTAAGTGTCCCATAAAACTCATTTGTAAGCATAAATTAATATATTTTCGTCGTATTGACCTTGTGTTAGTATCAGAAAAAGCGCATTTTTTGCTGGTTACTTCAATTTCTTTATTTAGTAAGAGGCACCATTTTTGGACAACTTAGGTAAAAATGACGTAGCGTTTTCAAAAAAATTTCCTGCAAAACTTGAATACCTTATTTTCTTCGGCGAATAAGCATTCTCAATCGTGCGTTTTTCACATTCTTCGGCAAATTCTAGCACAAACAACCCGACTACATATAAATGCGGCAAGCTTTTCAGAGAAAAATTCTCTTTTCTTCATTCTATATACATACCTTTTCTCCTTATTATCATGCCTTACAGCCTCCCATACGATAAACGAAACAATGTCAAATCTGCACTTTTATCTGGCAAATCGATTCTTTAGGTCTCAAAACTAACAGGGGTTGCCAAATCAACAGTTTCTCGTACTAGAAAAGAGTTGCCAGAAATGAAAACTTGCACTGGTACCGGTAGACCATCAAGAGTAGGTCATCTTACGGCTTGTCTGCTACGAATGAAAGTCCGAACTGGAGCATTGAAGAATGTTAAAGAAGTCCAAACTTGGTTGTCTGGACAGGGTATTGCTTTGACGTATAGTGGAACAGTCTCTCTGATGAAAAGGGTAGGATTATACTTGTGGTGATCTGAGCACTTTCAATACAAAATATAATAAATAATCTTTCATCATATAAATGAATAATCACTTATAGCACTATACATTATAAATATAAAGTAAGCACTGTATAATGACAGTAAATAACGGTAACTGGGATAATATGGATATTTACAAATAAGGAAACCATAATTGTACCTTTTAGGTAACAAGGAGAATTAAAGGAGAATTTATATAATCAATTCCCAGGCACACGCTGTCAAGGTGTTAAGTAATCAATAATCAGTAATCATAATTAGTCAATAAATCAGGTAGTATAAAAGACAACCTGGAAAAGATATATTTTAGAACAATCAATTTATTTTTGTAATAAAGAAGTACTGAACAGTCTCACTGTATTTCTTTGTTTTCTTTCTATCTTCTATTCTATCTTCATTCACAACCCAAACATCACAAGCATAAACTGGAACCAAACGGACATCACTTTCCAACTTGTCCAAGACTTATCTATAGGCTTCCACTCCAAAGGCGTTGCAAATGCGTACAAAAGACCCTCGAAATTTCTCCGCTATGGGGCAGGTGTTTACTGTAAAACTGATCAAGCATCAGATAAACAGTAGCGCGTTAAAGATGTCGTCAAGAATGTTGTGAGGATAAGATGAAAAAAAAATATTTTTCCTGTTTGTTGGCTAAAAAAAAGAACGACGACGCCCACTAAGCCATTTATCAATCAAAATTAAGAGCTCTTCCTGTAAAAAAAATCGCGAAAGCTACTTTCGCTTTGTTTGCAGTTTAAAAACGGGATCATGTCCAAGCGCAACAAAACCAACAAGAACAGCGAAAACGATGACCATGAGATTATATGGCTCCATTTGAAGGACAGCCTTGTTAATTATGGTGTTTCACTCATTTCATAAAACCAGAAGTTAAAAAAAACATCAAACAAATAACCTCCTGTTCTTTTTCCCTCGTAGAACATTGGAAATCGAATGCATGCACCGACTGGAACATCACATCCTATGACGAAAGCCTTTCCCGCAGGCAGTTTACCAGCAAGCGTTCATGCCATATATACATGGGCGAAGACCTTGATAGACTTGCCAATGCATTTATTAATACCAAGATAATGAGAGAAGTGTCACGAGTCAGGAAACAGCTGAGCAACGCGAAAAAGGACGTCATCAACAATTACTTTTGGGACAATCATGCCATTGCTTTGCAACAAGATATTGTCGATCGACAGAGGTCGCAAACAAAATTGGAAACTAACATCATTAGTATCGAAAGCTCGCTGATGTCACAGCATTCTAAACAACTTGAGCAATCGTCAATAAGCACCAAACGACTGCAGGAATCATCGCCAGCTTCGACTTCGTCCAAAAAACGACTTATAAACTTATCATCATCAACTTCACACTTGAAAATTCCATCTTTATCTGAAGAAGAATCATCCACTCGACTGTCTAGTAATTCATTGCCATCCACATCCAATCCGTTAACTGAAACAGAAAACTCACCAAAGCATGCCACAGATACATCACCATCAACACCCTCAGGACGCTTATCATCTGCTCCGAAGCTTAATGACACGTCACCATCACTGTTCTCGCCCACAAAATCAGGACTATTGCATTCACCCGTCCCTATTCTTGAAACCAATGCAATGTCATCACCCCCTTCTCAGAAGTAGTTGAAACGGATGGTATTGTCTGCGACACTACTGAGCTATCCATTGCCACAATTATCAAACGGGAGGCAACCAACTTACATGACCAATATAAGCATGGAAACCCCCTATCTTCGCGACAGCGAAAGATTATGTCCAATGGCCTATCGTCGATCTTGGATCTGGTTGATCAATCGTACACTTCTCAGCGAAAGCTTTTTACATCCGCAAAATGGCAACAAATCAACCAAATATTCCAAAACAAACATCGCATCCCAGATACTTCCCCCCCTGAATCCTACCCTCAGCACAACCTTGAAAGTCATCGATGCCACGTTAAAGCAGACCTCTAACATCAAAATGGGACTACTTTATCTGTACAAAATCTATGGCAAGCACCATTCTACCAGCCTTATGCCTTCTCTCCAAATTCTTGAACATGTACTGAATCTACTGGATTGGGAATCTGATTTACTCCAGGCCAAGCCCACTACTATGATCTCTGAAACTGACTACGTCGCGTACATTTGGCTCCCCCTGTTTAGAAAGCTGTTCCATGCTGGCACCAACATACAGATCAAAACTGGCGAAACTACATTCCCATTCTCCACTGCTTCTAAGCAACAACTTTACCCAGGTGCATCAAATGTGACAAGTTTCAAAATCGATTTGCGATTTGTCGTTCACCAAGGTGGTTTAGAATTTGATGTATATTCAGTTGAAGCTTGTTGTAACAGCGCAAATGACGACAAAATTATTGCAGACGAGGAAAAGCTCAATCGGGAAGTTAAGGACGATCTTGATGCAATGATGTCTTTGGTACAATATGAATCGCGCGCCTGCACAGCATGGGGTGTGCAAATTATGGGACCATCTTGTCTGATTTTCTCCTTACATCTATCAGATCAAGGTCTCTATATTGCTCTACTGCGTTTTGATATCATGTTACCACGATCCACCGCTGAATTGATCAAGTTTGAAAAAATTATGGTAGATCTCCTCACATTTCACCGTGAGGTTCTCAAATCAGTCAACTTTGTCATGGAACACCTCATCAGCAACAAGCAATTAAAATCACTGAATCTACCCAAGGCACAAATGACATCAGCAATGCAGGATAGCTCTCCGCAACGGGACACCTGGTACACACCTCCGAAAGGAACTGCTTCTCGGTAACCTGTGCGACTAGTGAGCGCGGTTCCTCAATCATTGAATGCCAAACTCTTGTCCATTGCTTGTGAAGAGAGCATGGCTATCTTACAAAAAAAAGCAACTGGCGTGAATCTCGTGGCAGACGAGTTTGGATGGGCATTTGACGGAAAAGTATGGCAAAATTTGAACCTGGGAATATCGATGCCCCACAACCCATATGAAAATGATGTTTGAAGCAAAAAAAGTAATTGTACCGGTATCGCTGGATGATTACGCAGCTAAAATTTCGCGCGTCTTGCGCATTAGTTATCCGTAATACTTGAATAAAGGGCAAACTGAAAAATTCATGGCTGCGTGCGCAAATTGTTTCCGGAAAGAGTGTACAAAGAAAAAAAAAAGGGTAATTAGTAGAAAGCACTTTTCTCACTATTATTAACAAAAAATGGATATTGATTATGATATGAACGAGATCTCTCTACGCGACGAAGATATTGAAGCTGTACCCGAGATTATTGTCAGTGTAATGTCGATGATGAGAAAGAAGTGGGAGTATAACATCACTGCATCAGCCATGGAGTTAGATGAAAATGTAACGATGGAGCTGAAGGAAGGGCACGAGGGTGATGAGCCCAGTAATAGCTCGGACGAGGAGGAAAATGAAGCTGATGTGCAGAGTAGTGAGAGCGATTTGAAAGAAGAGAAGTCTCTCAGAGACCTGACTGAAAAAAAAGACGATGCTAGCAATGCTAGACGTGTATACACTCAGCAGGATATCAACAAGCTTATTGCTCTGTTAGTTGAACAGGTACCTATAAAGGATGCAGCTTTAAAGACAGGAATAAATGAAAAATCAGCCTACCGTTTCAAATCGCAGTGGCAGAAAACTGGGGAGGTACCTCAACAGAAGAAAAGAGGACGCAGAATGGGAACTGTCTCTGAGCTTACTGAGAAGCACTCGAAGTTTATTATCGACCTTGTTGATGAGCGTTCAACTACAACTGTAGCTGGAATACACGAGTTGTTGATCATAGAGTTTCCAAGTCTCTCTGCAAGCCCATCCGCAGTATACAGACATCTTAGGACCAGCTGTGCACTATCTATGAAGAAGTTGGAGAAGATTTCAGTTACTAGAAATTCAGAAGAAACTCTGAAGAAGAGAAAGGAGACCATCCTTCAATGGCTAGCTGATAGAGAAATGGACTTTGAGAACAATTGCGTATTTTTGGATGAAGCAGGATTCAATCTTCACATGACACGCACTCGTGGCTGGTCTAAGAAGGGAGCACCTGCTAAGACAACTGTCCCTGCTTCAAAAGGCACTACAATAACCATCCTTGGTGCCATCTCAAGTGCCGGCGTTATTGATATTTCCTTGAGAAAGCCAATAATGGTTTCGGGAGCTAAGAAGAGAAGAGTAGATGGTAAAGTTGTTACAACAACAGCCAAAGTTGGAACAAGGGCCGAGCATTATCTTAATTACTTGAGTAATGTGATGGATGTTCTTGACCGAAACAACGTGAGGGGCTTTTACTTGGTAATGGACAATGCTCCCATACATAAGCCAGCTACAGTAAGAAATTTGATAGAAAGCAGAGGCTATAGGTGTGCATATCTTCCACCATACTCACCATTCCTAAACCCAATTGAGCTATTCTGGTCGAAGGTGAAGTATGGTGTCAAAAGAAAATATTTTGAAACTGGTGAGACACTCACACCCAGAATCATGGATGCCTGCTCCAAGGTAACCAAGAAAGACTGCCAAGGCTGGATCCACCATTCCCTCGGATTCTTTGAAAAGTGCTTAGCCCTGGAGAAAAACTTATAATGAGATTAAAGCATAAATAAGCTTTCTACTAATTGCCCCTTTTTTTTCTCTTAATTTTTCCTGAGTTTTTCTCTTATTTTATTGGTCAGTTTTCTCTTAATTGATCTAAAATTTTCTTTTATTTTATCCAATAATTTTCTCTTATTTTCTCTGAGACTGTCTCTTAATTGCTGAAAAATACAATATATTGCCCGACTTATGGGATCGTCTTACAATAGTATTATTAGCTTGATATCTAATAAAAAATTAATATTCACCTTAACCAACCGCGCGAGGTTAATAATCGAGTAAGGTCGCGCGTGAAAAACAGCCCCTTTTTATAAGAAAATTGGAGTTTAAAACCAACACCCTACATCCCGTACTCTCCCATATCAACACCTACTTTTGGAAAACATCTTTATCTTCAGTAAAAATAGATATAGTTTCTACACCAATCAATTAATTAGCTCAAACAAAAACACCTACTAAAACAAGAAAAAAACAGCCTAAAAAACACATACACAAAAAAAAAAAAAAATTAAATTAATTCACCCAACAATGTCAGATACTCGCCCTGCGTCTATCCCTGACCTCTCGCCTCATGCTCAACAGATCATGCAGCAATTCTTCAAGTGCCATAATTTAATCAGCTGCACCTTTTGCGCTGAATTTGGCACACTTGGATATATTGCCAACAACACAACCACACCTGCACTCCCTGTGTTTCAATGCACAAAGTGTCACGAAAAGCCTTCTTTTCCAGTAGTCGAAAAGGAGATTCAACAGGCCATTGATGCCTCTACACGTGGTGCCACAACCACCATTACCAAAACCACCAGCGCAACTCGACAGCCCAAAAAGCGAAGCAGAGTCGCAAGTGATGCCAGCAATGGCTCACAAAAAGGTACACCTATTGCCACTCCAGTAAAGAGTGGTCAACTCATCAACAACAACAGCAACAACAACAACACCACTCACAGTGCAATTCACGACAAGGAAATTGCACTTTTAAAAGATATGCTCTTGTCTCTCCAAGATAAACTCTCTGAATTTGAAAGAGAAAACAAGATGATAAAGAGCCAATTGCAAACATATGCAACAAAAAACGCCGAGCTTGAACAACAACTGTTAAAGCAGCAAAAACAGCAAGCAATTATTGAATTGCAACAACAACAACAACAACAACAACAACAGCAACAAACAGACCAAGATGATCTTGTTATGGTAGATGATGCTGAATATCCTCCCCTTGGTGCTGCCCAGTCCAAGTACGCACATTCTTTTGATGTCAAGAAGCGTCTTGCTGAGCGCTCGGTAACACCCTTAAACTACAGAAAAATACTCATAAAAAAACAAAAAAACACACAAAAACCTACTAACAAAAAAAATATCTGTGATGTTATGATAATAGAGTTATATAATAAGATGATAAAGAGACAAAGGTAGATACTTTGAGACTGTTCTATACAATTTTTATTGTTCTTTTTGATTATAAATTATTCTAGCATATTTATACATGAAGAGATGTCGGAGTAAGTAGTAGTAGAGTTCATGCAAATGACTGAGTCTGTTGTATACACAGCATTATTCATCCCTTCTTACACTAGTTATGCCTTAAAAGAGCAAGTATTAATATCATGTATAAATATATCTTTCAATCACAGTTTTATCCGCAGCTTCGATGGATGTCTTCCATCTTAGTTTAAACATGTTAAAGATCAGACCATCACATAATCACAAATTGACATCTGCATCAATACCAATGGTAGACGAGGTCTGTGCCCTGATCATGTACCCAGTTCTTGTGTACCTTAATCCACTCAACCGATTAGCTAGTGTATACACACTCAGTCCCAAATCAAGGATAATCAATTATCACACAAACAGTATAAATACAATACAAAATATAACCTTTAATAAAGCAGACTTCTTTTGGCCGTTTTGGTTCTAATCGACTTATTGATTTGACCATTTTATTAGTGATTATATCACAGAGTCTCTATTATCATAGACTACTTTAAATTAATTAAATAATATAAATTATGGATTTCGGCTATACGTCTTGATCTATTAAAAGATCCATTGTCTTATTCAGTACAAGAGGTTCTTTTATGTCTATTTCTGATGTAAATTGATTATGATGTATTTTAGTATGTAAATGAAGACTTATTTAATGTCAGATCATCACAATATCTCTACAGCTGTCAGAGCTTTCACGCAACCACCTACTGAGCAACAAGGTTTTAGCTATGTCTATTATCCTTCTAAATCAAGACTCAGTAGAAAAACACAGAGACAGCACCTAAAGACATTAGGTGTAACCAACGGACGTGTGTTGGATATCCATTATCCTTCACGTAACGTAGTTGCCCTTTTAGTTCACAACGACTACCGTCAACAACTGATTGACACGTTAAAACAAACCAAAGTAGATCCCTTGAACAATTTCTCACCATTGGATCCCAGCATTCTAACCAATGTTGAATACAACACCATGTCTGTTGAAGAAAAAACAAAAATTGCAGCAGACAAACACAACCAAAGACTTGTTCGTGCGCTCCCTTTCATCAGGGATCATATCTCAAAAGCTGTAGCAGCATTCTTCCGCAAGGAGAACCTCATCACCGATGCACAACATCAACAGTTTTTGGAACAGTACAACAAAAAAGCAGCCAACTCAGCTGCAACAGTAATTAACTCGACCACTACTAGTGTCACCCCCTCCACTCCTTCCGTGTCACCTGCTGTTCTTGACAATGGCACCACACCTGCACCAACAGCCACAAACACTGATATGGAAACCGGGTTATAATGAGGAAACTCAGCATAGCTTGTGTAAATGCCAATGGTAAACTTCGTCAAGAAGCCATTGACTCTATTTTATATTACTGTAAAAACATCGATATCCTTTTTATAACAGAGACCTGGCTCCCTCCAGATAAAACTATACCCACCCATTGGCAACAATATCATATTTATGGCGAACCAGTCGTAAATTCTGATCGTTGTCAAATGGGCATTTCACTCTTTATTAACCCTCTCTTTAAATATAGCAAAATACATGTAGACACACAAAAATCAAAATACTTTTTGACTTGTCATTTAGACAATCTAAAAATTTACTGTGTCTATTTACCCCCCTCACCTTCTTTAGATAATGCAACAACTATGCAGATCCTTGAATCTATTACACTCACTCCCAACACAATTCTCTGCGGTGATTTCAATGCCCGCATGGGTAAGCGTACTGGGGATAGTCGATGGAATACTCGAGGCAACAAATTCTCCGCCTATTTAGATACCCACTCACTCATTGACTATAATTCACTCCTTCAATATGCCAAGCCAACTCGAGTGGTTTACAAAGAAAGATCCAGCACTACTGAAACGAGCATTGTTGATTACTTCATTTCACAATCCACTCTTGTACAGCCAAAATTAGACATCAGAACTGACCTATCGGTTCTTGGATCTGATCACAAGCTCATGATTTTCTCCTTTGTTTGGATAGACCATGACGTGCGTGATGATACCCCTCCAGAGCCTTTACGGAACAGATGGAAGCTTAGTAGACTTCCAGAAATGCCTGTTCGAACAGCCTACATTCAGACTATGCAACAACAATTTTACAGCAAGAATTGTGGTGATCTGAGCACTTTCAATACAAAATATAATAAATAATCTTTCATCATATAAATGAATAATCACTTATAGCACTATACATTATAAATATAAAGTAAGCACTGTATAATGACAGTAAATAACGGTAACTGGGATAATATGGATATTTACAAATAAGGAAACCATAATTGTACCTTTTAGGTAACAAGGAGAATTAAAGGAGAATTTATATAATCAATTCCCAGGCACACGCTGTCAAGGTGTTAAGTAATCAATAATCAGTAATCATAATTAGTCAATAAATCAGGTAGTATAAAAGACAACCTGGAAAAGATATATTTTAGAACAATCAATTTATTTTTGTAATAAAGAAGTACTGAACAGTCTCACTGTATTTCTTTGTTTTCTTTCTATCTTCTATTCTATCTTCATTCACAACCCAAACATCACACCCCTACAACTTGGCGAACCTCACAAGTTGTGCCGCTTTTTAAGCGTGGTGATCCTCTGGATCCCTCAAGCTATAGACCGATTAGTTTGACTTCGGTCTTTCGAAAGGTTTTGGAATACTGTCTGCAACAACCTCTCTACGACCAAACAGATTTTATTGATATCGCACAAGGGGGTTTTAAGCCTTTCCTTAGTGCTCTGGATCAAGCTGCTTGCCTAGACGAGCTGATTCACCGCTATCACCAGACCCACTATAAATATCCCACTATTGCATTCCTTGACATTGCAAAAGCATACGATACTGTGGATAGAGATATCATCTGGGATGTTATCCATGCTCACTGTGACCCCCTACTACTGAAAATGCTGAAAAGCCTCTTTGATGATGTACAGGTACAGGTCATAAATGATAACTACCAATCCTTTTCTTTCTCTCCTTTGACGGGTGTGCTGCAAGGTTCCATCCTCAGCCCCCACTTATACAGTATATACATTAACTCCCTCCCCCAAATTCTTAGATCCAACTCCCTCTCAACATCCCCTACAACGCCGCTTAACAACATCAACTGTCTTCTCTTTGCCGACGACGTAGCTCTGCTCGCTGATCCTGATCAAATGCAGCATCTACTCAACAAAGCTGAACAACATTCAATCCTTACCGGCTATCGATGGTCGCCATCCAAATGCGCCATCATATCATCATCCTCCTCTCCTTCAACCACTTACACTCTTTATAACACACCTATACCCGCTGTTGTGAACATATAGAATCTATATGCATATGATGATCTGACACTAAATAAGTCTTCATTTACATACTAAAATATATCATAATCAATTTACATCAGAAATAGACATAAAAGAACCTCTTGTACTAAATAAGACAATGTATCTTTTAATAGATCAAGACTTATAACCGAAATCCATAATTTACATTATTTAATTAATTTAAAGTAGTCTATGATAATAGAGACTCAGTCATTTGCATGAACTCTACTACTACTTACTCCGACATCTCTTCATATATAAATACCTAGAGAATGAAGAGCTAGAGATATAGATATTTTTGGATAATAAACCTATACAAGTTCTAATCGACTTCTTTGTTTTTATCTTCTCTCTTACATCACAACACCCGCTACTGATACCTTCAAGTATCTTGGCATGCAATTCAACTTTCGTGGGATGGACACTCAACTGTTCATCAACTACACCAAGGACAAGGTGCAAAAGTCCATGTACCGTCTTCACAACATTGGCGCCCGGTCAAACGGGTTTTCACCTCTTCTAAGCATGCAAGCCTATCGACAATTCATTCGTCCTCAGATAGAATATGGCCTCTGCATCACCAATATCAACAACACCAACATGCCCGCTCTTGAGCGTATGCAAGATGATTGCCTTCGTCTCATCGTCGGTGGTCACTCAACCTCCTCAGTCAAGGCCTTTCGAGTCATGCTCAACCTGCCCACCATGGTAGAACGATGGCATGTTCTCAACACCAAGTACAACCTGCGCCTTACAAGGCTGCCAACAGAATCATTGATTCATCAAATCTACACTACCAACAATAGATACAGTCGCTTGTCGCTTATCAGCAAAAAGAATCCAATACACAACTCGTTTATTGGTGACAATTCAAACATTTCTGATAACAAAAAACTAAAAAAAATCTTCTCTTCTTTTCGGTCGCAGGCCCTCATCAATTCTTCGGAAAAGATGATCCAAGCCTGTCGACACGACCTTTCTATAGACCCTATTTTCTTTTTACCTATGACTAGGAAGGAGCAAAGACGACTACTGAGGTGGCGGATGAATTGGTTACCTGGCAGAAAGTCAGATTGCTATTGTGGAGGCGAAATGAGTCGAAACCATCTTCTTACTTGTCCAGCAATACCTCACACCTACTGGGAGCACATTCAACGCGTCTCTCAAAATAACCTACACCCTTTCGACCTGCTTATGAAACAACTTCCAACGAAGAAACCAAAAACAGTCGAAGAAAAACAACAGCTACTACAGAAATGGCAACCAATTTGGACTGATTTCCTCAATATTCTTTTCCTTGTTGATCAAATCTGTCACAAAAGCCAAGAGTCTTTCGAGCCTGAGCCTGATAAAGGCCAGCTACTATACGACTGGCTTCTTAAATAACAAAAAAATATACATATAAAAACAAAAACAAAAACAAAAACAAAAACAAAAACAAAAACAAAAGCAAAAAAAAAAAAAAGCAAAAGCAAAAAAAAATGAAACAAAAAAATTTATTTATTTCAAAAAAAAAAAAATTTCATTGTCAGCCATTTCATTGTTATGCTCAACATCCACCCATTCCACCACTCTTCTGCTGCTCAACTCACCACTTCTCATCTAGCCGAAGCATTAGCATTCTGACCTCTGCTATCTTGTAACCTCTAATCATCTCAAAACCGAGGATAGTTCGTTCTGCGTTCGTCCTTGCTCTAGCTCTCTTTTTCTCTCTTTCTTTTTTCTGCAACCAATTTCTGCACTTTTTTCCCCCCCTTTCTTGGGTTTTTTATTTCTGTACCACCAATCCCGAATATCTGTATTTTTCTTTTTGCCCGACTTATGGGATCGTATACGATATTCTTATTTTTGCTCATGCATAAACAAACATAATATTTACCTTAACCAACCGCGCGCTGTTATATTCTTATAATTGTGTACAGCGACTCCACCCCCAAAGTTCGTTTTCCTATTTTATAAATTCGCTTTGGCATCACCCAAAATGTTACGTCATAAATTTGAAAAGTCACAGGTTTCGCTCAGGTTTCGGTTTCGCTCAGGTTTCGTTCAGGTTTCGTTCAGGTTTCGCTCAGGTTTCGTTCAGGTTTCGCTCAGGTTTCGCTCAGGTTTCGCTCAGGTTTCGTTCAGGTTTCGTTCAGGTTTCGTTCAGGTTTCGCTCAGGTTTCGTTCAGGTTTCGCTCAGGTTTCGCTCAGGTTTCGTTCAGGTTTCGTTCAGGTTTCGTTCAGGTTTCGCTCAGGTTTCGTTCAGGTTTCGCTCAGGTTTCGCTCAGGTTTCGTTCAGGTTTCGCTCAGGTTTCGCTCAGGTTTCGCTCAGGTTTCGTTCAAATTTGCTAGACTTTTTTTTTTTTTTTTTTTTTTTTTTGCTTCATTGATTTTGTAAATCATGAATTACAGAGGTAATCATTTTGTGTATTTGACAGAGTAGTTGTAATAATGTTGGTGATTTTAGGATCGTGGATGATGGCTTTTGACATTAAATCTGTTCCAGGACGCAACAACTTGGGAAGAACGAATAAACTCATTTTAAATCGAAACCTGAACGAAACCTGAGCGAAACCGAAACCTGAGCGAAACCGAAACCTGAGCGAAACCTGTGACTTTTCAAATTTATGACGTAACACTTTGGGTGATGCCAAAGCGAATTTGGATGATTTACAAAAACGAACTTTGACCAATCAAAAAGCGAATTTCAGTCGGCGACAAAAGCGAATTTATAAAATAGGAAAACGAAATTTGGGGTGGAATCGCTGTATAAATTATAGGGAAATTTAAAAAAAAACCCCCCAACAAATAATGACGTCAGCAAAAGTTCGTTTCGAAATTTAAGCTTTCGGTTCGATAATTCTTCTCTCTGTGCCAAAAAAGTTTTATAGGTGTACCTAGCAGAGAGATGAAGCTTCCATATGGTGATTATTTATAAATCAAATTTTGGACTTTAGAACTAAATCTCAGGTGTTCAAAGGCAACAAGTAATAGAAAATTTTTATCCTCAACAAGTCAATTATCGTTGAGTCTCATCAGATTCTTGTACTCTTATTGATAAATATAAAAAGATGACTACATATCCTATTGGCTTTTGAGCTTTATTGTATGATAAGTATGAGCGTTGAGACCAACATATTTCTAAGTTCTGTATTCAAAAATAATATAGTTGGTTCGAAAATAAAGTCGTGCCCTAGATTTATCGACCTTGCTTATTTCAGACTTCAATTTGTTTTTGATTTATTCGAACTTTTTTAATACAATGTTTTGCGTTTGACAGCTCACACCTGACAACGGATTTTTTTGCATTCAATCTATCACCAATAAAAAGTAAATATATTCTTGTCCTGGGGTGAGCTTTCAAATCTTTATACTTTTTTTCATTACCGGACTGACATTTTTTATTTTACTTCTTCATTCTTTTCCGATGGAAATTACCATCAAGTATTGTAAAACTCTTATAGTTTTTTAGCATTCGATTTTGTCGATAAGACATAGATCGTTCTAAAAACGATAAACGAGCAGTTTGATTCAATTCCTCGTCACTTATTGTCATTGTCTTATAGTGCCTAATACAACTACTACCATTTAGGCCTAATGGCATCATTGCTTCTCCCTTTAATAGCATACAGTATTTATTGCAAAAACTGGTGGAATGAGTAGTCAATAATGAGGAAATATTCATACGAAAAATTAAAAGGTTCAAACCACAAAGTCAAACACTTGGGCAACTTGTATAGATTCGTTAACAGCTACAACTGATAGCATTAGGAGATCAACAAGATTGCGAAAGTATCAGACATGCGTCGTCCCTTAACATGGGAATGTCATTATTCGCTAAAGAATATAATCAAAGTATGTCTAACAACATGTTCTTGATTCTGTCAGTGGTCAGGGAAGTCCATTCCTCTATGTTATTTATAGATAAGTGCACACTCTCTTCATATTTCAACACAAGAAAGGCAACAGCACGAAAGAGACGGGGACCCAAGGTTGTTACCTAATTGTAGATTGCAGTGTAACCAATGGCATTCTGTTTATGCCAAAAACATAACAGGCGAATGTAAGTAATGCTTTCGCTTTCATTGCCGTGTTGACAATTAAAAAAAAGAGAGAGAACAAGATGTGAGAAAAAAAAAAAGTGCTTTGGCCAATTGGCAGTTTTCTTTTCACATCCAGATTTGCACAATGGGCTGTAATACTTTTCTTTTCATACCCTAATCTAGGACACAACTCTTTATTTTCGGACCATCTAACAATTATTGTTGAACACACCGATTTCTTTGCATGACACCAAATTCAAAACCAGCGACTTCACTTTCTGGTACATATCAATTAGCCAGTTTCAAAACATGAGCAGTAAAAGCAGGGTTGTAGGCAAAACTAGATTCATTCGTTAAAGAGGCCGAATTGAAAGGAACTAGAGGCACGATTAATACAGAGACACATATTCTATTTAGATTTACCTAGCCAAAGCAATGGCTTTGATCCCATCACAGAACACCAGTTTTGATACATGCCTACATCATACATGTTTTTAAAATCTTTTTTCTCTTTTATGCAGACTACTCTATAGTTTTCCCCTGTCTGATCAAAATCAACTCGAACGAAAATAGGTCGGTTCGCAGCAAATTCAATACTTGTCTTGTTCTTGATAATAAAGCAGAAATGGGCTAATGCAAATCCAGATACAGTCAAGCCAAACACACATCCTCTAAACAGAAAGTTTGCTCAAATCCTAACGTCTTGTTGTTCACTTACAATGCACACACACTGTACCAATGTGGACTTATGTCGTCCAATCCAAGCCCTTCAACGCCAGATAATAAAGGGATCCATGTTCTATACCAAACCATCATGACTATGTTTCTCCAAAAGTAATAGATTGAGCTCAAATAGGTTTTGTACACCTTGAAACAGAAGCTCCAAGTAAATCTTCCACCAGGAATTCTGTCTTTTACCATGTTAAGCAAGATAGGTAGTGTATTGAATTCGACCCACAATGCATATGCAGCTACATAAAACACAAACAGAAAAAACTGCTTGTAATTGCCTTGGTCTACACAACCGTTTATCCTATCGATCACAGTAAGTTTACAACTCACATTCGTAAGTGACTGACCATAAACAATGGCTATGGATAGTATGTTAGTCATGATGCATACCAAATTGATCACTTACTGATCCATTTTGGGCGCACATTGATCGCATTCACTACAATGATGTGTTCTTTCTGGCTTTATTATATTGCAGCGATTACAGTACAGAGGTCCACCTTTTTCATTACATAATGACATACTATGGCTTTTAGACCAAGAAGGCACAGGGCTTGGAGTTTTTATCATAATGATTGAATAAGAAATTAAACTCATAGCATAAAGATACAATGCAAATACTATATATATACGGGTTTAAGCATAATCCAATCCATTTTTGAAATATACCTGTCTTGTAATCTATGCCTTCTTTTGCTATGAAAATAAAGATCAGTTTATTTTTCTTCAAGATCTCGGTCTTTCTTTACTTTGGAACTGCACATAATAATAAACTGTATAAGATAAAATAGAAAAGACAAGAATAGGCATACATAAGCCAATAAACAGAGTTCGTGCCATAAAAAAAAAAAAAAAAGAAAGATAAAAAATTAATTAATTTATTATAATTCTAAAATTTAAACAGACATCTTCATATCAATTTTACCGTGAGGACGATAGTCTTCTAATACAAAATCTTCAAATTTGAAATCATCTATATTTGTGATTTTACGGTTAATCACAAGTGTAGGAAAAGATCTAGGTTCTCGTTTGATTTGTTCTTTAAGGCCTTCTAGATGGTCTACATACACATGTGTATCACCCATTGTATGAATAAGTTCGCCTGGTTCTAAATCAGTAACATGAGCAATCATACGAGTCAAAAGAGCATAAGAAGCAATATTGAAAGGGACACCTAAACCCATATCACAGGACCTTTGATACAACACACACGATAGTTTAGCACGTTCGCCATTGACAGGTGTAGAGACATAAAACTGGCAGAATGCATGACAAGGAGGTAAAGCCATGATGGGAATATCAGCAGGATTCCAGGCACTCAAGATAATACGACGGTCTGTAGGGTTGTTTTTGATGGTGTCAATCACTTGTTGAAGTTGGTCTATGCCTTGACCTGTATAATCTGTATCGCAATCCACGTACTTTGCTCCAAAATGGCGCCATTGGAAACCATACACAGGTCCAAGATCACCTTCACGACGATCTGTGAATCCAATCTTATCCAAGTATTCTCGGGAGCCATTGCCATCCCAGATTTTTACGTTGCGATCACTCAAGTGTTTTGAGTTAGTATCGCCACGGATAAACCAAAGTAGTTCTTCAAGGACGCCTCGATAAAATACACGTTTGGTTGTCAAAAGGGGAAACACATTGTCTTTTAAAGAGAATCGCATCTGAGGGGGTGCAAAAATAGCCAAGGTCCCAGTGCCAGTACGATCAGCACGGTGTTCACCTTCTTCCATAATACGCTTGATGAGATCAAGGTACTGGTGTTCTTCATGTAAAATAGTCATGGTTTAAGAAGAAGAAAAAAAGAGAAAGAAACACGTCTAGTTGAATAAAGCGCGTCTTTTTAAGATTTAAAGTACCGTACGTGTTGTCGCGCTCATTTCTTTCTTGCGACACGATGGAAATACCTACCAAGAGACACACACTTGATCCACATACTCTGCCCAGCAAGTACGAGAGTCCTTCTAGATACCAGCAAACACCTTTACAGGAGAGAAACAACTATCGTTCAGTCATTCCTACCTTTCCAGCTGATCATGGTGATCTTGGTAGAAGAAGAACGCTTCAAGCAAGCGAGATGTTACGTCTAGCAGAAGAAGAAAAACAAAACCAGGCTGTTCAACAATCCATACCAAAAGAAAACACACTCATGAACGAAAAGGCGTTTGAATTGCAACAGTATAAAGAAGAAGCAGCTTACTGGAAAGGAAGAACTGAAAAGGTAATGAGAGATTTCAGGAAAAGTGCACTTGATTGACCACGACACAGTTGGAAAGACAAAACATGCAACTACAAAAGCATGTTGAAGAAATGCAGCATGCACGATACACGGATCCTGAAGCAGAGTTAAAGAACTATATAGAATGGGCAGAGGCAAAAGATCAAGGTATCATTGTGTATGTCTTGTACAAACCATATTGATTATTATTGTAAAAAAGCATTTGTCAATTTAAAGAGTCAAGTAGAACAGAGCATACAACAAGGAGAAAGATCTGGCATTGTACTCAGACAGTCTACTTTTGGTGCCCCAACACATACACGCAAATACCAAAAGACAAGAGCAGAAGGCAAGTAAAGGCAAGTGCTTTCATGATACTAACCTAGCTTAGATCAAAGGCATCCTGATATTGGCAAAGAAATTGCAAAAATACCTCATCGAGTGGATTATAACCAAATATTAGGAGAACACACCGAAAAGCCTATCATTAGTCTGTATGAAGATTTAACAACAGTTGTCATTAGAGGGTGTAAAGAAACAGAAGAAAGTCATATATACAACTGTGTCATTGCTGGCACAACAGGATGTAACTATCATACAGAGGACAATGCGGTACTGACTATGATTAGCTTTTCAATTCACACTAGAAGTTCCTAAAGACAAAACTCGGATGGTTAATTATTCACCTACTTTAGATCCTCAAAGAGATGACTTTATTTCAATTTTACCAGCATTTCTCAGAGAAGATGTTGAATTTGGAGCAGATAATTTGCCCATCTTCTTTTGGAGATTATCTTCTGTTATGAATAAAGTCTAATGGTCTACATGGATGAAAATTGCAATTGAACGTTAAAAAAAAACAAACCCTAAAAACCAATAGCATAAATTGAACACTAAATATTTACTTGCTTATGCAGCCAAGAAAACAATTCCTTTATTGTTCTATGAGTCTATAAAAGAAGAGATCTTTTTGCGCAAGGATAAGAAAGATGATTTTCTTTGTACCATCAATCTAGGTGGTAATTTGATTTTTACAAGCACACGTCTAAACAATGTCTGATTGTTACCAGGTTCAGTCTTGTTGTCTTGTCTTGTATTTCTTTTAAATAACTGATAATAATTCTTTGGTTTCTTGCTATGTTCTTTTAAGCTTTTTTCTTCTTCTGATACTGTTGGGCTGGCTAAAGGTGAATGAATAAACGAATCATTGCGATGATGAAGAAATGCTTGGTTCACTATAGGCCTAAAATCATGCGAAGGACTTGTGAGTTTGGGAAATTGAAAGCTAGAATTATCATGATAGAAATCAAATAAGGTAGATTCATCCTCTTCTTCTTGCTGTTGTATTGTTTGTTTGTAGATTTCATAATCAAACAAATACAATGTACCTGATGGTTCTGGTTCATATTCGTATACTTTTGGCGGTTCTGACGAAAAGCTCACTCTTTTTTCATTATGTGTTTGTATAGTGTCAATATAATCTTGTTGACTTTCCCATAAAACTTCGTGATAGAATTCAATCACATTAATTCTATCTTCTATATCTACACAAGCATTGCTTTGTTTTAACGTCATAGTTGGAATACAAAAAGAAGAAGAAAAAAAAGAAGAAAAGCTAAGCAAATATGTATACCATGTAAGAAAGACCCACAAAAAAGGGGAAGTATGCAATGGACTACAGTAGAACAGTAAGAGCTGACAGTCAAAAGAATCTATTTCCAGGGTCCAAGTGTATTGTATTTGTCAAGACAATATTAGATACTGAAGAGAGCAACATGAACTATATCTGTAATTTAATCAAGTGGCAATATCTTTCTTGTGAACAAAAAGAGAAAAAGAAAGGAGTGATGACTCCTTTCTTTTCTTTGCATGAATGACATAAAAGAAAACAGCCACGTCAGACTTATGTAGAGAAAAAAAAGAATATTTAGTTTTCAATACCAAGAGATGCGTCAATGCACAAAAAGGTCAAAACGCCCTTTTTAAAAAAAAAATCTCGATCCTTCCACTCTCGTCATTTTAAATTGCAATATTAAACCAACTTTCTGGTCAACACGGTTACACGGTACATTTTGTAAACTTTAAACCGCTTACAAAGCTGATAAAATAGACTCTTTTTATTGTTAGGGGCCAACTCGATTGATTCAACTTGTACCTGTTGTCGATCCTAAAGATATTCACCTTGATGTTACTTCTTGTCTTTATTAGATCGTACAAACTTACGTCAAGGTTCCATTCCCTCTTTCTTTCCTCTCAATCTTTAGTATTAAGAATAGGTCATTCACTCTGATGGTATAGTAGTTTGATAAGACTGATAAAGTGAGTTATTTGATTATTTTATTTTCTCAGATCCCAATGAGTCAGTTTGAAAATCTTATTTCAGCTAATCACAAACTACTTTTTAAACTTTGCTTGTCCTACCATCTGGGTTTAATATAAAATTGCTAAAAGATCGGTCTGCTTTATGCGGTTTATTTTACGATTTTTACAAATCGGGTAAAAGTCAATGATATCGTATTTGTAACACATATACACACTCGCTTACATTCTTGTCTTTAAATAAAAAAAAAAAAAAAGACATGGCTAATCATCAATCAGTGCTGAATTTCCAAGAAAAGAGAGAAGAAGAAAAAAAGATCAGATCGGAAAAGACTTTTCGTGACGCCATTTCATATACTTGCAAAAAGGGAAGTCTTTTTTACGTCATTGTATGACGCTAAAAGGGAACTTCAGAGTCACTTGAAATTAAACTTCAAACTTTAAAAGGAGAAGTCTGTATGGTACAATGACAGCATAAAAAGGTCACCGCTATGAGCTTCCAATCCATTGGAAAATGTTCCCTGAATAAGGGAATTGTGCCATTAAATATTTCGACACTCTTTTTTTTTCTTTTTCTTTCTTTTTTTTTTCCTTTCCTTTATATAATTTTTTTTTTTTTTTTTTTGCAATTTTCTTATTCTAGTTTAGTTCAACTGTATTAGGCTTGCTTAATACTGTTTTGACATCTTTTATTTTTATTTTACAATTCCAATCTTGTATGATCGATTAAAAAAAATTATTGTATTCCACACACACACACACACACACACACACACACACACACACACACACACACACACACACACACACACACACACACACACACACACATCTCCATTGACTCAGTTACAAGGAGAGAATTTTATTATCATTATCATTATCATTATTATTATTATCATTTTTTTCTTTGTATATCAAAACTATAGAATTATGCAACCATTCTCTAATTATAAACCCATGATAAACAACTATAATCAATATTATTTTACAACTGAAGCCAATCCATCACCACTACCACTGCCACCACCATTATCTTCTGTTGCTGTAGATACATCCTCTGCAGAATTTCATTACCAGCATTCCCCACCTTTGATGGACAATAGGAAGCTTTGGTCTGAACGAGTACTGCGCGACATGGCTGGCTTACTTCATGTCCTCTCACCTACAGGAAAATTTCTTTACTGCTCAGACTCTTGTGTCGAATTAACTGGATATCAGCCTCATGAACTGACGGGTAAATCGTTGACCGATTTCCTTCATATAGATGATGTCGACATGTTTATAAAAAACTTTCAACTCGCCTTTCATTCACTGTCACGAATTCGAGTTCATTTTCGATTAAGGCGAAAAGACAACACTTATTTACTACTAGAATCCATAGGACAGCCTAAACAAAACCCCTCGTCTTTTTTTGCTATTGCTCAGCCTTATTTCTCTCGATCCAATGGCCTTTTGGATTCTTTTCATGAAATCAAGATGGAAAACGAGTGGCTCAAGAAGCGATTAAACAGTGTATTACAAGTACAAGAAAACTGTTCTTTACAGCCTTCTTTTCAAGAGAATCAACTTTTGATGCCTTTTCAAGATCAACAACAACAAACAAATTCACGAAGGCTATCAAGTTGTAGTACATCAACTTTATTTCAAAATAATACAACAGGAGATGAAGGTACACATATTTATTGGAGTCATCATCGATACACAACTCCACCTTCTGTTGCATCTTCTTCTGAACTCAATGAAATGTTTATACGACTACAAAATCAACAACAAAATCACGAAGAAGATCCTATCTCTACTTCACCTCATTTTCCACATTCAACCATGGATAGCAAGTCAAAAGATAAATGGAAAAGAAGGGTAAGATAGAAATTCTTTTGTTTATTTTTATGTATTCATCTTATGCTACCAGAAGAAGAACAAACTGTCAGATAATCATGTTTGTTCTGATTGCGGCACAAACTCTTCACCTGAATGGCGAAAGGGACCCCATGGGCCCAAGACGTGAGTAAAATATATATATATATATATATTAAAAAAGCAGGTACTTATTCTTTTCTCTCTTTCTCTCTCTTTCTCTCCTCCTTTTTTTTTAATAGTCTATGTAACGCGTGTGGTCTTCGATGGGCAAAGAAGACGAAAAAGGATTTAAATGTGAACTGAAACGAAAGAAAAAAAGTGCAGATACTAATAGGCATGCAAAAAAAAAAAAAAAAAAAAAAAAAAAAAAAAAAAAAAAAAAAAAAATACCTCGTTCAATTTGATCGCTTGACTCCGAGGAAAACAACAAGACCAAAGGGGGGAAGGGAACTCTGCCATGACAACAACACAAAATACTATATAACTTTTTATACCCAAATCTTCATGTCTTTCCTTGGATTCTTACCGCTCATATTATTGTTTTTTTTTTTTGCGAGATGTATCGTAGCATTTTTTTTTCTTCTGTCATAATAAAGCTACTTTTGTTTCTTTCTTCTTCTCTTTCTCCTTTTCTACTCCTCCAACCTCCTTCCCTCCTTCTTTCTCCTTATAGAGAATAATGGAAAAAACGATATTGAAAGAAATTCTGGACCTTATAAAACGGCCTGCAAGCTCAGAATTACTTGCGCATGTATGTGATCAAGCATCACTCGTTATTCCGTGTTACCCGACAACCAACAATGCAAATACACTGGCCACAACGGATGGAAAATATGGCGTACTACCACCTTTGGCTTCATTTATTGGTTTTATGGTCAAAAGAGCCTCTGTTCGTGTAGGCACTTTGCTTGGTTGTTTAGTATTCCTTCAGAGGTTACAACAAACCTTATTTCACGTTGCTAAAGGAATGCCTTGTACTTCTTACCGCATCTTTTTAGCTACTCTGATTGTTACATCCAAATCATTACACGATACTTCACCTAAAAACAAACATTGGGCCAGATATGCAAGCTATTTTACGCTGCCTGAAATTAATTTAATGGAAAAGCAGTTGTTGTCCTTACTGGTAATCAACCTATATTTACATCGCCCTTTTCTTTAACTTTTGCAAGTATAGAACTATCATGTCATTATCTCTCCTTCTGATTTAGCCAATGTTTATATTCGATTCAAAAAGAGTTGTTTGTCCCCAACGATTCAATCGCCTGTCTTTATGAAGCCTGTTCCAGCTGTGCTGACAAGTACTCATACGAATGATATAGATATGCCTAGTTATGCAGCCTTGTATTCTCACTCAAACAAAAAGTTCTCTCTATCAAACACATCACTTTCTTCTACTGAATCTGACTCTTCTGTGGATACTCTTACAGACGAACAAACCACCCAACACTATTTCGCTCAATCAATGGAAGACAAACTACCTCCAAAAGTACATTGTAAAAGCAGAAAACCATTTCTTGTGAACATCTTGCTCTATGATAAAGACAGTAACTAAATTGTATGTATATATATATATATATATATATATATATATAACAAGGCTATCATACATGTATACTTTACTATGATCACTGAAAGATTTACCTGGTGTAACTGTGATTATGTTAATATAATAATAAACACCACTTTATTCAACTTCCCACTAAAGTCATTCTCTTTACATGTTCTCTCTCTTATGAGCAATAAAAAAGGCACAAATCCCCAATAAAAGAGATATGTGCCTTTTGAAGCTTATTAGCCATCTAAGACATGTTGACTTTAAATAACGTCTTTATTATGTAATACACGAATTACAAAATGTAAGAAATTATCTGCAAATATGAGGTTCTCATATGCCCAATGGATAGGTGTATCAAGTGGAAGTTGAATACCGTGCGTAATCACAGCGAGCTCAGTCAATGTATCTTGATCTAGAGTAGGTATAACTTTCGTAATCACTTGGCTTATGGTTGGGATTTCTAAAAAAAAAAAAAAAAAAAAAAAAAAAAAATCAGTTCATTCACTTCTAAAATTTAGTACCTGATGATGATGTCTGATGAAATGATACGAGGTCTTGAATCACTGGGCACTGATCAGGTAAATAAATCCTTAAAGGTATGCCTTTCATTTGACTTGAATATTCTACCAATTGTTGATTGACAGTTCGAAATGCGTCGTATTGATCTACGAGAAACTCAATATACTCTTTTTTATCGTAATTTTATGTACCTGAAGCAAGTGATTGCCATAATTGTGTTGTATCACGTTTAGATAGATTCATAACTTTCTTTGTACTGCCATGACAAAGGAAATCTGCCTAAAGTTGCTTGTTATGTATCCTATAGATTTGTCTCATTTCTTGCTTACTTCTTTCACCATGGACATAAACATGTCTTGCATAGTATCTGGTGTGGGTTTCAATAGTATTTTATCACTTGGCAAATCTTTAAAATGCATGGTTAGAGCCCAAGGCAATTTAGACGCGTCAGTATGTAAATCAAACAACAGTCCAATTGGATAATGCCTATAAAGACATTGAACAACTAATTTTTTTTTTTTTTTTGTTGAATCTCTTACCATTTTAAAGGCTTTTGGTCAAAATCATACCAAACAGACTCAAAAGACGCGTTAGAGACTTGCATACCGAGCTCTTTCAAGATGTTTTGAATATGTTGGGTCACAAGTGGTAAATAAGAACATCTTGATACTTGCAACTAACACTATAAATAATCACAGCATGATACCTATTGCTTACATAGATAGGTTCCCATACTCTATGGTTTCCATAGACATCTATTTCTGTAGGATCAAGCGATACTTTAATGGGCAGTTTGCCGTGCCATATACTTTTAGCGATCTCGGTGTCATAAACAGACATATAATATTTTATTGAGAAAAAGAAAAAAGATGAAAAAAAAAAATAGCTGTGCATGACAAAACTTAAATCTCAGCATATCAATGTCTTTTCAATAAGTGAAGACCACAAGCATTCTTGTCTTTATGGTCTAGAATGACTGGCTTATCTCTTGGTGTAGATTCAGAAGGTTCATAGTCGCATCGAAGTTCTGATTTACCAGCACGAATACCGCAAATCGTATTGACACGACATGCTTGGTCACACTTAGGTGTCAACGGGGATGATTTGTATCGATTAGACCAATACAAGTCAAACTTCTTTTCGTCCTTTTCCATCTCCTCAGTGACATGGTGCCACCAAGATGGAGATAATGGACTGTATGGGTTATTAGTAGAGCCATAAAGATCATGAGCAGAGTATTCTTTATACCACATCTAAAGAGCATGAATAAGGGACATTCTGTTTTTATTGTTCGACTTACAAGTCCATGATCCCAGTCGGTAGATACATTAAGATCAGCAATAAATGTATGAGAATCAACGACTTCAAAAGTGCCTGTGTCTACAGTATAGGTTCTGAATCCGGGGTTCATGTCTGGAAATGGCGTGATAGAAGGTGCTAAATAGCCAATGGAAATAGCATCTTTAGCATGTTGAGAAGCATTGTTTTTGTAAAAGAGTTGTATTTCATCTCTAACATACTCATCAGCCTCCTTCTAGATGCACTTGTCTTACCTGTGTGTATGTCCAAAGAACTGTCCAGCAATAACGTGAGGGGCATATCTTTCTACAATCTGGTAATAGTAGTTTGAAAAGTCATGGAAACAAGAGTCATCGCCAGGAGGAGTATGTCCAATGATCCACACTCTTTCTCGCTTGTCTTCTGACTTTTGTAATTGACCAATTAGCCACTTCAAGATACCATTAGGATCTCTTCTTGTTGGGTGTTCATATAACCACCAATTCAGATTATAACAGAAATTCGTATTGATACTAATGAGTTTAAGACCAGGATAAGGATGGCTGGCATAGCTGCCACTGTTCTTATGGACATTAGATAAATGCTTAGGAGGCAACCATCCCTTCCAGCTGGCTTGTAATGATTCATACAGCCAATCCATTGTCAAATCATCTCGACGATCATCTTTAGGCAAATTCGAGTCTCTGAGTGGAAATAAGTTGGTAGGTGCTGCTTCGTGATTACCAACGGCTGGATAAAGTTTAGCATCAATAAAGAAGGGCGAGTCAAAATGAGAATGAAGCATCAGATAAGAAGCTTCTTGAATCATCCTAGTCTTTTTGATAGGCAATGTTTGCCATACTTCATGAGGAGGAATATCACCCGTCAAGATACCAAAAGAAATATTTGGGCTTGCTCTTGGTATATAGTTCAGCATGGATTCAATCAGACTAATAGGGGCATCGCAGTTAAACGAACCCCATGGTGATGCTTTGTCTGAGATATTGTCAAAGCGAGTATATTCTTTTCGACAACAGATAGGTTTATCACATGCTGTTTCTGTACCTTCCTGCAAAGATGCATAAGTGAATTGTTAGGAGTTTTTTTTTTTACTTGCCTCATAATAAGGATCAACATGCCAATCACTTAAATGAACGACATCGATTGTCTTGTTACTGGGTTTATGTCTAAAAGTATATTTTGGTTTTGGCTTTGGGAAGGGTACTTTCCATTGGTCCACATCTATACAAAGTTAGTATGGACTTATGATCAAAACAAGCATTCACCTGGATATGGACATGCATTCAATACAGAAGCACAGGCTAAATGTCCATCACGACCAGCCACATCCATGGTCTATAAAATGATAAGTTTAATGATAGTTGCCTAGTTTCTACCTTTAAAACCCTACGAATAATAGGTCCTTGTTCTCTGACCATACCTTCACACTACAGGAATAATAAATAAGACAAGTAACTACGCACTGACTTACAACTTCACTATCAACCACATTGGCTTGTTTGCACACATTCATCATCGTTGCCAACTGAATACTCTCAGGTAAGCGGCATAATTGTTTTGTCATTTTTAATAAATTGATACAGGAATTGCATTTTTTTTTACGGTCTTCTGGGTCTGTGGTGAGTATATTGAGTTGGTTTAGCATTTCATTTTTCAACTGGTATTGCTCAATACGGTTGAAAAAAGTCTGATAAAAATAACTTGCATCAACAAGGGTTGAAGCTATCAGAAAAAAGACAACTATGACTGAAAATTGCTTCATGAATATATCTATAGATAAGACAAAAAAAAAAAGAAAAATGAAATAATCGTCATTTGTATGCAAAATGATAACTCAGTTCTATGTCCGCTGCACAGGTGACTTAAGTAAAGCAGAAAAGTGAAATAAACAACATACACTTATCTGATTGATTCTTGTTGATATTCAGATTGTATACTGTATTTACGCTCAAAATGACGGATTATATTACTGTTTCTTTCAAAAAAAATAATATGTTTGAAATTTGTTACTTTTCATTGATATTGAATCAAACTATACTCCTATGATAAATATCCAAGAAAAAAACAAATCAATTCTTGTGCCTGAAAGGATGTAACCATAGACACAATCAGTTCAACAGCTTCCTCTATGCCCTTTTTGACAGTCACATCGTGACTTTAATTTCCTCTAGATGCGCCACTTTTTTTTTTCTTTACTATACCCACTCAAATTTTTTTCCCTTTCTTTTTCTTGATTAAAGAAAGCCATGGTTCAAAATCATATGATTGACTCTTTATCGGAGCGTCTTCAACATGACGTTCAGATATTTGACGACTTGTTGAAACTGATACCCGCTAAATTTTATGTGATGGACAAAACAGAAGAAGCCAACGGTAAATTCCAACACAACAAACGTAAGAAGGCACCAAAACAAGCTATCAAAGACGCTACAAAGAAAGCCAAAAAAGCCAAACTTGACCCTGAAAACGCAAAAACTATTGCTCAAGTACAAGAAGAAAAGGCTAAGCAATTGGCAGAATCAAAAGCAGATGAAGACGATGCATCAGAAGAAAGCGAGTCAGATAGCGATGATAATGAAGTCGAGTCTGAAAAGATGGAAGTCGATTCTGGTGCTTTTAGTGGACTAGATGATGACAGCAACACAAATCATACATCTTCAGCCAAGCAAGAACCAGGTAAAGATGGAACCAAAAAAAAAAACTTAGGTTTCTGACCCAGTCTCTACTGTATAGTCAATGTTCAACCTATGGAAAAGAGCGATATTGATCAACTTCGTAACCGTCTTCATGAACGTATTCATTTGTTGCGCAAAAAACGCAATGCTCCAGGTGCTAATCCTGCCAACCCTAGAAGTCGCGAAGATATTTTAGCTGCCAGAAATAAGAAAAAAGAAGACAGAAAGAAGGCTATTAAAGCACAAAAAGAAAAGGGTAATAAAGTTGCTCCTGAAGAACTTGTCAAGTTTGACAGCAAGGTAAACTTACTTGTCTTTCAATACACACACATAACTCACAATTTTTATAGTCCAATGCTGATAAATCTCGTCCTTCTGCAGACTCCATAAAGATGGACGGTGACTTGTTCTTTGGTAAGCTTTCTGTTGGTAAGGATCAAAAGAAGAAGAAGGGTCCCTCAGATGCAAAGACACAATTGAAGATGCTTGAAGCCAAGAAGGAAAAGATGGAGAAACTCAAAGAAGAGAACAAATCAAAAGCAGACGAAATGAAGGAAAAAGATGAATGGAGTAAGGTGATTGCCTTGGCAACAGGTGACAAACCAAAGGACGATGCAAAACTACTAAAAAAAGCCATCAAACGACAAGAAAAGCAAAAGCAAAAGAGTGGCCAAGAATGGAATAAGCGTCTTGAAAAAGTAAAGATAGACGAAAAGAACAAAATCAAGAAGAGAGAAGAAAATATCAAGGCAAAGATTGAAGAAAAGAAGAATAAGAAGAGAGGCATTAAAGTCAAGCCTGCTGCCAAAAAAGCACGCCCTGGCTTTGAAGGTGGAAAGAGAAGCAAAGGCGGTAAAGTGACGAAGCCAAAAGCTCCTAATAACAAAGGCAAAAAATAATGTAGTTTAGTTTTTTATTATTATTATCTCGCATCCCCCCACCTCCTCCTTGTTTTTTTTTCTTTTTATATTTTCATATCCAACACAATTTGTAATGCATTTTTTGATAAAATTCTTAAATAGACAACCCACAATTGTTTGTTCAGAAAATAAGAACAATGTATTTATTTACATTTAAAGTAGAGAGACCCTTACGCTTGCATGATGGAATCACATAAAAAAAAGTCCTTTTGAGTAATTCCAGGGCGAAAATTTTTTATTCATTTTTTTTTTTATTACTTCAATGACTTCTGAGAAGGAAACGATCCCGAAGGTTGTTCAAGATCTCGTTGCAGGAACTGTGGGAGGTTGGTCCCAAGTCATTGTAGGCCAACCCTTAGATACAATTAAAGTGCGCATACAGACACAACCTTCACCACCTATCTATAAAAATGCTATGGATTGCACTCAACAACTTGTGAGACAAGAAGGAGTAAGAAAAAAAAAAGCATTCAATAAAAAAAAAAGGGGGCTGGAAATTAATCATTATCTTATCAGGTCAAGGGACTCTACCGTGGTGTGATGCCGCCCTTAGCTGGTATCGGGTTTTGGTAATAGAAACAAAGATATGTTTGTGTCTTATAGTATTGATCATAGTAATGCTATCATGTTTATGTCAAATGGATTCTTTAGAAGAATGTTACAAAAAGGAAATGAGACAGGGTTATCTATTGGTAAAACTAAAATGAGTTCTTTCTATGTGATGCTTATTCTCTTATTAGCTCAGGTGGGTATGGCTGGATCCATGGCTGGATCAGTCATGGCCTTCTTGAATTGTCCTATTGAACTCTTAAAAGTCAAGTTACAAACACGAGATCCAAAGGGTGTAATAGGCGTGAATGGGAAATTAGAACCTCCAGTATGTTGATATGGAATAACACAATGACTAAGATGTATGTAGTTTAAAGGCGTCATTGATTGTGGTATTAGAAGCATTCGTGCACAAGGATTCTTGGGTATTTATAGAGGCATGGGCATGACTTTATTAAGAGATGTGCCTGGCTATTTTGCTTATTTTTGTAAGTCTTAAATCATATACATATATTCTGTATTTACATCGCTAGTCTGTTACGAGACATCAAAAAAGCTACTTCAGTCCCAAAGAAAAGATAACCAGTTATCGACACTGGATCTATTAACAGCAGGTGGTTTGTCTGGATTAGCTGCTTGGATCCCTTCTTACCCTCAAGATGTAATCAAAAGCTGTTATCAAAATGATTTACGGTATGATTACAGTCTTTTATGATCTTTTGGCTTATGCAATGTAGGTACGCATCGTATGGACAAGTCTTTAAGGACATTCTAAGAACTAAAGGACCCAAAGCCTTCTTTCATGGTATTGGTCCCGCTATGGCAAGGGCTTTTCCTGCAAATGCAGCTACATTTTTCGCTTATGAGATGACAATGACTGCTCTTAAGTCTTCATCATAGAGATACACAATAGAATGTATATGATTCATCTAGAAAATAATGCTATAAATACTTGATATGCCATCATATTGAAACAGAAAATTTCAAACAACGATTTTAAATGGTTGCTATGTTACAGTTGCTATGAGTTTCGGGTTCCTTTTTTTTTCTTTCTCTTTTTTTTTATCTTGCGCGTTTTTTTTTTTGACTAAAAAGAGAGAACAATGTCACTTGGCCGACCTAAATTCTTTACTACCAATAAAAGAGGTAAAAACACACAATATTTAGATCGAGATGAAAAACCAACAATATGTATAGGTGAAAACTATGAACTCAAATCTGAGTTGAACAGTGAATATCGTCATCATCGCAAGGATGCAGTCAAGAAAGTAATTGCCAACATGACAGTTGGCAAGGACGTAAGTGGCTTGTTTCCAGATGTCTTGAAGAACATGCAGACAGAAGACTTGGAGCTGAAAAAACTGGTCTATCTTTACCTTATGAATTATGCAAAGACTCAACCCGAACTCGTTATTCTGGCTGTCAATACGTTTGTGAAGGATTCAGATGACCCAAATCCGTTGATTCGTGCTTTGGCTATCCGTACCATGGGTTGTTTACGAGTCGATAAAATCATTGATTATCTTACTGAGCCTTTACGCAAATGTCTCAAGGTAAGAAAATATGACATCTATATTTGAATGTGTACTCATGTTGTTTAGGATGAGAATCCTTATGTTAGAAAGACGGCTGCTGTTTGTGTTGCTAAGCTGTATGATCTTAATCCAGAATTAGCTATGGAGCAAGACTTTGTTAATGCTGTCAAGGACATGGTGTCTGATGTGAATCCTATGGTAGTGGCTAATGCTGTGATTGCTTTGTCCGATATCAATGAAGCTTGTCCTCAACACAATGTCTTTGAAATTAATAGTAACATATCCAATAAGCTATTGCATGCTTTGAATGAATGTACCGAGTAAGTTTTTTTTTTGGGGGTATGAGTTACTCAATAGAAAGGGATACATAGATGGGGTCAAATTGCTATTTTGTCAGCTATTGCTGAATATAAAGTATCAGGAGGCAAAGAAGCAGAAAGTATTTGTGACAGAGTGATACCTAGATTACAACATGCCAATGGTGCTGTCGTATTATCTGCTATTAAAGTAAGGACACAGCATCAGAGTGTGTATGTGTTGACATGATTTTTTTTAGGTCTTGATGATCAATATGAAGTATATCAAAGAAGAGGCGTTTATTAAATCCATGTGTAGAAAAATGGCCCCTCCTTTAGGTAAACATAGTTTAATTGTAAGATATGATTGACATAGGCCATTAGTCACTCTTCTATCCAGCCCTCCTGAAGTTCAGTACATTGCATTGCGTAACATTAGTCTTATTCTTCAAAAGCGTCCTGAAGTATTAAGCAATGAAATCCGTGTTTTCTTTTGCAAATACAACGACCCTCCTTATGTCAAATTGGAAAAACTAGAGATCATGATCAAGCTTTGCAATGATCGCAATGTGGACCAGTTATTAAGCGAATTAAGAGAGTAAGCACCCTGTTGTATTGACAATGACTGATGATGTTAGATATGCAAATGAAGTCGACGTTGATTTTGTGCGTAAATCTGTTCATGCTATTGGCCGTTGTGCTATCAAGATTGATGAAGCAGCAGAGCGTTGTATCAATGTCTTGTTGGACCTTATCAATACAGGTGTTAGTTATGTAGTTCAAGAAGCCATTGTTGTCATCAAGGTACAAGTGGCAAAACCTATATATGCTGTACTCAAACCTTATTCTATAGGATATTTTCCGTAAATACCCTCGTAAATACGAAGGAATTATTCCTACTCTTTGCGAGAATCTGGAAGCCTTGGATGAACCTGAAGCCAAGGGTTCATTGATCTGGATCATTGGTGAATATGCAGAGAGAATCGATAATGCAGATGACTTGATCAGTATCTTTTTGGACAACTTTAAAGAAGAAAATGCTCAAGTAAACAACAAGCTTACTTGGCCTTGATGAAACACACACTAATCAATTCTGTTTAGGTTCAATTACAATTACTGACTGCTACTGTTAAATTGTTCTTGAAGAAACCAAATGAAAATCAAGACCTTGTACAACGTATTCTTCAGACAGCTACAACTGAATGCGATAATGCAGATATTCGCGATAGAGCTTACGTCTATTGGCGTCTACTTTCTACAGATCCTCAAGCTGCCAAGGTAAGAACCAATTTTGGTGTGATACAGAAAACCTTATTCTTAAATAGGCCGTTGTTTTGTCTGAGAAACCTCCTATCGCTGGAGAAAATGACGGACTTTCTCCTGCACTGCTCGAGACCTTGTTGTATGACATTGGTACTTTGGCTTCTGTTTATCACAAACCTGCCGAGACGTTTATTGCAGGCAAGAAATTTGGCGCTGATCATGTCAACAAAGCCATGGCAGAGTAAGTGACAAACAGAATAATGTTTAGTTTGACTAAATGATTCATAGACACGCAGAAGAAGAAGACATCAACGCTCCACCACCTCAAATACAAGCTGCTATTAAGAATAATGATATTGGCAACTTGCTCGATTTAGATTGGGATGAACCCTCTGCAGAAACACCTGTCTCTCCTATCATGACAGAAACTCAGGGCCATAGTTCGCTCCAAGACTTGCTTTCAATCAGTCATGGTCCAGAGGCACAGGCCAATCCACCAAGTAATGGCAATATAGATGACATTATGAATTTATTTAATTCAACTCCAACTTTTGGTACACAAAACTCTTCTTCGCCTCAACCTATGGCCATGAATAATATACAGGATTTATTGGGCAACACGTCTTCTCCTCAACCTCAACAGCCTCAACAACAAACAGCACCTTCAAAAGATCCTTTTGCTGATCTTTTCTAGATATATACTCTTCTTAATAAAACACGTGAGTTGTACAACACTACAAATGTACCTTGATAAAGTAAAAAGATTTGGTACACAAGAACAATTGTTAAATTGTTAAAGAATAGAAGCTTCAAGAAAAAAAAATTTCTCTTCTTTTTCTTCTTTCTTTTTCTTTTATTTCTTTACTGCCTATCATGCTGGCTCATAAACATTGTACCGTTGATGATGATCTAAACCAATACCAGGATTTAGAACACTGTCAGCCTGCTCAGAAAGAAGCAGTCCAAGCAATCACCGAGTTATTTGCTGTTTCTGAAAATAAACTAGAACATTTGATAAATGGTATCGAGCAAGAAATGAAACGAGGATTAACACAACAAGGTGAAAATGATCTCAAAATGATACCATCCTTTATCGCAGGTAAAGACAAGAAGAGGGTGGTACACACATACTTATCCAAAAAAAAAAAAAAAAAAAAAAAAAAAAAAAAAAAAAAAAAAAAAACTCGTAGGTTATCCAACAGGAAATGAAAAAGGTACTTATCTTGCCCTGGAAATGAGTGGTGTTGATATCTATGTCTGTCAAGTACGACTTAAAGGTGAAGACGGTAAACTGGCCATTAACCAATACCAATATAAAGTCCCGGATCATTTAACAGCAGGTGATGATATCAGTATTTTGATTGATTATATCGCAGATTGCCTTGCCGACTTTCAACAACGTATGGGATCGAGTACAGACAGAATGTATCCTATTGGTATCAGTATTGGGATGGCGGTCAGACAAACAGGACTGAATCGAGGTGTTTGTGTTGCCCTGGAGCATGGGTTTGAATATCCAAATGCCGTAGGAACCGAAATTGTTGATCTCTTTCATCAACGATTTCATTTAAAAGGGCTGGCCGTACGTGTGGTTGCTATAGCCAACGGTAAACTATTAAGACACACAAAACAAGAAAAGTAACACCTTTTTAGATGCTGTATGTACCTTGTTAGCCCATGCTTATCAACACCCTTCTACAAGAATGGGCATTGTTCATAGTGTAGGTACAAATTGTGCTTATTATGACAAAGTAAGCAACATGAAGGCCTTTTTGGCCAAACACACAATCCCTGCTGGTTCAGATATGATTGTCAACACAGAATGGTGTAACTTTAAGCGTTTGCCAGTCAATAGATTTGACCAAACACTCGACAAAGAATCCAACAATCAAGGCATTCATGCATTTGAAAAGATGTCCACAGGCATGTATCTCGGTGAACTTGTGCGCTTGGTCTTGATGGATCTTGTGGAGCAATGCATGCTTTCGTTTGATGTTGATGATGAAGCATGTCTTTTGAAAGTGCCTTATCAGTTTGATACAAGTTACATTTTTGTATGCGAATCGGACGATCAAGCATTGGAAGATACACGAACTGTATTAGAAGAAATGTGTAGAACAGGATCCACTACATTAGCAGACAGAGAGATAGTAAAAAAAGTATGTGAGATTGTAGGCAGACGTGCTGCTGTGTTGCTTGGCGCAAGTATGGCTGGTGTAGTACGCTACATGGTCAAGGACGGTATTGGTTTAGATAACAATGGGTTTGCTATTGGTAAGTTGTATGTATTACGTTATGATTTATGAAGACAATATAGCTATCAGTGGCGATGTCTATAAAGATTATGCTTCTTTCCATCCACGCGTCTGTGAAACACTGAAAGGTTTGATTCCAGATGAAGTTGCTGCCAAATTATCAGTAGGCATCGTCAAACACTCTCGAATTGTTGGTGCTGCTATTGTCGCTATGATGGCAGAGAAAAATGACATCTATGACGATGATTTACATTGAGAAACAAAACAAAACAAAAAGTATATCATTATACCCTACAAAACAAATAAAGATGTATAAACTTCTCCCTAAGAGACAACAGTGATAAAGTCGCAAGACTCCTCTTTCTTTGCTTTCTTTTTTAATGCACTCCTTTTGTTCCCCTTGCTTTGATGGAAAATCACTGTTTTGTGTCTTGTTTGTCAAACTACTCCTATTTTATTTTATTTTATTTTTTTGTATGCGCATGATCTAAAGCTTATATAAAGGCCCAGTGTATCATCTCTGCTTTTCTCAATTATCAAAACAAATAAATAAATAAATTAATAACAATGGTATCCTTTCTTCATACGCTTGTTCCTGCCCTGGTGTTGCTTCAATTGACTTTGGCACTAAGAGTGATTGAAAACTGTAAACCAGGTTATGTGGCTCTTACTTATGACGATGGGCCCAATATATATACTTCAGCTCTTGTTGATTTACTGAAGCAAGAAAATGTAAAGGCTACATTTTTTGTAAATGGTGATAATTTCCTGTAAACTATGAAAAACGATACAAGCTGTTTGCTTAACATTTCTATCAGTCAATTAGAGGATAGTACAGAAGCTCAGAACGCAGTCAAGAAAGCGCATCGTGCTCAACATCAAATTGCAAGCCATACATGGTCTCATCAAGACTTGACTAGTATTATTGGTACAAGGCAATTTGATTATGAAATCAAGAAATTAGAAAGTGTACTTCAATCCATTATTCATGTCAAGTAAAGTTACATATATACACTCATTTGCATGCGTATACTTATCATTATTCTATTAGGCCTGCATGTAAGTCTTATTGAGCTACTTATAACGTGTTGCTTATTCTATAGTCATCCGACCCCCTATGGTGCTACGAATGATAAGGTCAACAAGAGACTTGGTTCTATGGGCTATGATATTGCCCTTTGGTCTACAGACACAAAAGACTATGAAACACATGATTTAAGCACTGAAATGGACAATATCCGGTCTTCATTTAGTCGCAAGAACAAAAACAAAGGTTATGTTATTCTATCTCATGATGTAAGTAACCTATTCCAAACTATAAGCTCAATTGGATTTCTAGGTATTTGAACAAACGACGGTTGAATTAACAAAGGCAATGATTAAATATATTAAAGAACAAGGATTCAAATTTGCTACTGTTGCAGAATGTGTAGGCAAATCTCCTTATCAAAACTAAAAAAGAAATAAAATAAAATAATCATCAATAATCCATTCTTTCATCAGGGTATTCTCTTTCTCCTCTATCTCTATCACGATCTCTATCTCTTCTTCTTTCTTCATCTTCACGTCGCATTTCTTCTCTGCGTTTCTCTCTTGTATCTAAACGCTGCCCTTCATATAATTCTCGGCGTAATTGACGCGATGGATGTTTCAAATGCATAAAGTTACAGAAACCACCACGATTACATTCTGAAATTTCATGTTGTCGACAACAAGCTTCTCTAAAATCAGTCACTGGTGATAACTCGGCATATATAGGACGACCTAAGATGCGTGAGTCGATAGCGAATTACCTTTGTTGACCTTACCTGCATAAAATCGATTATTCAGACTAGTCACTGCATTACCAGCGGATTCTTCTAGCCTGAATTGACAGTACACATTACCGACCAAGTGATCACCTACGTTATCACATACCACCATTTCTTCCACTTCGCCAAACTTGGCAAGTTCCATAAACACATCTTCATAAAACAAGTCAAAGTCATTTTGAAGTTGGTTTTCATTCATGTGGTTGCTGGGATCATGAGCAGGATTCTTATACATGTTGGCAATCAACAGTGTTTGTGAGAAAGTAGGTTTAACGTGTTTTCTGGAACAACGATCACCGTGTCGACAAGCACCAATCTATTCATAAAACTTAATGCCCATGGTACGCGTATGTTATAATTACCTTGAAATAAAAAGAACAGTTGACTCTATGTCATGATGAGTCTCATGTCATTCTAAATCATTCTTTTTTTTTTCTTTTACTTACTTGTCCTTTTCAGTACCGTAAATACTCGCAAGGTATTCAGCCATTGTTATGAAATGATAAAATAAACGAGAGAAAAAACAAATTGGCGCGCAGTTGTAACCTGTTATTTATACAAGCCACTCATGAATGACGTCTGTCTTATGAACCAATCAATTCAGTCTATCGTTCTTTTGCATAGTTCTCGAATCAAAGCGAATGATCGAGAATAGCATAAAGAAAGAGAGGAGGGTTTTGGATTGATGTTTGGACAGCATACATTATTACATGTCTACCCTTTTTCGCGCATGATATCAAATAGTATACATTTTTATTTTTTACATTGTACTTAATCAATCAATCTCTTTCTCTTAAAGAAACGACGCAAATACAAGATTTGCCAAGTACCAAGGCCAAAGAGTGTGAATAAAGAGAGAATACTGAACCATTTGACGCGTTCATTGGTTGATTCTATGTAGATGTGTCAATCTACAACAAATGTATAAAACAATATCCACTTACCATTCGTGTCTCTCAATTTAGCTTCGCGACGCTTCAAATAATTCATTTCATCAACAATTTCCTTGACAACCGTCTCTAACTTGCGAAGTTCGAGTTCCAATGGATCAAGTTTTTCAGCATTTGCCATTTTTTTAAAGTCAGTGGCTTCAGCACCTACACTGAATTGTAATTCAATAGCACGCTTGTATTGAGGACCTTCTTGAAAGCCTGCAGAGTAAAGTTTTTAGCAAAATTGAATAAGATAGATTATACTTGCCGTCATCAAGAATGTTAGTGAAACAAACTATGACATCACCATCATTGTTTGTATTGAAAGCATTTCGAAGTTCACCATTCACATTACTCTTCTTTGTATAGACATTACGAGTTTCAGCATCATCCAAGATCTATGACATCTGTCTATCAGTATAAGTGCATTGTATCTGTTACTTGCCTCGAGTTCAACGCGTTGATTGAAACCTTCACCGACATTGACAGTAGCAAGAACAAGCGTATCTTTAGGCACATATTGAGCAAGACACTTGGCCCCTTCAAAAGCACGGTCTTTAGAAACAGCAGGCAGGTCAAATTTAATAGCGTTGACTACAATACTCGAAAAAGCTAGTAAGGCAAACAAAGATGGCCGCATAGTCTAGTATATATATAAAAAGAGAGAGAGAGAGAAAAAAAGGGGGGAGAGAGGAAGTTGAAATTTTATTGACTTTAGATTTGTTTTTGTGCGTGCGGCATTCTTATTGAATGAAAAAAAAAAAAAAGTATTTTATTTACAATGCACAATATCACGTGATCTCTTATGATAATAATCTCTTTTATTTTTATTTTTTCCTTATGTCTCTTTTTATCACTGTAGGTTCAACTGGTTTTGATGATTTGATAAAAGAAACAACATCATCTGCATTTCTTGAGTCTCTTGCATCCAATGGTATACATAAAATACGCTATCAATATGGCTCATCCGAGTCTATCTTTATCCATCAACTACAAGCATACCATGGACCTGTATTGAATATAGATGGTTATAGCTACAAACAGTCCATTACTGAAGATATAGAACAAGCAGACATGATGATCAGTCATGCAGGTAGATATGATGGCCATCTATGTCCATGTATTGATATATGACCCAATAAGGATCTGGTACTATTTTACAAGCATTGAGGCTAAATAAGAAATTGATTGTGGTTGTTAATCTAACTTTGATGGACAATCATCAATATGAACTTGCTCATGCCATGGCAGCCGAGAATTATGTTATTTGCAGTGATATCAGGTACAAAATTAAGAACACACACACATATATATATATACTGATCTTCTCTAGTCAATTAAAGACAACTATTCAAGAGACGAATCATTGCGTATTAAAGCCATTTCCTAAAGCAAATCCAAAAGCATTTACCTCTATGTTAGATGAACATATGGGATTTAAATAAAATAAATTTCTTTTGCTTTTTTTTTTTTTTATTATGATAGTTGTATTGTTCATCCTATGTTTATATAGTGTCTATGCTCAATCAACTACGACTCTATTGAACAATGATCAGATCACTTCTTCTAGTGTATCTATAGGTTCATACACTTATTTTTATTTCACTCTTTTTCTTCTACACAACTCTTTGCAAGAGACTATCCCATCATCTATCTTACAACAACGACTTGTAGTCAACCTCAATCATCTGATTTTAATGAACAAGTACCTCCTCTTCAAGTGTATGTGTCTACTTCCAGTTCAAACAAACTCCCTGGACCCCATCAAGGCATCACAGTGGAAAATGGTCTGAATGGATTAACCCAATGGCAAAGTGATGGTACTTCTTCACAATTATGGATAGCTGTAGGTGCACCTCCTTTACAGGGTAGTTGGACAGGCAATTGGACATTTGAGATTGGTGTATCCACCCATCGTAAGCTATATACTTTTAGTATGCATTGACTGATACATCATAGAACCCATGCATGTTGTCTATACCAACAATCAACCTTATCTTTTATTAGACGATACAGACAGAAACAATGCTTTGTTTCTATCGAGTCCCTTTAGTGGAACAGCACCCAATACCAGTCTTTTGATTGCCTCTCATTTACCAACAGAGCTGTCGTATTCCCTTTGTGCTATTCGACTGAACACAGTGCCTAATTATGCTGTCAATACAACCATCACGACACGCGGATATACCAACACCACAAAGCAACAATTCATGGTGTCTAATCTAGTCCAAGATACGACCTATACTGCTTATATGGCACAGACAACACAAGGGTTAACAGGTATTACAATGCCTGTCTCTGTCACGACCAAGATGGATGCCAATTGTCGCATTATCTATGATTTACCTTTCTGTAACCAAGTGGCCTACAGTGTTCCTATCAACCCAGACACATTCAATACAGACAACCAATGGGACTTGGCTTACCAATACGATACACAGGCACTTGAGAAATTCGAGCCATTCTCGGTTGCTCTTTCTCAATTCAACTGTGAAACTACACAATATTCACTTGTTCGAAACTGTACAGATTGTTATCGAGACTACAAGGCATGGCTATGTTCAGTCACGATTCCTCGATGCACAGATGCCTCTTCAAGTGGTGATTTAACACAGGGCACAGATGATGTAGTGGCTGCTCCTGCATTACAGGATATCTCGGTCAATGCATCCCGTAATCCTTGGGTAGATAACACATTAAATCCAGGCGAATGGACTGAATTGTTGCCTTGTATTGATCTATGTTACCATGTAGTCCAGAGTTGTCCTCCTTTTATGCAGTTCTATTGCCCTACGGGTGATTTGGCTACTGTTCAATATGGATACTGGCAACAGGGCACAGTCCATGTGAATAGTACCACGTATCATTTTGATGTCAATAACCCTACTTGTAACCGAATGGGTGTAGATCCAAACCAGTTAGTCATTAGTGCTGCTTCTACTCTGTCTTTTTCAAGGATTCTGTTTATTTGTATTCTATTGGTTTTTATTGTTTTATAAAGCATTCAGACATCACACGTAGATTGTCAATCACATCCTGTACAGTGGGTACATGCCAAAATGCCTGTGTCTTTTGTCCTTCTGAACCCACAATGACAGAAAACTTTTGATATTCGTTTAAATCGGCTGATTTCTTGAGAATTTTAAACATGTCTTCATCTGTTCTATCATCACCACAACACATCACAAAATCAAAGGGTGTTGCCATTAATCGTTTCATGATTTCACCCTTATTGATCAAAGTAGGTCTGACTTCCAAATTCTTTTTGCCTACCAAGACTTCCACAGGCAATTTACTGAGAATGGCTTGTTCAAGATGATTTTGACATTCTTTCGCTTGAAATGCACCATAGTCAGGATCTGCAAGACGGTAATGCCATGTCAAGGCACATCGCTTATGCTCAATAAAACTGCCTGTGGTGCGTTCTGTATAATATGTAAAGATCTCCAACACATCATTTTTCCATCCCATATCCATGTGTTCTGTCAGATTGACCCATTTCTTGCTGCCTGGATACCGCATAAATGAGCCATGTTCTGCACTCATGCCCAAGTTCTCGATATGACCCAGCCAGTGAGTCAATGTACTTTCATCTCGGCCTGAAATGATCCATACTTCGTTATGAGGATCTTGACAGAGTGCATCAAGATAGACCAGCATGTCTTGAGGTGGTGTGGCTGCCATGGGTGTCTTTTGAATAGGTGTCAATGTACCATCATAGTCAAAACATAACAGTCGTTTCTTTGAATGACGGTATCGATCTAAAAGGTAATTGGTCTCAAGTCGAGGTGTGTTCTTGCTTTGTTCTGTCAAGAGACAGGTGTGTAACAACATTCGAACAAACGAATGGGCCCAAAAAGAAGTGGTGTTTGACTTGACATGCGCTAGTAATTGCTATTCATACGGATCAATCAATCAGGATATTTGCCTACGATAGACTGTCCTTACCATATGACGTGTTAATTTGTCTTCTTCAGACATGGTCAGTGCATCATGAATGGCTTTGGCTACACCCGAATAATCCCAAGGATTGACTAATAAAGCAGAACTCATGGATCCTGCTGTTCCAGTCAATTCAGACACAATCAACGACCCATGCTTTTCTTGCTGACACATCACATACTCTAGACTGGTAGTGTTCATGCCATCCCTGACAGCGGTAATCAAAGCAGCATCCGCCACGGACAACAAAGCATAATACTCGTCCCATTCAATCTGATGATGGTAATGATGGACTGGTAAATGTTCCAGAGACCCATAATTACCATTGATATGGGCCACCATGTCAGACACTTTGTTTTCATTTTTGGAATAATCTGCATTAGATGTTGCATCTGTCACTTGAATCAAGACCACTTTGTTTTGCCATTCAGGATAGTCCAACAAAAACTTTTCGAATGCGGCCAATTTCTGCAACACACCTTGAACAAGGTCAATCTTGTCTCGTCCAACCAAGATCTTTTTGCCTGCATACATTTCTTCAATCGCTTTGATTTTGGGTACCACATCAGCACTTTTTCTCAGCTCATTGACTGCTTCCACATCAATCCCGATTGGGAATGTACCTACATGGCAGAAATGGCCTTCATATTCAACCCCTTCAGGTGTGGATTCATAACCCAACACACGCGTGGATGTAGATATAAAATGTCTTGAATTGGCATATGTCTACTCAGACGTTCTGTCAGTCGATAGCTTTTATTTGTCTTGGCATCTTACCTGGAATCCTACTAAGTTTGCAGCCAACATGCCCTTTAAGATTTCTTGTCGTTCTATCATGATAGATGAGTCTCTCATTTGTCTTTTGTCATCAACTTTTTACTTGGCAAACAACGAAATATCTCTGAACTGGGAAAAGGAGAATGGACAAATAAGCCAATACGAGCCTTGGGTAATTTAGCACGCACCATACTAGGTACAAGCAACAGATGATAATCATGAATCCAGATAATATCACCCGGTTGATACTGTTCAATCACTTTATCTGCATACTGTTGGTTGACCGCTTCGTAATAATTCCACTGAGTTTTTTCAATACGACCATCTGTAGCATCATTCCAAATGACATAGTTGAATAAAGGCCAGAGTACTGAGTCATGTCAACAAACTGTCGATCGATATCCCACTTACATGTTTTGCAATAGCCATAATAATGACCAGCCACACTTTTGTTGTCTAAAAATAAAGGAACACAACCATGCTCTTGTCTTAGTTGTGTCTGAATGGCTTCTTTTTCCTTTTCGGTCAGAACCGAGACTTCAGTGCGTTCGACAGTTGTTTCGAACAGTTGACCTGTCCATCCAATACAGAGTGTTTCCCACTCGTCTCTTAAGGATTGCATACCTGCATACATAGCAGCATGTCCATGTCGAGCACGAAAAGACCAATGAAGACGCTCTTGTTCTTTAATATCATGATGAATTTCATAAGGAATTTGATGTGTGACATGAATAATTCTGCCTTGATCTTTATCCATGGCTAATAAAGGAAGAAAAGAGAATGCATTCATCAAAACCAGGGTTTAATAAGAAAAAAAAAAAAAAGAGATAATTTATTTTGATTAGATCTCAATTTGTATGTAGATCACGTATCTGTCTCAGTGCCAATGAAACTTGAGCACACTGAGTCTATAAGTGGCCCTTATTTTAATCTTGGTTCCAAACATATTGTTTTCACCTCTCGGCAGGCAAGACATTTGCAACGATGAGCAAACATCCTTGGCCGGGATACCTTATTGTTATGAAGAACACATAACTCGATTGAACATGGTTATTTATTTATTTAAACACTTTGCCATCAACACAATCCTCAAAGTCCCAAGCAAGATATTTATAGAATTCTTCTTTCTTTTCTTCATATTGAGAAGGTTCAATCTTTTGGAAGTTGTAAGATTCATAGTCAGCAGCATCATAAATCTCATAAGGAACTTCTTGACCACGGATAACAAAGTAACCAGAGATGCTGTTGTTGTTGTTTTCACCACGAACAATCATGGAACCGAAAGCGTACTTGTGAGCACGTTCAAGACGAGCATAGAAACCACCGATCAAGTTGTTGGACATGAAAGTCAAGGTCAATTCATCGTTGTACTTGTAGTCAACCTTCCAGATAGAGTAACCCTCAGGGTCAAAGTGTTCCCAGAACCACTTGATGGCATCCTTAGTATCGTTGTTGGAGTATTCACGCTTCCAGGCATCCATGACGAAAGGAGAAGGAGGCAATAAGTCCAACTTGGATTTAGGTTTAGGCGCAGGCTTAGGCTCTTCAACAAGTTCTTTTTTAGGTGCCTCTTCTTCTTTCTTTTTAGGTGTCTCTTTTTTGGCTTCCTTTTTAGGAGGTGTCAAAGGAGTCTCACAAAGAACGAGGTCACCAAGGACCTGTTTAAAATGAGGTTGAGCAGCCACAGTTGTAAAGTAACGTGTGACATTCTTGAATTCAGCACGGGCAGGCTTGTCCAACATGAGTGTATAGACAATCACCAGATTGGCAACAATTGCTATATCAGCATACGTCACACGGTCACCTATAAGATACGTCTTGGTCAATAAGATCTTGTCTAAAGCACCAAGGGCGCGCTTCACGTCATTCACAGCTGCATCAAAGTTAGGTTTGATATAAGGAGCACCTGCTGAGACAACAGGAAGCCAATGAGCAAGTGGACGCGTAATTTCAGTTTCAGAGAACAAGGTCCATTGGATCACCAATGCTTTTTCAATCGCGTTTTTGCCCAACAGGTCAGAATCTGGTTTGAGTGAGGCAGCATAATAACCAATAGCAGAAGACTCAAACAGGTTGACTTGATCAGACTCAAAGACAGGAATCTTGCCTAAAGGGAACTTGTTTAGAAAATCAGGGGTTCTATCCTTGTTCAGATCAAAGTCTTGTACATTGAATTCTAAACCATGATAAGCAGCCTAGATCAAAAGATATAAGCAAAAAAGAAGGGGAATAGAAGTATGATTTGTCTTACAGCAATCAAGGCTTTAGCAAGGCGAGGGTTCTTGGGAGTGGATTTGATGGTCTATTGAATGACATGAATATGAATGGATGGATGAAAGATGGACTTACACCGATGGGACTCATATGATTTAGAGAAAGAAGAGCTAAATGCTGAGACTGAATTGGTTTTCTACTTTGTGTACACATATGCATGCGTGGTAAAATACACACACACATGATGTTTGGCGTAAGCATAGACTATCGTATATAGAATGTATCGACAGTCAAATGATATCAATTTTGTTCTGGTGTCTGGAAATATCTGAATCAGTTGATAAAGATGTATGTCATCAATAATGGTAAGTTATAAACAGATAACATCAAAGTATGAACATCTACAGTGTGTGTGTGTGTGTGTTTTCAACACAACTGCTTAGATCCACTACTTGGTGATACAAAAACATTTTTACCTGTTATGTCAGTGTATTATCTTTTCTTGATGTGTCAAACATATCAAGTTAAAGATGATTCGTTATGGTGTATTGAACAACGATATTTCTTATATTCTGTTTGCCCAGTCAACAGTAGGAATGGTTTAGAAGGAGGAGGTATTGTTTATAGAACATAGTTCATGCATCCATTTTGACTGGCGAACACTCCGTCCACTTCAAAAAAAAAAATAATGACTCTTTCTACATAAATCTCCTCCATTATTGAAATAAGGAGGATATGTTTCATTGTCTTTATAGGATGGACACAATATATATAATGATACGAATGGGCATATTCAAATATATATATATATTATTTAAATTGTGCTACTGCAACATGAACAAGACATACTTGAGCGGAGTAAGTGTGCTATACGTAATCAAGTGCGTAGTTATTCCGATGTGCCAAGGTAAAGCGATAAGGAGAAAGAAAGGATTTCCTTTTCGACTCATGAACTCCGTTTTTTATTATTATTATTGTATATACATATATATATATATTGAAAAGGAGAAAAAGAGAGATGGAGGGAATTCTATTGATTTTATTATACACAAGTTTAGACTTTACTAGCTACGCATCGTTCACTTAAAAGCTTGATACTATTTCGTTCATGTGCTGCTTGTCGACAACTCATCAAGTTTTCACAAGCATGAGCTTCTGGTAAACGATGTCTGGCACAGAACTTGTGCTGGCAATACCGACAATCACCAATAATCTTCACTACTTTATCTGAGCAACTTGTAAATGAACAACGATTACTCTTCTTCTTGGTTGGCTTTTCTTCTTCAGTTGCACCACCACGAAGACGTAATACCAAATGCAGTGTAGATTCTTTTTGAATGTTATAGTCACTCAGAGAACGACCGTCTTCTAATTGTTTGCCTGCGAAAATCAAACGCTGTTGGTCTGGTGGAATACCTTCCTTGTCTTGAATCTTTTGCTTAACGTTTTCAATCGAATCAGAAGACTCAACTTCAAGAGTAATGGTTTTACCAGTGAGGGTCTTGACGAAAATCTGCATACCACCTCTTAAACGAAGCACAAGATGCAGTGTTGATTCTTTCTGGATGTTGTAGTCAGATAATGAACGACCGTCTTCTAATTGTTTGCCTGCGAAAATCAAACGTTGTTGGTCTGGTGGAATACCTTCCTTGTCTTGAATCTTTTGCTTGACGTTTTCAATCGAATCGGAAGACTCAACTTCAAGAGTAATGGTTTTACCAGTAAGGGTCTTGACGAAAATTTGCATGTTATAGAATATAAAGTAGAAGAAGAGAGAAAAAAAAAAAGAGAGATAGAAAAATAACTCTCTTTTTATATATTTCAAAAAAAGAAAATGAATGATGTTATTTATCCATCCAATAAACCAATTAAATAGCGTTAAATTAAAACATTGCTAAATATAGAAGACATCAGCATTAGTCAACAGAAAATCCGAACAATAACAACACCAATGATTTGTCACGTCACTTTATTCTGTTATTCCAAATTCGCAGTAGTTGAAATCTTTCATTTGTTACGACTTAATAATTAAACGCGCGAATTTTATTAGTGATTTGTCCATTTTCAGTCTAGTTGAAAAAAAAAAAAAAGTTCATTCTTATGACAGCCTGTTTCTTAACAATCTTCTTAATAAAATAAAAGAGGGGTTTTTTTTTATTGTATTTAAGCAATGAGCTCAACAACACCACCAGCAGCCTTGATCTTCTTTTCAGCGAGGCTAGAAACGAAACGAGTACGAACAATGACAGGTTGAGAGATGGTACCCTTAGCCAAAACCTTGGCATAACCCTAAAATGGAAAATGAGTATATCTGACAAAATGAAATTTACGGAACTTACGTTTTGAAGAGCGTCAATGACAGGAACCTTTTCAGTGTTCTTGTACTTTTCACGGACACCTTCACCAGCAAGAGTCCAGATCTTGTCAAGGTTGACAACAGGACGCCAGTTGGGGTTCTTCTTCAAGTGGAAGTGACGCATACCGACCTTACCAAAGTAACCAGGATGGTACTTATCCATGTTGATACGGTGGTGATGTTGACCACCAGCAAGACCACGACCACCAGGATGCTTTCTGTGCTTGCCGATACGACCGTGACCGGCAGAGACGTGTCCACGCTTCTTTCTGTTGTGATGAAGTCTGGTAGGCTAGAAGAAAAACAGGTTTTAGTTATAGGGTTCTGTTGTAGCGTCTGTAGGATTTAAGCCTGTGTATGAAGAGAGCATATAGAGTCTGACTCGAATAACATTGTCAAATGTGGGCCATTGAATGTCAACATTGAGAAAAAGATCTACGAGAAATACATCCATCCATCCATCCATTTGCTTTTGTTGTATTCCACATCACATCCTCTTAATGTCTTCTTGGTATCCATATTGCCCTCTTCTCTACAAGCTAAACCGTGCAGCATGTATGATGCCCTACCATTTCAGTAAAAGAGAAGGAATTAATAGGGTAGCTTGTCTTCAGAGCAATTTACCGTTGGCAGCGATAATTCATAGTCAGCACCGCCCAACAGCGCAGACTTGAAAAGCAGTCATAAGGAAGCTACCGCACTGCCAACATATATTGAAGGTTTCTTTGTGTACTGAACAATGCAAATAAACGCTTTTTTGCAGATGGCCTTCTTAAAATAAAAGGACCCTTTCTTTCAGAGAAGTAAACAAGTTCTCCTGATGCTTTATTTAGAGTAATATTCTATTGAGAAAGTAAAAGAATAAATAGAGCTGCTTCACTACACAATGGGAACATAAAGCCTGTTTATGCACGCATAAATTGCTTTAAATACTTACAGACAGCGTTTATAAACATCCATGGTGCTTTTGGAGATGATTTGGATCAAAAAAAGCGACTTGTAAATTTTGGCTTATGATCTAAATTTGCTCACGAAAATATTGAACTTGACATCGCTTTGATCTTCTTTTTGATGCTACAAGACAAAAATTAGAGATATCAACAAAATTAAATACTCAAATGGACGCCAAAAGCTCTAGTTTCTGTTGAACGTGTTTTCTTGCCAATTGTACTATGAAAATGATGAGATAGGAGCGAAAAACCTCATAAACATTTCTACCTATTTACTCGAGATTTTAGAAGCAAAAATAGTGTGCCTTTTACATTAATATAGTCAGAAATTTAAGATCTATAACTTTCATTATTGCATAACGGCGTTTTTGTGCCGTTCTCAGCAAAAACTCCATTTTTTTTAATGATTTTATTTGCCGCACGTATTAGTGGTCTCGAGAGGGACCCACTAAAAGAGGTGCTCGACAATTATTTATTATAAGAGGGTTAAAAGAAACAAAAAGGGTACTACAATCTCAAAAAACAAAGAAATCAAGGAAAAAAAAAAGAGCAGCTACTGCGAGAAAAGACCTCTCAAGATGAAAGGTCTTTTTCAGCAGCTATACGCTTAATTTGATAGCGAGTGCTATGAAGAACAGAGAGATAATGGAATGGTTGGTTCTGCATGGTATGGGTCCAATGGGCCTTCCAGATTTCAGAGAGGCCGATCAAGGTTACCACGGCTACTGAAAGAGGACAATTGGTTTGAGACCGAATCCGAGAAAAATTGAAAGATGCAAGTGCATCAGAGACTAGATCCAGAGAGGTGCCTGGCCATAGAAATTCCCTGATCAAGGCATCCCAGAACGGAAATTTTTGAGGCAGCGAAAGAAGAAATGGTACACAGTCTCCTGATCACCATACAAAATGCAGGCAGCAGTAGGGAAGTGAGCAGGAAAAACCTTGGATAGAAATAAGCGAGTGGGAATCTTGTGAGTTAGAAATCGATACATCACATTTCTCTGCAATGTTGTGATAGGTATGCACCAAAAGTACTTCCAAGCAGCAGAAGAAACTTCTTGCCGGGCAATGATATCAGGCAAGGCAGCCTGTGAGATGACCTTACGGAAAGTATAGCCACCATTTTTGAGGGCAATGAAATTTTCATTGTCAAAAGGCAGTTTCAACATACGCACAAAAGAAAAGAAGCCAAGAGACCGCTGGATTGCAGGAATATGCACAGAATTGTATAAGTCTAATGAAGTACGAACAAGGCATTGACCAAAGAATGGCTCCAGTTGACAATGACCTTGTTTCACTGCTTGAAGATATTTTCTGACACTACGACGGATATCCAGGGGAAAGGAAGAAACTGGTATAGGTGCAAAATAGTGAACCTGTGGATGGTACTCATATAGATAGGAAACTGCTACTGTGCGTAGCTTGAGAGGCAAGTCAAAGGTGTTAGATGGCAAAACAATTGAGCGTAATGGCAGTAAAAGGCATTCGATAGGGTTTGGCATGTATGAGTACTGTTTCCTATGAATAGCATCCATTGTCTGGCAGCACATTGTGACAGTATTACTTGCCAATTGCCTGAGTTGGCCTGGGTGAGAACGAGGAAAGAGCAGACCCAAGAGCAGATGTTCAGTCTGAAGCAAAGCACGGGTATGTGCTGCTAGAAAGTCTTGTATCAGAGAACGTTCAGCTTGAGGACACAAAAAAGGATGAAACCAATGGTAATGCAGTGATTTCTGCTGAGAAAACAAGTCAAGAATGCCAAGGCCACCATGCCACTTTGGTGCAGTCATCGTTTGCCAAATAATGCGAGGAAAGATTTGTCGGTTAACAAAAGAAGTAATGACAGTTCGGATGGTATTAAGGATTGCTTGAGTGGCAGGAATCACCCGCAAAATATACCAGCATTTAGACAATAAAAGCGAACTGGCAACTGTGGCTCTACCAACAACAGAAAGATTGCGTGAGGCATGAATATCCGCCAGTTGAGACAGTGATCGAGTGAGGGACGAAAAAAAGTGAGCGCGCTGGTCCAAGGATTGGATAAGAGGAAAACCTAAATAGATAATGGGTTCAGCATCTGTACGGCACCATATCTTGGGAATGTCAATGGCTTGTAGAGTAGTCAGCCAGAAAAACTCCATTTTCGATGCGGCGGGAAAAGAATTGAAGTTGCTCCTGCTTTCAATCTCAGCATGTAGCCATCCTGTATGTCCTATGTCCATTTGTCTTCACCTTACGTGCGGCAAGTAAAATCATTTGTCTCCACCTTTGCATTATAAAGTGCCCGTGCTTCTATCTCTCCATGTCCTTTGGAATCCCAGATAGCACTTAGTAGTATCTATAGCTCCGTTATTGCTATATTTGATATGACATCTAGAGCAAAAATGCTCAAAACATTGCTTAAACGTGCCAATCTTTGATGAACCATTACTCGACAACCGGACTACCAAAATGGCCTCTTTTCTCATTTAAACCATGTTTTTTTAAGTCCAGCAATTGGTTGGTATTTTGCATAGTTTATTGTATGCGGAGTTTCTCTTAGTAACGCGTTTTATGTTCAAAAGCAGGGCTAGCGTGTCTAAGAAACGTTTCAGTTTATTTTTTCTTTATTATAGTATGAACGATTTTTTTTATCTAAACGATCTGAAAAGCTGTACGTTTCAAAAGTATCTTGAACTTGTTGATCCTAGAACTTGTGAAGCCTTTAACGCTGTCAAGGCACAGTATTACAGTGATTTAGACAAACTCGTCTCAGCAGGTGTTGATGAAGCAGAGCTCAGAATAATTGGGTGTTTAAAAAACGAAGCAAAAGTAATGTTTCTGTCTAGGCTGATTATAATTCAGATATTGATCTAGCTATGTAGAAAGCATCATTTTCTGATAGACAGCAAGAGGGAAACATCACGATCAACAACAATATTATCAACAGCCCTTCGTCAAAAGTATTTCTTAGACCAAAACTTGTAATTTGATTATATATAATTAGTTTAAATAGCACATCAACTAACTTTTTCATACTTTAGGGGAAAAAAGTAATTTTGAATTGCTGCTCCAGCGTAAGAAACATCAAAAACCTTTCGTAGCGTCAAAAAACTCCTGGTTTTCTTCATCATTATTAAAGCCTTCATCAAGTTGAACCATTGGTAGATCTGCTCCAATTACTTGGTCGATTAAAGTCCACGGTCGATTAAAGTCCACGGTCGATTAAAGTCCACGGTCGATAAGTGTTCCCGCCGGTGATGGTTCTGAAATGTCTTTGAATCAACCCAGTTGCTCAGCGTCTGTATATCGTCAAGAGATATTCCTTGTTTTAACGCAATTGAGCGTACACTAACTCTTAAACTTGAGTTTTCTCTTATAGAAACAAACTGACCATACAAATGAAGAAAACTGCTGGGAAATAGATGGCGAGCAAGACATTTGGGAAGCCTGGAGGCAATATATGGACAAATGCAACGGTCATGAAAATTGGTAAGTAAATACTCTAAATTGTTGCTTATTACAAGAAGCAATTAAATGTGATTTTTAGTCTTGAAAAAAATCATGTTATCCAATGCGGCTACTCGATCAAATGCAGCCCCCTTATACCTGATGAGTTATATAAGCATCTTGGTCTCGACGAGTATGAAGTAGAAACTCCATTTGCCACCTGCGCCGATTATGTACAAAGTGTTTTTTTCTGCTGTTGACGAGGTAGAGCAACTAATTCAGCTCAATCTATAAGAAAATATGATGTATCTAATTACTCCCCTTTTTTTCTAGAACAAGTCGAAAAGGGAAATAAGAGCTGGTTGAAGGCACTGATTGTAGTGGCCATGCATCGTTGTTTGTACAAGAATTTTTCCTTTTTATGTAAGTAGTCAACATTGTATATTCCCACAGATTCTGATAGTTGCCTTCGCCCAATTGTAGGATGACAGTGTTCAAAAATGATTTGGAGAAAAGAATCACATTCAATGAAAGCAACTACAGCTTTCACGTTTTATGGCCATTGGTTGAATTTGCAGTTGATTCCCTGAACAAAGAAAACTTGTCGTTCATCTGTGGTGAACACATCTTGGTTTCTTCTAAGGAGGAATATAAAGCTGATGGTGTAGTTGTTCTTCAAGATAACATTGAAATATGCTTGTTAGAGATCTCTGGAAAGTACAAGCTAAACGACATTCCCCATGTGATGATCTGACATTAAATAAATCTTCAATTACATACTAAAATATATCATAATCAATTTACATCAGAAATAGACATAAAAGAACCTTTTGTACTGAATAAGACAATGTATCTTTTAATAGATCAAGATATATAGTCAAAAAGAAAAACAATAAAATTGTATAAAACAGTCTCAAAGTATCTACCTTTGTCTTTATATCATCTTATTATATAACTCTATTATCAAAACATCACACCTCGGTTCAGCTACGATCATGTAAAAGGCTGTTTTGGTGTGTTGTGTATGCTCAACAACCTCATCAAAAAATACCATAAAGCAACAATTGAAACAGCAATCACCCTCAAAGTACCATTCGTACATGCCCGAGGTATGTTCTTTTGTAAAAGATAAAACAATTTTGTAATAAGATTTAATTTATTTAGGGGATGCTATCCATTTATGGAGTCTTGAAATCTGCGATAATAAGCTCTACGCCTTGCAAAAGTTGTATGAAGCCAAGATTCCCTTGTCATGGTTAGACAAAGCTGAAGTACTATCACTCGGCATCCTTCTCTGGCTTTTAAGGGTAAGGGTTTAAAACTCGAATGAAGAGAGGTTTACAGTCTATCTAAATGCTTTCCAATATATTCAAAATAGGGCTTACTGTCAACGTTAATAAGTACAATTGATACCATGCAGGAAGAGCATGATAGGGCAAGAACGGTATCCCTGCTAGGTCTTCCGTCTCCTGGCAAAGATCTTCTTGACTTTGTCAACACAGACATTAAAAAACCATTAAAAGGAGCTTCTTATGGCGTCCTCTTACCCCAAGATGACCGATGCGAAGCATCAACTTGTATGAATAACACTTTGTAAATATTTCTAAACATACAAGATACGTTTGAAAAGAAATTTCTTTCTTAGTGTCTCATAATTCATTTTTTGTCTTTACTACACATACATATCGTATCTTATTTATGTTGGCCTGAAGCAGAACAAACATATTTAGTTACTAGTCTATTTCACCTGCTTATTTCTAGCAGTTTTGCTTCAAAACGATAAGTATTGTACTTGATCTGTTTATACCGAACCGTTGTTTAAGTATGTGTTGTGCACTTCAACTTGCTCCTTGTTCAGTTCAACAAAACACTGCATTTTACTCACTCATTTAATTGTGTACGTCATACACAGTCTTTCTATCAATCTGCTGTAAAGTAGATAGCATCCAACAAGAAAACATCCTTTTTTCATAGGGATTGTATCAAAGTCCACTTTGTTCTCAGCTAATTGAATCTCTTATCAACGGACCATTTTATTGTACCCACAACTCCTTTTTATATGTTAGCTGTTCCCTACTTGAAAACATCAAGCTTTGAAGCTTATTACTCTATATGAGCCCTCAACTTTGTACTTGATAATAGCACAATGGACTTTAGATAAATTCAGGCATTATTTATTAGACGAAAAGTGTTGAAAACGATAGAGGACTCTTTGAACATGGTTGCGCTCTTAAGTGAATGTGGTAAATGCTACAAGAGGTATATCCATAACTGATTGTCTCACACCATTAGCCAAGGCTGACTTTAAAACGTATGCTTACGTATGCTATGCTGAGTAATCTTACGCTGTGTGTTTAGCTTGCTGTTACATTGATTTTCCTACGCGTACATGACAAGAATAGTTAGTATCTGATTCGAAAAGCAAAAAATGAATAAAAAATAAGACGGCAATATTGGCAGAAGAGGCAGCCGCTCATAAAGCAACAGTACAAGTACCACCACAATATGATGGCTGGGGGGTCATCACAAGGATAGCAATCAAGCCTCTCACTACCAAGCTAAGCTAACCGCTTGCTTGTCTTTCAAGTCCTTCAACAAGCAATGGCATTGGTCATCTTGCGATCAAGCCCAGTCTCACAACGGATGCAAAGAATAAGTATGAGTAAAAAAAAAAGAAAAAAGTTATAGACTAGGGTATTGTTTTTAGTACAGTCAAACCTATAAACATGAAGAATATTTGTCCACACCAAGTAAATTTGGCGGTTAATTTTTTTTTTTTTATGATGGAAAAGACAACATTTATAATGAGCAAGGAGGAATCGTATACGATCCGATGGAGGATGTTCTTACACAAATTGATGATCCGGATGTAATTCTTGAAACAATTACTAGTCAGAAAACCTATTTAAGTGTTAAGCGCCCGGAGAAAACTGTTGAAGAGTCTTCTCCTAAAAATCAACCGAAGGCTATAGTACCAGATTCGGATAGATCATACAAAAACTATAGCGAATTTACCAGAGAGATGTTTATAGATCGTATGATTGAAAAGCCTGAAGAACGTGGGTTGGTCGCCAAGGTTGCAAGTGACCTAAATATCAATTATCGCACGGCATTAAGATGGTGGAATAGTTATAAAGAAACAGAAGAGATCCCATATAAATAATCCGAAGAAAACAGTGGCCCTAAAAGTTCATTCACTATTAAGCATAACGAGTATTTACAGGGTCTATTGGATAAGGATTCTCAACTATTTTCGGATGATATTATGAAAAGTTTGACTGAGCAATTTGAAGGTTTTACTATCTCAAAGCCGTAACTGAACAATCATTTACGTAATACAATGCTTATCACTATTAGGAAACCATTATTTGAACCTGAAATAAGAAATTCGCCAGAAAACATGGAGACGAGATTTGAGTGGTTTATGAAATGGAAGGACTCTAATATTGATTTTACAAAGAATTGTATTTTCATTGACGAAGCCGGATTTCACATTAACATGAGAAATAATTGGGCAAGATCGAAAAAGGGTGGCCCTGCTATAGTAAAATGACCAACGACTAGAGCGATAACACATACTATTATTGGTGCTATCCATTCCTCTAGTGTCGTTCATGTTGTGATGAAAAAACCTTCACCGAGAAAAGAAAAGCAATCTATTAGTAAAAAGAGAAAATCTAATAGTGGAACAAAGAAAATCGTAGCTGAGGTTGATGTAGAGGATCCAGAGTTTGAAGATCCTACTGATAATAAACCAGTAGCAAAAGGCACGACTACTGCGTACTTCGTTAAATTCATGAATGCGCTTCTTGATATAATAGACCTTGATGAAAATTTGAAGGGAAATCATATTGTAATGGATAACGCCGCAATTCATAAATCCAAGCCAATGATACGAAAAATCAAACGTAGAGGTTATAAAATGATGTACTTACCTCCGTACTCACCTGAATTGAATCCTATTGAACAGTTCTGGGGAGTATTTAAAGGCAAAATGAAGTGTGATCGATTATTGGCTGAAGAAAATTTATCTGATCGAATTGCTGATGCCTGCAATGATGTCCTTATCAGCGATCTCTATGGTTTCTGTAATCACTCAAAACGTCAAATTATTAAATGTTATAAAAAATTACCATTCTAGTATATACATATACATATATATATCTTAAATAAATGATTATTTTTAAAACGACAAACAACATATGATCAACTTTAATTACTTGGCATGGAGCTTGTGTCATTTATTTTTCAAATGCTGCCAATTATTTTTGCCTTTCCATCGACAGCAGGTTTAAAATTCGCTCTTAAAATGGAGTGATTTAAGTAAATCAGGAATTTGTCGCGAAGCCATGACATCACCAATTGAATAATCAGTGTTACAACTGTCGAAGGCTTCCCCAGCAACTTATATATTATAACTCTAAGCATTAACCTCAGTATGAACTGCAGTATGAACCGCAGTACTGCGGCACACCTCATAAACATATAAATATCCTTATAATTATCTTCAATAAAATATTATCTTTATTCTTATTTCATTTCATATTCATTTTTTACTTTCTAATATCAGCAACACGGACAGCAACAGCGTTTCTGTGAGCATCCTGTGGTAATCTGAGCACTTTCAATACAAAATATAATAAATAGTTTTTCATCTTATAAATGAATAATCACTTATAGCACTATACATTATAAATATAAAGTAAAGTTATTTGTGGCAAGCCAGATATAATCCGAATCTTTTGCTTTTTTTTCGCACCTAATATTCACAATGCAAATTAGTATATATATACATATGTATATATTTACTATAAATAGATAATACTTACCAAGTGTATTCGAGTTTTTGAGTGGTGTTTCCAAAAGCTTTGAATATCGGTATAAAAATCTCACAATACGCTGTCCTTTCATCGTTATCATTATACCTTGTAGTTCGCATGCAATTCAGCAGAAAGTCAATCATAGTAAATTTAATAAAGTTTAGAAACGGATGATTGGGGAGGGTTCCTAACAATTTGAACATTGTGATGTTTGGGTTGTGAATGAAGATATAATAGAAGATAGAAAGAAAACAAAGAAATACAGTGAGACTGTTCAGTACTTTTTTATTACAAGATAAATTGATTGTTCTAAAATATATCTTTTCCAGGTTGTCTTTTATACTACCTGATTTATTGACTAATTATGATTATTGATTATTGATTACTTAACACTTTGACAGCTCCTTGTTACCTAAAAGGTACAATTATGGTTTTTTTATTTGTAAATATCCATATTATCCCAGTTACCGTTATTTACTGTCATTATACAGTGCTTACTTTATAGTTATAATGTATAGTGCTATAAGTGATTATTCATTTATATGATGAAAGACTATTTATTATATTTTGTATTGAAAGTGCTCAGATCACCACAAACATGTCTTGTTCAGGGCAATCCATAACTTTCCTAACCCAGCTCATAATATCAGAGTCAAGATCTTTAAGGTTTTGAAGGGTAGCTTGTCGTTTCATTAATACTTCATATTCAGATTTGGTTTCAGGAGATGCTTCTGATGAAGAAGAGCCTATACAAATATCAAAATAATCTTTGATATTAGCCAAGTCTTCTTTTTGTATAATGGGTTTATTGGGGGAAAACATGTTGTCGCAGGGCATCTGGAACCTGTATATATTCTTCTCTTTGACAACGGTAAGGCCACTTGTCTAAAATAAATATGTTAGTAAGGTGAAACAATTACATATGCCAATATATATATACATACTCTTTCAAGTACGGGATTAAACAATTCGTCAATACAGTCCGGTGTACTTTCATTACCAGTATCCAATATAATAGTTGAAGATGAGGTTTCTGGGTTTGACGCGTTATCTTCATGCTCCTTTTGATATATTGTTAATTAGACCTGAAGAACAAAATAGGAAATGTTATTATGCTAATCCAGAGTACCAAAAGAGTCATTTGTATCAAAGAATTCATCCTGGCTAGACAGAACCGTAGAGGTGAAGTCCACTTGCGCCATTTGGTTACGTTGGTAATGACGAACAAAGGTCTCCGAAGAAGCCCAGTTTCCAAGAGCCACGATATTATCCCAGGAGATACCACTGTCTAAGGCACGAGAAGAAGCCAGAGAACGAACAGAAACATTTGATTCAGACGTGCAAAGTTGAATGAACTCTTTATGCAACCATGACGAGATGGTTGATGACGAGAGAGGTTGATTAATGAGAATGGACTTAACAAAGAGCTGTGGACCAGAAGGGCGAGAAGCCAAACCAGGGTGGTCTCGAAGAGCCTTGAAACATTGTACCGGACACAGTTCGATATCGGATGCATGAGAATGGACCGTAAAGGGCTTGATGATGCGTCGTTTACCTCTAGTTTCTTTGGGAGCCACCACCTCGAAGTAGAGACAGCCATTGTTGGTGATAGAGCACGAGCCAAAAGGAATACGAGCCAAATCTGATGGACGGAGAAAGGCTGCCATTGCCAAAAGGAAAGCCAACTTCTGTTGTAACCGTTTGATGGGAGTGGTTGTTCGAGAAGCGATGGATTGAGCAAAGGCCATTGCTGGAGAGATATCAATGGTGGGTCGATGAATGTTGACCGGAGGCGCCTGCTTCATTCTAGAATCTATGTAATCGTTAATAACCTCGCTTTCTCGAATACCTTTGGGATCATCATGTAGATGAACTACGGCCGCCCGCAAGGTTTTGAGTGTAGATGCCTGAAGACCATGACGACTAGACATATCAGCCAAGAAATTGACAAGTTCGACCGGTGCAAAGGAGGTAAAAGAGACGTTATTTTGAATAGCCCATTCCAAAAAACGAAGTTGATTCTTGCGATAGCCCAGATTGGTACCGGTGGGGGCCAGTTTTTGAGCCAACAAATCCTCAACCGCTTGTGCATTGAGTTCCTTCTTTAGAAGTTGAGTCCTGATAATCTCCACACGGAAAGCATCCAGTTCTGCGGTAGCAGAGGGTGAGGTGTCGACGGGGAGGTCGGCTGCACCACTTGTGGTGGCAGCATCCATGGGGGGGAGAGAGACATGCGTTGAACCAGAGGGAACCAGAGAGTACTGGGCCAGTAGAGTACCACCAAGGTCACGACGGGTAGACGTTCCTGCCTGATCTTGCTCAGAATACGAGAAATCAAATTCCATGGAGGGTTGGTATAAGGATTGGGAAACTGAGTCCATGGTATGGACAGCGCATCCGTATGCAATGCGTCCGGGTCCGGCATCCACGACACGTACTTTGGTAACAGTTTGGTCGTCCTGTCTGCAAATAGATCGATCGAGAACGGGCCCCATGCTTGATGTATTTGTTGAAATATGTGTGGTTGGATCATCCACTGATTCTTGAAAAATTGTCAGCGAGACTCGAAGTCCGCGATCTTGTTGTGTATGCCTTGTATGTGTTGTGCTTGGATCATAATCTTGCGCTTCAAACACCAGGTCTATACCTCCGTTGCTAATTCCAAGAGGGGAAGAGAGCGTGTACCGCCTTGCTTGTTGATGTAGGAAAGGCTGGTCGTGTTGTCCGTTCGGATCAAAACTGTAGAGTTCGGCGGCAGGTGGAAAGTCTTTAGAGCAAAGTGTGCAGCTTTCAATTCCCTCCAGTTGATGGACTGTGCCGCCTCCTCCGCTGTCCAATACCCGTGGGCACGATGATGATTCCATGAGCAGCCCCAACCCGTGTTGCTGGCGTTCACAAACATGGTTTGGTTCGTTGTCGATGGAAGTAGAGACCTGCCATTCCACTTGCGGATGTTGAGATACCACCATTGAAGTTCCTCTAAACTGGCCTGATCCAAGGGGCGAGGTTGATCCCAATCCGCTTCTGATTTCACCGTCTGATTCTTGTAGTATAAGAGGTGTCGGGTGTATAGACGAGCTGGAAAGATGGCAAAGGTCGCTGCCTGTATTCGCATTGTCAAGCTGTGGATGACCCTGGGAGACTGACGATGAGGTTTGTCTAAAACTTGTTTGATTGAACGACGTATATCCCTCATCTTGCTGGCTGGTAGAGTTGCTGTCATGTCCCGGGTATTCAATACAAAGCCGAGATGTTCCAGTTGTTGGGTGGGTTGTAGAACCGATTTCTTGTAGTTGATAAGCCATCCTAGTTCCTCGAGGAGAGATACCACCTGGCGAGCCTGGGTTTCTGCTTGATGCCTTGAGTTGGCGATAAGCAACCAGTCGTCCAAGTACGCGGAGATCCTGAAGCCTTAAGAGCGTAAGTGTTCTAAGATGGGCCTGCAGACTTTGGTGAAGATAAAGAGACTTGAAGACAAACCAAAAGCGGTCGTGCAGTACTGGTAGACCTGATCCCTCCATTTGAGCCGTAGGAATCGCCGTGAAGCTGGGTGAAGACCTATATGCAGAAATGCATCGGATAAATCGATGGAGACTAGGTAGTCGTTCGGTTTTATCATTAATGATACTTCCCGGATAGTTTCCATCTTGAAATGAGGAGCCTCTACGTACTGGTTGAGCCGTTTTAGGTTGAATACCGGGCGTACGCCACCATTTTTCTTGGGGATTACGAACATGGAGCTGTAAAAACCTGGAGTCTGTCGTACCTGATGAGGGGAGACCTTCTCGATTGCTGATTTGTGTAGTAGATCCTGAATTGCCTGGTCGATCAGGGTAGCTTGTTCTGTTGAAAAGGGAATGATGGATGTTGGTGTTGTAGTTGTTGGAGGTGTCGTATGAAAAGGGATGAAGTAACCGTGTTGAACAGTGTTGATAACGAAGGAATTGTTGGTGATATTTGTCCATTGTTGATAATACTTGCTGAGCCGACCTCCTATTGGGTTGGTTGTGGATGTTGTTGCTGTTGTTGCTGTTGTTGCTGTTGTTGCTGTTACTGACGAAAAGGGTTGGTGTTCTTCTTGTTGTTGCTGTTGTAGTTGCTGTAGTTTTTGGGGCGAAAATTGTTGTTGTTGTTGAAGTTGTTGCTGTTGTTGTTGATGAAAAAACCACCCTGCTCCGAGGGTGGACCTGATCGAAAAAACGACGAGTCTGATCCACCTGCAGCAGAGCTAGAGTTGGAAGAATTACGGTTGAAACGACGTTGTCTACGAGGGGTAGTAGCCTCACGGATAGCCTTTTTAGCCGCATGTTGTTGAGTGAGAGTTTGCTGATACCCGTCCAAAGGAAGAGTATAATTGACTTCAGAAGCATCGTTAAGACGATACGAGGGATCGTGAGCACGCAGAGCAATATTATTACGTTGTTGTGTCATCATGGAACAAACATGAAGGAGGAGACGACGGACATCACGCAACATGATGCTATAACGTTCCAAGTTGGGATTACCTTGCTCAGCCGTGAACATTTCTTTAGTGAGGATGTCGAGAGGACGGAAGACGACCGACAAGAGGTACTGGAGTTGCTTGAGGGCATTGTCCTCGTACTTTTGTCCACGATTCATCAAGCGTTCCGCAGAGGGAATGGTAGCGGGAGCACGATAATCGAGATGAGCCATGGGAGGGTAGAATTCAATGATAGTCTTGCGTTCAGAGTCGGGCATCGGCTTGGCAGTATGAATAGGGGTGTCTAATTCCATGAGATCCATCAAAGCATCGGAGGGAGACCAATCATAGTGAGGGCGAGTCTCAACTGAGTGAACTGTGGGGATAGCAGCGTTTCCACCTGGCTGCATAGGAGTAGGCATAGCAGTGTCATCCGCTGACTGCATGGGAGTAGGAGCCGTTTGAGGTTGAGCTTGAAGAGAGGCAAATTGCTGTTGTAAGGCCAAAAATTGTTCTTCGAGAGTAGACATTGGTAAGAATATGGAGATGATAAGTAAGCTGGTAATGACCGAGCGAAAAAGAAGATTGATAGTATAGTTAAAACTTTGCTTTCTTTATATATCTTTGAAAATTCGCTCAAAATAAAAGTTCAAGATTCTAGCATAATAACATTTCCTATTTTGTTCTGACGGTCTCAAGAAATTCTTGCGAGAAATTTCTTGAGACCTAGAATATATATATGCTTGTGAGAAATATGCGTTGAATTGAAAACTTTAAGTTATATAAATACCTGGTTAAGCCTTTGTTTTTTCTGTACTTGTTCATTGTCGTCATCGCTGTCTTCTTCACCAATCTCTCGTATTCTTCTTGTTATGACAACATTGCTTGTAATTCTTGTTTCAGCATTCAAAGATTCCTTGCTTTTCTCTTCTCTCCAAATCTGTTCTTTTGATTGATAATAAGCTAGGAATGTACGTTTCACCATTTTGTTCTTCAGATAAGTTTCCAAGCGTTGACAGTAGCTACTAATTGTTTTTCCTAATAGATCTCCCTTGTACATGGTTTCTAGATAATTCAATATTGATATATATAACTTTTCGCCTTCTTTTAAAACAACTGGTGCTGTATTGAAATACGGATCGAACAAATCAGGCATTTTAGCCCAATCTTTCATTCCTTCAGTAAATAGATAACATGGCAATTCTAAAGCTTTTCTTAAGCTGGGAGATAGCTTATATTCTTTATAAGCGCCATACGGTTTAGGTAAATTGGGAGGGTGTTTTATGAGATGTCTTGGACATTTTTTTCTTGACAATATTTTTGTGAAAATGCCAATTTCCATAGGTTTGACTGTAGCTGAATATTCGATATCCGTTGCGGTCTTTCAACTCGCCAGAAGATGACGTTTCAAGCTGTCTTGATGAAATCATTGTTAAATTGAGAAACCTCGCAGAGAGATCAATTGCTATTGTTGATAGCTTATTTTTAAATTGGTATTGCTGCCGTGCTTCCCAAAGGACAGCGCAGATTGTAATATAGAAAAGAAACCTTTGACTTCTTTGTAGGCCACCTTGTCTTTCTCTATCTTACATCGCTTTGAATGCGCCAACTTACCAGAACAATAAATACTGGTTTGAAAGGTCTTGTTCTTATTCGTAATACAAACAGAAGTGTACTTGGCATATATATCTTAAAGGGCCTTTAATTCTAGAGCCCACACCAAAACCAAACGCTTCAGCTTGACTGATTTTTGCTTCTTTTGTTAACTTTGAATTCATGTTACACCTTTCTCTCGAGCACAAACAATTCTTGGTTCTGTTTGTCAAATGCTCTTGCTTCATGATCCATCTAGACACATTGGGAGAGCTGTAGGAGTTTCGGATGGTCTGACTATTACCTTGAAGGCATCTGTAAGCAACTTGAATCTCCTCAAAATTACCCGTTTTAAGCAGGATATCACGCCATCCAAGTTTACAAGCTCAAAGGCTCAACCGCTATACTAAATTGTCAAATTAATGGTGAACTATTTGCCAATTGCTTCTTGAAACTGAAACTGTGGATCTTCCTGACAGGACTTTCTCAAGCGAAGAAAAAGATACCTCTGGTATGACTTCCTTCTTTGGCTGATACCCTCGTTTTATCCAGTGCAGGTACACAACTAATTCTCTCCTTCGTCCTGTGGTGTTTTATTTCTATTATGCATCTCTTTTATTTTGTTTTCTTTACTGTATACGATGGTTAGATGTCCTAGAATAAATTCTTTTGTAAAGATATAAATAAAACTAGACAATATTTTTTTATGCAAGTTGTTTATTGAATTTGTCACAAAGGATATGTTTGAATTCGCTGAATGGATAACTCAACTAAGTGGCTGGAGTGAATGATGAGAAGGTTTATATAAGAATAATCTATTGTACACATGCTGGTTGAAAGAAATATACAGAAAATAATGCTACACAGATGGAGAGGCTTGCTGTATATCTAATTTTTCCATCCATTCTTCTGGGATGATGGGTATGTTTTCTTCATGAGAAGTATTGTTCATATGTGCAGTAGTAGGAACAGAGAACGGCAACATAAGCTTGGAGTCCTTTGTTTCCTTTGTGTCCGTGTCTTCATCATCATTCACTATCAATACCATACTCTGTCGTTTTAAAGAGATAGACTGCCTTGACTTTTGTTGATACCGAGCAATATCTTCAGCGCATTGCATAGCATATTTCTCAATTTCTTCAGGAATATGATCTTCATTGACTTCATAGCGGTAAGACAAAACACAGCGTTTGATTTGAGATGCATTTAATGTATCAAATGCCTTAGTTGTGTTGATAAAATCCATGAGGTCCTTAAGATGAGTAATACACTGTAACAATTGAAGTAGTTGAACAATAGGCTTCAGATAGGCCAATAAACGAGTAGGCAGGTGATTCTTTGCCATCCAATCTTCCAAGTGAGAGAAATTCATTCGGATTTGCATGGCTTTAGAACGACACAGTAGCTTCTTATTAGTCAAGATACAATTGAATATTTCGCAAGACATGAAATGCAAGCATTGAGCCAACACTTGAACCACAATGATCGGATGAACATGGTACGAATCAAACACGAACAAAATGGAAGACAGCAAACTGGTAATCGAGTGAGGCGATATGGCCGTATTACCTTCAATCACCATGGACCTTCGAAAGAAACGATGCCAATCATCAGCAAAATTCACTTGATTCATACCAGAAATGGCTTCATAATACAGCATGGCAGGCAATAATTGAGTCAGTCGTTTTTCTGTATCTTGAATGATCATGGTGTATGTTTCTGAAATCAGTTCTGAAATGGCTAATTGTTGCATGGCTGTGGCTACAATTAAGCCAGTGTCCTTTTTTAAATAAAACAAAAGTTGGGTTAAATTTGTCATCCAGAAAGCTAGTAAGTGAATGTTGTGTGTGTTTGTCTAACCCAGTTGATTAATGTCATACAAGCAAGTATGTGTGTATTACCTTCACTGCTTTGTTCATGCGGCTCAATGCACTGTCCAACACTTGTTCTAATAATTCAGGACTTGAGAAATAATGAGCAAATCTGGCGGTTAAAAATATGACATTGGCAGGAACATGAATATCTTGTTGGTTTGTCAATGGTAGCTGAATATGAGTAATGACTGTATCCAGAATATGGTCTAAATCGTCTGAACGAAACACAAACATCTGATCAGGCGAACATTTGTCCCAGTGAAATACAGTGTAGGGTTCATTGTCATCGATAGTCTCTAAGGTAAGTGCCATTGTAGATTCAAACAATTTTTTCTTTAGTTCTGGTTCTTCAGACATGAATGGATCATAATAAAAGTCATTATCGCCTGTGCTTGATCCACTCGAGACACTGCTGTTTGTCCTGTAGAGCAAACTAGAGGTAGACGAAACACTGTCCCGAGGATTTGTGGCCAAAATATCAATTATTTTCTGGTTGTCTGTATTGACAAAATCAAACACAGTTCTGCCTTTAGCTGATCTTGTTTGTGAGGAAGCGCCTTGTTCTAATAAAATCTTGACTAAGGCTTCATGGTTATTGTTGGTAGCCCACATCAATGCTGTCCAGCCAACTAGGATCATAAATTAGAAAAAAAAAATATTTTGTGTGACCCAAATACGTTACAACTATCTTGAGCATTTATCTGTGCACCTGCTCCAATTAAGATTTTGGCAATCTCAGTCTTTCCAAAGCATGCAGCATAAATCAAAGGCGGTGTTCCGTCTTGGTCGAGTGCATTGACATCAATTAAAGGTCGAATGGATGCATCAGCCAACATGGACTTGACTTTTTCAACGTCACCGTTCGATGCTGATCGTGCAAATAATGCTGTATATTTCTTTTCTGGGTCTTCTTCTTGTTGTTGTTGTGAACAAATGGATGTAGTAGAAGTAGTTGCACTGAACATTTCTAATATTTGTTTATTGCTTTCTGCTAAGTGTCTTGACATTTCATCAAAGGACATGCTTTCGTATTTTTTCTGAAGTATACTGACATCTTCTACATCATTTTGTTGTGTCAACATAGTGTGTCAAAGGAATGTCTATAATAAAAATAAAAATAAAAACAAAAATAGGAGAAAAAAGAGAAATATCCATAAATTACAGTGCCAATCAAGTATTAAATAGCGTATTTAGCATATCCAATGAACATTCGACTTAAAGTTTTCAACGCAACCCTAAAAGCGTAATAGAAATTTCTTTAATTGAAACGTGTCTTTTTAGTCTATGTGACTGTACTTGAGAATGCCGAGCATAACGATAGGCTTTAAAGAAAAAAAAAGGTAAAGAAATGGTTATTGTTAAAAACAGAGTTTAAAAGAATGAGACATTGTTTAAGCTGAACGGCTTGTAATCACATGAAACTGTACACTTTATTATATTGTTACTTGCGTTAAATTATAAGAAAGAGCAGAGAATAGAAGGGAGATGAATTAGTAACAGATATGCACCAGTCCATGTAGAATATTAACACGGATACAAGGAGGCAGTTAAATACTTCCCCCTTAGAGCCATGCATCTCAGTAGACTAGGAAACATTGATGTGTCTGTATCAATAGGCTTAATGCTATTAGTATGGTTGTCTAAAGCCATTCATTAAAGCCCAAGTTTAACTAACTCTTTTTTGAGAAATAACAAAGAGTAGCTTTTTTTTTTTTGTTTGTGTTATACTATCTTCCCATTATATCCATACTAATACACACTATGACCAACCAATACCAAGCTGTGATTGATGTCAAAGGCTGTACTACCAAGTACTAAACTACATTATCTTGAGATGAACATCTCAACAAAGAACCAAGTGCGTTTAAGTATCATCTTGGGATATTAAAGGGCTCTTGGATCATGATACCTGAGTTCGAATAACAGAAACTTGGGCTAATTCTTATTTCTGGTCAGTGTATAACAAAGGCGTAGGTGTCAATAAACATTTTGCATGATAGTCCGGTAAACGCCCCCATTCCTTTTTATTCGCGGGCCGACTGTTATCACGCGAGTTGTATGAAGCTATTTTACCCCTTTATTTTTTTTTTTTTCTTCTTTATACTATGCTCGAATTTTGTACACCTCCTATACCTGGCCAACCTCATAAATACTATGGCAATACCCATAATAACTTTATTAAATTACCTATTGCTATTCCTCATACCACTATACAAAAGACAGTATCTACCAATAACTCACTTCACTCGATTGCAACGTCTGGCAATTTGAACTTGCTCAAGAATATCTTGCCCTTTTTACCAACCCCACAAAAGGCTGTAAACGAACCTCACCCGACAACAGGTCTTACACCTTTACACTTTGCTGCTTCTCGGGGACATTTTAATATTGTCAAATATTTAGTGGATGATTATTCTGCTGTTGTAGACGCCAAAGATAGGGAAGGCGAAGTAAATATATATATATATACATACATGTATGTATTACTTACTAAAACTATATGATGTAGACAGCTTTATTAAAAGCAGCTTATAATGGTCATTTCCATATTGTTAAATACCTTGTATCAAAGAATGCCAATATTCATCTCAAAGATAAGGACGGATGGACTGCACTTCATAATGCTTGTGCTCGAGGCTACTTACCCATTGCACGCTTATTGATTGAAAATGGAGCCCGTGTGGATGTGAAGAGTAAAATGGGCCATACACCTCTCAGTAAGTTGAGATACACACACACATATATATATAATGAGCCTAATGATTATGATTAGTCAATGCTGCCTCTAAGGGTTATAGTTCCATTGTTGAATATCTATTAGTAGATTCGCATGCAAACCCATTGATCAAGAACAATTTTGGTGAAGCAGCCTACGATGTCAGTGCGGCTGCTGGCGAATCCTATATCTGTGAACTACTCTATAAAGCAGGACAATCATGGTGGCAGATGCAACATGCTGTTGAATCCATGTCTCAATACAATCTGTTGGATTTTCATGTGACTGTGATGATGGTAATTCACGAAAACGAACGCTCTTATTCCCTCTTGGGTCTATCCAAACCTCAATTCAGTGCTGCCTCATTAACTAAGCATGATACCCGCGGTCCTTGGTCACTTGCAGGCAAACCCTGTACGAAAGACCAAATCCAATTACCATCCAACAACACACCCAATGGCAGTGACTGGTTCTGGTTAACCGATTGGCAAATTGACTATAGTGATCCACGTATTGACCCTACCTCTGGATGGCAATATGCTCGGTCGTTTGATGATCCTGATGATATGTGGACACCAGTGGCTCCTACCAGTGGCTATGGGTGGGTAAGAAGACGTATGTGGGTCCGTGTCATGAAGCGTAGAATGGACTTGGTGAAAGGAAATCATATGGGCACACAAGTCATGAATCATGAGCAAGAAGACTATCTGTGTCAAGCAGAAGATATAGTACAAAACTCCAAATTGGATCCCTCCCTAAGTGCAGATCAGGAGCCTTCTTCTATTCAACAATTGACGCTTGAATTGCGTGCATTAGAAGAAGCAGTACAATTACTTCGTGCAGGCATTAAGAGTAAGCTCTAAATCATTATGTATCTCTATGACTCAATAGACAGTATAGATGATGGTAATCAATACAGAATTCATCAGGCAAATACATGGATTACTTCTTATACCTCTCAAATTGATGCACTCAATGCACAAATCACACAATTAGCACATACATTATCGACGCCTATCACACCTTTACCTGTTCAACATAATGCAGAACTTGCGCGTGAATTAGGCTTTATTGATGAACAGCAAGAGCAACCCAAGCCAAAGCCTCAACAAGACTTGGACACCAATCCTTGGTCTCGAGACACGACTGAATGGCAAACAGCGAATCTGCTTGAAAGCAGCAGTTTCAATAATGTGGATTTGATTGGCCATGGTATGGAAGAACAGAGTCCACCAGAAGAGGAAGTGGTCCAGACGCCTAAGAAATACGTATGGGAGTCTGATGTCGATGTCAAAGAATGCAGAGGGTGTCGAAGACGATTTGGGTTCTTGGTTAGACGCCATCATTGTCGTTGTTGTGGTCTGATTCATTGTGACCGTTGCTCTACTTCCCGCGCTTATTTAGGTCCTACACAAATTCTACAGGATCCAAGCGGACCTTTAGAATCAGTTGATATCTTGTCTTCTCAGCATCAACGTGTATGTGATACCTGTTATGCAAAATTAGGTGGTATTCCTCCTTAAGGTGATGATTGTGACTTGCATAAAACCATTTTTATAATTTCGTGTCTTTTTCTTTTGTCCCCTTTTTTTTCTGTATCAAAGATGGATGTCTATAGTTTATTTGTAGATGAAGAGACAGGGGACTTAAAACCAAAAGTTGACAAGGTTTGTCTTCTTGTCAAGTAAAGGAGTATATTGATGCAATGTTAGATCCTAAAAGACATTTTTGAAAACTTTGATAAAGTAAAGTAAAGAATGAGAATAGAATAACTCATCATCATATGCTTAGGATAAAGATGGTAAATGGAATCGAAAAGAAATTCAAGATTTTGCCACTGCTACCAATGGTCGACCTGTAATGTATTATGAATTCAGCTCGAACATTAAACTCATGACCTAATTCACAGTTTGAGGATTCAGTGATAGAGGAAATCATCGATTCATTTGAAGTTGATGAACAAAATAACTTGTTGTTTACTGGATTCTATCAAATGTACTATATGCAAACTGTGAGTGAACCTGAAGAGACGTTAAAGGATTTTAAGAAGCGTAAGTGTTGACTTGAATGTTCACTTGCTGATGTCCGTTTAGATGGCTATGATGACAATCTAGACTTGGTTTCTTCTCGTACAGAAGAAAAGTAATCGGTTGCACCATGACAAATAAATAAATACGCCATTTTTAAATCTATTTTCTTTTCTTGTTATTTTTATTCTTATGGATTCACTTTCTACAAAGAGACAAGAACAAGCCATGACAATACCTGACTCCAAAAGACAGCGCACCTCTTCAAACACAAGTGATGAAGGTAGTAATGTTAGATAGAAGCATATTAAACAAAAGACGCGTCATATAGAAATGACAACGCCTATTTCTCAAGTAGATAAGTCGGATGTAGACATGACTGAATTAGAAGATGCTCACCTTGAAAAAGGCATTATTGGTCCACTTGATTCACCCAAAGTAAATAGATACTTGTCTGTAATGAAAAGAAGAAGAAGAAACTAATAGGACTAGATTGCTGAAGCATTAGGAAAGTGCAAGATCCTTGTGATTGGTGCTGGTGGTCTTGGCTGCGAAATCCTTAAGAATCTTGCCTTGACTGGTTTTAAGCAGCTCCATGTGATTGATATGGATACCATTGATCTCAGTAATCTCAATCGACAATTCTTATTTAGGTAAATACAACTGCATCATGTCTTTATATATTCATTGTATATACAGAAAGAAAGACATTGGCAAATCAAAAGCCATAGTTGCTGCTGAATTTGTCATGAGCAGAGTACCTGGTGTACAAGTCGTTCCGTAAGTCATCATGAACGTTGTTTTTCCTCACTAACATACTGATAGCTATTTTGGCAAGATTCAAGACAAGGATGAAGATTACTATCGACAATTCCAACTTGTGATTTGTGGATTAGATTCAGTAGAAGCAAGAAGATGGATCAATGCCAAATTAGTAGACATGGTCGATGAAGAGGATATGGAAAGCTGGAAGCCTTTGATTGATGGTGGTACTGAGGGCTTTAAGGGTCAAGCGCGTGTCATATTGCCTACTATGAGCTCATGTTATGAGTGTTCACTTGACATGTTTAATAAGCCAACTACATTCCCTATCTGCACTATTGCCAACACACCTCGCTTACCAGAGCATTGTATTGAATGGGCCTCTGTCTTGGAATGGCCCCGTGTCTGGGGTGATAAGAAATACGACACAGATAATCCAGAGCATATCACTTGGCTGTATGAACAAGCAGATGCGCGTGCTAAAAAGTTCCATATTACAGGTGTTACTTATTCCTTAACGCAGGGGGTTGTCAAGAACATTATTCCAGCCATTGCTTCTACCAATGCAGTGATAGCAGGTAACAATGAATACAGCAACTTGATTGACTTATGGTTTTAGCATCTTGTTGCAATGAGGCATTCAAGTTAGCAACAGGAGCAGCACCTCCCTTAAATAACTATATGATGTATACCGGTAATGATGGTATTTACACATACACATTTGAACATCAAAAGAAGCCAGAATGTCCTGTCTGTGGTTCAGAATCAACGACAGCTGAATTGAAGCCTAGTATGACCGTAGAGGAATTGATTGAATGGCTTGGAGAAAAGCCAGATGCGTAAGTAGATAGAGAATGACATATGTATTCAATTCTTAACCTTGCTTTTTGCTTAGTCAATTAAAGAAGCCTAGTTTACGTACAGCCAATACATCATTATATATGCAGGCACCAAAAGCCTTGGAACAGGCTACTCGTCCTAATTTGAGTAGGCCTCTCAGTGAGCTTGTCGAAGAGGGTGAATACATTACTGTGACAGATGCTTCTCTACCTGTCAGTCTTCAACTAAGAGTCAAATGGGTATATTAAACACCCACTGTATAGTTCGTACGTAATAAACTTGTTGAAATTCATGCATGTCTCTCTTTTCTCTCTTGAAGTAAAAAAAGTCACTTTAAGCCACATTCGTATATTTTCGATAGGATCGTTTGTCTCTTTCTTGCTTCCTTTGTACTGATCTCTAATTATGCCCGGGTTTGTCTTGGAAGAACCATTCCCTTTGGCTCGCTTTCATAATACTGTAGGCGAGCACGACAGCAAACATTTTGTTGTTGGTCTAAATGCACTAGATAATGAAGCTTCTGAAGATGCTGATTTTGTCGCCATTACTGTCCAAGGTGAAGGCTTCAAGATCTACAACGTAAGCTAGATCGAGTGGAAAACATCAAAACTTACTTTATCTCTATAGACATCAGATCAAAAATGTACGAAATCATGGACAACACCACCTGGTATTGCTTTTGTGGGTCCTGCTACCCATATCGATGGTGGTAGAGATACAGATGCTGTGGATTATACGTATGCCATTGTTGCCTCTGGTCCTGATGTACCCAAGACAGAAGAACGCAAAACTGTCTTGTTATGGAAAAACACCAAAAATGGAGACAATGAAGAATTAGATAAGACAACCAAGACTGTAACTATTTTAGCCATGATGTGCATCTAATCATTTTCTTTTCTTTTTTTTTTTTAGTTTGATGAACATATTTATGCTATTCATGCTTCACCTGCTCTTTCTTCGCATGTCATTGTGATTAGTGAACATGGATCGATTGAATTAACTACTAAAGACTTGGATCGATCCATTGCTAAACAAAAAGCTGCTGCTAAAAGTGGTTCTGTCTTTTGGTCTACTGTGTTTGTCACATCCAATGCTCATTGTTGCATTCCTTCTTCTATGGTGCCTGCTATGTCTACCATGGTTGTTACTGTCAACAGTGTACCTGGGTCTGATACATTTGTGTTGAAACTAAACTATGTCAATATTGAGCGTAGAAGCATTGATGTTTTGTCCAGTATGGAGATCAAATTGGCTGAAAAACCTGCTTGCTTTACTTTGGATCCCTCAGATGGTCGCTTGACTATCTTGAGTGTGGCTGGTACTTGGGCTGTCTATCGTATGCAACTTCGACACAGTTCTTCTAAAAAGATCTCGGGTGTCTTGACTGAACACGTCTCTATTCAATTACATGGTTATCGTTTCCAAGATGAAGCATTGGGTACTATTGCTTCAGTCACACCTTTATCCGATAGCTATGTAGCTATGATTGCCCCTCGAACCAAAAAGAATGAAGTAGAGCATGTTGTCAGTGTATGGGATGTCAAGTACGGTACTTTACAAGCCGAGCAATTGATCAAGATGTCAGAAAAGAACACTTTCAAGGACACTTGTAGTTACAGTATTGCTGTCTTGCCTAATTCTCATCTTGCTGTCACCGTCTCTTCTGTGGCTACCAAGGCATCTTCCAAGACAGCCAAATCCGCCAAGAAGATGGTCGATGCTAACTCGGTTGTTATGCTGTGTCCTTATTACAGTGAACCTGTCTCTTTGATGGCTGCTATGGGTAAAATGAAAGACACAGTTGAAGCCATGGGTATCAACACAAGCCTTGATTCAGATGAAAATATTGGGTATGCACGCAGTGGTAAAGAAACCGTAGGCCGTGATTTTGGATTCAATGCAGATGAAACAGCCGAGGTTGCTTATGACCGATGGGTATCTCGCTTGGAAAAACATCAAAAGAATGAATCCGTTGCCTTGGCCAAATTGGTGGCTCAACAAGACATCACGGCTGATACATTCACCACTGTCTTTTTTGACTATGCACGAGTGACTTTGAATACAGAATCCAGCATGCCAGAAGCCAATCTTGATCCATTGGCTGCTCAAACCGAACATTACCGTCATGCTATGGCTCATAAATATGTATCTAACAAGAAACAAGTTGAATTGTCACAATTCTTTATTTCTCATGTGATTGGCAAGTGCTTTTCTAGTCAAGACTTTTGGCCAGTGGATGTTGTGTTGTATCTGATGTCTAAGTCATTAGTTCGCAGTAACTACACAGATAAGGGCATTGTTCGTTCTTTATTAGAAAGAAAAGAATGGGCTTTAGTGCCTCTTGTGTTGGAAAAAGTACAGGATATACCTGAAAAGGATTTGGTGACATTGATCAAGGCACTTGTCGAACTCTATAACACACAGCAAGAAGAATGGAAAGAGCGATTCAGTCCTTACTTGAAGATGGTCATCACTGCTCCTCGGAATGATATCTTTTTACAACAATCTCTTGGTCGCATTACTGCTTCTGAATTAGCTATTATTTTATCCACTGTTCTGGACTGGTTGAAGGACACATCCTCTGCATTAAGCAATCGTAGTAGTGTAAGTCAAGAAATGAATCATGATATGTATTCACCATTCATGTAGATTGTTGATTTCGTGAATAGTATATTGGATGTACATTTCCCTACGATTATTTTGGAACCTACCCTTCAACAAATGGCTCATTCATTACGTGAACTTGTAAAGAACGAAATTCAAGTGATTGACGATCTCGAACAATTAAGAAACATTTTGGGTGCCTATGACCGCAAGAACAAACACACAAATGCTAAGCGTATTGAAAGACAAACAAAGGACAATGCAGATGCACCTGTGGACGAATTAACCAAATTCCGTAAGAAAAATAAGGGCAAGTTTGGTGGTGAGCAAGGTATACCAGTCTATAGAGTGGAAGTGTTTCGATTTTGATTAGAATGACAATAAAGAACAGTTTATAGAATCGCACTTGGACATGTTTGGTTAAGTTTGTAAAGAACAAGATGTGTTGTTCGTTTTGAATGCAACTGTCTATATTATTGTTTTCAGACATAATGTTTCTTGTGTATAGCTTACTTTTAGTTGTTGTAATGTTAGAGACAAATACAATTGGCAGCATGATACGTCTGCCAAGATTTGTTTTTATCAATTGACCTGATGGTTGTAGAAAAGAATAGCAAATAAAATGAGAGGTTTATTATTGTTACACCTTATTTCTTCATCAGGTATTAATATTAGGTCGATGATCGTTCGATTTGTCAGTCAAAATCTATATACAAATTGGTAAAATGCTTACGAATCTATGTTTACTTTTTTAGCAAGACATTTTTTTCTTTTAGAAGAAAGTTTGCCATTGCACCATCCCTTATTTCTTTAAAGAAATAAGTGAAAAGAAAAATGCAAAGTAGTTTTAAAGAGCTTAGAAAAGGATTGTGACATCATGCAACACATAATGTCCATCTATCTAAAGACAATAGATAAAATAGTTTTTTAACAAAAAGATATAGAATGAACTAGAAGAAGAAAAAAGAAATCGTGTAAATCAAGATCTGTTTATATTAAGCTTGTTACATAAACAATGGAAACAAAGGATGGTGTCACCTTCTGCTTTAAGTTTTAAATCGCTCAAATGAAGCGTTCTTGAGCGCTCTGTGTCACGTGACTCTAAGGATTTGATATAGGAACATAAAGCACATTTAAAATTTGGATCTCAGACGAAAGGGCAGACTCTAAAAAATCTCGCAGCGGACGCTGTGGATGAGAGATTTGTGCTTTCGAACCGGCTATTTCTACGCCGAGATCGGGTGAAACGATTTATACGCAATTCACCTACTCATATGATGATTAATATAGTTATCCCTGGCTGAATGGGGTGGCCTCTTCGGACGCTTATCACCGTTGTTGTCAAAGTATCATTATATATCTGAACTTTTTTTTTTTTTGAAAAAAGGTATGACCATTGTACAACAAACAAAAAAACAGATATCGTCATTGACAATCACAGAGTTTGACAAGCTTTTCTGATCGAGAAAAAATAGAAACATGATGACTGAGAATACAAATCCTTGCATGAGCGAATCCGAAAGTTCTATTAACTGAAACTCTTTTTTCTTTTTGGTTACTAAACTTAAATATAAAAAGGGCTCAACTTTTCAACTTTATTTTCTTTGATAATCATACAATTACAATGCAATTGCTTAAAGTTATTTCCCTTACTCTTCTCGGTGTATCCTTTGCTTCTGCTCAAAATAGCAGTGCTCCTTTGGGTGATAATTCCAAGACTCTTACTCAACTCTTGACTACTCCCAACAATAATTTTGGTGTCGACAAGTTTGTTGCTCTTCTTACTTCTGATCCTGGCTATGCTCCCATTATCCAATTATTGAACTCTACTGACAACAACTTCACGGCCTTTATCCCTAATGATAGAGCCATTACTCGCTTGAGTTCCATGTACAAGTCTTATGCCAGAAAGCAAAATATGACTGTTCATGGTGATTACCCTCCTGCCAATTTCTCCATCAGCAACATCACTGCTGCTGATATTGTCACTTATCACGTTGCCAATGGTTCTTATCAACTCTCCAACTTTACTTGGAATGCCAATGCTATCCCTTCCTTATTGAATAACTCTGAACTTGATCCTCTTGGTAATGGTCTTCCTCTTTTGGTTACTAGCAATGTCACTGCTGAAAGAATTGCCAACAGTTCCTGGTTTAACTACAACCGTCAATATCTCAAGTATCAAGTCGGTAATGGTTTGAAAGGTGCCAATGTCAGAGTCAAGGATGTTGGCGCCTCTAATGGTTGGGCCAATGTGATTGACTCAGGTAAAAAATGAAAAAGTGTATTGTATGCGATGCTAAAAAAAAACAAACTAGTTTTGATGCCACCTGGTAAACCATCTACTGTCTTGTCCAATGACAGTGACACCAAAATTCTTTTCAACCTTGTCAAGCAACATCCTGATCTTGTCAACACTTTAAACAATGGAAGTAACGTAAGTTAAATTTCAACATTGATGAATCCATGCTAACAGATTCTCATAGTTTACTTTGCTTGCTCCAAACAATAATGCTTTAAGAGGTGTTGATTTCAAATCTCTTAGCAATGACACTATCAAGAGCATTATTCTCACTCATGTCATCCCTGGTATCTATTATTCTTCCAACATCAGTTTAGCTGCCGCTCAAAACAATGGTAATATCTCTGTGTCTACTTTGAACAACTACACTTTGCCTATCTCTGTCAACGGATCAAGAATCCTTATTAATGACACTGCTCGCGTTGTTGACCCCAATGTCCTCTTTAACAATGGTGTCATGCATGTTATTAACAAGCTTCTTATGCCACCTTCTGCTTAAAATTTGGATACAATACAACTTTTTTTCTTTCTACTCTTACTTAATAAAAACCAATAATGTCCATGATATAAAAATATTTGCTATTGACACTTAAATGTGAGAGATTCATGCGGAAAACTCCTCTTTTTTTTTCCGTAAAGTTCAAACAAATATGCCAAGAGAAGATTAAAAAAGGATAAAGCCGTTGCCTTTGCATGTTTCATACAGCCCTTTTCGTAGTTACCATTAAATCATAGTAACATAGTTTTTTTCTTCTTCTTAAATCTTCATCGTTGTACCTACTATCCATTATTGTAAAAAATCTATTCTCTTGTTCATCATTCATCACAGATAAAATGCATTTATTTGATATGGTGTGTCCTAAGACACTATGAATTCTGTTTAAAATAGTATCTAGAGATTCAATCATGCATCATTACATAAAGTAACTAAAAATAAATATCATTTGCGTAAAAAGACAAAAGATTGGTGCTGTTTCTTTCTATTCCAAAACCCTTGTTCATAAAAATAGAAAGGCCCTTAAATCTTCAATCCTGATGTGATTACATTTCCCCAAAAAAAAAAAATCATAATGATTTTCTGACCTGAGAAAGAAGCATTTACATTATGTTTGAGACAACATAAGTCAATATATTCATTTTTTCATGTATTGGTTCGTAGGATTGAAATTTGTCTAAAATTGAATTGAATAAAGAAGTATTTTATTCTTCTCAAATGTTACATGCATTACTATATTCTTTGCAAAAAAAATCTTTTTTTTTTTTTTTGTATATGTCAATGTAATTAAATGTAAGGAAATATGGCAGTAAGGGAAATGATAGATCAACAAGGAGCTGATCATTGCACCAGCCAGTTAGCTCTAGATATTTCGTTGTGAAAGCGTATTTAAGACGAAAGGTATACTACTTTGGTATTGGTTATTCAAAGAGGCACAAATTTCTAGTGTGACATATCGCCTTCGAGAGGAAAAAGAGTGTCCGAATATCAAGTCAATGAAACTTTTTTCGCTTCTTTCACAGATCTACGACTTGTCATGTCTTCCAAGCCCTTAGATAAGCAAGCCTCTAAAACACGAGGATCAGCTGAAGACGATGGATCTTTGTCAGGGAAACAGAAAAGAAGAGGTAGGATCGCGATTGACATTGACAGATCTTGACATTTCAACCTAGAAAGAAACAAATCCATGCGACAGATTGGCACACACAACAAGACAGACAATAGTCTTGGTAAATCTATAAATCATAGACATCCTGAAGACTAATCTATGCTTCCTTTAGCTCAGGACATACCAAAAGTGACGGGCCCTATTGATGCTGATCGTTTTGCACTTGCTCGTATTATGGAAATCAATGACATGCAGTCTGCTATTAAGAAAGCAAGGTAGATCAAAAGCGATCAATAGAATAGATGTAGCTTACATGTTATTTAGTTTTGCATTGACTGAACTTGCTTTTCAATCACTTCCTCGTGGTCTTCGTCGACGTGCAGCAAGTCATAACATCAACCGACTCCCTGCTCGATTAAGAGCTAAAGCAGCCAGAGAGGTAAATCATTGATAACCCTTGTCATCTATCTTATACATTATTTAGGCTTTTAAGTCTGCACCTGGCAGTAAACTTGTTCGTAAAAAAATCAAGAAGATTAAGACACCCAAAAATACAGTCCAAGAGTTCTTGAGAAGACAAAGTAAAACGACACAGACATGAAAACAGTATCTCATATCTTTATTTAGAATCTAAGAAATGGTTAGAGACACACATGTGGCATACAAAGAGAATGAAAATGAATGACATCTGGGGGTATCGCATTGCTTCTCGTCCAAACACAAAGTCTGTCCGTATCACCTATCGTTCGTTTACTCGACTGTCTATTGTGCACGATGCCTCTTATATGGGATGCATTGAATTAAAAGGCAATACAGAGGAAATCATTCGAGCACTTGATACAGTGACAGATGCTGGATCACCTTCTGTTGGCAGTGAAAGATACATTAAAGGCAATCGTTTAGGATCAACGCACTTGTATGAATATCTAGGATATCCAACAAAACTTATTTGCCCTATTACATTCTTGTGGAAACCATCCAAAGACGCTCTCTGGCTATGGGCTCATCCTTCCGCTTTTAATGAGGCCATGATATTTATAAAAAAGGCTTTGCAAGAGACAAAATCTAACAATGTACACATATCCGATTTAAGAGATGACATTTTGCGGTTTGACTTGACAGGTCCACGCTCGACTGCACTTTTGCAGGCTATTCTTGATCCTGTGGCGGATCAAGACATCAAAGGAAATCAAGTCTGGCAAGACCTGAGTCAGCTTCGCTCCTCTTCTTCTTTGTCTCCTGGTTCTGTTATTGGTCTGGTTGTGAATGATCCACGATTAAGGTAGTATGTTAAAGTAGACAATTGAACTAACACATCTATAGATTCCCTCAAAAAGTGCCCCTAGAACAAATGAAATTTCAGCTAAAGAACAACAAAATATAATGCACATCTTGGAAAACTGGCCAAAAGACATTGCAGATACATCTATTTGGGATAAACAAACCAGAGAAATGCTTTTCAATACCAGAATTCCAGAATATGCCCTTAACTTACGCCGTGAGAACAACATGATTCCAGGCACTAAACTTGAGCCTACAGCCAAAGATAGTAAGATACCTATACTATTAATCCAACGAGGAGAACCTGCCTTTAATACACCCAATGTGGTACAAAACTCACTTGCTTCCAATGAATATATTCAAGGATGGACCTTAATTCTTCCTCGAGGATTCGGTATGGCTTTCTGGAAATCGCTTATTTTTGCTGGTGCTCGTGTAGCTGGCTATGACGATATTCGTGCCATGCATTTTGAAAGTGGGTTCCCTAGTTTCCCACAAGACTATCCTGGTACTCGTGCATTTGAAGCCCATCGATCTTTTATCAAGACAAGCTTGGAATCAGCATGGCAAAAGCGACCTCCTGCCAAACGTGTCAATTACAAAAAACGTGGTATTGATCATCCTTTTGAATGTGCATTCGAAACATTATCTTCAGTCGAGCATATGGAAATCGAGCCCGAGTGTAACTTACCCATTCGTCCTCACTATGCATTGATACATGGAAGACCTTTTGTGTCCTCTGTCATTTCAGGCTCAGAAGATTATAACCAGAAACTTGAGCTATACTCTACAAAGCAGGGTATCCATCTTCAACCATTGATCTTAGAAGATGCTCTTGTAAAGATTCGTTTACGCTATATTGACCGTGGAAAACCAGCTCCAAATGCGTTAGTATACATGATAAGAGACAATGAAATATATAATCAGTGTGCATCCGCTGTACGATGCAGATCATCCATCAAAGCAAACAAAAGAAAGCTTAAAGAATTCATAGAAGCACAGTCAGATAGAAAGAAGGTAACACAGGCTAAAGTGACTGTATTCACACTAATCGTCTTCACTAGGAGCCTATTCCAATGCCTACAAGAGCAGATCATATCGGCTATATAACAAAAGGTGACTTTTCTTTGTCTTTAGGTTATGGCTTTGGTATTGGTGCTTGTACAGTTACCAGTATAAGAGAGATTGATTCTTTAGATCAGTTGTAAGTGTATTATTTTTGTTTGTGTTCAGATTCACTTAAATATAAACAAAAAAAAAAAAAAAAATAGGGGTAAGAGAACAATCAAAAGAGTTGTATTGGTAAGAAACCCCTCCTCTCTCGAAGTTAGACCTGCCCAACTTGAAATTTTATGTTAATAAAACTGGGTCAAAATAACCATTTATTACTTTTTTCTGGATTAGATCAGAATTTTTCTTTGTTGCTTTTCTTTCTGTAAAGATAATGAACCATAACCAACTCGTAAAGGCAGAAAGTGCTGAATTTACTTCTACGAAAGTCAAGGATAAATGGCCAAGTCGCATTGTTTCGCTAAAAGAGGAACCCGATTCCAAACCCTATTTATTCATGCTAGAAATTAAACAAGGGCTTGAGGAAAACCCGCATGACATTGATAATATGGAGTCAGAAATCTTGTTGGAATATGATGGCATTATTTATAGATCAAGCATACATCCTTTAGTAGTCTAATGTTATATGTACAGATTCAATGCCTGATATCCGCAGCTTCAATTATTGTCGAGTATGCAATAAATCATACAGATCAAATGGAGAGTATCGACAACACCTTATTAGAAAGCACAAGATACATATGAAGCCAAAAAAATCGCATGTTATTCATGAAAACATCACTCCTGATAAATATGATGTGAATAATTATTGTATGGCTTGTGGCTTTAGCTTCTCAAGCAGAAAGACGTTTGTCAGTCATCTTGGCAACAAGCATAATATTCGTTTAGGAAAAAAGGAGCCTGTCAAAAGTCCTGGTATTAAACCTGATCCAAACGACATCCACAACTACTGTCGTTCATGTGATTTTACTTATTCAACCAGATCTATATTTCTAGTTCATCTTCGAGCTGTGCATAAAATACAACTACCCCTCAAGAAACTCCTGAAAACCGATAACATTCTGCCCGGTAAATATGATCCTAATAACCATTGTCTAGCATGTGCATCTACCTATGGCACAAGAAAAAGCTATAGAGTCTACCTTAGAAAAATCTACCACATTTATTTTAACCATCTACCTAACAAAGATATACAACCTGATCCAAATGACCCCAATCATTATTGTCGTTCATGCAATCAAACTTTTGCTCGTAAAAAAGCGTACAAAAAACACATTAGAAATATCCATCAAACGTTTGAATGATATATAAAAGCTATTAATAAAATACTGAGGCATGCTACATTTAAATATAAATTACATACGTTAGACAGCGAACACCGTACATAGTCTATGATAAACTTGAAGCCTGTTGTGAACATATATGAATTCATATGCATAGATCAATAAATGATGATCATGGCAAAAGACCAGATCACATCTATGGCAATTGCAATGGATCTATAGTCACTGACATTCACTCATTCTACTAGAAGTACTACATCATCCTCATAGACAGAGATTATGAACCTAGTGACTCCGTTATTATTAATGGCCCTTATAAAGTGACAGTTAGAGCTGACAAATACATTAGCATTGGCATTTGACAAATATGTAATAGTTTATTCAAGTTCAGGTCAGATCATGTACTATTGGCTGAGCTGACAACTTCATCTAAAGGCATTTCCCTTAATTGCTCCTGATCTAACAAATCAATCCGTAGTCAAGAAGCTAACCCAAAACAATATTTTGACCGAGAAGAAAATGTATAAATACCTCGACATTTTATAGCAATTGAAAGATAACATTTTTCTTGGAGAAATAAAAACCTATACAAGTTCTAACGGACTTTCTCTGTGTTCTTACCTTTTCTCTTATTGAATATCTACTCTCTCTTCATCTCACAACAAAGCCGATTCATGATACAGCAAGTGTGATGTTTGGGTTGTGAAATGAAAATAGAATAGAATAAAAAGAAAACAAAGAAATACAGTGAGGCTGTTCTGTGATGTTTGGGTTGTGAATGAAGATATAATAGAAGATAGAAAGAAAACAAAGAAATACAGTGAGACTGTTCAGTACTTTTTTATTACAAGATAAATTGATTGTTCTAAAATATATCTTTTCCAGGTTGTCTTTTATACTACCTGATTTATTGACTAATTATGATTATTGATTATTGATTACTTAACACTTTGACAGCTCCTTGTTACCTAAAAGGTACAATTATGGTTTTTTTATTTGTAAATATCCATATTATCCCAGTTACCGTTATTTACTGTCATTATACAGTGCTTACTTTATAGTTATAATGTATAGTGCTATAAGTGATTATTCATTTATAAGATGAAAAACTATTTATTATATTTTGTATTGAAAGTGCCCAGATTGTTGTGAACATATATGAACTCATATGCATAGATCAATAAATGATGATCATGGCAAAAGACCAGATCACATCTATGGCAATTGCAATGGATCTATAGTCACTGACATTCACTCATTCTACTAGAAGTACTACATCATCCTCATAGTCAGAGATTATGAACCTAGTGACTCTGTTATTATTAATGGCCCTCATAAAGTGACAGTTAGAGCTGACAAATACATTAGCATTGGCATTTGACAAATATGTAATAGTTTATTCAAGTTCAGGTCAGATCATGTACTATTGGCTGAGCTAACAACTTCCTCTAAAGGCATTTCTCTTAATTACTCCTGATCTAACAAATCAATCCGTAGTCAAGAAGCTAACCCAAAACAATATTTTGACCGAGAAGAAAAAGTATAAATACCTTGACATTTTATAGCAATTGAAGGACAACATTTTTCTTGGAGAAATAAAAACCTATACAAGTTCTAACGGACTTTCTCTGTGTTCTTACCTTTTCTCTTATTGAATATCTACTCTCTCTTCATCTCACAACATTTTTTTCCGTTAATTGCTTGGTAAATCCTACAAGATGAACAACTCTGGTAACTCTGGTAACTCTGGTAACTCTGGTAACTCTGGTAATTTTGAAAACATTACCAACCTTGATGTCTCCTCTTTGACTATTGGACCTTCTGCTGGAACATTGACTGATGCCCAGATGGATGAGTCGATTGATCAAATACTTAGTGAAGCATCAACTGTTAGCTCGGCTGCAAGTCCTGGCCAAGACTACAGAATGGTAGAAGAAAACCTCGCTATGCTGCGAAACGAAATGGCATCTACGTTGAGAGCTTTTGGCACTGCTAGGAGCCTAAATGATAGTGCCGCAGCCGATAGAGCACTCCAAGAAGTGGAGCGCATTAAATCGAGCATCCGCAGCTTAGACGAATATAAGTCTATGGTGTTGAAGATTGATGGAGCTGCAGAGCCCACCGGCTTCCAAAAGCAAAATGTTTCCTCTAGTGCTAGCGTTGGAGCTGTTTCGAGTGGCCTTTCTTTGAGTCGCCGGGATTTGCCCAAATATCAGTTACTAGCCAACTCACATAGACCCTTTCCTAACGAAGAGGCTTTTGAGTCGGATGAGCACTTTCTACGTACCTTTGAGAATGTGGTATACTCTTCCTCACAGGATATTGAAGCCGTGTGGAAAAGATACATTCCATTGTGTCTTCCGTATGGAGCGGATGCCTGGGCCCAGACTAACTTGAAGCGCTGCGGATCCTGGACTGAAGCAAGAGAAGCATTTAAAAAGCACTTTGGTTCGAAGTTCAAGACTAGGGAGTATAACACTCAGGTGTTTACTATGACCATGAAGAACGATGAACCCATTGGCACATACACCAATCGCTTTCTTCAAACTGTTTACAATGCTGGCATACCGAAGGATGATCCTCGAGTAGCTGATCGTTTTCTTGCTTCTCTGACTGCTCCTGTACAGACTTTGACACGTCTGGCGTGTATGAATACGTTGGGTAGACAGACAGAAGATTCTTCGAGTTGGACTGTGGAAAACATAGCCGATGTCGCAAGAGATGTGTTGGGTGATGATGCGTCCAAATATACTACGTCTACTTCCTTGTTGCCTGGTGTGGCAGGGCTGAGTCATGCTGTTGGTGTGAACCCTTTGGGTCATGCTAAGAGACATGCTAGAACGATAAGAACGCAGGTTGATCGCTCTGCACCTTACAATAAACCTGGCACCAGCAAATCATACTTTTGCAAGATGCATGGGCAAAATAGCACTCATACCACGGATAAGTGCTATACCATAAGCAAGAATAAAAACAAAGAAAAGGAGAAGGCAACTATCTCTCGACAACGTGACAATCCTTGCAGATTTTGCGATGAACCTTGGATTCCCGGTCACAGTTGTACAAGAAGAAATGTCTTGGCTTTGACAGCTGCAAAGACCAATGATGATAAAAATAAAGACAATGACAATGACAAAAAAGAAACAGACGATGATACTGAAATGATCACGGATGATTGCTTTGACTGTAAGTACACAAACGAGATCAAAGCGAAAGATGCTTTACATAAAGACACTTTTGACTTATTGACACCTATTATTATAGAAAACCACAAGATGATGGCAAAGGTTGATACCGGAAGCACACATACTTTTATAAAGTTAGACTCGCTTAGAGCTAAATTAAATATAAACAAAATAAACAAAAATATTAGTGGTTTCTTTAATTGCTTGTCTAAAGACAATAAAATTTCTCGTATTGGTATTACAGATCCTTTGACTGTAAAATATACAAATGGAATCATTTTTAAGCACCAATTTGAAGTCATAGATTTCAATGATAGCTTTGACTTTGACATTCTTCTTGGTACGGACATTATGAGTAAACTGGGTATTGCACTTACAGGTGTTGCATACAATTTAGAAAATGATAGTGTTGATCCAAATGATAAAGACTCTATTTTTCTAATGCAAACATCGTAACAACTGATACACCTGAACCTGATAATTCACCTGCTGGATCTGCTGAGGAGGTTGCACAGTTTATGGCTTCCATCCAAGATGCTATTGATGAAAATCAAAAGATACCAGTAGAGTCATTTTGTCCTATTCCAGAATCCATTATCAAGTTGCCCACACCTGAAGGAGCAACCGCTTATCGTCGTCAGTACAGCATCCCGCATACATTGAGGCCTGTCCTAGATGAACAGATAAATGAATGGCTTAGAACAAAAACAATAGAGAAGTGTGGTGTCAATACTTCTTTTAATAGCCCGTGTTACTTGTACCTAAAAAGAACAAACAGGGTGAAATTGTCAGCCATCGAGCTTGTTTGGATGTTAGACTTTTAAATAAGATCTTACCACCAACATATAACTTTGAAGTGCCACTGGTGAGAAACATTTTTGAAAACTTAAGAGGCAAGAAGATTTTCTCAACTCTTGATCTCTCTAATGCATATCATCGCTTTAAAATCCATCCTCCAGATGCGCATAAATTAACATTTTCTCATAATGGACAGCAATACTGCTTCATCAAGGGATGCTTTGGACTAAAGAGCCTAACTTCTCAATTCTGTAAGGTTATGGCCATTTTGTTTGAGGGTATGGATTGCGTTCAATCTTTTGTTGATGATTGTATCGTGGCCAGTGAAACACCCGAGCAACATGCCAAAGATGTCAAAATGGTGATAGACAGATTGATACAAGCCAAATTGATTTTGAATCCAAAGAAATGTGTTTGGTTTCAGCAGTCAGTTAGGATGCTTGGATTTGTGGTCAATGCAGATGGGATTATGGTTGATAAAGCCAAACTCACTAACGTTGAATCATGGCCAGTACCAAAGACAGCGAAACACATTCAACAGTTCATGGGGTTAATCAATTATTTTAGAGAATTTGTACCGATGATCTCTACTGTTGCTGAGCCTTTGACTAGATTAAGCCATGCAAAGAACGTAGAAGAGCTGTGGTCTGATGAGCAAACTAAGAGCTTTAATGCCTTGAAAGCCATCTTGCACTCAAATATGCTTTTGCATTATCCTGATTTCACCAAAGAATTCTTTGTTGCCTCTGATGCTTCTCAGTATGGTATATCCGCTGTATTATTTCAGAGAGATGATAAGGGTAGAGACAAATATATTAGTTTTGTGTCCAATGCTCTATCACCCTCACAACGCAGATGGAGTGCTACTCGTCGTGAGTTATATGGTGTTCTGATGGCTTTTCGTCGCTTCCATCAATATATTTGGGGACGCAGATTTACATTGCACACAGATCACAAAGCATTGATTTATATGCATACTCAACGAGATTGCAACAATATGATGTTGAATTGGTACGAAGAAATTCTGACTTATGACTTTGATGCTGTGCATATTCCTGGTATCCTTCTTAAATTGCCAGATTTGTTGAGTCGTTTGTATTCCCCTCTCGACCAATTCGAAGGTGATCACAAACTGGTAGGGGGTAGCACTGGCAATCGAAAGCGAAATGTACAAGCTGCCAAAATAAAAAGAGTTGCTATTTGCAGGAAGAAATATAGCAGAGATAAAAACCTGCATGTTCTTACCACGCAGCTGGTTGAGCAGACTAAAGAACCACTTGATTATTTTACACCGCCTGAGACTGAAAGAGAAAAGCTCTTGCGTGATGCACATACTTTTGGACACTTTGGCAGCCATGCTATTGTGCGTGAACTACACTCTCAAGGACTTCATTGGACAAATATGTATCAAGAAGCCAAGGAACTAGTAAGTTCATGTCCTGAGTGCCAAAAGCATAATATAGCAAAAAGAGGTTACCATCCACTGACAAGCATTATTGCATTGCGACCCTTTGATCATGTATCTGTTGATTCTGCAGGTCCTTTTCCTGTAACTGAAAATGGGAATACTGAAATCTTGGTCTTGACTGATATTTGTTCAAAATATATTATTGTCAGAGCACTTAAGAACCAACAATCAGATACCATTGCTCATACATTGATGCAGATCTTTGGAGACTATGGATTTCCTCGTATCCTACAATCCGACAATGGCAGAGCATACCATAACTTGTTACTTGAATCTATTTCGAAAAAGCTCGACATTGATCGAAGGTACTCCACTCCCTACCATCCTAGAGGAAATGGAAGTGCTGAATCCAGTGTAAAAATTGTTGAAAACACACTGAGAAAGATGTGTCAATCGAATAGCAAAGACTGGGATTACTACTTACCAGTAGTCCAGCTTTCTATCAACAACGCTATCAAGAATAAGACGTTGAGTTCACCCTTCTCATTGATGTTTGCACGCAGAGTCGGCTTACCTAAAAATTATGAAGAAAAGAACAAATATCCACTTCCTAGAGATATGATGACGCGTGATGATCTTGAGCAGCGCATTGATCACATGGAGAAGATTGTCTTTCCCGCTATCTTTGAAAGAACTCAAAAGATAAATGAGGAATATAATAAGAGGTTCAATACAAAGAACATACTTGTTGATATTGAACCCGGAACACATGTTATGGTAAGACTGCAAAAGAGACCGAGTAAACTGTCTCCATTATATGAAGGCCCCTATACTGTTGTAAGAAGAAACAAAGGTGGCTCATATGAATTAAAAGACGAGCAAAATGAATTATTGCATCGTAATTATACACCATCAGAACTGAAGATTGTGACCATTGACGAATCAACCATTGAAGAAGAATACTTTGAAGTAGAAGATATTCGTGATCATCGTGGCAAGCCAGGAAGACGAGAGTACTTGGTTAAATGGACTGGTTTTGGTGAAAGAGCTAACACTTGGGAGCCTGCATCTAGTTTCCAAGATCCTACAATCATCAATCGCTACTGGGATAAAGTTGAAAAACTAAAAAGATTAGAGCATGAACGCATTGAATCAAAATCAAGCGATAGATCTGCATCTAACAAAGAGAATAAGAATGGTGTACTACACAAGACAGGAACAAAGAGAAGAAACCATCCTACTAGACAAAGTAGAGAGGAATTATCCACAAATGGAAGAGCTAGCAAAAGAATTAAATGCTAAGTGACATGAAAGAGAAGAAGACTATTTTCCTTTTGAAGAACACAAATTGCATAGACTCTAAACCATTTTTATGTCAAGTAAAGTTATATCAAGCCTAGATGTTCACATTGTAAGAAGCCGTTTACAACTATCAAAGATGAGTTGACTCTGGAGGAGGGTAATGTTGTGAACATATATGAACTCATATGCATAGATCAATAAATGATGATCATGGCAAAAGACCAGATCACATCTATGGCAATTGCAATGGATCTATAGTCACTGACATTCACTCATTCTACTAGAAGTACTACATCATCCTCATAGTCAGAGATTATGAACCTAGTGACTCTGTTATTATTAATGGCCCTCATAAAGTGACAGTTAGAGCTGACAAATACATTAGCATTGGCATTTGACAAATATGTAATAGTTTATTCAAGTTCAGGTCAGATCATGTACTATTGGCTGAGCTAACAACTTCCTCTAAAGGCATTTCTCTTAATTACTCCTGATCTAACAAATCAATCCGTAGTCAAGAAGCTAACCCAAAACAATATTTTGACCGAGAAGAAAAAGTATAAATACCTTGACATTTTATAGCAATTGAAGGACAACATTTTTCTTGGAGAAATAAAAACCTATACAAGTTCTAACGGACTTTCTCTGTGTTCTTACCTTTTCTCTTATTGAATATCTACTCTCTCTTCATCTCACAACACAGATCACCACAGCAAGTTTACTAACCAAGAAATTTTAGTTTAATAAAACTTTGCCGAGTATACATTAGGCGGAAAAAGTAAATAATAACGAGAAGAGAGAATATATAGAAGCTATCAATCATACAAATAAGTTGCATGTAGAGTTGTGCTTACAGCTTCTAAACATTATCTTTTATAATGAACCGAAACGGTCGGATAGTACTAACATTTCGGTCCATAGAAAATCAGCTCGGACCGGACATTTTTATATTGATGGTCCATATTATTATTGTTGGTAATTCTGATTGTCGTCTTGATGTTGGAACAACCAATAGTATTTCTTATAATAAAAGATTAATAGTAAAGCGATGATTGATTCCTTTATTTCATTGTATGTTATGTTTATATTTATACATTTTATGAGGTACAATAGAAATGTCTAATTAGAAAATAAGAAAGTCGTAGAAGGTTCAGGAACTATGATTACTAATCCGAGATTAGTAATCATGTGACTTGCTATGAGGAACCTTCTAGAGTCTTACATTCTAGAACCTTCTTGGACCTTCGAGATGTCATGTGACCTTCTTGGCTTTGGGTTCGGCTTCAACCTTCTTTTCGTTACGACATGATGTACAAGCGGGTATAGCTCAGCTGGGAGAGCGTTAGACTGAAGATCTAAAGGTCAGGTGTTCGATCCACCTTAGCCGCATTGATATATAATATCATCGCAAACGGTTGCGATTCGTATTTTTTGTTTCTTTTTACTTTAGCTGTCTTGGGAAGGCAAAGATAATTTTTTAGTTTTTTCTAAATGTTGTCCTTTAAAGCATTGGATGATAATGTGCAAAGAATATTAAGCTTCAAGTCGTCCGACTCCAAATGCTTTCATATAGACCAAAAGATTAACCATAAGTTATAAAACAAGTAGCTATGCTAATTCAGTATCTATGAAGCAAAATAGAGTAAATAAATCTACAAGACGATACCAACAGCCTGATTCGTAGTAGAAACTACAATTAAAGTAAGGCGATGAATTTGTTATACAATGTACAATAGTCAGGACTCCATCCAATCCGTAAGCCAGAATAGAAGCTTCCTTTTAATAAATGCATATATCTTTATCACTAAATCTCAAAGTTTGCTTAACACAAGAACTTCAATCGACAATTCCATAACAAAAAAAAAACACTACATACATCTGTTTCAAGTGAGGAACCAAATGCTGCTCTCTAATCACAAGAGAATATTTTTGGAATTGCTAACTAGTCTAATTTGACAAAAGCTTCATACATTAGATTCAAACAGAGGCTGTGCTTTTGTTCAGACCGCTAAAGGCCTAATCAATAAATCAATGTAATCCTTTCTCAATTCAAAGAATCACTCGAGAGTTTTTTTCGACTGGATCGGTTCACTTCATTTAAATGAGTTTCCACTGCAAAATCTTAAAGCTAGCAAACTGGCATGTATATTAACTGTTCATTGAGTTACTACTTCCATCACTATGGCATTTACACGACTTTAATTACATAGAAACAGTCCTTCTGTATACAGAAATAAAAAAGAACATGATCTATGTTCGTATCATTTCAGCAATCTCTTGCATAGATGGTCACTTTTTGGCTTGTCCCGATGCATGCAGTATTTTAAGAAAAAATAAAGATGTTCCCGAAGGTAGTTCGATGTTGATTCGGTTGGATATGCACTAATTCAACTCAATACCATGCTGAAATCACACACATACACACTAAGAACCAACATTTTTTAGGATCAGGGCTTTTGTGATATGTCTGGAGTTGATTTGGATCAAAAATATCAACATAGTCAAAATGGCCAAAAAACACATTTTTTACAAGGGGTTTAATCGAGGACAATATTTTCAAACCCTCACTGAGATATTGGACGATTGCCATGATTAAGCACTCAAAAGAAATGCCTAAAAGTTTCGTCTCTATTACTAGTTTTTATACAAAGACTATACTAAGAAGTTATTGAAATAGGATTAAAAAACGTCAAATTAAAATTCTCCTTTTGCTCAAGTTCTTGCTATGTAAACTATAACAAATATAGTACCTTTGGATCTGCAACAGCTATATAAAAAACTTTTATTAATGAATCAAGAAGAAATAAGTCTGTTTTTCAACTCTTTTAAAACAAGGCTTGATTTAAGAATGAAAATCAAACATGTCTGTAAACCGATATTCAAACTCAGATACCTGCTCGTTACGCCAAACAGTATATGCGTACCTTTTTCTTTAACTTCAATATGGATCTTGTACCCGACATTTACTTTGAGAAGGTATGTTTAAACAGCAACCTAGTGTTTAATTAAGCTATATGATAGCAACAACAAGACAATCTATGTGCTCAGCATGCTTTAAAGTAAGTCATACACGAAAAAAGGATTGTCTTTGCTTATATTTGTTCTAGTGTATTACTTCAAGGTGAAAACAAGACAGTCTTAAACAAAGACCTTATATATACTAACACCTGTAGCTAGGCAGCTATTTTACAGCTGTTGATTTGGCTGAAATAGGACAAAAACTCGATATAGAAGAACAACTTGTAGGAGGAAGCAAGTTGGGTAGCGAAAGTCAAAATTACGATGATTCGGGATACTTTTCAATTCAGGCAAGTCAATACTTTTTGTAGCTTGATAATAACAGTTCTATAAATCAAGGTCCTACAAAAAGCATTAGAAATATGGAACTTGGAATTAACACCATGGCGATCTAAAGAAATGGAAAAAGAAAGAGAACACCCTGAGTAAGTGAAGTAACTTGGTTGTTGTGATTAACAACAGTTTAGGCAACAAAATGCGTTTATCTGTCATAGACAGAACCATTGGTTTACGTTGCGAAAGTTCTCGGAAACATATCGATGGTATAATCTTGATTCAACACAACAAGGGCCCACTCATTTAGGTGAAAGTTACCTAAGTATCTTATTGGATCAAATCGAATCAGAAGGATACTCTATCTTTGCTATCAAGGGACAACTTGTTATTTCAAAAGCAGACCGTAAAGCCAAAGCCTTACCAAGACCAGGTGAAAGCAAGCAGATTTCTTTTTCTGGCAAAGGTTATTCTCTCACTTCGAATAATGAACAAGAAAATGAAGATGAAGAAACAATGCTTGCAAAAGCAATTGAAGCAAGTTTAGAAGATAAAGTAAACAACGATATGGATGAAATTAGACGTAAAAGATTAGCTAGGTTTGGAGGTTAATAAAACAATACATAGATTTATTCGAACAAAAAGAAATTTAGTTATTGACAGCATTTTGGCTAACGCTGTTGGTTGTCTTGGAGCCAGAGAGAAGGTTGAGATTGCCAAGAAGACCGCCGGCCAATCCCTTATTACCGCCGTGAGAGCCAACACTACCAATACTTTGGTTGATTTCCTTGTTGATATGCTTGCTGTTATTTTCCCTGTTGGAATTGTTGTCGCGACGAGGAGCAGCAGAAACAAGGGCAACACAGAGAGCAAGAGCAAGAATAGAGGAGAACTTCATTTGATTGATTGATTGATTGATTGATTGATTGATTGATTGATTGATTGATTGATGAGAATAATGTGAATATGATAGTCATTTTCTCTCTTTATATACTTTTTTCTTCTTCATCTTCATTACTGTTGTATCTCTCCTTAAAAGTAGAGATGGTGCCATGCTCGTTTCCCCTTATTTTTCATACAACAAGGTTTTTTTTCTTCATAGAGATGTTGACATCTCCTTAATGTCCATCGTACATTCGCAAATGTGTTCAATTAGTCCACAGCTACAACTACTCCTTATTACGAATGTATATGACACAGCATAGATCAATGTGTGTATTCTTAGAGAGGAGAAGGTCTGTCTTACAAACAAACGATTCTATTTTTATGGTCCCCTCCTTTGTGTTAACTATAAAGATACAACTGTTGACATTTACTCATTCTTTTCTACCTCCTTTTCCTTTTTCAAAAAGAAAATCTGTCTTCTTGGGATGGAAACATGTTAATTTTTGTCATTGTGCTACTCAAAATAGATTCTCACTTCTCTCCTTGGACCAAATTTGCAGAACTAGTTCATCTATCGTCAGATAAATTTACCTATCTTACTTGCTTATAGCTATTCAAGAAAAAAGACTGCTTGTTGAGAGTAGCATTGCTGATCTCTATATGTTCACTGAGTCTATCTATTTTTATCAGCGAACTATAGCAATCAAAGATCACTTGACAGCTATTATGCTTATAAATATGAGGTTTTCTTGCTAAGCATCTTTTACACATAAGCTTGTTTGCCCATGCATGTATGCTTAGCTTACTCCTAAATACGGTTTCTTCAATATCAAGCTTTTTTCTCTGAAAAGATACATTTATAAAGCGATTGTCACTATTCATGTCCCAGTACAAGCATGGATCAAAAATGCTCTGGATAGAGACCTTGGATGAGCAATCAATTCTTATAAGAAATTACATGTTGCACAGATGGTTGCAATGCATACACTATATCTATTCTTTAGGATAACTCTAAGATCTGTCCTTTACAATCCGTTTTACAGAAAAGAAAATACTCTTCAACAACTGACGTAATAAACATTTATCCATCAACAATAATTCTACCTGACATAATCTTGAGTTCATTCTAACTTTAATAATTTGTCTCATTTTCAATGCGGCATTTAAACCTTTCATTTTTCTATTGCATATCATCTGAATTTCAATACTTTGTCTTTATTAAAAGAAAAATAAGATGATTTCATCAAGTCAGTAGAAGTTTCGTTACGTCAATTTTAGCAGGGGTTTTTGTCTTTATCTCGTCTTTATTCTGTTCTTCTTTACATGAGATCAAACATAAGGGAAAAAAGAGCAATCTGGATTTCATTGTAAAACGATACATATCAAGAAAATAAAAACAGACTGATTTTCGAACTAAAGCAAAAAGGCAATAACAAAGAAAATAAAGAACATCTCACTGGACTTTAAATTTCATAAACTTATTTTATGGATTATTTTTCTTTTCTTCTTTTTTTTTTTCTTCTTTTCATAACTATGTCACATCCACAAGAAGTCCACCCTTTCGAGCAACACAAACCACAGGAATATGACAATGAAGAATATAGAAATATTCTGAATGAATTGAACCAACAAATAGCTATACATCAACCAGAAGATGTATTGCAATTCTGTGCCACTTTTTTCTTGAAGAAACTAGAAGAAGAGCGCGCTGAATCTCGCCAATATGATCAACATCCATTAGGTAAACATACATGTCTATAGCCATAAACTAACATACAATAGCAAATCCAACACATCATAGTCTGGGTCCAGATTTCAATCCTCATGGCATAGACCAAGATATGCATGATCACAATAATCATGAAGAAGAAGAAGAAAGAGACACAATATCAAGTGAAATGCCATCACTCACTTGTCCTCCAAGCAGCCGAGGACGCCGTACTTCGGTCAGTGCTGAATCAATGCAGCCTTCTCAACACACACAAGAATTCAAAAAGATTGTCATTCCCAAGAGTGACGAACAAAGAGAACGCATTCGTGCTGCTATTGGAAATAACTTTTTGTTTAAGAATTTGGATGAAGAACAATATGCCGATGTGGTGAATGCCATGGCTGAAAAGCGTATCTCTGCTACAACACAAGTGATTGAACAAGGTGCAGTTGGCGACTACTTTTATATTGTTGAGTCTGGTAACCTGGATTGTTTTATCAATGGTAACAAAGTGACTTCATATGGTCCTGGTGGTAGTTTTGGCGAACTGGCTCTTATGTACAATGCACCTCGTGCTGCTTCGATTGTTGCTGTCACTGATTGTGTGCTTTATGCTCTTGACCGTGTCACATTCCGTTCGATTTTGATGGAGAACACAGCTCGTAAGAGACGCATGTATGAGCGGTTCTTAGAAGAAGTGCCTATCTTCAAGTCACTCGAGACTTATGAGCGTCATAAGATCGCTGATGCTTTAGAATCAGTTCAATTTGATGATCAAGAAGTGGTTATGCGTGAAGGTGATGCTGGTGATAGTTTCTATTTGATTGAGAGTGGCGAAGCTAGTTTTTACAAGGCTTTACCTGACGGTACACAAAGACAAGTCATGGTGGGTAAAAAAGGCGACTATTTTGGAGGTAAGTATGCATGAAATAAAGTAGTCAACGATTAACATAAACAACAGAACTTGCTCTTATCAATGATGAGCCTCGTGCAGCCACAGTGATTGCCAATGGTAAACTTAGATGCGCTACTCTTAGTAAAAAAGCATTTATTCGACTACTGGGTCCTGTTATGGATATCTTGAAGCGCAACTCTGAAAATTATCATGCTGTACTTCAAAACGAAACTCAAAAAATCCTGTAAAATGTGTAATGATTAGAACTTCCAATGTACACTTAATCAAATAAAAAAGAAAGAAAGAAAGATACTTTATTGTAGTCAAGTTCTCTTATAGTTTAACAAAAGCACTGATTTGGGACAGCATTTTTATTGTAATAATAAGTACTAGCAATGTATGCCTACAATACTTGTATGAAATAAATAAATAAATAAATACTCTTACCGTGACTTGTGATAAAAACGCGTTTCTTTCATTCTTTTAAAGATATGCAGTTTCCTTCTTTTATTCGCGACCCAGCTGTTGCAGTTGTGGGTGAAAAGTGCTATGTTTCATTAGTAGAAAACTTGAATATCAAAGACATTGACTGCATTAAATATGCTATCAGCAAAGGGCTTGGTTTGGGTATCGTTCTTGGTGGTTCTATTGTCAAAGTGCCTCAGATCTTAACTATCCTTAGAAACAAGTCAGCTCAAGGTCTGTCACTTACCAGTTACTTGTTGGAAACATTGTCTTATTTCATCACATTATCCTATAATTTGCGCCAGGGAAATCCTTTCAGTACTTTTGGTGAAATTATGTTTATTTGCATTCAAAATATTATGATCACTAGCCTTATTTTCTACTTTGGTCGTCAACAAGGTCAATTATTAGCTGTACTTGTCGGATTGGCAGGTTTGTTCTATACTTTGAATGATAACACACTTGTATCGCCTGTTTTGATGAGTAGCCTTTATGCTGCCACCATTCCTCTCAGTTTAGCCAGTAAGGTACCTCAAATTTATACCAATTTTAAGAACAAATCCACTGGCCAATTATCTGTCTTCACTGTTGTTAATTACTTTGCTGGCAGCGCTGCACGTGTCTTTACTACCATGACAGAATTGGATGATACACTCATGCTGTTTGGAAATCTGTTGGCCACTACTTTTAATGCTATCTTAGTCTTGCAAGTGGTTCTTTACTGGGGCAACAAGGTTCAACATAAGCCTATTAGTAAATTGGATTAGAATTCATAATAAAAATGTGCCTTTTTTTTATATTGAAAGACTTTATTTTACTTTACTTTTTTAGTTAGAGAGAGAGAGAGAGAGAGAGAGAGAGAGAGAGAGAGAGAGAGAGAGAGAGAGAGAGAGAGAGAGTATAGCTATTGGTTGATCTAATTTTTAAATAAGAATATCCAAAAAGTTTAAGCCTCTGATTTATACGGGAAATCATTTCATGGAGGCTATTTTTGTACAAAATGTAGAGCTTCCGAAAAAAAAGAAAAAATAGTGTATCTTTTCTTTTCTTTTTATTATACCTTCAGTATGATTCGCCTTAAAGTGCAAGAAAAAGAAGAAAAGGATAGTCTTGGATGCCGGTAAAATTCAGTCAACGACTTCTTTGTTTCAAGTCTACACATGGAATATGCTTTTTTCTTGTCATACATAGTAGTGTACGATAGTGAAAAAAAAAGCTAATTAATGTCTTACCCCTGAAGTGATCTTATTACTAAACTCTGATTGTGTGTATATAATTTGCTTCCTAAAATGTAAATAAAGCGCCATGAGTATCGCTTAAAGCCAAGCAAATGTAAACAAAACCAGGCTTGGCAGGAAGAGAAAAAAAATCAGTCGCTGAGCGGATTCGAATGGATGCCAATAAAAAAAAATCGATTTCTATTCGGCGATAAAAAGCCGTATAAAAATCAAAGTTTTCTAGATTGGGGGGCCTTTTTTTTTTACTCTTTTTCTATTTTATAAATCACTCTTTTTCTATTTAGACAGAAAAATGACTCGGTTGAACTCGCCTGCTGAATGGGTTGCTCCTTTGACACCTATCATTTCTTTGGCTTTGTTACCTTTGGGTCCTATCTTTTTTCCTCGATTTTATATTGTGTTTTTGTTTGTCTACTTTGCTGGATTTCTTTATCAACAAGTAAACCACGTCTGCAAGTTCTACTTGTCCTCTGTCCGAATCAGGGCCAGTATCAAAAAATGGAATGCTATGAACAAACACAACTTGAACGATAAATCACTTGATGATAAGGCCAAGATTGCCATGGATCACTTGGGCAAACCAAATAAATTTGTCAATCTTGAAGACGGCTTAGAAATCGAACAATCATACCAGGAACCTCACTACATGCACACATTTGTGATTCCTAATTATGGTGAGCCCGAAGCTCTTTTGAAAGATACGATTGGACGCTTAGCTGTACACAGGTAGTTTAAAACATTTTAAATTCGTCACAGGCTTACAATGTACTATAGAAATGCAAGCACTCATTATGTGATTATTTTAGCCATGGAAGCATCTGAAACGGGCTGGGAAGAAAAAGGAAAGCGTTTAGAAGAGTTCTTTAAAGGAAGATTCTGCAGTTTTATCATCACTGGTCATCCTGCTAATATTCCTGGTGAATATCGTGGTAAAGGTTCCAATGTCAATTATGCTGTTCAAAATGGATGTGCAGAAATGATTCGCCAAGGTTTTGATCGTCGCAAGATTATTTTGACCGTTATGGATTCTGATGCTGCTATTCCAGAACTCTATATTATTGAAGTAGAAGACGCATTGAGTAAGTCCGACGATCCCTACTATACACTTTGTGCTCCTCCTATTTTCTTTTCTCGTAACTGCAACCAGGTCCCTGCTGCTGTTCGTATGACAGATATTACTTGGGCTTCTATGGTCATGTCTAATCTAAGCAATTCTGATGGCCTGTGTATTCCTTGCTCGAATTACAGCCTTTCGTTTATCTTGGCAGAACGTGTCGGTTTTTGGGATGTGGATGCAGATGCTATTGGTGAAGATATGCACATGTGGTTGAAATGCTTTTTCAAAACTGATGGTCATGCGCGTACTGCACCTATTTACGTACCTATCAATTTGACGAATGTTCAATGTGAAGGCTATATTGCCAACCTCCATGCCCGTTATGTTCAAGCCAAGCGTCATTTCCAAGGCGTTGCCGATCTCGGTTACACGCTCCGCCATATGATTGATTGTTACAAGAATAGAAAGAACCAAAAGGGCTTGTTGGATTATCATATTGCTACCGGTAGTTTTAACGACAAAATAGCTGCATGTTCAGTTATTCTTGAAGCCCATATGATTCCTGCCTCTTCTGGCTGGCTTATGTTTGCTGCTGTTCCTTTGATGCAACTGATCCTGTTCCCTCCCTTCTCTTGGATGGACGTCGTCTCCCCTGCCAATAATCCTCTTTTGATTTCGGATTTCTTTTATAAACTTTGGACGGTTGTCAAGATGATTACTGTCTTTTTGCCTTTCCCATTGTTTGCTACCTTGGGTATTTATGAACACTTGCATCGCTATATTGACCGTGAATTCTATCACAAGCCAAAGTCTGAATCTCGTACTTGGAAGAATATGTTGGACTATGTTTCTTTGCCCATCGCAGCTTGGCTTTTCTTGACCTTGCCTTCTACTTTAGCCTGTGTCAAGCGTCTTGTGGCAGGTGAAGAAGCTTACATTGTAGGCGCCAAAATCTTTAATGAGGATGAAACCAACGGAAAAGAACGCATCTCATAGATCTCATTTTATTGTATTGTATTTTAGACAAGTTATCCCCCCTCCACCATTATATTTTATCATTACTATTTTTGTACACTTAATAACATAACTAATTCATTCATCGTTGCCGAGCTTATCGGCGCTAATAAAAGCCAATGATACATGGGCCAAGAAATGCTTAGGATGGCTACACACAAGATCAATTTCTTTTTAATTCATGTGGTTGTAACTGAGGTACGGACAATGTGCATTGCTTTTGATCCTTTCCTAATTCAATAAAACAAGGAAGTCGGTTTTCTTTGTAGTTGATATAGGGTGTCTTCATATGTATGAGCCATTCATTGTCGTCTCCATTAGGATCTCTTGATGGTGTAGCCGAAAGCAATTGTCCATACCAAGCCAAATTCAAAAAGATTTCATAGAAATCCACTGTGATAGGTACATTGAGAATATAGAAATAAACATCTGTCACTTCATCATGGGCATGCTCAAAAACATCAACCAATTCATCACTCTCTTCTTCCACAAAACCATTTAGTTTTGTGTCTGGCTCTTGCTTATCTTCTGTAAACATGTCATCAAGTGCATCACCCAAGAAATTCATTTGAGCAATAAGATAATAAAGGTCCTTGAGTTCGACCTTGGACATGCAAGGATCATGCAATAATGCTTTCATGTCTGTGCAAGGACTTGCTGTCAAATGGTCTATTGAGCTGTCTACTGTTTGATAGGACATAATTTTCTTGACCAATGCGAGCATAGCCTGATCTTTTCCTTCTTCTACCACGGACACATCTTTGAGTGGTGGATTTAATATCTCAATGACTTCATCCAGCTCTTTTTCTTCCAACACACCAATGTAGTTATCTTTTGTCTGGTATTGCTTTGTATGGTGATGTTTCTGCACTTGGAATCGGTACTCCATGCATTCTGTATCAATGGATCTTTCAATGTTATATCGTTTATCACATACAGTAGAAAAAGGTGTGTTTTCTTGTAAGAGTTGTGCTGCCCTTTTGAATTCAGCGAAAATGGCATACGCTCCTTGAGTTGTACAAGAACGTCTAGAATAACAAATAAGCATAGTGATGTCAACATGTGTTTTACCTACGCAACATTTTTGCCAAGTATAAATGGATCTTGAACTATAATAGGGTTTCCATGCCAATAACTTGGCTCATAGTTACCATAGAGTGCTCCATCCTCGGTGACAATCGACACAATATGATTACTAGGATTTGCATAATACGCAAAGAATTGAGTCAAGATAGAGGATACAGTGTCTTTGTTTGCTCCTTCCCAATAGGTAATTGTATCATTTTTGCCAACAGGAGGACTCATTTTATATGTGCTGGTCGCTGTGTTGCGGATATGGACGCAATCATGGTATCTAGCATCGCATCGTATGATTTGATGGTCATGGTAAAGGTGTACAAACTTGCCCCTCTTTGCATTACAGTGTTTGGATTGACAGCGCAAATTCGATTTCTGAAGACTAGGAATCAAAGGTTGTTCAAGACCGATCATTAAGAAATGAAGGGCCATAATCACATAGGCATAACTACTGAGTGTACCTCCTCGGGCTACCAGAAATTAGTTCGTGTTGAACTCACAGACATACTCACGATTGTTGATTTCTTTTTGCTTGACAAACTGTTTAATGGCAGCTAAAAAGGGTCGAATACGTACATCCAAATTGGCATAGGTACCAATCATACGCGTATTTTCAATACCCAAGATATTGTTCGTATTAATATCACAACTGAATCCTGTTTGAGGGTCTACGAATTTACAGATAGGCACTGATGCATGACCAATCGCCTCTACATGCTTCATGCCTAAGCTTTTTAATCGAGAAGCTAAAAAGTACATGTTATAAACAGATTTGGGTTGTCTTGATAAGCGGTTCTTAAAGGTCCTTAGGTCATGTTCGAAGTTTGCTTCAGGCACCACAATGCACAGGTCAATATCAGCATCTTTCAAACCCAATAAATTGGCTGTGGAGCTATAGAAAGGATATCAAGACAACTGCATTAAAAAAAATGAACTTACCCGAAAATAGCAATACGATAATTCATGTCAGGCCAAACATGATCCAACATATGCTGGAGTCTTTTCAACAATGACCTTGTATCCTTAAAGAACTTATCTGTCGGTTGCATCATATGGCACAGTTCAAAGATTTCATTACTAATGGCATCAAAGCGCTGTTGATCATGGTTGTTTTGTTTCTTATTCTTTTGCTTTAGTTCTGCTCTTTCGTTTTCATAACGACGCTTTTCTTCTTTTTGATAAAACACAAATAGCAGAGTTGTATTGGATTCATAATGCGCGAGTTCTGAAAAGTAGTGGTGGTCGTGTCGTTTATCATTCATGTAGCTAGCAGTAGACATGATTTCATAATTCCATGTGGTCCAGCGTCTTATCATATTGGAACGAACCATTTCGCGTCCTGCACCTTTCAAAAAGAATTCAAGTGAATTATAAAGGCGTATGATAATCGCATAAGTAGAAGAACAAGTCTCGAGAAGATGAGCTTTAAGTGCTGGTAAAGTAACAACGCGAGCAGTTTTGTCGTCACGCGCTATAGAGTGTTGAAAAGCATAGATACCACATGTTTCAAGAAAGTCTACTTGTGCTTCTTCACTCATAATTATCAATAAATTTTTAAAAAAAAGGAGAAGAAAGAATAACACTAAATGCAACAGAAAAAAACGAGCCACAAAATTAGAGATCCTGGAAAAATCTTACCTAATTATTCCTTAATTGCAGAAGAACAGATGCTTGAGTTTTGGATTCTTCAGTTTCGTTACCAGCTCCTCTATATGGCCACTCTTTAACTCATGCTTGATCAGCTTTTTTACAGAATCAGACTTGAATAGGGCGCGCGGATCTTCCTTCAGGCTGCTGACTTCATGCTACAACATTTCAATTTCATGCTGTACTTGAATCTAATTGAGTAAATGAGGAAGAAGGATGTTCTTTTGCAAAGAAAAAGTTTCTTTCCCTGAGAATTTTGGCATTTGAGTCAAAATGGTTCTTTCGTAGGTCAATTATTAACTTGCTATCATTATTTTCCATGAAGCTCCTCATCACGCTAGGCTCTAGAGCAACAAAAGATGCAGCATTTGCCATAATTCCATTGAAAACATTGTCTTGTAGAGTCATTTTTGACTTTCAGAAGGTTAGGGTCAAGTCTTTTGCTGTTCTTCATCTTGTTCAAAATCGCAATAGAGATATAATTATGCATTGATTTGTCAAAAAATGTAAGATGGGCAGGATCATTGTTATGTTGTCGCTTGGTTCTCTTTGCAAATTCTGACTGTGATGATTCTTCAATGAACTTTCGCTTATTCAAATGTGTAGGTACTGGTGTTTGTTTATCTTCCATAAAGAAGCTTTTTTTTTTTTTTTTTTTTTTTTTCGATCTTCTATGACTTATAATAAAAAAGGCTTATTGTTTTCTGACTTTTACTTACCTGATTCTTCTGTACTGTTGGTTTTATGGAATTTGTTGCATTTGAGGATAGTTCACATTTATAAAAGTAATAACAAGAAAGCTTCGTATAATGAATTGTCCAGTTGTTGCGCAAGTTAATACTATTCAATTAGTTATATAACTAATTATGGTTAATTGACATAAACAAATAAAAGGTTATTATTAGAAGAGACATTACTTATGACAAAGATTATTACGAGTGGTTCATGAAGTGGAAAGACTCAGATCTGGATTTTACTAAGAACTGCTTCTTTATTGATGAGGCTGGATTTAACATCAACATGAGAAACGATTGGGCTAGGTCGGCCGTAGGAACACCTACTAAATAGAAATAGAAAAGACTCGTTCTCCCTCCCTCCCCATTATCGGTACTATACACTATAGTAGTGTTATCCATGTTGCTATGAAAAAACCACCACCTAAAAAGCAAAGAGGCTTAAAAACTCAAATATCGAAGACGGCAGGAGGAAAAGAGCAAAGTGCCTACCATAGAGTACGTTGATGTTGAGGAGAGGGCCGCTGTCGAAAACAACAAGCTAGGAGCAAAGGGTACAACTACTACCCATTTTGTGAAATTTATGAATGAGCTTCTGGAATATCATGGATATGGATGAGAGTCATATGGGTAGTTATCTTGTAATGAATAATAACTGTACTATTCATAAGTCTCATTCAATGATAAGAAAAATTGAGAGTAGAGGTTATAGAGTAGTGTAGTTATTTCCTTACTTGCTAGAGCTAAACCCAATTGAACAGTTTTGGGCAATCTTGAAAGGAAAATTGAAACGCCACAAACTATTGAATGAAGAAAAATGCCTGATAGAATTGCTGAGGCATGTAATGCCATACCTGCTGAAATTCTATACAATTTTACCAGTCATTCTAAACGACAAATCAAAACAAGAAGAATGCTTATGTAAGTATAATTTGTCAGAACGGAATGAACCGCTTATGCTGCTATGGTCAATTTCCTGATAAAAATACAAGATAGGAAAATCATCATCAGATTTAGATTTCTAAAATCATATAAATCATAAACGAACCTGAAGATGGTAACACGATTATCCGAGATTATGAAATGGAATCAGCTCGCATAATGTCTTAGCCGTTCTCCGCCTTCTCTCTTTCTGTATGCATAGGTTTCACTATTCTGTACAAAAGGATAAAAGATAATTTGACTATGATCATATAAAACGACTAAGCAGTATGACAAATCAACCAGTATCTGCTTACTTTTTGTTGTTGTTCTTTTTCGATCCAACCCGAGAAACGACTCATTTGTGTTACAATCGGAAAGTGCACTGTGGAGAAAGATGTGTTATATATATATATATATATATATATTCAATTTGATCCAATCGTAATTGTCCAAAAATGGTACCACTTATCGGCTAACCGTTTAGACAGATCTAAAGAGTATATAAATACTAAACAATTTTCTTTAAATTACAAAAAATAATATCTTTAATCTTTAAACATGAATTTCTTAAAACACTTTTTGCGTCCTCATAAAGAAGACTCTGGTTCCAATACACCTGTTCACTCCAATGCAGCAACTCCTATTACTTCTCCTGTTGGTTCTATAGTTAATGTGGATGCGGCTATTCGACCTGTTGCTGATCGCTACTATAATGATCCTATGCGTACAAACAAGAAACCTGATGCTGTTGGTACTTTCTATGATCCTATGGGTGGCCACGGTAGTTACACTGTCAGTAGAGATGTCACAAACACGGGTGCTTAAACTCTATATACACGCATACATACATACATATATTATGTAAATAATTACGCATATCATTCTTATATCCAATCATTTTATTCATACTACTTACTTTTTAGAATATTAATAAACATTTATTTACATTTAATAACGAGTAAATGTACCTCTTGTGAGGTAGTTGCCATCCATTTGTTTTTTATCGCTTGAGCTAAAAATACTTTTGACAGCACTAGACACTTGTGTCTTTTGCTTTTCAGCTAAATCTTGGGCCACTTTATCCATCACAGCAGCAGCAGCAGAGGAATGAATGGTCGATGCTGTCTTCTTGGCTGCCTTATCAGGTGAATTTGAATCTCTCTTCCTCTTGCTTGATCCATTCTTTTTAGCCTTTTTTTCTGCTTTAGCCTTAGCTTTCTTTTCTTCCAATTTCTTTCGCATGGCATCTTGTTCCTCTTTTGTAGGATTGATGACCACAATATTCTCTTTTTCAAATGGCTTGCCACACTAATCAAATCATTAAGAGACAGTAATAAGATTTACTTACAGTAAAGCATTCTTTGCCGGGAATCTCCTTCAATGCTTGTTCTGCAAAGACACAGCCGCAGCTATCCAAATACACAAATCGATGTTTGCCATTCATTTCTTTCATTGAAATAGGACAGATAAACTTGCTTCTGATATCTCTGTCCAAATTACCCATGGTGGCTGAGTCATTGTTGGATTTGTCAAAAGAAGGATTGGGTGTCAAGTTGAGCTTGATTGTGTCTTTTAATGAGGTGATGTGAGAACAAATCTTATCGCCATCACCATAGGTATTGGGGTCTAGTAAATACTCAATGATCGCATCTTGGTTATAGAGTTTGCCTAATCCACAAGAAACAACAGGTTGTTCTAACAAAAGCTAATCGACTTAGTCCTGAACACAGACATCATTTCTTACCTTGGATAAAGCACAATGAAGCCAAGCAGCGGCTCTCTCAATATCAGGATTAAGGACAACATGCTTTGCCTTTTCTTTGACAAGTTCAATGCGTCTAGGAATAGAACCACCGTCGTTACCCATACTCAAAAAGAAAAAAGAAAAGAGAAAAAAGAAAAAAAGAGAGAGAGAGAGAGAGAGAAAAAAGAACTTGTCTCGCTTATTCCCCTTTTATAGACAAGTCACAACCAATCATTTCGGGATAAGCGGAAGCGAACCACAACATGCATTTGTATTCAAGCAAGTGTAACAAATAAAATGTAATAAATAATAAATGACATATTTTTTTTCTTATTTCTTCTTCTTCTTCTTCTTTCCTTATAATGACGACCTTCATATCCACTTTTATGAAACAAGATGGTATGGTAAATACTGACTTGAATGAATATCAATACCACATTACACCTGAAGATACTGTCACTTCACCCATAAGCTCATGCGAAACATCTTCCTTATATTCAAGACGCTCTTCGTACTCATCTTTTGATTACACACCTCGTCTTCGACATACCAAAAGCTTATTGGTCGATATGTATCCTACGAAGAAATCAGCTTATGAACGCATTGAGTTCCTTGAAGAACAAATACGTCTCTCAAGACAATTGAATCAAACGATCGTCAAAAGTATATCACAGTCCGACCAAACATTTCTAGACCAACGTGCTGACCCTTTAGACAAACCAAAAGATACAGAGACGACGATCCTTCAAAAATTAGAAGAATTAAAGCAACTTGTTCATGCATCGCATATAGATAAAGGTAAGTTCTTTATCGTTGGAGCCAATAGCCATAAATACGAGTTAGTGGTCTTGTCTGCTCGGACAATACAACATTGGATCGATAGTGTAACCAAACAAGATTTAAAGAACGTGATGGTACCTCTCCTGTATGCCACCGAGCAAGAGAAGCAGAAAAACGCAAGGTTGACTCAGGCAATTCATAAACTCAGTCAACAGAAACACACGGCTTGTAAAACGATTAAACAGCTTAAAACAAAGCTGGCTTTTTGTCAGCGTCAATATGAACGGGAAACAAACCAATTAAGGCAGAAACTGAAAATAAACAAGGAAGAGCAACAAGACATGGAGCAGGTGGTAGATGATATGCAGAAAGAAATGCAGATCATGCTAGATGAATTAGACCAAACAAAGCGACAAAAAGAACGTTTTGAAGAGAAATCACAACGACTGGAAAAGGATCTTCAAGAGGACAGTCCTGATCATGGATCACAAGCACTCCTGAGAGAGTCACATACGACTATATTGCAATTAGAGTCAGATCTGGAGCAACAGAAAGAGAAGTTAGAACAGCTCTTGTTGCGTACAACACAGGAACGCAACACCATGGTTACAACACATGCTCAACAAGTGGATGCCCTTGTGCTTGAAAAGAATGAACTCCGCGCAAGGTTAGTTCAAGCTGAACGATCTGCAGCAGAACTCAATTTGCTGGTCACGGTCGAAAGAAAAAAAGCGTCTGATAAAGAACTCGAAGATGCACTTAAGCGTACGCTCGCTGAACGTGATGCAGCACTTGCCAAAACACAACAGGAAATCATGAAATTGAAACAACAGGCAGACAGATTGAGTCAATACAACGAAAAGCAAATCCAGAGAGAAGTCGTGGCTCGACTAGAAGAACTCGAGTCCAATCTGAAATCGACTTACAAAAAGGAGACGGATACATATCAACTGCAGATTTCAAGAGAAGTACGTGAATTATCAGGTCGATTAGTGGAACTTGAAGAGGAACTAGAAGGCATGGAAAGACGACAAGCTCAGTACGACCAACAGATTGAAAACATCAAACGGTCTCAATTAAATGCAGAAGAGGCATTGAGAGCACAAAGACTTATTTGGGAAAAAAAAGAGCATCAACTCAAGATGGAAATGACAAAATCAGATCAGAAAATTATTTCTTTAGAAAAAGAAGCACTTGTGTTATACAGTAAAAATTTAGACATGGCAAGGCATTTAGGTGAATTAGATCTTTCATAAATACAAAAAAAAAAGAGGGAATAAATTACTATGTGCATGCTAGATGTTGTGTATATGTTAAAAGTCTTCTATTTCTCGACCAAATTCATCAAAGTTGATCATAAAAAAAGGGTGCCTTAAAGCTTCCCTTGCTGTTATTCTGGCCTCAGGATCATACACCAACATTTTTGTAAGTAAATCAAGAAATTGATATTTAGCGTTGGTTGTTGGATTGACAATGCGCTATGAAATCTATGAATATCCTCCTGTTTTTGCATTCTATTTTACCTTTAATAACTTAAGCGCACGGACATATTTTCTACTTTGTTCAGTGGTATCGACATCAGGGTATTTTAGTTTACCATTCTTAAAGAACTTTTGAGCTTCACGACTATAGAAAGTGTGAGTAAATCGTATTTTAGACATATACTTGCCTAGAAGCTTTCACGAGTTTAGCTGGTATTTTGCCCAAGACAACCACCATCATGGCCAGATGTTCTAGATTATCATGTGTTTGGAACAGCGCTTCACCCGTCAAGAATTCAACTAAAATACACCCAATTGACCAAATATCACAAGGATAGGACCAGCCCATACCCAAGATAATCTCTGGTGCTCGATAATGTCTTGTAGAGACAACACTTGAATGATAGTCTTTTTCAAAAGTAGCAGAACCAAAGTCAATCAGTCGAATGTCTGTGTTTTCTAATATTCTAGAGTTGGGATCTGCCCCAACCATCTAATAAGAGTAAGATAACTGCATTATGATGATCCCAACCTACATTGCCTGCTTCTCTGCTTTGGCTGTCAACCAGTAAAATATTCTCTGGCTTTAAGTCTGTATGAATTAACTTTAATTCATGCACAACTAATAGAAAATATAAGTATCCTCTTTTGGCAAGTTCGTTTCTCCTTTTACATGCTACACTGGTAAGAATTTGTTTAGCAAATTGTTGAATATGATGAATTGGGAATGGTCGGAATTCGTTAAATTTCAAAAAGTCAAAGACAGATTGACCCAACAGTTCAAATACCATACAGATATGATTATGGTAATCAAACCATTCCACCAAGTGAATACATTTACTATGTTTGTTAGTCCATTCATGTTTTTGTAGGTGTATTACTTTAGATTGAAAGGATCATGTTCTTTTAAACTGTTTAATACTCGAATTTCAATCTTGCTTGCATCTCTGTATTTTGGTATGGCTCGAATAATTTTGATAGCACAATATGTTCTCTTGACTCGATCATAGCATTCGACCACTTTTCCAAATGTACCTTGACCCAATAAGCGCATCATTTTATCTATATATATATGCATCAATTTTTTTTTTCTTTTTAATTGAACTTACAGCGTGGTGTCAAGGATTCATTTGGCTTAATAATATAATGACCATCTTTATCATCACAAGCCTAAATAAAAATAAAAATAAATCATAACCATCATAGAACCATTGGCTTACAGTCGTGGCTGGTACTGCTGCTGTTACAGGCATTGTGTTTGGATTAGGTCTTCTTAATAGATTCGCTATAAATCATTCAATAAAAAAAAAAAAAAGCCCTATTCATTCTTTCTTGTTTACCTTGAATAGGAGCATCTTTTTTTCTCTTCTTTACAGAAGGGGAATGCTCATCCTTTCTAGACCGCTTTGAACGTGTAGAAGAAGCTGGGGGACCTAACAAAGTAGTGTGTTCTATACGATAAGACGTATGAGAAACAGAAGGTGTTGAAGGAGGAGGAGTGTCTTCAATCACAATCACTTCTTTTGGCATGCCATTCTTGTAGAAATCTGTTTTCCAATCTTGTTCAGTCGTCATATTCTCGAAAATAATAAAAAGAAGAAGGAGGAAAACCCTGTTGACTTGTGAAAAATGCGCTCTTTTTTTTTTTTTTCTTTTCTTTTCTTTTAATATTTTCTGTATGCACATTGACAATAGTCACTCACTTTGATGTTTCTTTATAAGCAGACGTCATTTTCACATTTAAAAAGGATATTTTTTCTCTCTCTTTCTCTCTTTCTTTTTTCTTTCTCTCTTTGATTCATATGACTATCTTTGAAGTGCAAGATATTTCTTTACAATTGCCTGATGGAAGATGGTTATTTCAAAATGTTTCCTTTAAACTAAATGAAGGTGATACACTGGTCATGCGTGGTCCAAGTGGTGTTGGGTAAAGAAATTAGATGTAATATGAAAATAATAACAAGATATAGAAAAACAACCCTTTTGAAGTGTGTTGCTGAATTGATTCCATACAATCATGGTTATTGCACACTGAACGATAAGAAAGTAAGTGATTATACAGTCCCTATTTGGCGCTCTCGGGTGATGTATGTGCCTCAGCGACCTGCAGTTCATCCTGGCACACCACTGGACTTCTTTGATATTGTCAAGAAATTTGCAAGCCATAAAAATAGAGAATTGGGTGATCCTGTAAGTGTCATGGTGTTGCTCTGTAATTCATGTTAGACAATGATAGGTCAAGATTGGGTCAGAATGGCAGCTGTCAGAAAGTCATTTCAGAGAGAAATGGGGTAATCTTTCAGGTGGAGAAACACAACGATGTGCATTAGCTATTGCACTTGCATTGAATCCAGATATCTTATTATTAGATGGTAAGTCTCATCGGAGATGTGATGCTTGTAACACTCTATCAGAACCTACTTCTGCATTAGACCCTGAAACAATCGAGTTAGTAGAAAAGACGCTCAAGGGAAAGACATGCGTCTGGATCACACACGATGCTGGCCAACAAGATCGAGTGGGCACACATACCCTTAACCTCACACGCTCACATGAATCTACACCGAATGATTCAGAAAGTGATTCAACTACCATTGACATGCACTAGTTTATTTTTTTCAACATGTACATACGCACAGTAAATAAACCTTGAGGAAATCCCTTTTGAACTTCTTCCTTGATAACTTGTAGACCTGCTTGAGCAAACAATCGTTTTAATTCTTGATGAGGGCGAGTGATGCTACTGTCTTCTTCATCAAACAAAGCTTCTTTGGACGCATTGTTTTCCTTGACACCAATCAATCCATTAGGCTTAAGACCCTCGGCACAGCGTTGAAAGAAAGCAACAAAATGGTCTAAATCAATGTCAATCACGTCATGCCAACATCATGTTACCATCTGTTAAATGACCGAGCACCCATTGACACCAGATTAAATCATATTTGCCTTGTTCTGGAATAAAATCCTGAAGTCCCTGGCAATAAATCTCGCCTATTTTATTTGCCTTGATTTCGTCTTTTAAGTAGTCTAATTTAGCCCTCTCAACAAAAGGTGCTGCTTGTTCTACTAAATCCACCTTGTCAAAAGGTACTTGGAGTAAAAAATTTTTAGTGACTCGACCAATACCAGCACCACAATCACAAGCATAGAGTTGGTTACTAGCAGAAAAAAATTCTCGGCAAAAGTCAAGTGAACCCTTGACATCAACAGGATCAACGACAGATAAACCACCCAACATACCGTCAATCGTAGGAGTGACATTATCCCAATATTTTTGAGCATCACCATACCATTCTGGTTTTGCCATTAATTTTGAGAAAGCTTCCTAATATATCATTCAGCACTTGCCATTCTTCTATATGAATGTCTTACTGCAGTAGACATGGTTATTAAAATAAAAAGGAAAGAGGAAAAAAAAAAAAGACTGTCTTCGGCCATTGAAATAAAGAAGAACGCGTCTGGTTTATGCAGTTTCTTTTATGGTATTGACACGGTATCAACTTGCCAATCTGGAAACAGGAACAGAATCGTACAGAAACAAACGAAAGTCAACTGATCATGAGGACGTACTTGTTGCCGATCCTCCCATCGTGACCATCTCCCGCTCTCATCAAACACAACAAGACAACAGTTTGGATGCGCCTCTGAAAGTAGATGCACTGCTGGAACAGTTGGATGAGTAAGTTACCCGTTCTCTTGTTCATTACTCATGGCGTTTTAGTTATGAATGCTCTACACTGGATGCTCTTATGATGCGTTGGCCTTCTTTGCATTCAAGACTCAAAGGCATGAAACCCCATTTACCACCCAAGAAAGCCGACAATAAACCCACTTTAGGTAATCTCTCTATTTCAACTTGACTCACATCTCACTAGTGCTTGATTTGGACGAAACCTTGCTTCATACCTATCGTGACATGGACAATAAGTACGATGTCGATTATGTCCTCTATGATCACCATCGCACTAGTCGTTTATTAGCAGGTCGATTACGTCCTGGTGTTATGGATTTCTTAACCTGGGCATCTGATGCATTTGAAATCGTCGTTTGGACTGCAGGCACTAGAGACTATGCAATGATGGCAAGAACATGTCTTGATCCAAATAACCAATTGATCACGTAAGACCATTATTTGTCTATTAATAACTTATGCTTTAGACATATATTATCCCGTAATTCATGTATCCAAGTGAGATCTGCTTCTGCTTTACAAGTAGTGTATGTCAAAGACTTGTGTGCATTAGGAAGAGATTTAAGCAAAACGTTTCTTGTCGACAACACACCTCATGCAGCCTCACTTAATTTGAGTAATTGGATACCCATTCAGGCTTATGTGGGTGGTTCATCCGATACTCAACTAACAGAGTTAAGGCAGTATCTTGAATCTCATGTCGTATGTTTCACAGACAAAAGAAATGACTTGCGTCTTGTTTTACATAGGCAGTTGGATTTAAAGAGAAGAATAAGAGAGCGTGTTGAACATTGGAGACAAACCCAGTCGTTATAAGGTTGTATATATATATATATATATATATGTATTAAATAATAAAATTACAGCATAGTTTCTACTTATTGAGCTCCCGATCTAGGTCGTTGACTTGTATTACATTTACTTTGAGGTGAAGGTTGTGGTGATATACTGTTGGGTGACACCACTACTTTTTCATTTAAATACAGTTCTTTTTTCTTTTTTGAAGTTTCCCAAATATCCACATTCTGGTAGATATAATCCACCGTGAATTGCATATCTATACATGTATGTGATCTTAGATAAGAAATCTACATACAATACGCTTTACCTGAATTGACATGGCTCACTGCTTTAAATAACTTAAGCGCAATCAATCGTTTAAAGGACAATTGAAAGTCTGCTAGTGGAATTTTACCTCGCTCATTAATGGGCAACACAGGTAATCCTAACTCTTTCTCTAAATCCCCTTGTTCAGAGAATTCTTCAGCAAGGATTAATGCCCATCGCTTCGCAGATTCAAAAGGACGTGCCTGACTACTGGTAAGATATATGTCATATGATAGTCCACTATTATGTTGAACTTACACAATTACTAATATCAGCACATTTAATCAAAGCACCACAAAGTAAAATCTTTTCCATCTCGTCTGTAAAGTCCACCTTATCTGATTCTAATCGATCCGCTTGATCTTTAATCCTCGACACATAATCATCATGTAAACTCATATCAGTTGCTAGGATACTATTTACCACAATTTTTCGAAAACCTAAATAAGATCAGAATGAGTACACGACTACATCATAGAAAAAAAAATGGGATTTTTACTAGCATATTCTGGGTTAGACCGAAGATCTGTCAGCTGACTGAAACAATGCGATTTCAACAAGTGAAAAAATGACATGGCATGAAAACTTTCCAAAACAGATTTATCATTGTAAAGAATAGCTAAAGGTGTACATGTTGAGACCTATATCAAAGCTTGTTAGTGTTGATCAAAACCATGATATCTTACCATGAAATGATTATTGACGCCTGGATGTCCTACATCATGGCCAATACTTGCCATCAATAAAGCAAACATATCCAATGGTTTAAGCATATTCGCTACTTTTTCATTCATGGCTTTTTCCTTGTCTGTCTGTTGATGTTCAAAACGAACAAATGCATCAGGACACATGGGGTCCAGTGCACCTATATGACACAAGAAATAGTAGTTTGCCTGTAGCACATCTACTGCATGTCGAAAGTTGTGATAGGGATTTGTATTATGGTAAGAATTGCAGATGTCAAAGATAAAGTGATACAGATCATCTAAGAAGTAGTAAGGTCATGGCGTCCACGTGGGTTGTACGACTTACCGCTGGGAACACGGAGAGGCGTAAGTTCATCGTAACGAGTGAGAATATCGTTCAAGATCATAAAGACAACTTGGACCAAGTCCTTGTTGCTCAAATCAAGAGGTAAGAAATCCCAACTGCAAATGTGTGATTTTAAATAATCTTTACGATCCCTATGTATTCCTAAGCATATCATTCAATACGTGTTTAACTTACTCTAACATGGATGCCATAGAAGATCTTTTCACACAAGGTTTTGGGGTATAATAGTCTGCAATCAATTTCGATAGCCTAATTCTATATGTTATGATTGCTTTCTCTGATGTTTATTTCCCTTACCAATGCTCTTGAAAAAACACACCCTTAAGACGCTCTTTAAACTTTTCCCAAACTTTACCACTGTTTGTATGATTGACCATTTTCTCGCTCTTAGTTGATTCTGTAAGTTGTTGAATATGGTCTAGTTTTTTCTGTTTCTTTTGAATATGATATCTTGTTACATTCTATCAACATAAGTAAATCTATTTTTTTTTTTTTTTTTGGTTATCCATTCAGTTCTTACCAAAAATAAGGTTTTTATGACATCTTTGCATATTGGCTTAAGTACGAAATCTGCAGCACCTTCTTGTAGGCACTTGACCATGTAAGCTGGAGTATCATCTGAAGAACACACTGAAAGAAGTCAGCATCCATTTGATGTCTTTTTTTTTTTTTTTTTTTACCTATTGGCACTACATCTAAAAGAATTCCTTCTTTAATCAAATGGACAACATGTAACAAAAGATCTGGACAGTCGTCATGATTCGATATACCACACGATTCTGCATCAATCAGTAAAAGAGTAAATGTATTTTCATACTGTTGTTTCTTGAGTTCATGAACAATATCTGGTTTTCTTGTCTTATAGACCACTATGCTATTTTTAATTTGCGCGTTCATTTAATGCAGATTTTTACCAGTTGGGAAAACAGAATAAAGCAAGTCAACTAAGTCAGCCAATGTTTCGTTCTGTTCATGGAATAAAACAACTGAACAATTACTTGGGCTTAAACGTTTCATTTCTTCTGTTTTTTTAAAAAAAAATATAAACAACCAAGATGTTTGTTTCACTTACATCACCAAAAGAGAGAGAAAAAGAGAGAAAAAGAAAGCGAAAAAAGTTTAAATCCTCAGTTGACCACAACATGATTTAAATAGATATATACACACGATTTAGGAAATGATATGATTGGCTCTGCACAACTGTCAAGGGCATCCCACTTTTTGCAATGGGTTTAAAGGTTTCATACGTTATTTTGACAAAAGTTTCTACCAATAAGAACACACCATGATTTGAAACTCAAATCATATCAATTTTACACTTTTAGGTAACATACAGTGGCTCATGAACCTGAGCTGGAGGGTTATCATCGTATAAGTTAGCAAGATGAATTCATCTCGTCAAATTGACTCTTTGGCATGTTAACTTTGTTGGCTTGCTTTTCAAAAATGTTCCAGTATTTATCCTCTTTGAGTCTTTTGGTCCACTTCTGCGCTGCTCGCTCAACGGTTCTACCATATTTAGCAGTATTGAATAACTTTACTTCGTTACAGTAGACAAAGTTTTTGTGGTGCCTACTTTGTATTTTTACTACGGCTGTAAGTTCCTCCACTTCTGCATCTAATTCTTCAATAGCCAAAGTCTGCTCAGTCTCTTAGCTTCACAGTAAAGTCTAATGCGAGTTAAAATGGTTAGATGATGGGGGTGCACTTTCTCTTCCCAGTCCATAGCATCACAACCTTCCCATGTCCATCTTCTTAAAAAAACATGTACTCATCTAAGTTATGTTATCAAGAATCGCCCTTTGACAAAAATAATAAGAGCTGCAAATTGAGATTTAAAAAACCGCCCTTTGGCGTTGATTTGGCTGTAAGCTCAAATTTATATAAAGATTGAAAAAACAGACCAAAAAATATGCTTGTGGTAAACTGGCCATTTGAAAATCAACTTACTTAAGAGTGAGGTTTGTGCACTGTGTGGAAAAAAAATAACAGTGGTTCCGAGCTCAAAATTTGTATCTTTAACTCCCCTTGTTTTGCAAGTAAATAAGATTATTTTTTTTCATTTTCTTTTTTTAAAAAGTGGCCAAAGGCAAAAATACCCGAAGGCAAAAATACCCGAAGGCAGAGATACCCGAAGGCAGAAATACCCTAAGGCAGAAATACCCGAAGGCAGAGATACCCGAAGGCAGAAATACCCTAAGGCAGAAATACCCTAAGGCAGATACCCGAAGGCAGAGATACCCGAAGGCAGAGATACCCGAAGGCAGAGATACCCGAAGGCAGAGATACCCGAAGGCAGAGATACCCGAAGGCAGAAATACCCTAAGGCAGAAATACCCTAAGGCAGAAATACCCTAAGGCAGAAATACCCTAAGGCAGAAATACCCGAAGGCAGAAATACCCTAAGGCAGGATAAAGATGCAAAAAGAGGGAGAAAGGGTTTTTATATTTTTTTCTTAGAAAAAGCAGTCTACATTCTTGTGACAATTATTTTGGAAGCTAACTATTGGTTACATTAAAGTGAGGTCATATCAGGGGCTTAGCGAAACTATTCAAAATTTGAGATAATTTCTGTAGCTGTGTTTTTCAGGTTTCCCAATAGTAATCATAATGGTATGCAATGGCTGTAATAAACCCAATAAACAAGTGTGCATAAAAAGCGTCTCAACAGTAAGCCTGACGAACCATCAGATGAAAGAAATTCTAAGATGTTTAAATCTTAAACTGTTGAACGAGATTTGTAAAAACATAACGTCAGAGTATGTATCCTTGACCAAGTTTTTACTTAATTACTAACTTTGCCGTTCTTTCCTTCTTAGTACTTCATATCTGCATTTTTCAACCATTGAAAGCGCGTCTGTTTTTTATAACACTTATGTTGAAAAAGGCCTTACTATAAACAATATGCATTTCACAATTCACCCAACACAATTGTCTGATGGCACTTTGGTAACTTATGCTTTTCAAAAGATAAGCTTTGGCAATTGTTCTATTTCTCATAGCATTAATGCTCAAGCTGCTAACAGTGCTACTGCGCTCACATCTATATCACAAGCTAATCCTGATATCACCAATACTGCCACTACGCCTATACCTTCATCACAAGCTAATCCTGATATCACCAATACTGCCACTACGCCTATACCTTCATCACAAGCTAATCCTGATATCACCAATACTGCCACTACGCCTATACCTTCATCACAAGCTAACCCTGATATCACCAATACTGCCACTACGCCTATACCTTCATCACAAGCTAACCCTGATATCACCAATACTGCCACTACGCCTATACCTTCATCACAAGCTAACCCTGATATCACCAATGCTGATACTACCCCTAGCAGTGAATGGATGCTTAGCACTAAACGCGCGATAGATGAAATTAGTAAAGAAATAAAACAGTTGAAGAAGAGACGAAGATATTTAAAAAAGGCATTAAAAAAAGATCACTAAAATCAAGACGTTCTTCACTTATGACCCAAATCAACACTTTTTTCACCTATGTAAAATGTCGAAATAAACCTTTTTTTTTTGACTATTGTTTTAATGATACAAATTAAGCCATGTAGACCAAAATCGAAAACAACCTAGATGCTTAACTCAAAAATATATTGCGCCATATTGTATTAAGACCTATTTTTTAGAAAATGCGCCTTTTTGACTTTCAAGTGGAATTAATGTAACACGCACAGTCAGTTTAGAGGACTTGGCGAAGACTAGGTTTGAATTAATTCAGATAGGGTGCGGATTCGTTTACAAGTATATTTCTATTTCTTTAGTTACAGAGAAACTTTTATTCGAAGACTGAAGACGAGCATTATTTATAAACCTTCTTATTTTGTGTTTATTTTTAAAACTTGCTTTTTACATCTTTTAAAAAAAGCAATGTCTTATAATAATATACCCCTAAAATTCATGCATTACTTCAACATTATAGCTGAAATCCCTGATACTGAATTAATTGATTTTGAAGAGGAACATCATCATGACTGTGATTAAAACAAGAGGTTGTAGGTATGCTTACCTCTTACCTTACTCTCACGAGCTTAATACTTTGAGGCGCTTTGCCCATTTTTGAGCAGTGCGAACCTCAACTTGAGCCTCTCGGGCAGAAGCGGCAGCATTCAAGAGTTTGATTCTATTAAAATACTAGAAAACTGCTTTTTGTTTGTCAGAGTAGACATTATGTTTTCTACAGCTAGACCTTCAGAAATATCTTCCATTTGAGTGTCAAGCTCCTCTGTGGATTCAGTGGGAAAGCGCTCTTGAATTAATCGATATCGAGCTGTCATCAAGGAACTAGTGTTGAAAGGATCAACTTCTTCCTCATAATCCATTGCATCGTTTCCTTGTCCATCTTTGTAAAAAAAAGTTGTTACAATACGACTTTTAGCAATTTACAAAGACGAACCTTGACTAATCAAATGCGAATTTTGGCTGTTAAAAAACCGAATTTTAGTTGGAGACAAAAACGAATTCAGCTCATTGGAAAACGAACTTTGGGAGTGGAGTCACTGTACAAATGATATTCTACTGATATGGGAGTCTTTTTTTTTCTAGAAAACGACCGTGCATCTCTTTCTTTTATCATGTTCATGGATAATCAAGAAGTAAGTCACAGTGAATAACCTCTTCGCTTTCATTTTCTTCTGCACGTGACATCGCTTGCTGTTGTTCAACGAGAGAGGGTATATTTATGAACATGATTATAGCTTTTATAAATTACATGAGTGACTTGTAATTCAATGGTATAAAAAGATCAGATACTCTCTCTTTTTCTCTTCTTTATCAATCATGACTACTTGTAAACGTATTGAATTTGAAGACTTAAAAACCTCCGAACTTGGTCAATGTATAGGTAAGATTTTGGATAGAAATCAAGGTTGCTTATGACGTTAGACCTTGCTTCTGCTGCTCTTGGATCTACTATTGTTGCTGTGACGGACGAATTCTTTGCTCCTGCTACCAACATGATTAACCCTGCTCCGCCTGTTCATGCCCCTGGTCGCTTTGTTGGTAAGATAATGCACATTTGTTTATTTGTTACTTACTTTATCAGAAACGGGTGCCTGGATGGACGGTTGGGAAACCAAGAGACATAACCCCAATTATGACTGGTAAGTAGTATCAAAAGTGATTACTTGTTGAATCAAATAGGGCTATTATCAAACTCGGGTTTTCTGGTTCTTTCAAAGGATTTGATATTGATACCCACTACTTTACGGGTAATCAAGCTCCTTTTGCTTCTGTTGATGCCGCTGTAGTTCCTATTGGTGCTGATGCTCAATCCGCCGATATTGAATGGAAAGAAATCTTGCCCAAGGTCGAATTACCTCCTTCTCAACACAATGTGTTTGTATTGGAAAAAGAAACAGGAGTTTATACGCATCTTCGTCTGAATAACATTCCTGATGGTGGTATCGCTCGATTCCGTGCCTATGGTAATATATCTCCTGTTTGGCCCGAGGATAAAAAGTAAGGATGTAACCTTGATAAGATAAGCTCATATCTTTAGTGCTATTGTGGATCTCGCTTTCTGTGGTAATGGAGGTCGTGCTGTTCAGGTGTCTAATCAACATTATACACCTGGTTATAACATCTTGTTGCCTGGTCGCGGTCAAAACATGGGTGATGGTTGGGAAACCAAGCGTTCTCGTACACCTGGACATACTGATTTTGTCATGATTCGTTTAGGTGACCGTGGTCACCTTTTGAAAGCTGTGGTAGATACATCGCATTACTGTGGCAATTATCCTAACAAGATTATTTTGGAAGCTACTTGCTCTGATCAACAAGTGCCTGGCAATGATGCTGAATGGACTAGGTTGATCCAACCTTCTTCTGTGGGTCCTCATGATTTGTTCTATTTTGATCTGCCACATACAGATAAAATCTTTACGCATGCCAAGATCATTATTGTACCTGACGGTGGTTTAAAGCGTCTTCGTCTTTATGGTGTTCGCGAAGGTGGTCAATTGCCAACACTTCCTATTGATATTGGAGATGCTGCTCAATAATACAATGATACCAAGTTTATTAAAACAAGTCTATATATATATTATACAATATTGTAATATCTCATAAGGATAGTAGAGATGATGCAAAACACAAGAATAGAAGCCATAATACCCACAAACCAAGTCAAATCTTCCTATGATAGAATGAGATACAGTCCCTAATTTTTTTTTCTATACCTGAAATTGGCCTGGGACTTGTACGTTCATACCAAACAGACCTGTCACTAAATTCATGGGCACAAGAATACTACCCAAAGCAGTTAATTTAGACAGGATATCATTAATTTCATTGTTTGTTTGAGTCATTTCAATAGAGATTTGAGCCAAATAATTGGAATGAGATCTGGATGAAATCTTTTCATAGTGATTAAGGGACAACAGCATAGAAATAATATGGTCTAACCATCATCATTAATATCCATAGATTCCACTCTTCTGATTTACCTTGAACATCACCGAGATACAAGGCTACTTCTTTACTAAGTGCAGGTCGAGTACCATCTTCAGGAGCTACTTCACCTCTTTTGACAAGTGTCTTTACGACGTCTGTCTTGGAAGACAACAGACGCAATAATCCCATCATACGTTTTCTACAGTAACCAATACGCCGCAGCATATCAGACTGTTCTGATTCTTTCAAGATCAAGACAAGTTCATCAATCGAATCCACTTCAAATTCAATAGCACGAATCAAAGGAGCAAATGAGTCTGTGATATCATCCAATATACCATAACAAATCCAATCTATACCTTGGTTGGTTTATAGTTTTGTATGATGCCACTTGCCTGGTGTCACATTGATATAGTCTTTTAATTGCTTGATTCTCTTTCTTACATTATGAGGATGAGGTATGGATTTGAAATGAAACTAACTTGACATGAGCCACACACTCTCTATTGAGTAGATATCTTTACCGTAATAACACCTTCTTTCAGCACAATAATATAAACAGCAGAAGGTTGTAGATAATTAGGAGAGAACTCGTCTTGATCAAAACTTCTGAAACACAAAAAGTAATAGTTCATAAATACTTCACATTTCTCTCGTTGCTCTTCCATACTAATGTCTTCTACAGTCAGTGGGTGGATATGGAATACTTTGCATAATGCCTTCATCTCGTTATCTGTAGGGTTAAGGATATCAATCCAAAAGCAGCCTTTTTTCAGCATGTCAGATAATGTCTCGTCTTCATTATTGTCTGGTATTTCACAAATAGAACGGGCATGGATCGTAGAGGTCTCTAAAGGTGAATAATACGTCACTCGATATTCTGTATCGCTTTCATCTCTTGTACTCTATATCATATAAGTTATTCATCTATATATATATGTGTGTGTGTGTGTGTGTGTGTTTTTACCAGCATGCGATCCCCATACATACTATATCTTCTACCATCTGATGCACCCATGGTAGAAAGTCTTCTTCGCCGAGGTTTTTGTTCAAAGGCTTCCTTTTTTTCGCTGGTGATATATTCTTCCAGGGCTTCATAGTCAATCCCTGTTTCTTCCTTTTTGTTGGGTGTGGGGAAACAAACATCGACCTCAACTGGACTCATACGAGAATTACTGGAGGTTTCAACATCAGATGGATATGGGTCTGGTGTACTCGGGGGTGGTGCCATGTTAATAGCGACATTTGTATCTGTTTGAGAAGGTGAATGAACAAAATAATGTGATCTTTCATCCTACATATTAACAGTAATAATAAAAAAGGTTATTCAATCATTCAGGTAGATCTATAACTTACTTCAGAAGGAATGGCTTGATAACCTGTAGAGCGGTTACCAAAAAACATATTTAAAGGTTGAAAAGAAGTGCCAGTGACATTGTTGTTGGGTGAATCTTGAGGTTGATTTCTTGGAATCTTTTTTTGATTATGGCGCTTCTTTGACTTGGTCATATTGAAGAAAGAGAAAGAAAAGAATAGAAAAAAAAAAAAGGGAGATCCGCATTAAAATATAAATTGCATCAGTATTACAGATAATTTTGTATCTCAGACAATCTCTCAGTTTTATTGACTGTAAACAATTACAAACAATGAAAAGAGAAAGACAGAGAGAGAGAGAGATATAAAAAAAAATGCCAATGTCATGACAGATTTATGCAAGTGTAACATGCTAGTATTATCATCATTATGGTTAAAAGATTGACCGATAGAAGTCACTGTATAGCTAAATTAAAAACGGCCAAATAGGCGTCCTCCATGTGTAAGTACACACCGCTTCTTTTCTTTCTTTCTTTCTTTTACGTTACGAGATGAACATTTTTCGGTTGTGCGCAGACTTGACACACTTGGCTTCTATCTTTATTCTACTTGCAAAGATAAGACAAAGTCGTTCTTGTGTTGGTAAGTTCAACTAAGCCTGACAGAATGATATGCTCATAAACTCAAGGTATTTCACTCAAGTCTCAAATTTTATATATCATTGTCTTTTTGACGCGATACATTGATGTTGTCTATAAATTTCACTCTATCTACAATACCTGTATGAAGATTTTCTTCCTTGCTTCGTCCTTTTATGTGTTGTATTTGATGAAAGTTAAATTTAAAGCCACATATGATCCAAACCTCGATACGTTCCGTAATGAATACTTGGTCTTGTTTGCTGGTGTCTTGTCTGTCGTTCTTTGCTATGAATACACACCTGTTGAAGTAAGTGCCAAATAAGCGTACACTATTTAACGCTTGTAGATTCTCTGGTCTTTCTCTATTTGGTTAGAATCAGTGGCTATTTTACCACAATTATTCATGTTGCAACGTACAGGTGAAGCAGAGACAATCACAACACATTATATTTTTGCTTTGGGTGCTTATCGTACTCTCTATTTGTTTAATTGGGTCTATCGTTACTATTATGAACCTAATTATACTGTGGATTGGATTGCATCTGTTGCTGGTTTATTACAAACTGCTTTGTATAGTGATTTCTTTTATATTTATTATGTCAAAGTTGTCAAGGGCCAAAAGTTTGAATTACCTAAGTAAGTAAGAAACAGGATCTGATCATGATCACTCAATACAATATCTAGGGTTGCTTAATTTGTTTCAATAAAATATATATATATATATATAGTTTTTTTTTTACACGAGTTGAACAAAATTAGCAGGAAACTAAATTGAATAAGTGAATCCGTTTGTTTGTTTAGATAGATAACTTACAATGCCTTGGCGATTTCCAATCCTTCCAGTCCACCAGTCATTTTGTGTATCTGTCTTTTTGACAATGGTAATCATATCACCTTTGTGAAACACTAAATCTCCTTCTTGTTCACCAGCAAAATTAAAGAGCGCTCGAGCACGTACGTCCTGACGACTCGGTACTAATGCTCGTCTCTCTTGATAGGTTATTTCTCGAGAAGATACATCACTCGTACTGTTGTCTTGCCAAGCTGAGCCTGTTGTGTGGTTTCTTGTCACTTGAGGACCTCCTGTCTTGGCAAGCTGGTGAACATGGGCTCGACTTAAGGACATGGTGCGCGATGCAGGCGAGTCCCATTCATCTGTTCTTGTATCATAGCTCTGGTTACTTGAAGACGTGTCGTATTGATCCTCCATGAACCTGAATCTTTCACGGCTCACTCCTCCTGATTTAATCTCAAGCGCTCGATAGAGTACATCCGCACCGGGAGGAGGAGGAATAGAACCATTCAGTAAATCCCTCACTTGGACTTTATGACCGTATAATTTTTTGTTGGCATCAAATCGTTCTAGAATAACAGAGCCTTCTAGTGAGACACCGGCAAAAAGGCCTCGTGTCTTACTGTAGGAATAGACAGCTGCTATACTCTTAATAGAGGCAGTGCCTGAAGCTTCTGCATTTCTACCCACAGGACCCGCAGCCACTAATTTGGGTGTTGATGCCATGATACTAAAGAAGATCCCATCTTACCTGAAATATTACCACCCAATGTGATAGAGCCATGATGCATGAACGTCTTTACTGCAGCTGTTGTGTTGAGGACCATAATAAAATCAGTCAATTCGGCTCCGACTTGTCCACCAAAACCCATTCCACCTGTCAGGATAGCAGAAGGTGCTGACCATGCTACAGAACCGTTGAGCATAAGCTACAGAACATAAAATGACTTACAGCCATCAGATAATCTAACCGAGAAATAAGTGTACCATTTTTTTTATTATCATAAGATGTCATTTACCTAGCCACAACGAGACCAGAACCTGCTCGACCCGAGAATAAAAAGCCTGCCTTTAATACTGTAAAGATAGCCAAGCCTTTAGCATCTCTCAAGATATGTGGAGGAATAATAACATCCATGCCCTTTCCATTATCTAAGACATAGAATGAGAAAAAGGGTTGCATAAGAAAAAAAAATAGTCATTACCTGTAAAACTGTTTAAGATTCTAGCTGCCTTTCGACACTCGGCTAGAGCATATTAGTCTCTGTCAAAGTGTATTTATACGACTTACAAGCTAAACTTGAAGGAAGAGGTGAATTGATAGTGATACCCATCGTATGATAATAAAAAATAAACTAAGAAAAAGAAAAAGAAAAAGAAGTTCTTATTGTAATACTGACTTTTAAAAAAGAACTGTTTCTCTTTTTTTTTTGTTATTGACATCATAAAAAACCTATTTAAAGGCTATGTGTTTATTCACAATTTACTGGGTTTTTTGTTTGAAACATTGACCAAGTGCTCATTGTTCTTCATAAATTCCAAAGCACGCTATAGAAAATAAGCAATAAGGATATGTATGAATGAACTTACATCTCTGCCACCTGCTTTTTCAAAAACTTCTTCTAATTTCTGTGCCAAGACAAGATCACCTTGAACCTTGATTCGTCCAACCATATATGCTTTTACACCAGTAAGACTATGCAAAGGGTTAATTAACATGCTGATGCTTATCACTTATTACCCTCCCGTGATGAAATTCAAAAGATCATGATCTTCCACTTGAATCTCGACCATTTTGATTTTTTTTCCTTTGAGAGAAGAACGGACAGTCTGTTTATCTTGCGTGATAACAGGCTGAATTTCATTTCCTTGAGAGGAATGTAAATGATACACGCGTCTAAATATACTTTACCTTGTAATAATAGATACCTACAAGTATAAGTCAATGCTATTGATGCAAGACAGCTTACCATGTAGCAGCATGTTTCTTTTTCTTTGTAACTGTAATGACAAAAAGACCCTTCACATTGGGCCAAAGAGAATCATCTTCTACCAGTTGACGTTCAATTTCTGGCAACATCAAATCAGCAATTAGTTTATAATCTTTTATCATGAGAAATAAAGAACAAGAAGAAAGTGGTTTGTTTGTGTGCGTGTCTTTTTTTGTATGAGAATACTCTTTCTTCTAGGTTTAAAGCATGTGACACTCTCACACATATTTTCATGCAAGACAAAATGGTTACATTGATTGCATCTAAAGCAAAAATGTGCTTTGAACTAGTTTAGATTCTTGTCCTAGTTCATGGTAACAAATGCTTGTAATCACTTGATGAAAGTGCTAGTTTCTTTTTCCTCTAATCAACACACATTTAATTCTTTCTTTGTTATACTACAACCGCTGCTCATATAAAGAAAAACTCGTTTCAAGTTGCTGTTTGTCAGTACTTTTTAAAAAAAATTCCAGAAGATTGATTCATGGGGACTATCCGCCTTTACTGAAGAATTCTTTGCTCATGTTTCCTCTAGTTTGTGTACTCGAAAGAGATAAATCATTCATTTGTATCAAGAAAGAGCATGGTATACTTTAAAGTTTGAAATGGACATTGGCATCGGCCGAGTGTTTCCCTTAGATAAAAAATGTCTGAGTTTGAATAAAAAATTCCATGCCAAAAACTAGAACTAAAAAAAAAAGGAATTCAAGAGAAATGTTAGACTAAAACTACCCAAAAACAAAGAGTTGTCAAAAAAGTGCATTAATAAGTTTTGTAGATAATAATAAGGCTCATTCAATGATATAAATAACGCAGAAAGTTTGCTATTAAAATAATGAGCTATAATCCAAAAACTTATTTTATATTTTTGAGCCATAGCATACATTTTTATAGTACTTTTGCAAATATAGCACTTGGAGTATTTCTTATGGACCTAGAAGAGCAGCTCATACTAAGACATTTTATATCTAAAATGTCTCTATCAATCACCAATTGCAAAAAAAGTGAAAAATGAAGATTTTTTTTTATGGATGGATTTATTTAATTAAACTCATCGAATAAGGGGATATATTTAAAGGAGAACAAGTGTAAGAAGCAATGGCTTGTCTCAAAAAGACAGAATTTACAAGTATTTGTAAGCAGATAGTTTTCGTATTATTTTGATGACTTCGTCGAGTATTACTTGATCATCGTACAAGCAAGAATCGAAATGATGGCGCCAGTAGGCATTCCAAATAGAAGAGAAGACAGCAGAAAGAATTTCAAAGCTATTGAGACGAAGGTATGTATCTAATAGTTGGTAATGATCAACATAGCTATATATCGCTGTTAGCCATGCATGTAAACAACATGTGCTCTGGAGTTTGGGATAAACCACAAAATACACACTTATCATCTGGTAGTTGCAAGATGGAGGTGGTAATTGTCTTGCTGGAGATTTTGTTTTGCAAAAGACGATACCACAGGTTCCTCGTATGACCTGGAATTGAAATCCGAAGGAAACGTTTAAATCGGGTAATATTTATGCTAGCCTTCATTGACTGTATATCAAGAAGATGTCTTGAGTACATTTGGCGGAGCTCAGAGCTGTTGAAACTAAGGATTGAACATTCATTGTAAACAAATCGTTGTAGGTATGGTTCAAAACTAATCGGTAGATAAGGATCCGATGGACGAATCAAATATTTTTTTTAAAAAAAAAGCAAGAACAGCAGCGAACCATCTTTGTGTGCCTTGTGAATCCGTGACAACAGTACAGGGCTTTTGCATTCTTGTCTTTTTTTTTTTTTTTTGAATCAGAGCAACCCTGAGGAAGGATCAATCTTCAGAAAATAGGATGCTTTTTGCAATTGAATGGTTGCGCTATTCAGGATTTGAGGTTATATTTGCCCAGGTTGGCACAGGTTAACAAAAGGGATTTCCAGACATGCAGGTAGGATGAGCTTCCTACCGTCCCAGGAGGAAGGGAGAGGATAACCATCTATTGCTTTAAGAATGACAGAGAGCGTTTATAAACCAAAGAGGTGAGTAGGAGAGAGAAACTCCAGCTCGCCGCCATAAACATATCGACGTATATTCCCACCTGCAAATATATAATTGATGCATGACATTGACTTTCCCTGTCTGAAAGTAGGAATGTAGTTGTAAAAGTCGTCGTCATCTTTAGAGTTGAGACAATCACTGAGATTTGCAGTCATGAAGAACATAAACTTCTTTGGTCGAGAGGAGCGGGATCCAGATAGGTGTGTTGGTTTAAAGGAGAAATTGAAGTCCCCTACTACTATCATATTAAACATGATGTCAAGAGGAGAGTCAAGTGAGTCAATAAAATCCACAAGACTTTGAAAGAAACGAATACGGGCATTATCTATATTCGAAGCCAGTGCGTAAATGCTCAAGATGTAAAATGGCTGAATGTCAGCTTCTCCAATGATTGTAAACTTCGCCAAGAGTATACAGTTATCGTCTGAAGTTTTTACATGATCCATTTGAAGGCGTTTGTTGTTATTCATGAAACCACATTTGGTAGTCCATATTGGTTGATAGGCTTGTGATTTATAGTTGAGTAGAACTATCTACCGAATAGTGTTTGGTGAGTCTCCCTCGTCGATGTTGATTTGGTTGATACTGCAGCCTTCTTTTTCAAATTCTTGCATCAGTTCGTCCGAGATGACATCCTCGGTTTCGACTCTTTCAACCGTACCTTCCTTTTCTTGCACTTCCTCATCCTTAAGCTGATCTTGTTTTTCCTGCTCTAAAACTTCCTCATCTGCCTCAGAAGGAACTGAGATTACAGTTGGTTCGGCTTCAGTCAAAGACTTTGTGTTTCCTTCGATATCACCCATAAAATCTTGGATGGAAACAGTCATTGGTTTGGCCTGGTAGCTAACCACTGGGCTAGGTTTTGCAACCTTTCTCTTGTGGTTCCAAGGTGCAAGGGGGCATTCGGCTCCCAAATGCTTCGTGCTTCCGCATTGATAGCAACTTTTCTTACGACTGTTCAGGACTAGGCAATTGGCTTTGATGTGATCATCCACATGACAATAGTTACACATAGGCCTCATATTAGAATATACCAAATGAAGCGTACAGTCGTCATCCCAACCGGGAATCTGAGGTGACAATGCCTTATAACTGACATTTTTCTTCTGATTCAAAGTAACAAATCCTTTTCCTGTAAACCAATAACCATCTGTGGTATGGCGGAGACCGATTTCCAAAATCCCACCGTAGCCTTGGAAGATTTCAATCAGTTGTGGCTTCAAGAGTTCCTCGTCCTCGAAAGGAATGTTGGAAATGCCCACACTAACAATAGTAGAGTTTTTCTCAAAAGTACAATCCACTTGAATACGTCGATCGTGCAAGATGAACTCTTTGTTTAAAGCCTCCTCACGTTCTTTATAAGTCCGAAAATTGATTTCGATAAAGTGCTGCTTTTGACCAATATTTCTTGTACGAAGACCGAATCCGTTATGATACTGATCTCGAAGGTGCTTGTTCAAACTTTTGTCTTTGAAGCTCATACCGTTGAATTCGCTAGTAGCGATGACAATTGAGTTTTTGGCCGTAGCCTCGAGAAATTGTTTACGAGACTGAAGCGATTAGCGATCAGCTGTTTGATCGTCGAGATCGAAGGCATGTCGACTTTGAGGTCTTACAGTTTGTGCGTAGGATCGAAATGTAAACCGTTGGTTGTTAGGGTTTTGGCGTGAACTGTTGGTATTTCCACCAATCAGATTCCCAGAAAAAGTATTGCTTAGCGGAGAAACCATAAAATGAAGATTTGTATAGGGGATCAAGGGCAAAATGACGATTTTCTCACTTTTTCAAAGCTTGCATAAATATGTTTTTTAATGTGTGCTCAAACATAGGAAACTCAGAAAATGGGAATTAGAAGGTAGAAATGATGATTTATTTTGATAAACACCCGCACCTGCAGCGGGTCGCCAAATCCATCGTTGTTGCTATATCGCTTGTCGGATTTAATCAGAAACGAATTGTAAGGAGAGTCAATTCATGAATCAAAATCTCATCATGGTCTTGATGTTTGAGGAAGGCATACATCGAAAATTAAAAGCGTATAAAGTATATAAAATAGAATTGAAATAACAAAAGCATATATCTAACATGCATTTCATAATTTTACAAAGAAAAATGTGCCTGAGACATGTCTCTTTAATTTATTATCATTATTTTCTATATAAAAATACACTTGTTATTTACAACTTGGCAGGTTGGGAAGTACCAACGACTTGCTTGAGTCCCTTTTCGACAAAAGGCTTGATGCATTCTTCATATCCATCAACCACCAAAGTATGATTTAAAGGTTCTCTTTCAGCCATTTGAGTCATGGCTTCATAAACCTTACCATCGTAGCGACCAAGAGCAGAGTGCAAGAAGTAGTCAGGCAAAGCAAAAGCATCCACCAAGGAAACAGCTTCAGGTCGAACTTGCTCTAAAAGATGAATGACTTGTTCCTTGAGCATGGCTGTTTGTTCAGAAGACAAGTAACCAGCCACAAGGAATTCAGAAAGCTCCTTTTCCATCGTGTGAAGAGCAAACAAACTAGCTAACAAACGAAGCACCTTGAGCATGTTTCTGTTTTCTGGCTTGGCAAGTTGTGCATCGTTCTGAAGTGTGACAATAAAATTACGCACAAGCATGAATTGACAGTGAGCCTTAGAGATACGGCTGATTTCGACTAACATGGAGTTCCAAGAACGACTATGACGATCAATTTGTTCAGCGACTTGAGCGATACCATAAGCAGCACGGAAGCCAAAGGCAGACAAGATCAACTCGGGATTGGCAAAGTCAGAGGGCTTGGTGGCAGGACATTTGGCCTTTGGGTGTTCCAAGAATTGAGTCAAATAAGTCACGGTTTGATTATATTCAGAAGGTTCGGCCTTGCCTGCAACCACGTTACGGAAAGTCTTGAGCAAGTAACGGGCGGTTTGTTGAGTCAAGATGTAGTTGTCGCCTTCCCAAGTCACATTAGGAAGATAGTCTTGGTAGAATTGACCAAGACCAGAGAACATACTGTAACCATGACCACCACAAGCACGACGACAGTCTTCGATGGCTTCAATAGCCATGGTGGTTGTCAAACTCTTAAGACCGGATGAACTAGCATGGAGATCAGCCAAGAGAGAAAAGTTACCTTGTTGCATGGCTTCTTGATTCAAGTCATACAGACGCAACATTTCACGGCCCGTGAAGAAACAAGCATAAGCAGCAGCGAGGGAAGGCAAAAGACGGTATTGTTGCATGGTATAATCGAGAACAGGCGTTTCAATGACCTTGTTGTCCCACTTTCTAGGATTAGCAGCATCGACAAATTGTTGACGAACAGCAGAGTAACGAATCGCGATCGTGGTTGCTTTGGCAAGAGCATAGCGCACACCCATCACAATGTTGGCACGAACAAAGACCATGGTACCATAAGAAAGCTTAGCATTAGGAGGCTTGACGTATTCACCAGTGCTAGGCTTGACCTGAGAGTATTTGGCCAAGAAAGCAACATGAGGAATACGGTAGTGATCAAACATGATGAAGCCGTTATCGACTGTGTTGAAACCAAACTTGGGGCCAATATCACCTACCGTGATGCCCTTCAAAGGACGGTGGTCTTCTAAGCTACGGATTTGAACACAGAAAGGATGAGGACCTAAGTCTTTGCCATCCGTGAGCAAACGAGCCATGACAATAGCATAGTTGGCTGCCTTGCCCAAACCACCAATCCACCATTTGGCAGCTGTCAATGTAGGTGAATGAAGCTCAAATTCATTTGTTTCTGGGATATAAGTAGCGGTTGTTTCAAGACCTTGAACATTTGAACCATGACCCAACTAAACAATAAGATTCAGTTAACCTTACACCTAGCTAAAAGATAACTTACTTCAGTTTGAGCATAACAACCAATGATTTCATGTTTTAATGCAGGTTCAAGGAAAAGTTTCTTTTGTTCGTCTGTTGTTTGGTTTCTCAAGGTAGGAATGAACATGCTGTAGTGAAGGGTAAAAGGCGTGGATTGATCATACAAAAAGTTGGCAATTTGAGTATCTATTTCATCCCAGTTATGTTGCCTGTAATAAAGTTAGTGTTGCATAGATAGCATATCAACTTACTTTGCAACTTCAATGAGACGTCTATCTTTCCATAAAGAAGAAGCAATCTTGTCCTTGCGGCTCAAATAGTAACGATGAGTCTTATCAAAAGCAGGTTCAGATTCAAGCACTTCAAGTACTTTATTCATTCTTTGCAACCATTCCTCGGTATACATGAATTTAGAGAGTTCATTGACATCAAAAGAACCTTTGGCTCTTTCGTTGGCAAGAAAAAGATCTCCTGAGGGGCCCCTGGGAGCAAGCTTTGGGAATTTTGTTGGTACGTTGTTGTCAAAGGTCATGATAAGAAAAAGAAAGTAAGAAAAAAAGAGAAAAGAAAGAAAGCGGGGTAAAAAGCTTTATAATGGTTATTCCGGTAATTGAACTGACTAAGTCAAATTACTTGAGTATATCCGTCTAAATTCACACAAGAATCAAATGTTTTCATTTTGTCAGCAATAATTCAATTTTACTCCGACCATCGCTTTCACATGCGATTACATGGTCTGATGTTTTTTTTTTGTAATGTGGGGAACAAGCAGTTACACATTCTTCATTGGTTCTTTTAAAGAAAGATGTGTAGGATTCAAATGTCAAACTTGATGAAATAACGTCACAGGTTCCAATAAATACAGGTTAAATCTAGATCGAACATTTCAAGATCATTTTCTTAAGGAACAATATTTCCCCCCTGCCTATAAACAGAAACTGGTCTATGATACAATACCAACATACTGAAATGAAAGAGAAATAGAGAGGCATATGCTTTTTTTTTTCTTGTCGGAGTGATAAACGAAGCTGCACAAACAACTAAAAAAAAAAAAGTTTTTTTTTTTCTTTATTCCTTTAAAAACAGCCATGTCAAACACAGATCAAGATGAATCAGGAGTGACTATTATTTCAGAATCTATTCAGAATGATATATCCTTGCTTACAAAGAGCAATATACCACCTATGACAGAAGAGGAAATCAAACAAGCTAAACTTTGTCAGTTATGCCAAACGAATGATTGGATCTATACCTGTCCTCGATGTCTAATCCATACATGTTCTGTTGATTGCGTCAAAAAACATAAACAAGAAGAAGAATGTTCTGGTATACGTGACAAAACATCCTATGTAGCCTTACAGAAATACAATGAAGCCAATATGATGAGTGGTAAAGTAGACCTATCTATATATGAATATACTCACTCTATATAGATTATACCTATTTAGAAGATGTATCAAGGCAAACAGACAATTTTACAAGGAGTAGATTAGATAACCTTCGAGATTTAAAGGCAAAAGGTGCAGAGAATAGAGCAAGAACACTATCGAAATTTGCAAACCAATTAGGAATTCATTTTTCGTATTTGCCTATTGGTATGAGCCGAAGCAAACTGAACCAAACAAATTATAGTAAAAAGTAAGTGATACTTTCTTCTCTTATCAACTTATCCCAGTAGTTTAAAGCAGATTTTTTGGTCTGTTGAAGTCAATTTTTGTAAAGATCAAAAACGAGAGCGTTATATTGAGCATTCGTAAGTTATTCAATCAATCAAAACAAGGGCACTAACCTATGGTTGATCTTTTTAAAGGTTCCCTAGCAACAAGCCTTTTTATGCGTTTTTCGAGAACCTGCTGCTATGCAATAATCCACAAGGCAAAGGTGCTTATGCCACTATTCGACATCAGCTCAGGAATTTTATTGTTGCAGGCATTGATCAGTTTGTGATTGCCCTGAAAAAAGAAAAAGCTCCTCGAGGCCATTTTGTAGATATGACAACAGTTCTTCATGCACTTTTCAGGGACGTACTAAAAGACGAGCAAGTAATTGAATTTCCTATTTTCTATATTTGGCTTAAACAAGATCCACAACCCTCTGAAGTATTAGTATTGGAACAAAAGAAACAACCCCTTATTATGCCATTACCAGAAACGAGCTCTTTGACAGAATCAACTGTAGAAAATTAATATGGACAACGTGTTATTCCCAAAAACAATGGAAATAAACAAGACCAAAAATAACTTTTTTTTTTTCAACTCCATTAATTAGCAAGTTTTATTGCGTTTTCTTTTCTCTTTTTATCTCATTTTACCATCATCATGATTATCAACGAATACCGTGTCATTAACAACTGTACTGAAAAGGAATATCAAATTGGTAAGAAACAAGCCATAAAAGTAGTTTTGAATAACCATGATAAGCACAATTATATGCTACTGCCATGGCTTCCAAGAATTCCACTGGTGGTGGTGAAGGTGTTGAAGTATTAAAGAATGAACCATATGAAAAGGGAAATGAAAAGGGTCAATATACACACAAAATTTATCGTTTGGCTTCTAAAGTACCTGCTTGGGTACGTGCTATTGCTCCTTCTGGTGCACTTGAACTTTATGAAGAGGTTAGGTCAATACGATATGCAACTTATTCACACTAATAATATATAGGCTTGGAATGCTTATCCTTATTGTAAAACTGGTAAGTTAAAATATGGGTTATGACGGAAGAAGGCGGGATTCCAAAAATTAGATGAAGAAGCTGCCAAGATTTTTGTTACTAACATTCTATTTTTTTGATGTTCTATATAGTGTTAAAGGTACGTTTCTTTACATAGTTTAGTGTATATTGACTCTTGTTTTAGAATGGTTACATGAAAGATGCTTTCTCTATTGTGTACGAAACGCTTCATGTGGATGGATCCCGTGGTGAGCTTGAAAATGCTCTTAATATCAGTAAAGAAGACCTCAAGAAGCGCAATGTCATTATTATCGATATTGCTAACGACAAGATTGAACCCAAGGATTATAAGCCTGATGAAGATCCAAAGACTTATCATTCTGAAAAGACAGGTCGTGGTCCATTAACTGATCCTGACTGGCAAAAGAAGTGTGAACCTGTGATGACATGTTATAAGCTTGTGTATATTGAATTCAAATGGTTTGGTATTCAAGGCAAGACTGAATCCTTCATTGCAAAGACAATCCATACTCTATTCACTACTTTCCACAGGTAAAGGATAACATATTGTCAACATACTCATATAAGCATAGACAACTCTTTTGTTGGACTGACAGATGGTTTGGATTGACAATTGAAGACATTCGAGAAATCGAAGAACAAACCAAGAAAGATTTGGATGAAAAGAGAAACGTTGGTACTTCTCCTCTTGAAGACAAATAGATGATTTTATTCTTAGATTTGGGGCATGGAACCTTGGACTGTGTAAAAATTCCCACTTTTTCTTTTTGCGTGTTTTAATAAATCTCTTCCAAGCTGTTGTTTGACTTCATCATCACTACGAAGGATTTGACTCATGTCTTCTTTCCAAATATGTGTTAAAGGTTCTTGTTGTATGTCTAGTTTTTTGATATGTTCAGTGAATTGAGTGAGTGCGTCAATATCACTCTTTAGTTTCGACTTGCGTTCTTTGTTGGTTATGTTGAGCCGAGCAAGTGAAAGTAAATGTTCAAATTGTTTATCAGAGATGGGTTCACCTATAGGTTCGAGCAGGTACTGAATAGACCATGTAGGTTTCAAGGGCTAAGAGTAGGATAATAAGTATAAAAAAAAAGGATTATTCTATTGATACTTTACTATGCACTGCTTATCTACTGCAACTATACATGATAAGTAGTTTTTCCTTATTGACATAAACATACCTTTTGTACTGTAGGAACGAATAAAGCGATTCATATATATATATATATATAAAAGAAAGAAAGAGGAAAAAAAATATTTTATTATTATTATTATTTTAATTGGCATGAATACGAGTAGCAGTAATATCCGTTTCAGCAGGTACTGTAGTAGTTTTGTTTTCAATCTGAATTGAACTAGGAGGTTTTGCACTCAAGACATGGCTTGGTGTAGGCGCATCTGAAAATAGGTGTACTGTTTGTTGGACATAAGACTGAGAAGGTTTAAACCATTGAATTTCAAAATCCTCTAAAAAGTCAAAAAGACGAGCACCGCTAGCTACAATGATTCGACTCAGACAAGGTGTGATACTATCTCTTGATTCAGTACGAGGTCTGATTTCTACCTTGACACGCTCTACATCATGAATATCAACAAAGTAGGATTTGATATATTCTGCATAAGATTGTTCTTGATCATATACATATTGTAAATCAATCACTAGTTCTGTATGAACATGGCTGCTATTCGCACCACCAATAAAGACTGCATTTTCAACAGTCATGTCAGGATGTTCTCGAATCCATTCCAGTATTTGTTGACGAGTACCATAAAATACCCACCGAGTTGTGTTGCCTGCACTTGAAACGGTAATTTTTTTTGAGAGAAGAGGCGGACAAACAACATGGCCAATTTGACCAGGCGCAGAGTCTATGATGGTTAGAAAACTGCCTCTTTTTTTTTTTGTCTATTTACTCATTTCATATCCATAAATAAGCTTCATTTTAATGTACTTAGGAAGAAAAGAATAGAAAATAAATCTGAGAAAAAAGTCACTTTATTTCTTTCGTTTCCATGCAAGGTTTTTCTCGGATTTCTAACTGAGACATTTGTAGAAAATGCCTATTTGCTCCATCCAGTCATTGGCTGAACCAAACAGTCCAACCAATGCATATCCTTTAGGTGCTTCTACTACATGCATCCCACCACCATGTCCACCATACCAAGGACTTATTCGACCACTACTAAACTTGAACTGAATGCCATCAATCCAGGCACCCGAACGAACCACAAGACCTTGAATAGATTCACCAGACATCACATCCAACTGAGATTTACCTCCACCTAAAGTGCCTATTGTATCACGTGATCCATCATTCCAAATGAGCGTAAACCCATCTAAAAAGCTACCATGGTGAATAATGATACGCACTAATTGTTTACCAGCAGCAAAAATAGCGCAAAACGTCAGCTTGCCCTCGGAACTACTACCGAACACATCGCTCTTGATCACAAGACCCTCGATACCGGGTAAATGGACACTATGTTTGTACAAAAAGTCCTGCAGGTCATCAATTTCTCGCTGAGACTGATTTGTAGCAGTGGCTTCTATGGAAATATGCTGCGAGGGATCGGATTGACATTGTGTGCAAATATCATGGTAGTTTAACGTCAATTGAGTAGGCTGGTCTTGCAAAAATTCAAGGTGCGTACGGTATCGACCATCAACAAATATTTCAAGCATGGACAAACCAGCAGGTGCAATGACCTGGAACTGCTGGTTGTTCAAGGGTACAAAAGTAGGATCAGAGGGATCTTTACAGTAAGGACCATCTTGAGGAATACGGAAAGCAGGATGGAATCGAAGACGCATGATATCAGCTCTATGCCTGACACTTATGAATGCACATGAACCTAGTATAATTTGACTTACCAATGAGAACCTTCTTCTTTTTCTGGTGGAATAGGCGAGAAACCTGGCTCTTTAGCAAGAAATGTTCGATTCCAATGATTGAATCCTCTGCTCATGATACCAGAAGGTGTATGGCTTAGAGTAAAGCAATGGCCTACTTCATGCAACTTGTACAATGTCAATTCACACTCAGATCATTTGTTTGCTTACCATAGCACCCATACCAATATTAGCAGCTTTCCACCAATAACCAGATTCATTGGCATCATTTGCTATATATCTTGTATCTGTGACAGTATTGTTCATCATGCTAGGCACAATATCTTCTATAGATACTGGCCAAGCATGTAACAGATGGGATCCAAACACACCCAAACGAGTCTTACCTGCGCCACCACCCAATGCTGTATGACCCAAAGATAACTGTCCATCCCAATGCGAATCCAAAATCAACCCTGCTACATAACAAGGCTGATCAAAAGGTGGATTTTCATGCAAGGCTTCCAAAAAATAATCAAATAAACTCTCATGATTTTCATCATGTTCATCGCTTTGTTGTGCTCTTCTTTTATCACGGATTTCATGTATAGTATGTTTAGAACGAATAACATGCACACGCGCAGTTTGGCGCAGGATTCCTTTGTCTTGCTCAGCCACGGTATCTGGCAACCAAGCCTCGTCTAATCGAAATGTTCTTCTGCCCATGCCATGACGATGCATTTGTTCAGCACAAAAGGCTTGCCACATATAACCAGCAACACGCAGTTTCTGGATAGCGATGGCCAATGTATCTTGTCCTTTTTTCTCTGGAGGAACATCAAACGTACCAGGTGAATCAGCACCTAGCATAATAACAAGTGACAGAGGCGGGTTTTGTAGCATAGGCAAGTAGTTGACATGGAAATCGAAAGTAGTGGTCTCAAACACAAAAGTGATAGTGTTGGGTCCAGGTACCAAATGAACCATTGCCTTAAAGTAGGAATTGACACAGGGCCATGTTGTAGATGGAAAATCATTACACACTACTTGAAGAGGCTTATCAAAGCAACCATCACGAGGACCAGCACGTCCATTGACTAAAAGAAAGCGCTTTTGATATGTTTTTCTGTCAATGCAAATAGCAAATACGGCCTTTATTTACCTGATATACAGCCTCACCTTCTTGAACATTGCATATCTCAATATTGGTCGCATTGGGTCTTTGAGGTAAAGTAGGCGGCTGCTGATAAGTTATCATTTTTAAATGAAGAGAAAAGAAGGGGAATGCATTATTTTAGTTTTCGTGCAATAAAAGGAACCTTCATCGTTTTTTGTTCAATAACACTAAGAAAAGTGACTGTCTATACTTTTATGCGTTGACCCAAGATTTGTTGTTATGCATTTAGACGTTTTGAATAGCTTGAGTTGTGACAGATTAACTTAAATGCTTTTCTATATGGCTTGCTTAAAAGTGGGTATAAGACAAGATACATTGTTGGTTTCTTATATTGATACATGCTATTCTTACTCGTATTTTTAAGCCACTATTAAATGCTGCTCTTTAAGGGCCCTCTTTATGAAAGTCTAATGAAAGACAATGCTTTGTTTATTAAATAAACATTACCCTATTCACAGTGGTTTCATACACAAATTTTATTGGCTTCGAAACTAGTGGCGGAGCTTCCTTTTAAATATGTCAACCCCGCCTAAAATTTTTTTCTTTCTATCTTGTATCTTCTTCTTCTCTATTACAATGAGCGAATCTAACACTATTATCGGTATCAACTTTGGTACTGCTTATACTTCTATTGGTTACATCAACAAGGTAATTTGATTTGTCTTCTCTGTATGCAGATACTCATGCTTTATCTTTAGGAAGGTCGCGCTGATTGTCTTGCCAATGAAGAAGGTGATAGACAGATCGCCTCTGCTCTTGCTTTCCACGGCGACGAAGAGGTAAGTTGGAACTAGTCAAGAAAACAGGCAAACTGATCTTAATTGGATAGGTTATTGGTTCTCAAGCCAAGTCTGACATTGCTCGTCACCCTAACCACACTATTGCCAACTTCCGTGCTAACCTTGGAAAGAGGTAAGAAAAAAAGGAGGAATGGTAAAAAGGGAGAAGTCTAACATGATAAATAGTTTTGCTGATGCTCAAAACTTGACTGGTTCTGCTGCTGTTGTTGTTGACAAGAACGGTGTTCCTGCTTATGAAATCGAATTGCCTTCTGGTAAGTCTGTCTTCTCTGCTCAAGAAGTCTCTGCCAAGTACTTGAAGCACATTCGTGAATCTGCTGAAGCCTTCTTGGGTACTCAAATCAACGGTGCTGTTATGGCTGTTCCTTCTTACTTTACCGAAAAGCAACGCGAAGAACTTGTTGCTGCTGCTGAAGCTGCTGGTATTAAGGTTGCTCAACTTGTTCATGAATCTGCTGCTGCTGCTCTTGCTTACGGTGTTGGTCAAGAAGCATCCAATAAGGATCCTCAAGACAAGATTGTCGTTGTCTGTGATTTGGGTGGCCACTCTTTTGATGTGACCGTATTGGCTGTTCGCTCAGGTATGTTCACCATCTTGGCCACTGCTCATGATACCAAGGTCGGTGGTGCTTCTTTTGACGACGCATTGATCAAGCACTTTACTGCCGAATTCCAAAAGAAGGCCAAGATTGACATCAACAGTAACAAGAAGGCTTTGGCTAAACTTCGTAACGCTGTCGAAGTCACCAAGAAGATGTTGTCCAGTGCCAACTCTGCTCCTTGTTTTGTTGAATCCTTGGCTGAAGGTGTTGATTTCCATAGCACCATCAACCGTATGCGTTTCGAACTCTTGTCCAAGAACGTCTTTGGTCAGCTCCAAGCTGTGATCAACCAAGTTTTGGAAAAGTCTGAATTGGATGCTAGTGAAGTTGATGAAGTCTTGCTTGCTGGTGGTTCTGCTCGTATTCCTAAGTTTGCAGGTAAGGTTCGTGAAGTCTTTGTGAGCGAAAACACCAAGGTCTTGAACGAACTCGAATCAGACGAAGTTGTTGCTCGTGGTTGTGCTATTCAAGGTTCCTTGATTGCCGGTTTTGAAAAGGAAGATGTGGATGCTGCTATTCATCCCGTCGTCACTTTGGTTCCCAACACATCCAAGGCTATTGGTGTTCTTAATGCTAAGGGTGAATTTGTTACTGTCATTCCTCGCGGTACACCTCTTCCTGTTCGCCGTGTGTTTGAATTCTCTAATGCCCAAGCTAACCAAACACATGCTTACGTTGCTTTGCATGAAGGTGATCACACTATCGAAAAGACTGAAATCAAGCATGAGCCCGTCCCTGTTGAGGATGATGAAGAACCTTATGAAGAAGAGCCTGAAATTGTCACCAAGGTCTTCAACAAGCCTGCTGCTCAATTGGTTGAAGCTTCTCTTCCCCTTGCCAACGGTGCTAAGGAAAAGGGTAGCAAGGTTGAAGTTCAAGTTACTATTGATGCTCAAGCTAACTTGACTTTGGTGTTGCGTGAAAAGAACGGTTCTAACGTTGTCAAGGTTGAAGCCAAGAAATAAATCCCTTCCTCTTTCCATCTTTTTTCCCCTTTCATCTCCCTCTTTTCCCTCTCATATTATGTAATCATTTTAAAATATAGAATGCCATTGTGGCTTTGACTTTTTTTTATCTTTTTTTTTTTTTTTTTACTGCTTGGTCATGTTGTTTTGTCCTCATTGTTCAAATCTGTTATTAATTGAAAACGACGGTGGACAAGCCTTCTTTTGTCAATCATGTCCTTATGTCTATAGTATTCAAACAAGAGTAAGTCTAATGTTGCTTTTGTTTTTTTTTCTTTTGTTCATGACTGTGTTTAGCATACATCTCGTAAAGAATTAAAGAGAAAGGAGGTGGATGATGTATTGGGTGGTGCTGATGCATGGAAAAATGTGGATTCTACAGAAGGTATAACGAACATCCTTTTTTTTTTTTTTATATATTGATTTACATAATATAGCTACTTGTCCTAAATGTGAACATGAACGTGCTTACTTTATGTTGATTCAAATTCGTTCTGCTGATGAACCTTCTTCTATTTTCTACAAATGTTGTAACGAAGACTGTCAACATCAATGGCGTGAAGGATAAAGACAAACACGCATATTTAGATACCAAAATTACATTTTTTTTTATTATGATTAAAAACTAGTAGGCTCTTGTAGATGAAAATCCACCATTGACTGTATTTTGTTGTTGTTGATTCATAGCATCTCGCATTATATTCAGTTGAATTTCATAATCTTCTACATGACGCTTGGCTTCAGCTAGTGCGTCTTCTCTTTCACTTAATGAAGCACGAAGACGATCAATGTCATCCATCTGTTCAGCTAATTTTTGCTTGAGACTGGCAGTTTCATTACGAGCACGTAAATTGGCTGCTTCTAATTGAGATGCTTTCAATTGAGCTTCTGTCACTTCTTGACTCATAGTAGAAGGTGGTGCTAACAATGCTTCACTTAATTGTTGTGTTAAATCCGCAATTTTGAGTGCATTGTCTCGTACTTGCATTTCAGCTTTTGTGGCTCGAGCATAGACCATTTGTAGTTCTTCTAGAGCCCGTTGATGTGCTTGTTGTGCTTCCTCGGCTCTTTCTTGAGCTTCACGAGCACGCTCTTCTGTAGCTGTGCGTGCATGCTGATCATATTGTGACCGCTTCTGTAACTGCTGTAGTAATTTAGCATTGGCTTCATTCTCAACCAAGGCATTTGCCAATCGTTTTTCTAGTTCGTCACAACGCGATCCTTCAATCTGAGCCAAGTCTTGTTGACGGCGGGACTTGAGAGCCAGATATTTACTTTTAAAATAAGCTGCTTCTTGAAGTGCAGCTGTTCGCATACGATCTGCCTGGCTGACTTTGTCTGACATGGGTTGTGCTTGTTGCAGAATGCTTGCCTTGACACGACGCAGTTCAGATTTAACAGAAACCAGCTGTTCAAACAATTTGACTTTATCTTCAGGCAAGTGATCCACATCCATCAACAGTACTTCGTCTGCATCAGGTCCATCATCAAAACTCTTGTTAGCTTGTTGTTTACGTGCCAATGAGACTTCGGTGCGCCACCAGTTTTCTTTCTTTTTCATTTCACTGATGGCAAGATCCCTGGCTTGAATTTCACGCATCAAGGCTTGCTTTTCTTCTAGAGCCAAGGCAGGCTTATTGACAGGTGAACGACTAGGTGAGCGTTCAGGGACCGATTGTTCTTCTTCTGGAGCGAGTGTTGTAGGCACAGATTGATTTCGAGATGGAATTTGGCTCATATCAGCCATCACACTTCTCAATCCAACACCTTCACGAGGTGGTCGAGGTGGTGGTGCTGTGCCATGAGGTGATGAACGCATTGGATGTTGAGCATCTTCTGTAGCTGCTAACATACTGGGTTGTATAGGACTGGCACGCATTAATTCATTTTCAATAGAGATAGGTGATGTAGGAGAAGCAGTAGGATAAGGACGATGAAGACCTGACATGTCTAGTTCATTTTGAGGTAAAGGTGAAGTTGCTCGAGGACGACGAAGAGCTGCTTCTGGCACAGTTGATATATGACGGGGAGGACGAACAGGGGGCTACATAGATTAAAGAAAGATAAGCACAAAAAAATGATATATATATATATATATATATATATACATTACCTGGTTAGAAGATGGCGCTTGAAAAGGTTGTCGTTGTCCTTCTACTTCATTTTGTACTGCATTCATTAAAGGACGCTGTTGTGGTTGATGAGTAGGTGACATAGGAGCTCTTGGTTGTTGTTGTTGTTGTTGCTGTTGCTGTTGTTGCTGTTGCTGTTGTTGCTGTTGCTGTTGTTGCTGTTGCTGTTGTTGCTGTTGCTGTTGCTGTTGTTGTTGTTGTTGTTGTTGTTGTTGTTGTCTAGGATCCATCAAAGGCTTTTGTGGTCCTGTCGTGAGTGGTTCTTCCGTAAAAGAATCAAACGATTGAAGATGTGAATCCATAGATTGTTGCTGTGATGGGGTATCTGTAGGGTATTTTATTTTAGAACTATCCAAGATATGAATTGAAGAAGAGTCTTCTACTTTGGCTGTATCATTTTCACCACCAACAACAAAAAGACGTTCTCTAATAGCTGTCATAGTCAAGCCATGACGTGGAGAGGGAGAAGGACCCATATTTTGAAATCGAAACCAACGTCGACCTAAACAAAAAAAAAAAAAATAATAATAAGACTCTATGTATTTTTTTTTTTTTGATGTTGCTTACTCTTGATCTTATAAGCGCATAAATCATTTAATTCGACACCATGTTCACCCTTTCCACCAATGATATACACAACATCATCTACCATGGAAGAAGCACAACTTTCACGAGCAGCAGGCATAAGCCCTTCTGCTTCAATACGAGACCATAATCGAGTATGTAAATCAAACACCCACATATCATTAAACAGATGGTGTCCATCAGTGCCTCCGAATCTAAGAAAGTAGCGGATTAGAATTGATATTAGTGTAACATGGCCACGAGGTGGCTCCTAAATTAAGTTTTGTACTTGCATGTAAAGCTTGTTTTCATAGACGGCAGAAATATGTCCTGATCTGGCTTCAGGGCATTCATTATTATAGCCTATGTGTTCCCAGCGAGGCGTTGAATTGACTATAATATGTAAATATCATCTTTGATTTCTTAAATTGTACTTACATGTGCTGGCATTGAATATAAATAAATCATTCAAATAGTTGCCTTCTTTTTGTCCGCCAAACATATACATAATACCATCATGAACAACAGCACTATGTCCTGATCTTTCTGTAGGTGAATTGCCTTCTGTTTGTATACGACTCCATTGTTTTGAGTCTATGTGATGTTAGTATTTAAACTGTTTGTTATACAACATACGAAGATTCAAGACATAAAGATGGCCATCGTATTTCTCTTCAGGTACCATAGGTCTACCACCATATACTATGGATCACAGTGAGTTATGCAGAATACAGAAAATATAGACAACTTACAAACTACATGGCCATTTAAAGTAACCATGGTAGGTGCTACTCGAGAAGGAGGAGTATCTCCAGAAGCATTTATACTGTTGGCTGAATGATTGTCTATATAGAAACTATATAAGATAAACACGTATCGCTTTCTCTTCTTTACTTGTATCAATATAAAACAATTCCTTTTTTGAAGATGCTTTATGAATGCCACCAAATACGACAACCGCATCAGGTGCAACAGCAGTAGCAGCGTGTGCTGAACGAGGCAAACAATGACTACTGCCACTTAATTTCTTTTGTGACCATGGGTAAAGTGTCTTGTCATTGTTTTTACCCAGTTTCGAGAATAAAGACATTGGTGATGGTCGAGATGTGAGATGAAAGGAAAAAAAAAAAATAAAGGACGGGATTGACAAAATAACAATTATCGAATGTAACATTGCACAAATAAATAAAGCACAAAATTTTACTAAATGAATGTAGAAATAACGTTTTTTTAAATCAACAACAAGCATTTTCCCCTTTTTTAGAGAAGTCTGTTCTTTCTTAGTATCACTTGATTATCATCATTAAGCTAGAAAAATGCACAAAAAGTGTCTATCATATACTTGGTTTGATTTGATCCATAATACTCATTATGTTTAATTGTATCAAGCAATACAAAGTCAAAAAATGGGTCCTGAAAGACATGGTTGCCATATTAGGACTATTTTATACTCAGATTAAGACTGCTAATCCTTGCAAAAAAAAAAAAAAAAAAAAAAAAAAAAAAAAAAGAGTTGCATTTTTTTTTAGTCCTTACTATAGAGATCATGGCCGTAGCTACAACCATTGAAAAACCTATAGAGACAAAAGAAGCAACACCTGTTGATGGTAATGCATGCTCATTGATGCATTGAAACTAAACCTTATGTCTAGAAACAGTCGAGTTTAATAAACTCATTAAAGATCTCAAAGCGAAAGTGGTTGACATGAAACAACAATTAAAACCATTAAAGCAAAAGTAAGTGTTCATACGTTCATCAATAAATAGCTCACGATCTATAGAATTGAAGAAGGCACAGTTCATACTTCTAAAGGTGTTTCTTTTCTCGAAGTTAAATACCAAGTGATGCTGCAATACATTCTTGAACTTGCTTACTTTGTTCACCTCAAACTATCCGGCAAACAAATCGAACATCATCCTGTGGTTGATTCACTTGTCGAATTACGTGTGATTTTAGATAAAATGAAGCCTATTGAAGCTAAACTAAAATACCAAATTGATAAACTTGTCAGAGCTGCTGTGATTGACAAGAATACACAAAAGGAACAAACAACAACAACAACAACAACAACAGATGCTGTGGAAGCAGATCCATTGGCATTCAAACCCAACCCTATGAACTTATTAAACAAAGATAAGGACGGTTCTGAAGATGAAGATGAAGAAACAGAAGAAACTACAGACGGTGTCTATAGACCACCTAAATTGGCACCTGTTGCTTATGATGAAAATGCTGGTAGAAAGAGCGGCAAGAAAGAAAGAGATGAAGCTCGTTTGAAGGAAAAGGCATCACGATCACGTATCATGAAAGATTTGATGACTGAGATGTCTGAGAATCCAGAAGAGATTGGTGTCTTTGGTGGTGTGAATGAAGGCACAGGTTATGGTGATCGCGTAGATAACTTGATTGCTGAAAAGAACCAATATGAAGAAGACAATTATGTTCGTTTGGCAGTTACCCGTAAAGAAAAGCAACGAATGAACAAGAACAGAAAGATGCGCTTTGAAAGTGAATTTGATGTAAGTCAAAAAATACACATGTGGCTTTATATACTCATGATCAAAAAAAGAACTTGAATGATTTCTCCAATTTGGCTGGATTGGAACATGTGGAAGAACAAGAAAATGAACGATTTAGAAATGTGCTTAGCCGTAACAAACAAAAGAATGAAGTGTATAATGGTAAACGTGCAAGAGATGATGACAATGATGACAATTTCCATGGTTTGTTTGATGGTGAACGCAAAGGAAAGAATAGGTTCTCTTCTGCGAGAAGTAAAAAGAAAGACGGCAGAGCTAAAAAGAGAAAATCATAGAAACAATTTTATTATTATTATTATTATTCAATAAAAGGGTATAGAAAATATGGATATATATATATATATTTAACGAGGCAGCACACCTATATGGTTGCCTACACGTACCTATAAAGAGTGTAAGAAAAAGATAGAACGCATATCTGCTTACAAGTGTTTCTACTGCTTTGTCTGAATTGTCTAATAAATCATGGTCAAAATGCATTTTGTCTTTTTGAAAAACAACGACCAGTGTAGATCCACCAAAAGCAAAATAGCCCATTTCATCTGTACGCTTAATTTCACTGCCCACTTGAGCAGTGATAATGATGGATCCCACCAGCATAGCACCGACACAAACCACAGCTACTTTACCAAACTCTTTGGAATCAATCCAAACAACAGTCCGTGCATTCTCACCAAACACATCAATGCTTTGTGCATGTTAGAACCTCACTTGTACTATCATAAACTTACGTTGTTCTAATTGCCATTGGATTGACTGTATAGTATTGACCCGAGATATGTCTGACTTTAGTGATCAGGCCATCTACAGGTGAATGAAATCGATGGTAATCTTGTGGTGCTAACCGAAACACAGCAAGAGAACCACCTTCAAAATCTTGAGCACTTTGATTGTCGCCTATGAGTTTCTTGAGGCTGAAATCAAGCCCTTTGATCCAAAGTCGTGTTGCTTCAGATACAGTCTCAAAAGCAGTCATTCGACTGTCTGCTGGACTCACTGCTACAGTAGGATCTTCTGGTGAATCAGGTGGTCTTGAACCAGGCTTCAAGGTGCGGTAAAAGAATGCATTGAATGTTTTGAAACTAGACAATGGCTCTGCTACTTCATCCAAGCATATCTTGTGAAACTTGATAAACGAAGGGATTTCTCGAGCAGATTTAGGGTCGTCAAATCGTCTGCCTTGTTTGACAGTCAAGTTGGTCAAGATACGTTGTGCGCCTCTTGATTGAATGCCTGACTTCATACCCTTATAAACAAGTCGCATACCAAGTCGAATATAAACACTCATTTTTTCTTCAATCAAATGGCCTGTTCTTCTGTCTTGGACAAGGATGTTGGCATTGTCCTATCACATATCAATAAACAGGATAATAAGTTTGCTCTACTTTTACCTTTCCCGGAGAATATTTGCCATAACCTACTTTACGTACAAGCTTGACAAACCATCTTTTTTTTTTGTATATGATTAAAACATCGTTTTGACAATGATGAATTTACCTTCTTTGAGCATAGGCTTCTGTAATAAAATTACCCATCAAGAATCTATCTACTGTAGTCCAATCGTTAGCGGCACAAGTAGCTACATGTGTAATAATGTCCATTTGAGATCGTCTGGCCAAGTTGGGACGATGACAGATAGGACATTCTTTTAAACAAATCACTTTTTCTGCTGTCTGTGTTCGTCGTTTACCATGCTTATAAGGATATTTGTCTTCCCAAATGGAACTTATTTGAGGCAAAGGTATCTTTTGAGTCAATTGGTCTTCCTCTGCAATCAGTACTTCTGCTAAATCGATATCTTTTTCAAGAGGTGAATGTGTAAGTTGTGTTTCTTCATCTTCATCTGTTGTTAAAGGTGTGTCCATAGCTTCTTCTTCCTCCTCTTCTTCTTCATTATTATCCACAACCCAGTCTTCTTCTTCATCGTCATCTTCATCGTCATCTTCTTCCTCTTCTTCAACAATATACATATCCTCCAATGTCTTTTCTGTATCGCATATTAAACGAGTAGAACTATCTGACTCTGTCTCTTGTTCTTGTTCTTCATTTATCATATGGTTCTCTAAACTTTCAACTAATTCATCCAAAGTCAAGTCTTCATCTTCTTTTTGAGGATTCTTGTTGTGCTGCACCCAAAACTTATCAATGGTAGACTCAGTAATAGTAGACCCCATTGTCTCCAACAGCGACTGGACTTCCAAACGACTTAATGTACCTGTATTTTCAGCATCATAAGACTTGGCCAACGAAACCCAAAACATCTTTCGAATCTGAGCATATGGCATAAACTTGGCACGCACTGTCAAGGTCGGTCGCTTGTCTTTCCATTTCTCAGGATGCGCCATTTGTAAAGGAAATGTATACCTATCCATGCCTTGCTCTATCGAAGATTCGAGGCCTTGTTGAATATCAGTATGAAATATATTGCGAATAGGAATTTGACACCATGCTACAAGATCGTTGCCTGAAAACTTTTCTCTGTCATACACTGTAAACTTTAAATGGTAATTGGCTTCATTGTGGCGTACGTGGAAAAACAGTTTCTCGTTCCACACAGGATTTAAATTGTGTCGTACAGCGCTTGTACGAAACGTGGATTGACCAAAGGACACTACCACAAAAGGATCCATATCAAAACTTGTACGGGCCACTAAGACAACATCAGCCAGTGTATTCAATGTCTAACACTACTTACAGTTTTTCTCAGGTGGTAAATCATTTGCATGACAGATTTCAAGAAATGTTACACCAACTACATCTTGATGAAATTTGCCTTCAATGCCTCTTCTTTTCTCTCGTCTTTTTCTGACTGTCTTGAAGGATTCAGCAGACCCGAATTGCCGAGTACCCAGTCGCTTACGACTCATATCGTCTGATGAAGCACTGCTGGCTGGCAAGGAAGTTGAGCTTTTAAGAACAGGTGCGGAACTTGGTAAAGAACGTGATTGTTTATGATACATGGATAATAGTTGCCATATTTCGTTAATAGCCTCATTTGAAAGCGTTTCTTCTTTCTCCTGTTCTTCTGAACACACTAGGCCTATTTTGACCTTAATCTCTCCTATTGGTTCTATAGAGAGTGTCTTTTTATGACTGTTCCTTAAATAAGCTTTTCTTTGATAAGCATGTAATGTGTACCAATGTGCCTAATAACATGAGATAAAGTAAGCGATAGATATAACTTACTGTTGCATCATGGTAAATAGCTGCTTTTTCAGGAAATGGCAGTTGAATTTGACCCAGAAATTGAGACCGAAAACGGTCTTTTGAACAGACAGTAATTACTATGCCTTGTTTCCATTGTCTTTGCTTTGTCTTTCTTCTGCGTGCACCCATTAAAGGCATATCAAATGAACATGACCAATTGGGCTGACTTGATTTCTTAGCAACATGCGTTCTACTGCGATGATTGAGGCATCGTACAATAGCGTAAGTGTCCATATCCTAATATGAATCAGCTACACCTTTTTTCTAACATGGCAACAACCTACAGGTATGAGCTTCGCTTCTTCTATCGTCACTCTCAGTTTCAAACGCTTCGAAAGTTCAAATTCTTCAAGGTTTGAATGCATGACCAAGTTATCTGCACTCACACTTCTTCTTCTGGATGTATGGAGGCTCTTTCGTTTGAAAAGCTTAAAGCGTTTGGAGAGTGGCGATGCTTCCGATGGCATACTTTTCGACATGATTGTCATGTCAGTCACTGGTTGTCTATTTTCCTCGGAAGACCAACGTCTGTTGTTTGTTATCGTTGGTCTATCATTCATGTTGAGATAAAGAAAGAAATAGAGAAATAAAAAAAAAAAAGTAGAAAATTCTTCTAAATATACATTCGGTGTCTCCACCCTCAAATTGAATTCAATTCGTTTTGGTCTCCGACTACTTTTTCAAGTGAGCTCTCAAGTTGTCTTCGACGGTCGCCTTATAAGGTAATCACCTTTTTTGTACAAAATAAATAGAAACAAGTAATGGAAAAATGATTTACCTTAAATTTCTTGAGTTGATATACCTTTTGGGGCGCATCAATCCCAACCGATTGTCTTCTGCTGGTGAAGCCCTTGAACGTTCGGCAAGTGCCTTATTACAAGCATCAAGAAACCAAGGTGGTATTCATCGGCGTCAGGCTATTTGTTTCTGAGCTTTGGTCTTGACGTTGACAACTATAAAAATAATAATGCATTATTACAACAAAATCAGTGTATTTTAACATAAAACTTATGTTCAAAGAAACCCTCTTTCACGATTTGAAGATTGACAAATTGATGACAGCGATTATCCACTAAATGAAGGACAAAAAAAAAGTTTTTTTTTTATTTCAATCTTCTGAGAAGATTCTCGAGATCGGCCAGGTCCTTTCTTCTTTGCTCCTCAAGAATAGCTTCGAGCCTATCCATTCGCTCTCTATCTCTTTGTTTAGAAAGCTCATGGCATTCTTGGATCTTTTAGCCCGAAGTTTCCTGATTCGCTTCTCTGTACCTGGCCAAAACTTCTTCAAACTGAGTGACAACATTACCACTTCTGCTACTACCACAAGCACCACGACCAGCACCAGTAGCACCAAGGTTGATTAGTGCTTCGAGCCGCTTGTTCTTTCGCTGCACTCAGAGCATGATACCTACGTGAGGGCCTCAAAATTTCTTGTTCAATTTGGTGTTGAGACACCCGCACAATGTTCCGACGAACAGCATTGGTCATTGTCTCTTGTTCTTTTTCTTCCTCAGAAAGGGGGGGGGCAGGAGGCTCATAGATATCAAGAGTGAGACCCTCGTTGTTAATTTGGGCCTCAATTCTTGCTCTTGGACTGATGGTCCTGTCATTGGCGACGATCTTGCCAATCTCGTCATAAAACTCGTATTGATCCTGGGGAGCAGCACCATCGGAACCAGTTGTTTCTTGGCAAGTACGCAAGTCTACGTACCTGGACTTCATAGCGTTCTACTTGTCTTACATTGCTTCTACAGCAAGTGCTTCGGTAAGGGACGGTTGAACACTTACTGCATCAACAAAGGTGTTGATTCGCAGTTGCTGGCGAAAGTAAGTCAAGGATTTTTGCTAGATGCGTTCCTCGAAAGTGTCCTCACAAAGGCACAAGGCGTGAAAAATCCCCATAACAATCTGGAGGAAGATCCAGGTGATTTTTGAGTTCCACACAAGTCTTCCATGGTTTGAGGCATGATAGCTTCTGTCCTAAGAAACAGGGGAAGGAACAGCAAGAGAGGGTCGTTCGAGTACCCTTTGTCCACGTCTTTCATATGGGGCAATTGAAGGGTCGACAAAGCGAGATACAAAGTTTCTTTCGGTAGGCATTTTTAAAGATAAATAAACGCAAGTCATAGATTTTTCGAATAATTTTAAGCTCAAAGTTGCTTTATTGGGTAATGGACAAAGAGGTTTGTCTTCGGCAGCCTTTCAAAATTTATTTTTCACTATACAAGTCATTCTCCTTTTTGGGTTTAACAGAATTACTACAAGCAGTAATGGATGGTCGAAGACGAAGACACCTTGAGAGCACCTCTTGAGGACAACCACTACAAATAATAATAACGCAGTCTGGTACAAGTCATGGCCTTTGCTGCACAACCTTGACATGTTTCCATTGAGGTAAGTCAGGCTTCATTTACACTCTAAATATTGTTCCCACAAATTAGTAAAAACTGCTCCACTTTTATTTTCTATTGTTACCTTTTTCTTCATATCAGTCAACAATACGCTCATATCATCAGAAATAGTGGGCAACTGATAAGACTTGTATTTATAAAATAAAACCAGTTGATCTTTTGTCATTTCATTCAAGTACTTGCTATTACAGGCATCAAATAACAATGAATGCATGATACTAACAAACGGAATTAAAAGGATACTAAAGAACTGCAATACATACTTTTCTTGAGTGTGGTCAGTTCCGATTTGGTACATTGTATCTTCTAAAAAAAGCCCTTCTTCTATCTCCCATTTCTTGGCATTCTCCATCTTGGCATATACTTCTTTGAACTTCTCCTAATTTTATGTTTACATTGGTTTAACAGGTTTCTTATACACTACCCCCTCTCTCAGACATATTTAAACCGACATTCATAGAGTACCGGGTAGAGAGGGAAAGGTTAGAAAACAATTTATCCACTCCGTTGTTCACTCTAAAAAGCACCCACTTTTTTATGAGTTTTTAAGTAAGTTTTCAACATAAACTACCTTTCTTTTTGAATCCATCTGACAAACAATAACAATAACACCTGTAGATTAGCAGCCCGCTGTAGGCGCGAGTGGTTCTCAACATAAATCATTATCTCTGCCTTCAAATTGCCTTTTTTTGAGTTTCCTATGTTTGAACATACATCAAAAAATCGTCATTTTGCCCCTATGGTACCTTGAAGAAGTCTTTAATTTTCACTGTTTTTCAATCTGTGGACAATAGAGACATTGTAGATATAGTATATTTTAGTATAAATTGTTTCTATAGGTCTATAAAACACGCTTAAAGTGCGAGATTTGCAAAAGTATTATAAAAAGTGTATGCTACGGTTCAGAAACAGAGAATACGTTTTTGAAGAATATTTCACTATCTTGATATTCAACATGCTACTTTCTCTACATCATGCAATGTGCCTTATTGATATCTACCAACTTTGTTAGTACACTTCTCTGATAGCTTTTTATTTTTAGGCACTTTTAGTCCATTATTTCTCTTAGATTTCTAAATCTCTTCTTTTTTCGATTTTAGTTTTTGAAATGAAATTACCAATTTAAACTCAGAATTTCTTTAAGGGACACTCCACTTATGCCAAACTTTAAGGCATTATCCTATTTGACGATACCATTCAATCCTACCTTAGCATTAAAGCTATTTTAAGTAAATATCTCTTGAAGTTTCGAGCTTTACTATTATTTTCAGTTTTTTATCCGTCTTTTAATTATTTCTTTTCGCATCTTTGGTTTTCACTTCATTAGTTTCGATAAAGACATTCTGTTCTTGTTTGTGTTAAGAAACAACATTGTAGAGTGAAATGAAAATAAGGCAGCAGTATCTTTCTCTAGCTATAGTCCAAATAACAGTATATGACTATAAATTGGTTACTTGTTCTTGACAAGTTTCTCTACCTTGTGTGTTGAAACAAGATTTTCTTTGAGCTCATGAGCTGTATTTACATTGAAGCAGAAAAATAAGCAAATAAGCATTATCTATCATACACTTTATTGAAAAAAATTCATTATGAAAAAATAAAATTTTAGAAATTAAGTAGAGTATAAGCTATAGTTATTTACATTAGCTTATAAGAAAGAGTGAAGAATAGAAGGGAAATAAATTAGTAACAGATACTAATTAGCATATGTAAAATGCTTACACGAATACGAGGAATTGGTCGAATACCTCCCCTATTATCCTCTCATTACATTCACACTACTACACACTATGACCAACCAATACCACGCTGTGATTGATGCCAAAGGCTGTACCACCAAGTACTAAACTACATTATCTTGAAATAAACATCTCAACAAAAAACTGAGTGCGTTTAAGTATCATCTTGGGATATTAAAGGGCTCTTGGATCATGATACCTGAGTTCGAATAACAAAAAACTGGGCTAATTTTTATTTCGGGTGAGCTCAATCTTTACAATGGGACTGCACCCAATGCTACTGCTAACATAAGGTCAATAACGAGAAGGAAACAGGCTTGCACTATATATTTCAGCTTAGAGACGGGTATCTAATGATACGAAGGAAGCTCTTGCTTGTTAGATCAAGAAATAGTGTTAAAATCAACGTCAAAATCCCAAGTGGTAGTAGTGATGTGATTGTTCAATAAGACTGGAAGCAATGATAACCACTTTTATAAGCCTTTGAGATTAAAAACAAACATTGTGCAGTGTCAAAGTAAGTTTTGGTGCATACAAAAGCGAGCTTTGGTCATAGCAAAAGTGAAAATCGAAGAGATAGAGGCACTGTATATATATATATATATATATATATATATATATATAAAAAGGGGGTGACATTTTATTTTATGCAATCCTTAAACTTGTTCATCTGCTCCAAAGTCTCCTTCAAGTCCTTCTTCAAGAACAGCAGCATGACCCAAGATGATCATAGCAGCAGCACCTAAAATAAAGCATAAATGGTTTATCTATAGACAATTCGCCTACCAATAATCCAAAAAATCACGCCTGTTGCTCCTGAGAAAAGCAATAAGACAATAGAGCCTATACCATAGGAAGCATACAATGTGGATGTCGGAATAGAATTACCCGCAATCTCAAGAGGCCCATTTAAACGCGAAATAAAATAAAACCCACCAAATACAAAGGCAATCGTAAATACTAACCACCAACTTGTGATACTAAAAAAAAATTGCTTTTAAATCCTTGTTTCTTGGCATCATGGTGACTTACATGGCATAAATACTCAAGGCCAATACAATCAATAAATAATTGGCTGAAAAGTATTGTAGATTGTAACTAATCCGCTGAGATGAGCTCTTGAAGTTGAACTTTGTACTTACTTCCAACGCTTTGTGATTGTACTGAAATTAGTAGTAAAGCTGATTCGGTTTTTGTCAAAGAAATCACTTAGTGGACGAAGGTTGGCTAGACGCTGTTCACGAAAACGTTGAATAAAAGAGCGTCCTGCATCATTTGCCATAGAAGAAGCAGCGTTACCGAGAGCTTCTGCTGTATTTGAAGATAAAAGTGGAGTAGACATATTAAAAATAAAAGAAGAAGAATATATCTCTTGGCTTCTTGGCCCTGAAGACAACCTCTTTTTTTTTTTTTTTTTTTTACTTCTCCGCTGATTTTCTTCAACTGATCATGTAACCAATGGAGCGAATACAAGTCATGAGATGAAGCCAAAGCTCAAAGCAGTAAGGATGATTATGTAATAGCTTCTTTTTTTTTTCTGTATGCATAAAGACGATATGCTCGGATTTCGGAATAGTGGTGTTGCATTTAATAAAGCTGTCATTCTCCGAGTTGAAAAGGTTTATTGCATCATAAAAATCACATGAGTCTGTATAAATAGAGTCTTTTTTTTTTGTATATTTTTTTCTCTTCTTTGTTTCTTTCTTATTTTTTATCATGCCTACTAAACCCATCGATAGAAAACTCAAGAAGAGAGAGAATAAAGCAAAAGGAACAAAAGGCGAGTCTTTTTTTTTTTTTTTTTTGTCTATGACGGATAACTAACGTGTTGTTATGTAGTTTCCAAACAAGCTGTAAGATAAATTCATCCTATAATATATGTATCTCATCCATTCAATAGCATAAAACACCTGTACCAGCTCATTCTTCTGTTGGTTTGAAGCAACCTAAAAAAATGGCAAGTATTTAAAAATAAAAATAAAAAACATAGGCTGATAATCCAGTTAGAAGAATAAGACTTCAGTTGCTCGACGCGTTCTTTCTCTATCGATTGTTGCTTATTTAGGTTACAACTTTTTACTGGGTTGTGGATCTCCTTTAGATCAAAACAGTCAAAAACCGGCTGTATGCGAAGCCATCGATCCCATTAAACTTGACCTTATGGCACTCTATCAATCAGAGTTTTATCAATACAAGGTTCATCCTCATCTCCTGCCTGTGCTTAACACGGCCACTGACTACTATGATCAATACGGTGCTCCTCAACAAGCCAAATTAGTCCATCTCTATAACCAGCATGGCAAACCTGTTCTCAACAAAGCCCATGTCATGTACCAAGACAGGCTCTTGCCTACACTGCTGCCTTACCTGGACACATGCAAAATATACCTCGATCAAGCCAAGATCTATGCCGACCCTTATGTTGCCAAAGCTACCCAAAAGGCCTTGTTAGCACAAGAGGCTATCGAATACCAATGGCACCATACCCTTCCTCCTCATGTCCAACGCGCTTGTGATGCCACGTTCCATACGGTCAAGGAGTGGTATGAACGTGCTGAACAGACCGATATGGTACCTATCTTGCTTGACTTTTATTGGCACCTGGTCGATTTTATGCAATACCAGTTCTGGCCTGCGATTCAGTCCAGTCATGTGACGCACAAACTCAAGTCAGAGTATGATCAGTATCTGAAGCAGTATGTAGATCAGCATCTAAAGCCTGTTTGGGTCAAGTACAATGATCAAGTGCATCTAGATCAATGGTTGGCTCATGTGTTGGCTGTCTTGCCTCAAAGAACAATTCAGCAAGCCACGTCGGGTTCCTTGATGGCACAGACCAAGACATCTACAGTGCCTACAACCACACAAGACATTCCTATCACACAAAAGGTAGTAAGTCAACCTACTTTGGCCGAGACGATTGGTATCAACCATGATGAAGACATTGTAAAGGAAACATCAGTTGCTTCAGCTACAAAAGCAGTGGTTACTGAAAACCATGTAGTACCCGTGCCTGAAGAAAAAGAACTGTTTGAACAAAACCCAGTGCCACCTCAATCTCCTACTCATTTTGATGCACAAGGAAAGGAAGACGTGCTTGAGCAAAAGGTAATCAAACCTGTGAAAGAAAACGTAGAGGCCGTAAAGGAGAATGCAAACACAGAAAAACAAGTGGTTGAGGAAAAGGTAGAGGAAGCAAAAAAGGCTGCTGATGAAAACATAGTCAAGCCTTTAAAGCAAGCTAAGGAGCAGGTTATGGATCATGTTGAAGAAGCAAAAGATGCTGCTAAAGTCAAGATGGAAGATGTCAAAGAAATCATGGAAGACAGAGTAGTTGATATCAAGCAAACTGTTGAAGAAAATACCAACGAAGCTAAAAAACAAGTGAAAGAATTAAAAGAAGTTGCTGAAGACAAAGCAGAAAAGGTTAAAGAAGTTGCTGAAGACAAAGCAGAAGAGGTTAAAGAAAATGCTCAAGAAAACGCCAAGAAAGCAAAAGATAGTGTAATTGATGTCAAGGACTATGCTGAAGAGAACATTAAGGAAGCCGCTAAAGACGTCAAAGAAAATATTCAAGAAAACATTAAGAAAGCAAAAGACACTACAATGGATGAAAAGGACCATGCTGAAGAGGATGTTAAAGAAGCAAAAGAAGCTCTTGAAGAAAAGGTAGAAGATACCAAAGAATCAGTGAAAAAAGACATCCAAGAAGCAAAAAACATGGTTGAAGACAAGGTAGCTGATGCTAAAGACAAGGCAGAAAATGTCAAGGAAGAAACTGTTGAAGAGAAAGCAAAAGACATCAACAAAGCCCAGGAAATAAATGACAAAGCAGTTCATCTCAAACAAGCTGCTAAAGTCAATGAAGCAAAAGACACAATTGAACCTGAAGTTATGAAACCCATTGAATTTGATCTAAAGAAACCCATTGAAGAATATGTCAAAGAACCCATTCAGAAGGTTCTCAAGAAGCCCAAGCAACAACAAGAAGTCAAGTTTGAAGGCAAAGAACCTCAACCAAAAGAACAAGATGCTTCCCTTTTAACTAAAGAGCAAGTCGTTGTTTCTGATGACTCATCTTTTGTTGTTCAAAAAGAACAACCTATTGCTAAAGACATTCCTCCTATTGTCATTGGTCAGTTTGTGCTTGAAGACGAAGATGAAGTTGTGATTGACAATGAACCCATTGTCCCTGACGATAAAAGTCAATTTGTAAAACAATAGAAATTTATTTACATCATTTCAGCCGATTGTCTTACTAGTCTAGATACTTTCTTTTTAAATTGTGGATAATCTTCACGGTATTCTTTCTATTTAACTGTATAAGCTAATCATAAGGTTTTCTTTGTTGTTCACTCACAGCAGCTTCTATATTGGCAGGGGATTCATCATTTGGACTAGATAACATGGATATAACAGACAATAAAATAGTCTCCACGGTATGTACTGGTGACCAGCGTTCACTTGCTTGTTCATAGCCATATTTATCATCACCAGGGGGATGCTATTTATACAAAGTCACTTTTACATATATATATATATATATATATATATATTATACATACAAGAATAGAGATACACACTGTACCATCAGGATAAACTATTGATCCGGAAATCATCAAGATAAGGTTTCCAGTTTATGAACTTACCATTTGGGTGATACATTTCTGTCACAAATCTCATAGTAGGTGGTTCAATAGGATAAGACTAGTATGTCCATTAAATGCTGCACACTATAAAATAGGACGTTTACCTTGGGAAATGTCAAATGAGCTTTAAAGAAACCACCTTCACTACAAATGCAGAAAACAAGAATAAATTAAAAAAATGATCTACACAACTGTCAATTATGCATTTACTATAATGTATCTTGTGCACCGATAATAAGAATCTCCCACTAGATGGTAGACAATATAGGAATGAGGTAATGGTTATAGATAACGTATCGCTTACTTCATAGATATTGTCATCTACTAATCCTGCAGAAAACCCTTCTACTGGATTCTTTTGGAGTTCTAAACAATTAAAGTCAACAAGGTTGATCAACAAGTAAGAGATGGCAAGAAACAAGATCTTGCTCTATCAGACTGATCTCTGTACTTGCCTTTCAATTGTCTTGAAAGTAAAAGTGCACTTGTTTCTGCTTGATTCATATAAAGAAGAAGAAAGGAGAAGAAGAAGAAAAAGAGAAAAAAAGAAAAAGAGAAAAAGAGAAAAAGAAAAGCGGAGGCACAATCATCATCATCATCATCATCGTCTCCTTTCGTGACTGGGTTCATTGAGCAACAAACCATGATTTTATTTTTATATCTAAATTTAAGCAGAACCAACATTAAGAAGCATGTTAGATCCACCACCATTCTTGTTACTGGGCAAATAAGTAACATTACGAGAGTTGGATAAGGTTTGTGCGATTTCCTTAGAAGCTTCGATCTTTCTAAAAGCAACAAAACCTTCACCAGCCTTAGCAAGGGCTGTAGAGATCATTTCAGCAGCTTGAGCATCACCTTCAGCACGGATAATGGCAGCTTGCTTTTCTTGTTCTGCACGTTCAACCACGAATTTAGCACGTTCAGCTTCTTGTTGAGCAATTTGCTTTTGTTCAACAGCATTGGTGAATTCTTTACCAAATGTCATATGGGTCTACAATAATATAAGTAAAGCCTGTTTTGTCTATTTGCACACACTTACAATAGAAACATCTTCCAGAGCCAAATTAAAGTCTCTAGCACGCTTGTATAATTCTTCACGAATCTTGGCAGAAACAACTTCACGTTGAGTAATCAATTCAGAAGCATCAAATTGAGCAACAATGGACTTCAAGACTTCATTACCAATAGAAGGCAATACTCTTTCATCATAATCAAGACCCAAATTTTGATAGATGGAAGGCAAATTCTTGATTTCGGGGCGGTGGAGGACACGAAGGGTCAAGGAAACCATTTGCATATCCTTGGAACCTGTGGTAGTGGAAATATTACGAGGCTTGGTACGAACATCAAACAAGACAGCACGTTGAAGCCAAGGAACCAAGAAGTGAGTACCTTCGCCAACAGAAGCAGTCTTCACACCTTGAATACGATCGAAAATGACAGCACGGTGACCACCCTGGACTATTACAGTTAAGTTATTTTATTCGTTTCAAATGTGTACATTACCATCGTACATGGCGGATTGAACACCACCAATTAAAAGACCAGCAGGAATGGCGAGCTTGGCGAGCTTGTCAAGAATAGCAGTAGCCATGTTGTTGTATTGTATATAAAAGAAGAAGAAAAAAAAAAGCTGTGCAAATGACACATACATACACACAAAGAAAAAAAAATTTATAATGGAAAGCAGCCAATAAGCTTTCAAAGAATCAGAAACACAAATATGCTTCTCTCTTTTTTTATTAAAGGTCAATAAGAGGAGCATCATCCACTGGTTTCTTTGTTTCGTTCACTTGATAATGAGGAGGAGCAGAGTAATATGGTTGTTGTTGTTGTTGTGGATAATAGTCTTGAGGAGGAGCAGTAACAGGATAATATGGACTGACATCTTCAATAGGATACATTTGGGGTTGATGATACAAGGGTTGAGGCTGATATTGTTGTTCTGGTAAGTTTTGTCTTACTCCAGCAATTCTTTCTTCCAGCAATCGATCATAAGCACGCACTGCCATATTGAGCTTTTCATGAAGTTCAATAAAAGCATTTCTCTTTTGAATCGTCTCATCCAAGCTCTTGACTAACTTGGGTTGTAAATTACCTATTTGTGTATAGAGTTGATTGATTTGTGTATCATTCGAGACATCACCACCAGAAGCATAGACACGATCCATAAGAGTAGAAAACAACAAGATGTTCTCCATCTCTACAGGTGATAGATCATTCGTGTTCTTGACTTCAGGTTGCTTTTGAGAGATTTCCAAGTCACGTAAAGAAGCAGCAATAGCAGCAGCTAAATCAGGATCATCTTCAACAGGCTCTTGTTGTTTCGGTTGAGGAGCAACATAACCTGTACTATAACCATGTTTTTGTTGTTCAGCTTCTTTAAGTGATAATTCAATTGCCTTTTTGATATCATCATCAAACTCATCATTTGTAGTTGTATTTGTTGTTGTAGTAGTAACAGGAGCTGGAGTAGTAGTAGCAGCAGTAGCAGTAATAGCAGCAGCAGTAGTAGTAGTAGTAGTTTGAATAGAAGCCTTTTCTAATTTCAATTTGATATAACAACCATCACATACGCGAACACTTTCATTAATACCAAGCTTAGGCAATGGCATGGATTTAGCAGAACATTGCTGACAAAAAGTACCACCACAATGTCTACAATGATGCTTTCGATTGGTCATTGTAAAAGCAGTGCGACACCGATCACATACATCTGAGTCAGACCACTCAGGTGCCTAATATATTGTCCTAAGTTAACCTTGTTTTATCATGGATAGTACTTACAGCAGCAGTTTCTAATAAGATAGCATCTACTTTTTCATTTACAGGAGGGAAGTGTGTTCCCTCTGCTTTAAGTAAAGCATAAGTATCATACATGTAACTAAGTGAAGGCTTATGTTGACTAGCCAAACCCCAAGTTTGAATAATAGAGAGCATTTTGCTTCTCACATCCATATGGCAACCAGACTAAAACAAGGATAAGACAACATATTCATATACGATATACATTGTTACCTTCAAGATAATCACTAATTCATCCATGAATTCTCGAGAAGCAATTTCTCTGACAAACGTATCACCTCCGTTTTTGACACAGGTATCTACAAGCTAATAGAGGATAAGTGACATACTATACTGATGGGTTACTTACAGAAAGAGTGGCGAGTTGAACATTGGGTTCTTATGTCCTAAGCGTCTTTTGATAGTACGCATAGCATCCTTGGCGTTTATTTTCTTGCTACGAATTTGGTCACTAATGTCCAGATTGAGACCAAGGTCAGGTTCTCCTCCAGGCAATAGTTCAGACGTTGCTTTTTCTAAAAGGATGAGTGAATAAAATAAAATGGAGCACGGCTTTCATATGGTCTTACCAATAGTTTCATCTAATGAACTTGCTCCCCACCACGACATGGTTAAGTTGAATAAAATAAAATAAGAAAAGATATAAAAAAAAAAGAGTGTGTATAACACAGTATTTTAAGGATTATTCAAGAATGAATTTCTTGAAGTGTTTATTGATGCCATAATCATGACTGAACATACAAAACAGAACAAGATCCCAACCATGACAAGACTACCCCATCCTGCTTCTACAAAAGTAGCTTGTTTGACCAACAGTCGCTGACTCTTAAAGTATTTGCCTACACCTACAAAGAAGCAGGAAAGACCAATACCAATAAAGATAAAGCCTATCGGTTTACTTGCGAAATCATTGGCTTTGCTAACCGTTAGATTTCCATCTTGATCTGTACTGTCAGGCAATCGAAACTGTAGCAATAGCGTGAATCCTGCCACATAAAGTAAATAAGTGTATCTATGAGATACGTTCATTACCTAAAATGATCAATGTACATGATAAACGAAACCAAGTAAGCCAGTTTCGTTCATTGGCAAGTTGATCTCTTGCCATGCTTGTATTGTTGGACACTAGAATAGAGTAATCAAGACAATCTTGTAATCGTGTTGAAGGAAATATCTCTACTTTTTCTGCTAGTTCTAGTTTAGGTTGTTTGTTGGTAATACTATTCAGTCTCTTTTGAGAAGGACCTGCTTCTGCATTGTTGGTAAACGACATGAAGAAAAAAAGAAAGAAATATATATATATATATATATAATTTATTTATTTATTTTTTTTTTTTAGTAAGGACGATAATGAGATTGTCTTGAGGATGAAGGATGAACAGGTCCTCCTTCATTTCTGTTGTTACGACGTTGATCAAAACCAGAAGGATAATATGGTGCTGCCATTTGAGGTGGATACATGTTATATCGCATAGCAGATTGATAGCGCTGATTGGGTCTAAAATTAGCATGACGATTTTGTTTCCCTTTAGGCATGGCTCTTTTCACTTCAATCTAAGTCATGATATCAATACCACTCTACAATCCTACTTAACTTACGGTCTTGTCTTTGATAGATAAATGTGGATTCTTGAGTGCTTCTTCTACACCTTGACTGTCTTCAAATGTGATGAATCCAAATCCACGGGGTCTACCTGTATCTCGCTCCAACATCAATGTAGCATCTAATACTGTACCAAATTGTGAGAAAAAGGTACGGAATTCCTCTTCATTCACTTCAGGAGAGATACCACCCACAAAGATCTTTTCTGTCTTGTCTTGTTCTTCACGGGGAATAGCACGTTTAGGATCAATCTATAGAGACAGCATCAGTCATGTTTGTTCATATCCAATCACATACGCGTTTGCCATCCAAATAATGATGTTCTTGACTGACAATCTTGTCTACATCTGCATTTTCCTTCATCGTCAAGAATCCAAAGCCCCTGGATCGTTGTGTCAGTGGATCACGCATCACAATGCACTCTACCACTGGGCCAAACTGAGAAAAGTAGTCGCGCAAGCTTTCTAATAAATAAAGAAAAAAAAGAAAGGTTTTACCAATTGGCATGAATGAATTCAGTTTTATTCAAATTAAAAAAAAGATATATAGATAAATATATATATAATACTGTATCATAAAAAAAAAAATGACTCTTACCATCTGATGTATCCCAGTTGAGACCGCCAATAAACATCTTGCTAATCCATCATGAGTCAAGAAATATCTACCATAAACTACCTACCCTTCATCTGTATTTGCTGCACTGGCTACAATAGGTTTATCTGTTTCTTTTGTAGGTTTGGGTTTGTATTGTTGCATCGTGTATTGCCTCATCATTTGCATCTGGTAAGGATGCATCATCTGTTGTTGCAAACTCATTTGGTAAGCTGCTAAATATTGCTGATATGGGTTAGGTCGATATCCCCACATATTCTGATTGTCGCCTGTATTCATCTGTTGTTGCTGTGGTGATGATGAGGATGGAGGTGGTGAATCATGTTCTTCTTCATCCTCTTTATATTCTGCTGCTTCTCTTCCATACAATTCATTCTCATCAAAATCATCTTCTTTCTCTGCCCTATTGTAAGCATTGTATAAATCATCGTCAAAATCGTCAGACATAATAATAAGGGATAATAAAAGAAAAAGAAATAAGATACGGTTTTTGTAATTTATAGACACGCGTTTTTATTTTCACTGATTTTGGTAAACTCAAACGTTAATTATTTTTCCATTTGACATGAAAGTTCTCTTCGAATTTAAAGCGAGAATAAGTGTGCTTGCCTTCAAGGACATAAGACTATCATAGTAGCTTTGTGTTTTATTGTTTAAATCAATATTAGTCACCATTTTATCTATCTGATAAAAAGAGACTTCTTTGCCTTGAGAAAGTAATGATTGATGACTCAGAGCTTTTTTTATTTTCATAAAATGCCTTGATCATATCAGATGCTTCTATATAGACCAAACAAGCTTGACGAGGGAATCAATTGATTGTATGAAATGGCTTGTAGTCTAAGCCTTTCATCATCTCATTGACTCTGGATTGGATCATTTTTCAATCAGCAGGCAAAGTAAACTCCAACTGCTCAATATCATACAAGTCTTCTTTTATAGCGTCTAATGAATACCAAGCATGAACTGACTTGAGACGATCAATAGTACAAGGATTATTATATAGCATATTCTGGTTTCAATGGGGGAAAAAAAGATAAAAAGGAGGGAATTGTTGTATCCTTTTATTGAGACTATTTATCTGTCCATTTAAGACAGAATCTCTTTTCAAAAAGTGACCGATTATAGACATCTTTACCCTTAGTCAAGTCCTTTTTCAATTTAATCAAATGATCATAAAAGATATCTCGGTTGGATTGTTTCTTTGAGCTCATCTCACATTGAGAGGATTTGGCGCTGGCTTGAACTAATGATCGCTTGAGGTTTGTGAGTGATTTGATATACTTTGGAGCATCTATATAGACATAGGTCTCATACAGAGGGAATCGTACATGAGTATCAAATACAAAATCAGATTTAGAGCCTATTTCACTTGAGATGATTCTATTCAATAAAACATGTATTGCCTCTCTGTCTTCAGGGTCTTCAAAATGTAGACTTTCAATTTGATTCACATGAATTCTTAGGCAGTCAAAAGAATACCAAGCAAAAGGTGATTCCAAACGAGTAATTGTAAGCGGCTTTTTCTCTTTGTAAGGCATACCTGACTGTTGAATAAAACAAAAGAAGAAGCGTTTTGTGCTTTGTCTTAAATAAGATAGTAACAAGCTGCATTATGATAAACAAGCCCGCCAATGAGTGATAAGATCAATAGTGGCCAAGACCAAGATTAAAAGTTGGACAAATGGTTTTGGTTTTAGCCCAGGAACAGCATATGATAGAGATCTGTTGACTGATATAGTGAGTCATTTAGCTTCAAGTGTCGTTTTACGTTGACTAGAAAAGAAAATGTTGTCTATTTTTTATGAAAAACAGTATTCTATGTCTTGCCTTCATGGTTTCCGACGCATTGATATAAACACTTCTTTTTTGTGCGTCGAAAAGAAAGAGATACTCCCGCTAAGGATAATTATCCATAATAAATAACTCATCAGAGGATTAATGTAGGCTAATAGTAGCTAAAGAATACACTTGGAATACAATTTTAGATTACAAAAGAGTATTACATGTAAGGGATCGATATATGAGTATTCTTTACAATAAACAAATCATATAGTCTTGATCAATACATTCTCTCAGATGGAACAGCTATTTCTATGAATGTCCTGACAAGAGAGGATAAAGGACAGTCGTTTCTCTCACAACAGAACCATAAAAGAGGCAATGATACTTCAATGATGTACTGAAAAGAACGGACCGGCAAAATATATTGGACCGAAAAACTCATCAGAAATATCTTTTATGCTACACAAATACCGGCGTGTCATGTGATCTCAAAACATATAAAGTAGTCTATATTGTATTTTAAAACTCATTAAATAAGTTGTGGGGCTATGGCCCAATGGATAAGGCGTCTGACTACGAATCAGGAGATTCCAGGTTCGACCCCTGGTAGCCTCAAAACCCACTTCTCTTTTATCTTTTTTACTGAAGTATTTATTTAGTATTAAATGCGATTCTTTTTGTCAAGGATATATTTTGAAATAGAAATGATTGATACTTTTTTTTTCTTTCTTTTCTTTTCTTGAGACTATTTCTTACTTGAAAAACTCAGGTACAAAAGTGAATGATCATTTGTCATGATTAAAAGCAGCTTTTGATAAAAAAAAATCTGTAAGATACTGAATCTTTATTATTATTAACAATGGGGTTGGTACGGCGGCGCACACACTTGTTGCATCATCATAGGTTGTGTAGAATAGTAAGGAGGCGGCATACACATAAATGTAGCAGGTGGTTGTTCTTTCTTTTCCTCCTTTTTCGGCTCCTCTTGCTCTTCTTCTACGGGCGGGTTTAAACCAAACCCAGGTGATTTTAAGCAGACAATGTTCCAGTAGTACTGCCATCCAATAAAGACAACTGTACCAACAATCACAAAGGCAAGCATAACATTGATAGGTTTGCTTATCAGATACACATTATGATGGTTTGGATTACCATCAAAGATCAATAACCAAGGGTTAATAAAACCTGTATGTGCAAAGAAATCAAGGCCAAAATGAAACAAATACGCGCCCATCAATGATGTGGAGAAAATGACCATGTATGTCTCAACAAAGTACAACAGAATGGGACCAAGTAAAGAAAGTCCAATAATAAAGCACACGCGGGCCACTTTCTGGTATGCATGCATTAGACATTTTAGAAACCAATTGCCAACTTACTATCGTGATGACTAAATCTTCTTTCCAAGAAAGGATATAAACGGCTACATAAAACCCTCCAAGACCTATTACTTGAGGTTTGAGCATCACCTATGTTTTAAATAAGAAAGACTTACATGCAAGACAGTAGACACCTAGAGGGTACAAAAAGATCAAGATGATGGCGCCTAAAATACCAAGACCAGCACTCACACAGATATAAATTACATCACCTAAGGGATAGCCACCAGCAGGTTCATTATTGACAAGGCCAATCCATGTCATGGTAGCTTGTAGATGTTTAGCTCCAAGTAGATGTATCTTTTATCTTACCAAAAAAGACAAAGCCAATAAGCCCCAATGTAGGACGGAAGAAACGATAGCCAAAGATAGCAAAGTAAAGCCCAACGATAACACACAGGGTGCCAACAAAGCCTTGTGCTGGACTAATGCCATCACCATATGTATCTGAGATTCGATGAATATTTCATATAAATATAATACCACTTACGCCAAAGATAATCAGACCAGCATTGCCCTGTACAATCATTAGATGATGGCTCAGGTTGAGAGGTAGGGCTTGCAGTGATCGTCGTTGTCACAGTGACAGCAGTGCCTCCTCCACAATTGATTGTCTGGGTTACGGTCTTCCAAAGACGATTGATATCAGACGCATTGACCACCGCAGCGGCCTTGATATGATCCCGGTTTCGACACATACTAGCCCAGTTTTGATAGAGTTCTAGATCATCCTGAACATCTCTTTTGACCAATACAGGTGTCGGTGTACTTTCAGTTACAGTCGTGGTCTGTAATGTATAGATCGTTTTTGTAGGTATGCAGGTAATCCATCTAAAGCATAATAACAGAACAAATAGAAGATACTTCATTGTGATAAAGAAACACAAAGAAAAAGAAAAAGGTCTACTCTTTTATACATATGTTTATTGATTCATTACCATTTATAGACCAATGTTTTCAATCTTTTTGGCACCAATACCACCTTTCTTCTTTTCGCGTAATTCAGCCATACGCTTTTATCAAGAAAGTATGAGTGAGTTTGTTTAGCATCTACGTATCTTTACCTGTCGTCTTTCCTCTCTTCTTCGTTCAAGCTCGGCTTTTCTGTCTTCTTTATTCACAGGTGTTGGTTCTATCACACTCTGTGTTACATTGGGGCTCTCTGCATCCAGGTCTATAGCATCATAAATACACATTGCTTTGTTGATTATCATTTACCAATGGGTTTGGGTTTATGACTGAGTTTCATCGAACTGGGTGCTTTGGTATTTCCCATCGAACCAAATGAAGCGATGGATGCATTTGGCGTTGTTTGTTCCATGATAGGTTCAAAATCATCTAAAATAGCATTAATCAAAAGTCTTTGGGTTGTTCTCTTTACCCCATCCACTGTTTTCAGTTATCTGATTAAAATCAAAAGACGTATTGTCTTCCCACGCACTGGTTTCTTGTTCATCTGGTTCTATTGTTTGCATACCTAATTGAGGAGAGACAACAGTAGGTTTTTCTACAGCTAGTGCAGATGATTGGCCTATTTCTCCACTTGGAGAAGCAAACTAGAACTTGTCAGTTGCAGTCTTATGAAAAAGTAAAACTTACCCTCGACTGAATGGAAGAAACTGCCCATCCAGCAAGGCCCTTCGTAGCACCACCCAAGACACCTGCCATACCACCATTGTTAGACACAATCACTTCTTCAGTTCCTAAAGATTCCACAAGAGCCGTCTCTGGCATTTTCTCTGCAAATTCTTGAATGCGTTGAATAAAGGATTGCATGACTCGAAACGCTTGATCACGGACCGGTCTAAGCAAAAAATACATCAGTTGAATATCATGCAATGACATTCTCTTTATATATATATATATGTACTTTTCTTTATCCACCAAGGTCAAGGAAATAGCAGGTACAATACGAGTAGCACATTCTTGTGCATCATAGTATTCAGCAGTAGCTATTTATCTCTTTAGAACCATGTAGATCCAGATCCTTGACTTACCATGTAAAGCCATCAAAGCTGCTACTCTAGCATGATAAAACCCATCCCTTAAACTTCTTGTGAATGCAGGGACCAAGACTTTTTTTCGCGTCTAGCGTAGATCAATTAAAAAAAAGGGGGGGGGGACATGCGGTGATTGAACTTACACTATCACTTAAATGTTTGGCGATCTTACCTAAGCAAATCGTGGTATTGGTTCGAATACCAGGCTCTGGATCCATTTGTAATTTAGCTAAATGCTTCAACAAGTCATAGTTAATAATACGCTCATTGAGTTTAGGCACAATCAGCAAGATAGATTTGATCGTTTGTTCTCGAATTACTGGAATGGTGTCTGTAAAACCAGTTGCCTATACAACATTCAATATGCAATGTTGTTCTTTATATGCTTACAATATGAGGAAAGATCTGTGTAGTGACTATCTTGTTATTCATATGCTGAATAAACTTGGGCATATTCTCCAACAAACTAACTCGAATAGCACGATCAGGTGAAGCAAACATGCGAACAATAGGTGCCATCACAATCGTCTGATATTCTTCATCTGATAAATGATCGCCTACTTTCACAATGGCACTTAATGCCTTGGCACCTCCAGAACCAAATTCAAAAGCCTTCATGAGTTCAGGTAAAATCTTGTGCTTGGAAAATGTGCTGGGAAATGTCTCGATGTGGGTATCCAGTGTCTTGAAGAACTGCTCCTTTTCAGCTTGTTCTTTGATACTGATGTTTTCTAAAAACAAATTGACATTGACAAAATCATTGGCAAAGTATCCTTTGGGCCTTAATCCTTCTTGTAAGAACAGATCAGCACTGGCCCTGGATCGAGGTGATGGGTTTAATAAGCGAGTATAGATACGTTGCATAGAGACAGGAATACTGCCCTTTTGTGACAAGAGTGCCTCTGTTGTTTCAAACCGATGATTGTAGGTTTCATAGATGAGACAACCTAAATGATATGAATCCAGTGCACCTGAAGGTAGACTAATGTTTGACAAATTAGATCTCTATCATACATACACACTTTGTATTACTCTTTAATGGCTGTCCAGCCGGATTGTTTGATTTCAGGAGAAGCATAGCGTTGTGCATCAGGTACTACACCCCCAAATGTCAAGACAATAGGACTTTCTTCTTTCATGGAACACAGGAGTTCAAATCCACCCAGTTTCCATTCACCTGCCTTGTTGGTAAACACAGAAGACACTCTGATGTTGCCATGAACCATACTACAATCATGGTTTAAGAATTTGATAGCATTCTAAATCCATCAATATTCATCTTCATCATTCTCTGGTTCACTTACAGCTATTTTATAAAGACCCCATAACATTAGGTTTTTATCAGGATCTTGGTTGAGTTGATTGGACAATGGCTCAACAGGGTCTGTCACAAACATCACACTTTGTTCGGTCTAATGATCTATCAATATACCATTATTATGGATGTAAGTACTTACTTCAACACCATCTAGATATCTCAAGATATCTGGATGTCGCATCGTTCGAAGTCGTTTAAACGCGTTCCTTGCCAGAGTTACTTTGTCTTTATTTTTTGTACCATCAAATACAAAAATCGATACTTCTGAACCATCCTCCTAAAAACAAAAAACTATATACCATTGTCTTTGTGTGTATATGTATTTGTTACCTTTTTCGTGCCTCGATGAAGTGTCCAGATGGACTGATCAGAAAAGAACTCGACTTTGTCACCAAGACTGTAACCAAATCCCGAGTTACTTTGACTCAATAGCGATAAGCTACTTTTTACAATACCAGAGAAAAAGGCCATAAAAAGAAAATAAAGTGTGTTTTAATTGACGATAGATAAATGTGTCACGGTACATATTTTTATGTTGTTCTTTAAATAAATGAATATATACAAAGGTAAAAGTTAAGCAGGATAGGTTGTGATTTCTTGGTGTCTTAATACTTTTTCAACCAAGAAAGCCACTCGTTGCCCATACTTGGATCCACGAAGAGAGACCATATGGCGTTTAATAGAGCGACAGATAAATAGTTTTTGTTCTTCAGAAGCATTGTTGATTAACCATTGAACGACATAGTTACCATATTGATCTGAAGCAATATCAATCAAAGCCATTCTAGGCCGATGAGTTGTATCTGAGATACGTTGAATGAATTTAGTCAAGAAGGACTGTCCACCCATCCTGAGTGCCTTTTCAACTACTTTAGAGGCAAATTGATCCATTGAAAGTTGGACTGCTTCTCGAATCACAATATCAAAGGCTGCTTCACGGTCTGATCTGTTTTCTGCTTGTTCCAATATGTGTTGAATGACCCAGTTACCCCATTGGCCTTTAGCAATCAAGAGGGTGTTCTGAAGGACTTCATCCAAGACAGGGCGCTAATGTTCAATGAGTCAACCGATGATCATCAAGTCACTTACTTTATCTGGTTCCAATAGGTTCTCAAATACGTTCTGAATCACTAAACTGCCTGTTTCATCCAATGCCACTTGAGCCCATTGACCTTGAAGGGCAGCATGGACATATTTCATGACAGGAGGAGGAGGTATATGAACCCACCTTAATTCAAATACCTTTTGCCATACATGACAAGCATATTTATGTGTGATTGTCTGAGGAACACAAAAGAACAGTTCAGAACAAAAATCTGCTTTTGATTCTTCTTGAATATAGTCCAACGCCTTTTGTACTACATGGCAGCCAAAAGGTTCACATGTCAATTCAACAATATGGCCTCGCATCTTGTCTGCTAAGGTTTCAATCTGTTCAGGGGTGCCTAGTTCAAACAGTCGCTGGACAAGGAAATTTCCGAATCGATTGGTCATTAAAGCATACGCTTGATGTAAAATGGCTTGGTATATCTGCTGTTTCTGTACTTGACTAGCGGATTTTAATTTCTGTTGCATGAATAGAGATGCTTGTTGATCTGTGTCTCTTGTGATACGATCCACTAAAGACTTTATTTTTGTTTTTAGTTTTGAAAATAAACATCTACTTACATCCCAGTCTATCATCTTGCTTTTGTCCAATAGCCGACGATGTCTCTGTAGATAAAAAAAAAAAAAAACAAATCATTAAGGGAGAGAATCATGGATATATGGGGGTCACTTACTGTGTTACCCAAGATTGTTTCGGAATGAGTGATTGACATTGTGTCTAGACTAACAAAAGAAAAAAGAATGAGTCAAGAACAAGGTATTCTTTCATTTACTTACTCTACTAGATCGGAAGATTCTGTTGCTTTTAACTGCTTTTCTTTCAAGGCAAGTGTTGACTGAAGATGAATGATTTGAACTGATTTCTAATCTGGAAGTCAATACAAAAAAAAAAAAAAAAAAAAGACTTATACCTTTTCCATTTCCATATTCATCACACTCAATTGTTTAGCTAATTTTTGTATTAATTGATTGGCTTCTCTTAATTGTTGTGACATGGTATCCATCGTATGTTGATAATAGTCCTATATATCTAAGGTTAAGATTGACATAGATACCACATCATCACTTACTTGATGTCTGTCTGATGGACTGAATAACAAATCATGTTTAGGTGAAGATGTGCTATTATGAAATAAGGTATTTGTCTGAAATAAAGAAGGCGTATAAAAGGGTGAATCAAACGTATTTATATCTGTATCTGTATTAGAAGCTAACATGAATAAAAAAAAAAAAGTAAAAGGTACAAAAAAAGACGGGAATTTTTTTTTTTTATACACGCGAATCAAACTTGTTTTTAATTGGCAACTAATAACTGTAAACGTTCTGCAACAGACAGTTGCGTACGTGTCATATTGGCAAGATAGACAACCATCAAAAGATCTTGCAAATGAGAATTAAACATCTTTTCAAAGGCTGTACTGTCAACTTTGGGAACAACAGAGACAGTGTCCATAATATATCTACCAATAGCATTGTTGGGTGGGACACTACCATCCTGCATCTAAAGTCAATATCATCTTGTGTGCATCATAGTGACACTTACAACAACGCTGTCAACATATTTACTGATTCTTTCAAGCATTTCTTGAAGTTTAGTAATAGCAATTTCAAGGTGATCCATATCAGATATCAAAGAAGCAGTACGGGTTTCCTTTGATTTAGCAGAAGCAAGCATATCCACTATAGATCATATCAATAAGCATATGATAATATATTACCATGACAACTTACAGCCACTTCGTTCAGCATCAAGGTATTTCACTTCACAAGGAACAGATAAAAACATACAATCCCCAGGCTTAGTAGAGAAACCAACAGGTGCACTAGAGTAGACAGAGTCAATATATATATACAAAGATGATTCTATGTTACCTAGCATAGGCACGAAGACCCATATCAGAAGTCTTTAAGAGTGCATCTGTATCAATGGTGATATGGATAGGTTGGAAAGGAGCCACATCTTCAGCAAAGAAAGAATGAACAGGCGTACAGGCAGGTGTCAAATCAGCACCAGCTGTATACCAACCCACAATAATTTCATCTGGATTCACTCTTTGGTGTAATTCATACATGGTACGATAATGATCTTTATCGAGAACAATATCATCATTTTCTGTAGTATAAATCAAAGGGAAAGCATTTCTGATCTCGACTTCAGTACCATCAGGGCTGCGAACACCCAAGATGGCACCCAATACTTTAGATTGATCACGACGCAAGTAGTGATCCAACACAGTGAATAAGACAACAGGGCTTGTGCTGGTAGTAAATGCACGTTGGTAAGGTGCGCTGGATAAGTTGACAGTCAAAGTGTCGAGTTTATTGGCCATAGTTGTCGATAGAGAAGACAAAAAAAAAATATGAAAAAAAGTTTTAAGGGAAGGTCAGAGGAGATTAAAAATATCGTGACTGTTCTTCTTGAAGCTGTGTATTGTTGAAAGAGGACGATGCAAATAAAGAAGAAAGAGCTGCTCTGTTTTTTTTTATATCATAGTACTGAATTATTTTCTCTATTCGTACATGGTTATAAAGAAAGTGTCTATAAAATAGACTTGCTTGCATTTTATGCTAGTAATTCCTTCATTTACATCGTTCATGATGGTCATTTTCTCTACATATAATGCATCAGTTGCTTTAAAAGTTAAAAAGGCAGTTATAAAGAAAAAAGGAGTATTGTTTTATATATGATTTAATTGGCCAAAAATGCGATGTTTCTGCCATGATCTGATAATTTTTTTTTTTTTTTTTTTTTTTTTTTTGCTGGGTTTTGAACTCTATCTGATCATTTGTTTTGCTTTGAATCAAGCTTTCAATAGTGGCTATTGACTTGTATAAGCAAATAGTTTACTGGATACTATAGATCTATCATCTTTAGTCTATAGAATAGAGTTTTGTTGTAGACCAGTTTTTGTTTTGTTGTTGTTGTTGTTGTTGTTGCACAGATAATTCGGTAATTTAAAATCTGATGACATCCCTTTGTGCGCGATTATTGCTTTCCAGCTGTCAAAGGAGAAAGAAAATGTATATAAACATGCGCATATTTTTTTTTGGTCTTTGTTTCTTATTTTTTTTTAATTTTCTATCATAACATGAGTCATAGTCATAGCATGTCAACCAGCAGCAGCAGTAGTAGTAGTAGCATGTCCATGTCAATGGGTATGGGCACCTTTCATTGGAGTTCTTCTGGTGATGGTATCTTACTCAGTGGTTGGGTGCCTCAATCTGAACCTGCTTATATCGGTGCTTGTTTTGGCCTTTTCTTTTTCTCTATTCTCTCTCGAAGTCTACCAGCTTTAGAGGCTTATTTCGTGACTTGGCGGGCCATGCGTCACGAAGCTATTTTACTCAATTCCAATGCAACATCACCGGTAAATTTAAACTTGTCTTTATTTATTTGTACTCATTGCATGATTAGGAACCAAATGTAGATCGACTTGCTAAAGTACTAAAAGATTCTTCTTCTTCGTCCAGATCATTCAATCCAGCAGCTTATCCTGAACCTCTTGGACTTCCCTCTGTACCTCCCTTCTCATGGACAACAGATACCATTCGAAGTTTCATGAGCACACTTACTTCCTTTGTGAGTTATTTACTTATGATGGTTGTCATGACAGGCAATGGCGGTTACTTTATTGTTATTATTGCCGGTGTCTTTTTTGGTGAATTGGCATTTGGCCGATTTAAATACTTGACAGGCGGTGTTGCGATGGACCATTCTCATTAATTCTTTTACCTATATATACCTTACATTCATTATAATAAACAAGACTATTCAGAACAAAGAAGCATATCTCAAAAAGATGGTTGTGTTTATAAGGCGAGTTATGCATTTACTTTTGTTTTCCAAAAAAAAAAAGTTTCATGTAATTAGAAAGAACGGCTACCTTATTTAGAATAAATGGTCTCAAGTTGTCTTCGTCTTCGGAAGCCATATATGGCTATCTTTTTTTTTATACTTAATTAGGAGAATGGCTATATATAGCAAAGACGGAGGTTAAAAAGCGAGTCAAGCAGACATTCTACAAGAATAGCCTTTCAGAACAAAGTGTACCATAACGTGAGAAAATAATAAGACGTAGAGTGTAAAAAGGTTGTGACTTGCAGATAATATCTTTATTTATGCAATTTTTCTTTCTCTTTTTTTCTTCTCGCAAGACATGGATTATCAGAAATTTATTAGTGAAAGAAGTAAAGCAAGAAAACCCTCTGCTAGTAAGTCTTATAGGTTTCAAAAGAAAAAAAAAGAAAAAAGAAAACAAGGATTGATCATGTCTAGTTCGTGCTCTTTCTCCTTACCTTCATCAAAAGGATATGGTAAATGATGATGTACAGCACCATAGACTGATACACAATAGATTTCTTTGGGTGCTGGGCAACCTAATCCCATTACATTTCCTTTTGCTGGTATGAGTATCACGCTCAAGTCTGGAGAAACACTCAATATTGACCATGACCTTTTCAATCGTTCGTTATCGTATGATTTGACTGTAAGTTGAACTCTTGTTCATATCAGCCTTCTTTTGACATTGCTCATGATAGCCTGGGCTGCCTCATTTGAATGATTGGTTGCGTGAACTTCAAAAGAGAGAACACACACCACCTATTGAGTTTGATCTATCGATTGGCTGTGGTTCTCAAGACTTATTGACCAAGGTAAGATGGAATACAAAGCAGTACCTGTTCATGATAAGACATAGGCATTTGAAATGACCTTGAATGACGGGGACGCCATCATGGTAGAAAATCCTTCATATACAGGCTGTCTTTCTTTCCTCAAGACACTGAATTGTCAACTGGTCAGTATCGCTACAGATGCAGATGGTATTGTGCCTGAATCATTGGAAGACGTGTTAGCTCATTGGCCCAATCCTAACCGGCCTCGTGTGCTTTATACAATTCCCTCAGGTGGCAATCCTACAGGTGCCACAGCCACTTTGGAGCGTAAACAAGCTGTGTATCGTATCTGTCAAGCCTACGATATACTCTTGATTGAAGACGATGCTTATTATTACCTGCAGTTCCAAAAACCCCGTATTCCTTCTTATCTGTCTCTTGATGTCGATGGTCGTGTGCTTCGTTGTGACAGCATGAGCAAGATCTTATCGGCTGGTCTTCGTATTGGCTGGATCACAGGTCCAAAGCCCTTATTGGAACGAATCAATATGCACACCATGGTCACTAACTTACAACCCTCAGGTATTCCTCAAGTCATGGCCTATCAATTGCTTCATCATTGGGGCTATGATGGCTTCTTTCGCCATGTAGACCAAGTCGCTCATTTCTACCAGCAAAAACGAGATTGTTTTGTAGCCTGTCTTGACCGTCATCTAAAAGGACGTGCTGAATGGGTGGTGCCTAAGGCAGGCATGTTTGTCTGGCTTCGTTTATTGGGTGTGACAGATACGTTTGAGATGATCATGACCAAAGCTGTCAAGGAGAACGTATTGGCTATTCCCGGCGTTGCTTTTCTTCCTCAAGGCGACACATCTGCTTATATACGTGTCTCTTTTAGTAATGTGTCTCAAGAAGACATGGATGAGGCCCTCAGACGATTAGCGCGTGTGATCGTTGTATAAACTTTATTATTCAGTGGCTACAGCATAAGCACGATAGAATTCTAAACCTGAAGATTCAGATTGAGCAGCCATAGGCGTATTTGCACCCACAAAATAAACATAGCCTTCTTTCAACTCAAATGTCGTATCTTGGCTTGTCAATTGGCCACTGCCTGATGTGACAATCAAGATACTGGGGCCCTGGATAGAGGGATGTTGTTCTGTTTGACCTGAAGTCATGCTTGTCCAGATCACAGCAAATTCATCAATAGGAGGGTCGTACAAGAGAGAGTGGTCAGCGAATTTTTCGCCTGCCATCTTTTGAGATTCCGCAGAACCATAACGATACGTCAACATGTCAACCAACACATCAACATCTTTGAATTTAGGCGTAAGACCAGCACGAACTACATTATCACTTGTTGCCATGCATTCGACACAGTCTATCTCAAATAAGCAACGTATACACGCACATATCTACTTGCCTCCAGATAAATAAGCATGAGGTTCATTCGCACCTAAAAAGATAGCTTGTCCAGGTGCCATGGACACATAGTTCAATAACAAACAAGAAAAGACACCTACATCACCACCAGGATATTGCTGGTCAAGACGGACCAACAGTTGATCCATGGCGTCTTGTGCCTGTGTTTTTTGAAGACGATGAATCAGTTGAGAGAGGCATTGACTGACGTGTTCCTCAGAACTATGCATCAAAGACGAAAACAGTTGTTTCAAGACTGTCTTGTTCTTGGCTTCGTCTTGATCCTTTGTGTCTATCAATGCATGAGCTACATCCTGACCCACCAATTCAGCTAGTTCAGGATAGATCTTGAGGTGATGAGCTATCTCATCTAAAGGTCTAAAACCACACAATGCTTCAAAAGGAGTTAGTGCAATAGCCATTTCAGGCTACATAAAGAGATAAGTAACATTGAAACGCGTATTTTTTCGCCCTCTTTTACCTTGTGATTGGGATCCTTGTAGTTTTCAGGGAATTCCTTAAAGAGACGAGCACCCAATACTTTATCAGGATGAGCTTGGATAGACAATGCTTTACGAATAGACAGGATCTTAAAAAGAAAAGGAAGATCACCATGGTATTGGTCATACACAACCTTTGTGCTGAGTCCAACATTGTTTTTGATGAGGTCTTCAAGTGTGGTATTGTTCTCCAACACAAGAGAAGGCGCGTTGGGATGGGTGCCCATCCAAAGTTCAGCATAAGGTTTTGTGGTATCAATGGTGGTACCTGAAGCTTGTGCATAAGCAGCCACTTTAGAGACATCACCCAACTTGCCCCAATCATAAGACTGAGTCTTGCATTGCAAACGATAGATGGCACTCATTAGAAATAAAATAAAGAAAAAGGTACGTTGAAGAAAAAAATATGCTTTTAAATAGTTTCGGTCAATGAATTTTTTATTATTTCTGCCCAAGTTTCTTTTGTGTCTTACTCCAACGTAAACCACATGCATTACAAAGTCTAGATGAGATTAGATAAGCAGTCATGACCAGTCTACACTTACGTTTTTGGTCCTTGAGGTCCTCTTCTCCATTCAGGTGCTTCTGTTGTACCACAATCTGTACAGATGCGTTCTTCATCTTCTTTGTCCATACGTTTCTAAGCTTGTATGAATGTTGTTACTGAGAGAGGGAGAAAGAGAAGAAAGTCAATATTACCTTTTTTCCTAATCTGATGGGATCGGATGCTTTGTTTTTGATAGGCAAAGCATTTACTGTTGTTAATTCTCCATTCTTAAGGCCTAAAGAAATCCCTAAGGCACGTTCACCCAAGTCATATCGCAAACCAGTGAACATGGCTAAACTTTGGTTGATATCATAAGAGGCACTCACACCTTGAGTATATACATTAGAAGCAGGCATGTCTTCATCCTCTTCACTTGAATCATGAGCTTTCATTTTCCGCTTGATCATGGCCAATTTTCGCTTCAGCATTTCATTTTCCATTTTGAGATCGAGAAAGGCGTCTATGGACTGTGATGTTTCTGTAGGAATCCGTCTTGCATGACCAAAAAACCCATGTTTATAAAACTGTCCTCTTGTTTCCAATGTGGTATATTTCCCATCTTTTCTCAAAAATCGATACACACATTTTAGTGTGCGCATCATGGATTGGGATTGCTTAAGTTCACGTACAAACATGTCCACGTCATCCACATGCATATATTCAGTAAAAGCATGGCCTACAAGCTCATTGGGTTTATAGCCCAAGAACTCACTCGAGGCAGGTGAACAATAAATAAAGACAAGATCACCGTTGAGTACATGAACCACATCACGCAACGACTCCAAAATATTGCTAGACCAGTTTTTTCGACGAGTAAATTCGCCTGTGTTATGGTTGAGATTGAGTTTGATGATTTGTTGCGTATCCATGAAGAAAAAAAAAAAAAGTTTAATCTGTGTAAGCTTCAGTTCAGGGATAAATTGAAGGTCAGATAAGTAAAGTACCTGATTCTATTGATCATAAAAACACAGTTGATGACAAATGCTTAGGAACATGTACACACTCTCTAATGTATCATGCAAGGCAAACCCCCCCCTATGGTATGTGTTGGATAAACAATAGCATACCATGTTGCTTGAAAAAAAAAAAAAGGGAGGGAGGCGGCTGTTTGTTCCAAATTTGGAATGTTGACGCGTTTCCTAAATTACGCGACTTTTTCTCTCTCCCTCTTTTTTCTTCGTTTATTATATTTAGCATTGTTATCAAAATGTCATCAGGCAAAGTATACTCAGCCGTATACTCTGGTGTACAGGTATACGAAATGATGATTCATGGTATTGCAACCATGGTCCGAGGAGAAGATTCCTATTTGAATGCAACACAGATTCTTAAAGTAGCCGGATTTGAAAAAACAAGACGTTCAAAAATCTTGGAAAGAGAAGTACTTATTGGAGAACATGAAAAAGTACAAGGAGGTTATGGTAAATACCAAGGCACATGGTAAGAAGTGATTTTTTTTCTGTTTCTTTACTCATGAACCTGTAGGATTCCATTTGAAAAGGGAAAGGAATTAGCTGAAAGATACGAAGTCTTGGACAGTCTCATGCCCTTATTGAATTTCGACCCTTCTACACTAAAGAATGAAGAAAAGCATGATGATGTGTCTTCACCTTCCAAGACACCTCTCTTGTTACCTGCACCACCCTCACCCAAAGCACAAAAACGACCTAAACACACTCAATCACAAGCACGCAAGAAGCTCAAGCTGGTTGGTGTCTCACCTGAACCAATTGGACCTGAAGATGCATTTTATGAACACCATCGCAACTTATTGATGAGCATCTTCTTGTCTGATAATCCAGACGATGTGCCTTCTCTCTTGTCTTCTGTTTTGTTGACCAAAGACTTGAATATTGACTTGGTGATTGATGAACAAGGTCATACGGCCCTTCATTGGGCTGCTGCTTTGGGTCGTGTACGTGTGGTTGAACTATTGATTCAGAATGGGGCGAATGTATGTCGACTGAACTATGAGGGAGAGACGCCTTTGATGCGGGCTGCCATGATCACGTGTTGTTATGAAAAGAAATGTTTTATGGAAATGGTGGAAATGTTGGCCGATTCAGTTCACGTGACAGATGATCGAGGTCGAACTGTGTTGCATCATATTGCTCTGACAGCCAGTGTAGAAGGGTATACAGATGCTGCTATTTACTACATGAAGCGGTTTGTGAAAGCAGTTCCAAAGAAAAGTATTTTGAAGAACATTTTGAATATCAAAGACACTCAGTATTATGAATCTGCTTTGGCCATTGCACTTCGACTTGAATGTCAAGATATTGTGGATGTGCTGATCAAACAAGGTGCTACTGTAAGTCATATAAATGTATACTCTGTCTTATCAGATTAGGATCCTTTGATTACCAAGATGGAAGAAGAACAAAACATGGAGTTTGATCCTGTTGATTACAAGACAAAATCGAAAGGACCTGACATGATCAAAAGTAAGTTGTTGTATATAAGACACAGCCTCATTGTTTTTTTTTGTTTTAGCTATGCAACATATGATTGAAAAACTAGAAGATGATTACCAAGAACAATTACGAAAGAAAGACATGGTTGCATTTGAACTTCGAAGAGAATTAGGTATGGTCAAATATGAATTAAGAGAAGCACAACGTCGACTTGATTTCCCAGTCTCTATGCAGTTAGCAGAAGCACGTAAACGCATTGCTCAATTAGAGGCTCAAGTATCCCAAGAAGAACCCATGATCATTGATGAATCAAATGAAGAAGAAGACAAATCAACCAAAGAACGTAAATTAGAAAAGAAGATCAAATCACTACAGTCACAGGCAGACATGAACATCAAGACGATTGAACGACTACAGCATGAGTTAGAAGCAGAAAAGAAACGAGCGCATGACAAGGAAATGGAATATCGTCGCCTTATTGCCGCTAGTTGTGGATTACCTATAGAGCGTATTGATGCACTTATAAAGCCATTGACATTGGCTGTTGAAAGTGATCCCCCAGACTTGGACATGGCTCGCGTCATTGCCTTGATGGAAAAACCCACTGCCTAGTCTTTTGTTTGTAAATAACCTTTATTTTGTGTATATATTATATATTTATTAAACACCACCTCGTTTAACTTGAAAGAAGCTCTTGATCACAAAGACCTGTAAACCAGCCATGGAAATAATAGCTAAACTTTCCAACATGGCAAACCAAAAGATACGTCCTTCGGTAGAAACTACAGTAGCCGAGTTACGGTTTTCTCTTGTACGGAAATACTTTTGAGTACGTTGAATGTTGGTTAAGTGACCTTGGATTCTAAATACAGATTCTTCCATTTCTGTCATGGTCACAGGCTGTTCTTTGCCTGAAGCATCCTTTCTAAATTCAGGACGAACTTCATGTTCCATCATGATCTCGAAATCAACTAATTTCTCTGCCCAGGTAGACATATCATTCGAGAAACAGAAAGCATATTCACCCACTTGGTTAGCAGTAAAGACATAGTCGCCCTGGCGTTCTTGTTCTCCACTCAACACAACATCTTGATCAGGACTCAAGACTTGATAGTCTATATCAAAAGATCCACCTTGTTGAACCTATACAGATAGATACATCAATGAGACTTGTCAGCCATATAGAATTTTTTTTTCTTTACCGCGAAATATAAACCGAGTTTTTTGCCTGGTATATCCACCCATTGATAGAAACAGGCTTTTTCGTTGGCTAATAAGCTATATGTTAAAGCTGTTGCTTGTGTGCCTGTAGGTCCAATAACAAGACTGGTCAGTAATACCACAAGTAAATAGAAATAATACATGCTAAAGAGAGAGAGAAAAAATAAAAAATTCATTTTCCCCTTTTATTAATTTCATCAAGTTGGCAGCTTTTTATTGGGGCGTAATATTGACTTGTTTGATGCCGATGGATACACGCACTCTCTCTCTCTCTCTCTCTCTTTCAATGATGTTACTTTGTGAGTTTGAATACATTACAAGTAGATATTAAGAAAGAAAAAAGAGTTATTTATTAAAAAAAAAAAAGAAGAGGGTAAACAGACAAGTGTAGTTTTAGTTGGATAAGATGACAGTAACAAAGTCTAAAGAAAAGTAAATAAAAAGACATGGATAGATGTTCAACTTACCAACATAGTTGATACGACCATCTTTACCAACTTCAACTTCCTTTAAAAGTTCGTTCACTTCATCTTCACTTAATTTCTCACCAAGATTGGTCAAGACTAAAATATATGGGCTTAGTTAAAAATAATAATAAAAGGTCATTACCATAGCGTAATTCACCAGCAGAGATGTAACCATCACCTTCCTTATCAAAGACTTGGAAGCCTTGAATAAATTCTTGAGATGTACCTGCAGGCTTGAAACCATCAGGACGTGTAAGGATAGACAAAAAGGTACCAAAATCAATATCAAATTCTATAGAGAGGATTGTCAATAGGACAGAACCACTTTTTTTTTTTATACATTACCTTGGGTTTCAGGAACATTTTTAGATTTAGCAGTATCCTTAACGAGTTCAGCAACTTCAGCTTGAGTAGGGTTTTGACCAAGGCCTCTTAAAAGGTCACCAAGGTTAGCAGAAGAGACAGTACTGTTGCCCTTCTTGTCATATAAAGAGAAGGCTTCCTTCCATTCTTTTTTAAAAAGTTTAGATGAAGAAACCAGATGAACCCCCCTTTTTTTTACTTACCATCGAGTTGTTCTTGAGTAGGCTATATATAAGAGAGATGGAGTTAGATGACTAGGATAGTTTATAGGGTTAATACATACTGCTTTGCTCATTGTAATATAAAAGACTAAATATAAAAAAAGGGGGAGGGGAAAAAGAGAAATAAGGAAAATAAAATAAAAACACGTCTATTTGGAATGGAGATTCAAAGTAGTCTGCGTGACCCATTTGACTTTAAAGACACTTGTTCTAAATTTATTCTCTATTAGCAAAATCACCAAAAGATGCCATATAATAAGTGGATCTGATCTTGTTCTCAGGAGACAAAAGTTGCTCTTTTGTAGTGATACCTAAAAAGAGAAGATAGATTCAATAACATTGTATTGACACACAAACACTATTACCTGTCAAAACACATAAAGTATCAAGTCCACCATTAGCACCAAATTCAATGTCTGTGTCTAATCTATCACCAATCATACATGTCTTTTTAGGGTCAAGTTGGTACCTAAATAATGTCAGTCAAACATATAATTATCTGTATCTTTCTTACTCGGCAAAAATAGCCTTCATCATATTTTGAGCAGGTTTACCCAAGACAGCATCAGGACGTCTACCAAGGGCATTGATAATAACAGCAGCAATGGATCCTGCACCAGGATAAAATGATCCATGTTGAGGAAAAGTAGAATCTTCATTAGTGACAATGAAATAACATCCTTCGTTTCTTTGCAAATAAGCAAATGCTTTGGCATATTTCTTGTAATTGACTTGTGTATCAAGGCCAATCACCACGGCGCCGACCTAATGATAACAATAACAATAACAATAAGCTGGCGTGTTATACAATCCCTTATTTATACCTCTTTATCATCTGGAACAGGTTCATTATCAAACAATCCAGAGTCTTCTTCACCGCCACAACTACGAATGCCCTCCGAAGCCAGTTCATCACGAATACCATTCATACCAATGATATAGACTTTTTTATCTTGAGGAAACTTGAGGACATGCTTAAGGTAGGAAGCAGTAGCAAAAGCAGAACTAAAGACTTCTTCCTATAAGAATGATTGTCAGATCATGTCTATCCATCCAATGAACCTACCTCTGTTGCCTTGACACCAAAGCCCTCAAATTTCTTTAAAAAAGAAGAACGCGACTTGGTGCTGTTGTTTGTTACAAAAAAGATACGCTTGCCTTTTTTTTTTTTTTTAGAAAAAACAAAACAAATGGCTGTTAGATATATATATATATATTTGTACATGACTTACCTTTTTCACGCAAAATAGTCATGGCTTCCTTGACACCTTCTAACATGCGATTACCTTCCCATAAGACACCTATTCAAGTATAAATGACTAATATATACACTTTTTTATTTATTTACCATCACAATCAAACAAGAAATTGTCATATCTGTCGAGAAAAGCTTCTCTTTGTTCTTTTGTTTCTAACAAGTCAAGCATAGATACTAACAAGAAAAAAAAAAAGAGAGTAAAAATAGAATCGGGTCTTCTTTCTGAAATACAGGAGAGCGGATAATTCGAGTGTGTCCCGGAATTTGAAACAAGTAGAGTCTTTAAGAAGTGTTTTTCAGTGCCTTATTTTCATTTCACTCTACAATGTTGTTTCTTAACACAAACAAGAACAGAATGTCTTTATCGAAACTAATGAAGTGAAAACCAAAGATGCGAAAAGAAATAATTAAAAGACGGATAAAAAACTGAAAATAATAGTAAAGCTCGAAACTTCAAGAGATATTTACTTAAAATAGCTTTAATGCTAAGGTAGGATTGAATGGTATCGTCAAATAGGATAATGCCTTAAAGTTTGGCATAAGTGGAGTGTCCCTTAAAGAAATTCTGAGTTTAAATTGGTAATTTCATTTCAAAAACTAAAATCGAAAAAAGAAGAGATTTAGAAATCTAAGAGAAATAATGGACTAAAAGTGCCTAAAAATAAAAAGCTATCAGAGAAGTGTACTAACAAAGTTGGTAGATATCAATAAGGCACATTGCATGATGTAGAGAAAGTAGCATGTTGAATATCAAGATAGTGAAATATTCTTCAAAAACGTATTCTCTGTTTCTGAACCGTAGCATACACTTTTTATAATACTTTTGCAAATCTCGCACTTTAAGCGTGTTTTATAGACCTATAGAAACAATTTATACTAAAATATACTATATCTACAATGTCTCTATTGTCCACAGATTGAAAAACAGTGAAAATTAAAGACTTCTTCAAGGTACCATAGGGGCAAAATGACGATTTTTTGATGTATGTTCAAACATAGGAAACTCAAAAAAAGGCAATTTGAAGGCAGAGATAATGATTTATGTTGAGAACCACTCGCGCCTACAGCGGGCTGCTAATCTACAGGTGTTATTGTTATTGTTTGTCAGATGGATTCAAAAAGAAAGGTAGTTTATGTTGGAAACTTACTTAAAAACTCATAAAAAAGTGGGTGCTTTTTAGAGTGAACAACGGAGTGGATAAATTGTTTTCTAACCTTTCCCTTTCTACCCGGTACTCTATGAATGTCGGTTTAAATATGTCTGAGAGAGGGAGTGATGCATAAGAAAACCGTATTTTGTATTTTTTGTATTACCGTCTTCAAAACATTTTTTATGAATCTAAGAGTGGTTCTAGACAATGGATTCTGGCACTCTTAAAACTCCTTTTTTTTTTAGAAGTTACTGTTATCAATAGGTATACTAAGGCAAATCAGTATGGCCAAACAATAGAGTACTATAGTAAAATGTCTAAATGTAGACCTTCATTTGTCTAAAAACAGCCAGATGTAAAAAGCGAACTCTGTGTGACTGTAAATCGAGAGTAATTAAACAATAAAAAGTCCGCTTAATAAACGGCATGTTGGATGTACAAATCTTTATGCCCTATTATTCTCCCCCCTTTCTTCTCTCTTTTTCTTTTTTCTTCTTCTTCTCCTTTATTAAAGTATGAAAGAAGCAAGCCCTTTAAGACAAGTGTCTGGGCCTGTCTATTCTACGTAAGTCTATTTTGTATAGATTGTTGTTTAACCACTACAATAGAGACCTCGATGTTGTATTTGAAGAAAATGATACACATAGTTATGGTTTGAACTTTTTACGAAACAAAAATTACTCAACAAGACCTCGGGCTGGTACGATGCCTTCTTTTGTTCAACCACCTGAACTTCATCGCAACACAGCCTTGTTACTCAACACGATGGAAGCAGGTCGTCATCGTTCAGGTTCACTTAACTTACCTGACGCCCCTATGCATTCTTTTTGGTCTGCTCCATTATCTCCTTCTTCTGAACAGCTAATACAAAACGACAATGATTTCTCTATTGCTCGTACCATGCGATCCTTGGGCTTAGAGCAAGAAGAGACAAAAGAACAACAAGAAGAAAAAAATGAGTCTCTAGGTTTATTTCATCAGGCAACACCGCCTGAGTTCTTATTGCCGAGTCGATCACTCTTATCAGGTCAGAATCGACATCGATCTTATTCAGTGAATGCCACTGCTCACTATGAGTTACCAGTACCCACCATGCCGAGTGCGCTTGAAGGATTTAATCGACAACAACAGAACCGTCCTCGGGCATCAAGTATGGGGCGTGCAGATGGCGTACCGAGTACTTCTATTTGGAATCCTACGACCCGGTCTCCTTTAGTGTCCATGACAGAAGAAGAATACCCTACTTCTCTGTCTTTAGGTGATTCAGAATTATTAGCCAATATGTTGCACCCACCTCAAGAAGACATGGAAGAATTAGTTGAGGTAGATCTATTGTCTAAGCTCATTAAGCTCATCCTTCTTCTTATAGAAACCTTATTTGCATTATAGCCAATCGACACCCACCACCACACGGGAGACCCATTTACTCAATCAACAACAACAACAACAGCAACAACAACAAGTGAGTCGTTCACTCTGGGTTGGCAATATTGATCCCTCTATCACGATTGATCTATTGACCCAAGTGTTTTCTAGTTTTGGTCCTATTGAAAGTGTACGTTTGTTGGTTGAAAAGGAATGTGGATTTGTGAATTTTTTTCAGTTGGAAGATGCAATCCGAGCCAAAGAAGAAGTCTTGGGGCGTATGGGAGGTCGTATTGGGTCATGTATTGTTCGTATCGGGTTTGGTAAAGCAGATGCAGCCACGACAGAGACCAACGTATTACAGCCTACGCGTGCTTTATGTAAGTCAATTTGTATACGCTATGTTGTTGATCATATGTAGGGTTGGGCAATATACCGAGCCATACAACACCTTCTTGTCTCCAGACAGTCTTTTCTCGATTTGGTCTGATCGAATCGGTACGTGTCTTGTCGCATAAAAATTGCGGCTTTATCAATTTCGAAAAAGTGGCCTGTGCTATCAAGGCCAAAGATGCTGTGTTGGCGAATGAGATAGAAGGGTTTGGAGGTACGCGTGTAGGGTTTGCTAAAATACCACCTCCTCTTCAGCAGGAAGACAATCGACCTGAAGAAATGATAGATACAATCATGACATGGCAACATGAATTAGCTGATATCATGATATCCCTGGGTGTAGATCAACCAACTGCATTTTATTTTGTTCAAGGTAAAAAAATAAAAATAAAAAAAAGGAACCTAAAGTCTGACTGGATAGATTTACGTATGCACCATACTTATTTTGATGCCATACCTGCTGTACCTGAGCTGAGCACACATCGAAAATTAGATGCTGGACGCCTTCGTGAGATGCGTAAACGAATGGACCATGCTACAGATAAACAAAAAGAAGCAGAAACCATTGCCTACGAATGCTTGGACGATATAGCTGAAATCAGTAGTGGTAAGTAAAGTGAGTTAAATGATGTTCATGCGATTCAAATGATGGTAATAGACTACATTGGTAACACAGTCGTACAACGTTTATTTGAGAAATGTACAGAAGAAACAAAGACAAGCATGTTAGAACGTATTGCACCTCATTTGGCAGCCATCAGTGTCCATAAGAACGGTACATGGGCTACACAAAAAATCATTGACCTTGCCAAGACACCAGCACAAATTCGGTTGATTCGTCAATACTTGCAACCGTATGTGCCTCCATTATTGTTGGATCAGTTTGGTAATTATGCAGTTCAGTGCTTTTTACGCCTGGGTGATTTCGAACAAGCACAGTTTATTTTTGATGCGATGGTTGAGAAATTGATGCCGATTGCTCAAGGAAGATTTGGTGCTAGATCCATGCGTGGTATACTAGAAAGTGACTCTATGACAAACCAACAAAAGGTCAGTGCTACATGGCATCATTCAATTAAACTCATCCCTTTGTTAGCTCTTTGTGGCTGCTTCACTCTGTCAACATGCTGTGGCTTTGTCTACCAATGCCAACAGTGCTTTGCTTTTGACTTGGTTGATTGAGTCCACAGAGATTGAAGGTCGTTGCAAGACAATGGCATCTCGACTCATACCTCATCTATCTCAACTTTGTATTCATAAAATAGCGTCTCAAGTCATCTACAAACTGATCAACCAAACCACAGAACCTGAAGCACAACAATTGATCGTACAAGAATTACTAGACAATGATCAGACATTGAATGATATCTTATCAGATCAAGTCCGTGGTTTGACCTTTATTCAGAAAGTAGTTGTCTGTCCTGCCCTTTTGTCACCTACTCGACAAGCCATGTCTAAGAAAGTATGCTCAGCACTCCAAACACTGCATGGTCCAGGACATAAAAAACTCTTGGGACTCTTGTTAGAGTCAAGCCAAGAGGATTAATACCCTTGTTTCCTTGATGGAAATATCGTTTTTTATATATATATATATATATACATTTCCAGAAATTGTTGTCGCACCAAGATGTCGCATTTTATATATTTTGCACTATAGTTTTTCAACGTTTGCGACATTACTTCTTGGAAACACTGTATATATATATCAAAAATAAAGCTCTGATTTCTATTCTTTTTCTTCTTTATTGGATTCATTTTGATGGCTTCGTTTTCCATCTTGTTGTTGATCTCGCTTCTCAAAACGAATTCTTTCTTCCAATACTGTCTGTTTCTGTGATTGAATCGTCTGATCCATATCTTTTGTCAACTTCTGTGGCAAATAATACAAAACAGGTTGTGTGGATGTCTTTAAGAAATGAGCCAATTTTTCATTCTGAAGAAGATCTGATAGTTCCTATACCATTATTTAGTTCCTCCATTGAGCTCTATGCCATCCTACCTTTTTTCTTGTAATAGTCGTTTCTCTTTTTCAAGTTTTTGTTCTGCCAACCTAAGTTTCTCTTCTTTACGTGCTTTTAATTTCTCTTGAAGTTCTTTTCGTTCTTGTTCGAGTTTTTCGTGTAGTTTGTTGTTGATAGCTTGTCTGTTCTGATTGACATGACTATCTTTCTCTGTTTCGTCTTTAAATTTGTTTAGTGTGCCGATCAAAGCACCAAAGAGACGCTTGTTGCGTGTTTTTCCCTTTTCATCTTGATCTAATAAACGAGGTCTTTTGACCTGATGATGATGAATAATCTTGACTTGAATATTCTCTTTACCTCTTCAGAAGTATCTATATCAGGATTCTCCACAGGTCTCTTTTGAGACGTATGCACTACAATACTTGACTGGACCATGATGAACAAAATATATAAAAAAAAAAAAAAAAAAAAAAAAAGAGGTAGACTTTAATGTGACTGTACAGAAAAAAAGGGCGTATGAAATGTAGGTGAAGTAGGACTCTCTGCTTCTTTATAATCATATATTTCCAATGTCTTTTTTGGACTCTCTTGTTCAACTAACAATTGACTCAGACTATCTTCAGAGGCTGGTGTGATACAGACAATGGGGAAAGCACCTTTCAGCCCCGTAGTGACATTGTAACCCAGTGCCCAGCCATCATCAAAATGAAGTGCAAGACAGATAATATCACCTACATGTAAAGCAAGTTCGTCCGCCATTTGAGGAGGGTAAGGATGAATGACCACAAAGAATTCTTCTTTTAAGGGAGTAGGTGATTTCTCATCTTCTTGCACTGTCTCGTGAGGTTTCTTGTAGAGACAATAGACTAAGCCAAACAATAAAAGCAAGACAGCCAAGACACAGCCAACGGCGATACCAGCAATGGTACCCCCTGATAACCGAGATGGACAATCCAGGACTGTTTGACAACACTTGTCTTCAGGATAGACTTTACAATACGCACAAGCATGCATGGTATCATTCCCAAAGCCTATATATATATATATATATATATATATATATACACACATTGTTTAGTCTACTATCTATCTGATCCATAGCATGACATTACCACAGGAATAAGGTTCATTGGCTATACCCGAAATACAATTTTGTTGAATTGTACCATTGTATCCTTCCCATGAATCACACTGATCCATAAAATTAAGCAGGGAATCATTCCTCTGTATTGAGTCAGAACACACGCTTGGGTTAGCTGTGATATCTGTGATACTCTTGATCCAGGCGAGACAGGTACTTTTGCAGAGTGGAGGTGGCGTCAAATGTTGATTAAAATTGCAAGGCAAGGAATAAGCTGGGTTCTGAATCATGCCTGCACATAGTCGAGTGAGTGAATAACGAGCATAAGGGATCGTAGGGTTGTAGTTGGAACTAAGACAACCGAGAGGAAATAAATAGTCGCTTGTGCTGTTGACATACTCAAGTAATCGTCGGTCGAATTCTTCAATGGTGGTGATGTTTAGCAAGAAAGGAAACTCCTGACCTAGTCCCGGGAGACCAATATAGAATGGAGCAAATGCTGAACATACAGTAGAGTTGATGAGAGAAACACAGGTATCTTGTTCGTTCATGAGAGGATATATGTAATAAAGGGAATCAAGAACCAGAAAAGATGCTTTATCAACATACACTGAGTTGTAAAACAAAAGCCACACTGTGTTTTTATTTTTATTTTATAAAAGACAACTCTTTTGAATGAACGAATGGACTTTTTCACAATCACATACATCATGAGCTAACAATAATTCACGCAATGTCATGACTTGGTTTTTTAAAGCATTCACCATGACTTGTAATGATGCATTTCTTGTTTCCAAATACTCTGCTTGTTCAACCATATGTTGTTGTTCATTTTTCTTCTTTTCTCTACATCGATAGGCTATTCATAGAAACATGGGTCAATGTATCTATCTTGACTTATGTTACCTGCGAGTCGATTGCGTTCTAAATGCTGCTTTCGCTTATTAGCTATGGATTCGAGTTGATCTTCAGGTTGATCTTGCCTATAATGATCTAACGATGGTTGCATCGTTATATTCGAATAATAGTAAGGATGATACATGAAAGAGAAAGAAGATGTTTGTTTGATAGGCAAATGATGAGAGGAAAGTTTCTCTTATTTGTCTGCATAAGGGTAATACAAATAAATAAATAAATAAATAAAAGCCAGCACTGCTTTTTCTTTTCATCTCGACATGAAACTCATCAAACTCAAAAGTACAGTGATAGGTGTCCTTGGTTCTTTTTTCACTGTGGTATTGATGTATCACCTTGTTGAACTCAATACTCGTCCTGTATATACGCATTATTTGGATTCAACTGAAATCACCAATTATACCTTATTAGCATCCTTATTGTCAGTACAAGGTAACAAAAATGATCATCTCTTTCTTTCTCTCCTTAACTTTTTATTATTAGATACTCCTATATCTCCAGGCACAACACCCACGTACAACACAACAGATGGGTTGGTATTATACACAGACAAACCAACATCTGCTTTCTTAGACCTTGTTTGTCAATGGAATCATACCAATGTCCATTGGATTACATTCGATACCATGGTGGATTGTCAGCATGTAGTGAATCACAAAATACAGCACAAGTCAGAACTTCATTCGTTATTAGAACAAATAGCACCTCGGGTAGTCATTTATCAAAGTAAAGATGCATGGGTGCCTATGGAAGGCACAACATGGATTCATTTACCTGATGTAGAAGAAATTCATTGGCTATCTGATCTATCGATGGAAGCATTAGAAGCATGGCATACACCTCAAATCAAGCTGATTGTGTCTACCAGTGGTAAAAAGAAATCCATGCAAGTTAAGCGGTTGTTTGAAAGTATCCAGGCTGCCGAGTATCTAAATGATCAGCTAGACTTGTTTGTCTTGATGGATGAGAAGACAGACACAGCCACCATGCAATTTATTCATCGACTCCCATGGAAACATGGCGAGAAACAAATGCGTCATCGTATAGCCACAGTGCACCCCATGCAACACTTTGTGGAATCCTGGTATCCTTCCTCTGACCATGAATACGCTATTTTGTTGGATGATCGTGTCCAAGTCTCAACAGGCTATTATCTCTGGCTTAAATATGCTCTACTGAAATACCGCTATTCAAGCAGATCCACACCTCTGTTTGGCATCAGTCTGTATGCGCCACGTATTATCGACACAGATCCAACAGGAAGACAATATCTCCATAAATCCACAGATTATTGGATGCAACTCCCTTCTTCAACTGCACTCTATTTCCCTGAATATTGGCGTGAATTTCATGACTATATCACAGCAAGATTAACAGATCAATCGATTGTCAAAAGAGGTTCGGGTCGTCCGCATCTCTTCAAGGACTCACTTTTGACCATCTCACGCACCAATCGATGGATTCATTCATGGCGTAAATACTTTGATGAAATGATCTATATGCGTGGTTATGTCATGCTGTATCCTCAGCAGAGTTATGCTACACTCTATCTCAGCTTCAAGAAAGACACGCCTGTCAGCCAGTTATACAATGTGCCTATGACTACCACTGTAGCCACACTCGCAGATCATTTGCCCTTGTTTGATTTACATGGTCAACCTGTACAACAAACACAATTGATAGAACGAGGCCATCAATTACAGCGTAAATTCAGTGCTTGTGAGCCAAAGATAGACCATCATCATGATCCATCTGATATGTTGTGTCCTTTTAGTCGATTGATCCAAGTACCTATTGATCAAGACCATATCCCTATTCAGTCTGTCTCACTCTATAGCTGAGTTTTTTTTTTTTTTGTTATTTTTGTTATTTTTCTTTTTTCTCTCTTTTTTTCTTCTTCTTTAACGATGAATGAAGACGATCCAAACAATAAAAGGCCCATATTTAACAAATACACAACAGAGAAAAAGCTTCCTGTGTTCGATAAGAATCTGACAATTGAAAAAGCTAAATTTGAAGGTTATCCTGTTCAGAGCACATCTACACCTACATTAGAACCTACACTGACGACTTCAGTCACATTACCCAGCGTGGCCAGTACAAGTACACCTGTCAGGACAACCAAAGCCAAAGCAGAAGTAAGTACATGCAAGAGGATCATACAAAAAAAAAAAACCAAGCTTTTCTTCTTTTCCTTAGGATCGTCGTGCCATGAAAAGAAAAAAATTATCTCAGACTGCTACACCTTCAGAAGTCTTTCATCGCAATTTGGTTGATGCCGTATCTAACGTGGAAGATTCAGATGAAAACGAACAATATGTGTATCCTTATTCAGGCAATACAGATGTTAATGATGGGATGCATCGGACGACTTCATCATCGCTTTATCGACCTCAATCGACCAAGTCATTAGCCTACATTACAGAAGATCCACCTTCACCTACTACCAAAACTAATCTACTAGGTGATTTACTCAGACCTATCTTTAAAGCCAAGTCAACCAGCTCCCTTCGACCTTATGAAGAGCCATTGGGCCGACCTAAATTACGCAACTTCGTTATGGATCATAGTACAGACAATGGCTGGTTTTCCGATGGTACACCCATCAAACGACACTCCAATAAGCGCATGTATGCCAACTATCATGATGGAGGATATACCACAGACGATGAAGAACAACAACATTTGTTGCCTTCCACCATACCCTATGCCCGTCCATGGTATGTGTTATCAACGATAGGCGAGTTACTTAACTTGACTAGTTCACGATGGATAAAGAATGCCATAATGCTATTGTTATTCTTGTGCTTACTGTTGTTTGTCTTAATGACTTATGTAGCCAGACCATTACAAGATATTCAGGTGGCTATGGGCCGTGTTCTTGGTTCAGACAAAGAATTGATTTTTGATTTACATCTGCATGCGATCAATCCCAACATGTGGACTGCGAGGATAGTGGATGCAGACATGAGTGTGTTTGCATTCAGTCAAGTCGTGCCCATGTTTCATACGGTGGATCCAGCAGAATATTTAGGTGGATTCTATCATTTTGATGAACCCCTTTTGTTTGCTTCATCTTTTTATTCAGGTCTTCCTGTCACAGCCATCAGTGACATTCACATTAAATCGCCTGGTGCAGATAAAAGTGGAAATGAACGATGGTAAGCTTAGATATATATATATATATATATATAATTTATCTCATATATAGACATATAGGTCTCGTATGATAAGATACCCTTATGGGCTGGTTGTGAGAGGTGTACTGAAATATAAACCCTTGGGATTCCTCAGTCCTTATCCTCAATCGATTGCTATTTGCAATGTGGTGCGTGTAGACCCAACCACAGGCAAAGTATCGGATGATCCAGATCAAGGCTATTGTTTTTATTCCGTTTAAGCGTGACAAAGAGCAATGGCACTGAATTCTTTCTCTTCAGGATTACGGTCAATAAAAGATTGAATGATTTTCATACTGCCTTGAACGAGTTCTTGGCATTTTCCATGATTGATGGGGAAAGAATGACGGCCATCCAACTCATACAGATGTTGGTCTACATTGACGAAACAGATGAAATGCAGTCTTTGCTCTTGATTCAAATCAGGTGCCTATGACTGAGTGTTAAATGACGTCATGGATTGTACATGTAGACACTAACTTGTGTTTGGCCTTGATGAGCACTGGATGCATGAAGAACAGCCAATTCTTTTGAGTTTTCGAGATACTCTGCTCTTTCATCAGGTGACATAGTACGTGTATCTTCAAGGATCTGTTCAAATAGACCAGGACCTAGTCTATATATGAATAGATGTAAGAGGGTGATGGATCACTTACCTGTGATGATATGTTCATTATTCGTGATAGAATGAAGTAAGGCCATCATGCCACACGCATTAGAAATCGTTTGTTTGTAGTAAATCAAATTGGGGCTGATGTTCTGTTCATGTACCTTAATGTGTGTTTCTTCCTTTTTCCTGAATGCTTCATAAGCAGGTGTAATAGGAAATAAGAAGATCATAGCAACACAAGGTCGAGGTATTGAAGCCATTCCTTCTTCATCCAAGCCTTTTTTAAATGGAGGATAAGTAGACTGGCTTCTTATGGATTTACTTACCAAGGACATCAACAAAATTCCATGTTGAATCTATACCATTCGCATGAATCATCTACATGTTTTTTTTTAAGCCATACAAACAGATAGGCCACACACTTACATGATTCCAAACCTAGCATGATCAATAGACTGTGAATGATCAAATATAGACTTACTTCAGGGTTGGCTTCAAGTGGAAGCCATTTTAAACGGGGTTCTTCAAATGTGCTCATATAAAGAGAGAAAAAGAAAAGAGAAGAATAGAATAGAATAGAAAATTTTATACCTCGGTCCTTTTTTCTTTTTTTAGATTTTATTCGTATTATACAAAATATTGTCCTCCACCCATTTTTGAATTCATGCCGTTTCTTACAGAAAAGGGTGTAAAGCGATCTTGGTCAGGTACAGCATCAAATATCTTGAATTTCGTGTCATTCTCTGCTACTTCCATAATAGAAGCAACATTACCACAACGATAACAGTAATTAGGAGCAGACCAGACAGTCACTAATTCATCATTTGGAAACATGTATTTGTAACCTTCTTGAACCAATTGATGTGCTCTTGCAATCAGAGATAGACCATTGATATGATTAAACTACAAAGATTAGATTAAATAGAGTAAACAGGTAGATAACTTACCTCACTCGTCACTTTACCACCAAATAACCATCCTGCTCCTCTTGGACTCACTGCCCAAGTATCAATATCTTCAGGATCAGACCACATTAAATCACAAAATGAACCTTCATGAGGAATTTCTTGCAAACGATGAATGGTTCTCATTTGATCTAATGCTTTAATGTCTGGAGATAGACCACCATGAACACATAAAATAGATCCATCAATAATCTAACGCTGTTAGTCCCCTCCCTCACTCTCTCTCTCTATTGACATTCATCTTGGATTCACTTACGGCTGCTAATGTCAAATAATCAAAGACTGAACAACAATACTTCCATACATTGGCATTGCCATATTTTGTTTGGCATTCATCTTTTAAGGTTAATCCATCATGCTTTTGGAATGTGGGGCACTTACCATAAAAACCATAGACTTGCGTAATTTGTCTACTTTCATGATTTCCTCTTAATAATGTAATCTTATCAGGATATCTAATTCTTAAAGTGAATAACATGTATTTACACAGGCTCACTTACTTTGCTTTCAAGACCATTAACAACGTAAATGTCTCCAAACTGAAATAGCCACGATCAACATAATCACCCTGTATAAATCCAGTTGAAGGATTCGTTTTATAAACTGAACTTACCATAAAGATATAGTTGGTATCCTTGACATCACCACCTACATGAAATAACTCCAAAAGATCATAGAATTGACCTATAGCTAGTTGAGCATCAAACAATCTCTCTTTTTTCTTTTTTTTTACTTGCCATGAATATCACCACATACAGTAACAGGTGATTGAACTGGTTGAATATTGGATTCCTCCATTAAGAGTTCTTTTACCTAGTAGGAGATTTAGATGCGATCATGTGTTTATCAACTTACCATCTCACATAGTTTCTTGATATCCTGTTCAGGCAGATATTCACATTTACGTACAGTTTCAAGCCATTCATCTGGATTACCCATCGTTCTATTATCTATTTACAATACAATACAATACAATAAAAAGAAAATAATTGGAACATACGAGCCCCCAGCTTCCCTTTAAAAAAAAAAAAAAGTGTAACCAGCTGGGTTTAATTTTATTTCAGTCATTGATTTTACCTCCAGGAAGTCGAACGACAAGATACATTACGCTTTCATTTTTTATGTGATATTGTTCAAGAGTATAATGATGGTGTACCAGCTGCTTACCACCATAGATAAGCATGACACATTCTGTAGGAATACCTTCCGTAGCAAGCAACATTTGCTTTATATGCTGGATAGTATGCGTAGGCTGAACATGCAGCGTGGTGGTCTTGCCGCTTAAAGCCTTGATAAAGATTTGCATGTCATTTGTACCTCCAGGTAGCTTGTAGTACAGTTGGACAAGTGAATTGGGGCCAATACCATAATGACTGAGAGTATGATAGTCTTCTGTTAGATAGGACTTGTTGAACGAAAGCATCTGTCTTTCGGGAGGATAGCCAAAGAGTCCCTCAATTAAATGCTTAAGGTCTCTTACAGGTGCTTGCGAGTCTATCATGATACTCTTACCGTATTTCCCTGAGTCATTTCTAATAAGAATAGGCATTAAGGTCATCATAAAGAAAAGAAGAAGAACAACAACAACAAGAAACATTTGATATATATCACTCTTTTTCTCTCACTTGTTAATCATTGTGATATGATGTATATATTTCTGCTTGTACAAGGCTTCAATGAAATAGAGCGCATTGTCTGCGTTTCTTGAATTGAATTGGCAAAATTGATGCTACACGCTTTAAATATGTTTACTCTTTCTCACTTGACTCTATAAACACTTGCTTGTTTATTTTGATAACTTATCCAGAACTGAAAAGTATCAAGTATATTTTACTCGTCTGTATCTATTTCAACGAATGGAACAGAAATATGTGCCCACTTACTAGTCAGTATCTATTGAGAAGAACCTCTTTTCTATCATCCACAGTTTATAATCAACTTTGAAGGCAGGTTTGAAGGCAATGTTCAAATCAAGTCGATGCTTTCGTCTTGGTAAATTTGCTTTATTTTTGCTAAAAGTATCTAAATAAAGTCTTGTCTGATTTTGGTAGGATCAGACCTACATTGGGTCACTCCAAAAACTCTCGATCGAGTTTTGTTTTTTTTTATCTTCATGGACCTCCGTGGATCCCCCCCCCATGGGTCAAAAAATAAATTTTACCTAACAGCTAAACCAATAGTACCATTCAATTCTTAGACTTCAAAGAAAATGCTCTAAACAAAAAAAAGGACTGTTTTGATAATGTAGTTGTCGAGTAATGGTCCATCAAAGGTTAACATGTTTAAGCTGTGTTTTGTGCATTTTTACTCTAAATGGTATATAAAACTTGCAAGATACAAACTTACAAAACATATCATATTCTATCTAGCGCGTCAGAAAACATAAAAAGATAAAAAGATATGCATCTTATAATGCAAATATGGGGGTAAATGAACATAGGACTTACCATGTAACTACCACACGGAAATTGAAGTGGAAGGCAAATCTAGTTCTTCCCGCCGCAACAAAAATCGGGCTTTTGCCGAGAACTGTATAAAGATGCGGTTATTGGGCTTTGGTGTAGTGACAAAAGTTGTAAATATTTGCTTTCTGAGTCTATTGATACAGAGAACACAATAACTTTGCTGCTAAGGTATTGAGTAATTAGGCAAAGACGTTTTCGAGGTTTCTCACTCTTATCGTACCATTTTTATAGTGCAGTTGGCAAGCAGACACATTCATTAAGAACTAGAGCATTTGGCGCACATTTTGAGTATTTAAACTTGCCAATAAATCTGGTTTTCATTTTGCAGTATCAAAACAAGATCAAAAGTAATTAAACAAGCTTTTTTCATGACTAAATACCCATTGGTCGAATGGTCATTTTAGTCATTTTTTTGCAATTCGCTTTTTTTGGTCCGAATCAACTCCAAATGCACTCTATATGTTAGTAAACATAGTCTGTAGGTATTTCGAGCGTCTCTGTATGTATAAGCAGGTATTATACTACATTTTGTGTGTACACATTTATTGCTTAAAAAAAGTATTCATTTTAAGAGTTCTGATGTCCTTTGGATGGTTCAATAAAAACAAAACATATACGCAAAAATGGTCATTTTTTGAGTTGGATATTGAATTGTCTTATCTAATTATACTTTATTGAAAAAAAAATAAATTCTAAAAATTAAGCAGAGCATGAGATACATGAATAGGTTATAAGAAAGAACAGAAAATAGAAGGGAGATAAAAGAGAAATAAGTCAGTAACGAATATTAGCCAGTCTATGTAAGGTACTTACACGGATATGAGAAAGTAGTTGAATAATCTTATCAATTGCATAATTACTAAAAATGAGATGGTCTTTAACTTATTACATTCATACTACTACATGCTTGATCGACAATATGATTCACCAATACCAAGCTGTGATTGATGCCAAAGTCTGTATCACCAAGTACTAAACTATAGTACTTTAGAACAAACATCTCAAAAAATCATCCGCAAACAACTGAGCGCATTTGAGTATCGTCTTGGCATACTAAAGAGCTCTTGGATCATAATACCTTTGTTGCTGAGTTCGAATGACAAAAAAACTGGGCTAAAAAAGAGAGCTTCTATCTCGGTGATTAAAGATCTTGGAAGCCAATCATTTACCGAGAATCAAATGTCATCATTGATTAACCTTTAATGGCCAAAAAGCGATGGATCAAGTCAAATGTCAATTTATAGAAAAAAAAAAGGGTCACTGTGAGAAAAATAAACAACGTTAGTAATTGAAAAAAGAGAAAAAGATAACATACAACAGATAATAAAAGACAAGTTCTAAAGCAAACAAAGTAAAAAAAAAAAAAATTGTCAAAGAATAAACGAGTCTGAAACAACCTTTAAATGATGCCATCATTATTTAAAATTCCATCCTTCTTCTTTTCATTTCTTGAAGAATTCGGGTCTTTGGCCACAACAGAACAAGCCCAAGTTTGACTTTATACATTGACAGATCAAATTGGATTATGAACAAATCTGAAAAAATCATAGTGGATCAAGAAGCGGGTGGTACTGCTGTTGATCTAGTCGAAAGTTGCTATTCGTCTGCTTCTTCTCATCATGAGGAAATGAATAAGCAAGCTCGTCTTCACCGTGGACTTAAAGCAAGACATATTCAAATGATTGCCTTGGGTAAGAAAACAAATATTCTGACAATTTTATTCATTTCTATTGCTAGGTGGTACCATTGGTACTGGCTTATTTATGGCTTCAGGTAAAGCCATCTCAGGCGCAGGTCCAGGTGGTTCTCTTGTCTCTTATGGCATTGTAGGTCTTTTGATCTTTTGTGTCATGATGAGTTTAGGTGAAATGGCTGCCTATATTCCTGTCTCTGGTAGTTTTGCTCATTTTGCTAAACGTTTTGTTGATCCCTCGCTTGGTTTTATGCTCGGTTGGATCTATTGGGTCAACTGGTCTGTGGGTGTTGCTGTGGAATTGACAGGAATTGCCATGATCATGGAATACTGGGTTCAAAACGTACCTAGTGTGATATGGTCTATCATTTGTCTTGTTCTGCTAGTGTTTATCAATGTCTTTTCAGTCAAAGGCTATGGTGAAGTTGAATACTGGATTTCATTCATTAAGGTCTTGACTGTGATTGCGTTTATCATTGTTGGTATCTGTGTCAACGTAGGCGCTACGGGTGGTCCGTATATTGGTGTCAGTAATTTTCATTTAGAAGATGGTACTTTTCCTTTTGGTTTTCTTGGTGTCTTCAATGTCTTCATCACGGCTGCTTTTTCATTCAATGGTGTTGAAATTGTAGGTATTACAGCAGGTGAATCTGAAAACCCTCACAAGACTGTACCAGCTGCTGTCAAGCAAGTCTTTTACCGTATTGTCTTGTTTTATATCTTGTCTATCTTGATCATTGGCCTTAATATTCCTTATACGGATCCTGATCTTCTCAAGGGCTCTGGCAATGTATCTGTATCTCCTTTCACGCTCGTCTTCAAAAAAGCAGGTGCTGCATGGGCTGCCGATTTGATGAATGCCATTATTTTGGTTACTATGATATCTGCAGGCAATTCAGGTGTCTATTCCTCTAGTCGAACCCTTTTGGCTCTTGCAGAAGATGGTGCAGCTCCCTGCGTTTTTAGACGCATCAATCGATGGGGTATTCCTATCTGGTCTGTGCTTGCTACCTGTGCTGTTGGCTGTCTCGCTTTCCTGACCAGTTTGTTTAGTTCGGGTGTTGTGTTTAATTGGTTGACGGCCCTTCCTTCGGTCGCGGGCTTGATTGTTTGGGTGACGATCTCTGTCACTCATATTCGATTCCGTATAGGATTGAAGGCTCAAGGTAGATCCTTGACCAGCTTACCTTATGTGGCTCCCTTTTTCCCTTTTGCTGATATCTTTGTGATTGTGGTGGGATGTATTGTGATTGGTGGTCAAGGGTATCAGTCATTCCTTGCGCCTATTGATCCCAAGGATTGTGTTTCTTCTTATCTGTCTGTCATGTTTGCTCTTCTTCTTTATGGTGGTCATAAATTGGTAAAACGCCCCAAGTTTATCAAGGCTTCTGAAATGGATTTTGAAACAGGCACAATCCCACCGACTGTATTTAAGGTTGAGGAAGGCGATGTAGATCAAGATAAGCCTGTGCCTCTTTGGAAGCGTATGTTTAACAAGTTGTATCATATTATTGCTTAGAATTGTGGCAATCATACCTTACTCATTAGACTTTATAATAAGTAAGCAACACACCATTAGATATTTATTATATACAGTTAAAAGCAACATGATCTTTCTTTCTTTCGTGTTCTTGTTCTTTGAGTCATTCGTCTTAGACTTGAGTCGCCAAATTGTACACCACTTCCACTTCTTTCAGGGTCAATTTGTCCAGTTTCGATCTTACTTAGAATGGATCTTGCACATTTAAAGAACATGTCTTCAACACCATCCCCATTTAATGCACTTGCTTCCAAAAACATCATTTCTATTCAAGGATAAGTATAAATGCAAAAAAAAGACCCCCCATACATTACCATGTTCTTGAGCAAACCGACTTGCTTCTAAATAAGAAACCTCTCTTTCATCACTTTTGTCATTTTTGTTACCCACTAAAATAATCACCAGTTCTGGATTGGCTAGTGTCCTCACATCCTTTAACCATGACCTTACACCCAAGAATGTATCTCGACTAAGAAACAATAAGTCAGCAATAGTAAAAAAGGCAAAAGATTACATTACTTGCAAATATCGTAGACGACAAGTGCACCTGCTGCACCACGAAAATAACTTTTGGTTAATGATCGAAATCGTTCCTACACAGCATGTATTTTGAGTAAAACCATCTTTATTTTTCTTTTCTGATTGTTTTATATACCTGTCCTGCTGTATCCCATATCTGTAGTTTTATACTTTTATCAGCAATATGTACGATGCGTGTACCGAATTCCATGCCTATTGTATTGACTGAATCTTTCTTGACTATACTTGAGTTAGATAGGTTGGATTGAATAAGCTATACTTGCATTGATTCTCAAGGAAATGGTGCAACAAACAGGACCTAAAATACGCATGATTTAATATAGTAAAAAACAATAAAGGGGAGAATATACTTACTTTCCAGTACCAGAGTCACCGACAAGTAATAGTTTTAATAAAAAATCTAGGATAGGGTTATTTTTTTTGTTTTGTTCTTATACTAGTCTCTACTTTACCATATGCGTCTGCTAGCATAGTTTCGAGGTATATATTAAATAGTAATAGTAATAATAGTAATAATAATAATAATAATAATAATAATAATAATAATAATAATAATAATAATCAAGGTATATGTTTGTTCTGATACAATATGTACTTTGTTGCTGTTAATAGAATATATGTATATTGATATATATATACATATACGTATATATTGCTGTGTATATATATATGTATATCTATATCTATATATATTTACAGAAAAGAAAAAAAAAAGATATTAAAAAAAGAGAATACTTGTTGTACGTGTATCATAAAAGAAAAAGAAAAGCGGCGTTTTAAACTTGACGTTACACTTTGATGAAATGATTATTTCCAATATCCTTTTTTTAATGCATTTTTCAAGTCACTAATCCAGGAGTCTATTCAGATGTAAGCATAATATACTTCTATTGACGAATAAGCCATTGTTTAGCTAAAATATGACTTGTTGACTTGCATTTTACACATTTATATCATTTTATCCAAAAAGAAAGAGAAGACCTTTTGTACTACAAACAAAAAGCATAGATAGTTTAATTTCTGTTGATCTTTTCATGTACAATAACACTGTTTTTTTAAATAGAAGTCATATATTATGGTTTATTTAGTTTTAATAATAATAAAAAAAGATCATGCCATATCTTTAAACAATAAAAGCACAATGTAAACCATGACATCAATCACTTTGAATTGCGTTACTACATAAATAGGATAGCTTCGGATTCAAACCGAATAAGATGGTGCCTGAACGACAACAAGTCTCTTTTTTTTGTGAAACCGTTCAAATGTCAAACTAAAATGAATAAAGAAATTTTATTATGTATATCAGCTTTTTTCTTTATGTCAGAAAAAGAAATAATACATGAAAAGAATCTAAGAGAAAAAAAAAAGAAAGAGAAAGAGAGAGAATTGTATGTATATATATGAACAGAGTAGTAGTAGTGAATTTATTCCAAAGAGACAGAAGCACCAACAGCTTCAAGAGCCTTCTTCAACTTTTCAGCTTCTTCCTTAGGTACACTTTCCTTAAGAACCTTGGGTACGCTTTCAACAAACTTCTTGGCTTCAACCAAGTTCAAACCTGCTAAATTCTTAACTTCACGAATAACCTTTGCCTTTGCAGCAGCATCTACTTTATCAATCTTGATACTGAATTCAGTCTTTTCAGCAGGCTTTTCTTCTTCAGCAGCGGCAGCAGCAGGAGCAGCAGCACCACCAGTAGGCATGGCAACAGGCATAGCAATATCTTGAATGTTCAAACGAGTCTATACAACCATGTTAATGCTTGTTCAGTACACGTCTGTATTTTACCTTTAATTGTGAGACAAGCTCAGAGGTTTGCAATAATGTCAAACCTTCAATTTGATCAACAATAGCAGAAATCTTGGGATCCACAGTGGCTGAACCAGGGGTAGGAAGAGGTTCAGTAGTGTACCAACGTCTAACACACATGGGTGCAGCAGCTGTCATACTAATATGTATGTCAGTCATGTTTACCTTGTATTGCCATTTTGCATATCGAAGTTTTCTTACCGAACAGCTTGTCTAGAAGCAACGGAGGTTGATGTCAAACACTTGGAAGAAAAACGAAGCTATTACAAAATCGAACAAGGTAAGTAAAGACTATTTTACTTTGTGACGAATCAAGTTTATTTCTCGAACTGTCTATTTTATTGACTTGAATAGATATTTACCATCATATGAAGTGAAGGGGTGTTGGAAAGTGAAAATGAGAGATTCAAGGGTAAACCAAAAAAAAAAGAAAAGCGACCCCAAGAAATTGAATTTTGTGACTGCAAATCCTTTTACCAAATAGGCTGAAAATTACTCGCATAAACAATTCTTTAATCCCTCTCAGAGATTGTCTATGTTTTGACATTGGGAGTAAAAATATACAAGAGATGATGTCCAACTTAGATGTACCAAGTAGTGCCACATCTATCATGATATAGTTGACATCAAGAGGCTTGCAGTAGCCTAAAGTCCACCATTAAAGAAAAAACAGAAATGAGCTAGGCATCTTTATCTCAAAAAAAGATCATTCACTTTTTAAGCCTCCCATGAAGACTCAAATCATGTATTGCTTCCTTAGTGATTCCAAACTGTTACTCTTGATGATGCTTAAAGAATACTTTCATTAGCTATACTTATTTTATTTAGGCTTCCTCCAAATAACGATATTCAAATCTAAACTAAGTGAGTATGTAAAACACGCGAATATAAGTGCTTACCTGAATTCAGTCTTTTTACGTTGACACCAAGCACCTTCATAGTCAAAGTAGATGTAGGTTCCTTGTTCATAATCTTCAGTAATCACTTTAGGTTCTTCATGACGTTGAAACCAAGTCAAGTATTTTTTATGGAAACGCCATGATTGCTTCTTGAGTTCTTTTGCAGCTAAATACTGCTGATAAGTGCCTTGCTGATAATAAAAGATATAAAAGAGTGTATCCATATCAAACTTGTCAAACAACATGGGATTATCAAAGATGAGCAATGGTTGTTGAGGATAATAGCTGGGAGTTGAGAATGGATTGCGTGGTTGGTATACTTTGGGTCGCTCAGAATCAATCAAGTCAGGTACATGTTGAAGGCTGGCATCCAACATTTGATGTGTGTATTGAATGTCATGTTTCCTGTTCTTTATCGACTCAAATGAAGGTGCTAAATCGACAAGTGAAGAAGGCAGTTGCATGTCTGGTTTTGATTGCTCTACAATCTTGGGTGGTTCATTCCAGACAGAAACCACTTCTATAAAGTATATTGTTTAGCAAGAGTATGATAGCCATAGCTTTACCTTTGGTACTTAAAGCAGGTGAAGCAGTACTTTCTTGTTCTTCTTCTTTTTTCTGCACTGGTGGTTTCGTGCTCGTTTCTGCTTGTTCTTCTATAGCTGTTAATGGATTGAATGACTATCTGTACTTACGTGTTGGTTTTGTATTGTTTGATTTAGCTGGACTAGTGGCAGAAGAAGCGACATGCTATATAAAATAGTGAATATTCAATGATCACCTCCTTCCCTTTCATTTGATAGAACTTACCTTTTCTTCCTGTTGTTCTTGTTGTTGTTCTTCTTCTCTTTCTTCTTGTTCAGAATCTGATTTATCTAGAGCGTGTCAAATATCAAACAAAAAAAAACGTCCCTTCATGATGACTTACTATGAAATTCATCTGTTCGAATAGCATAGAGTTCTTCTTCTTTCTCCAAATCCAAATCGTCATACAGGCCTTCATCTTCTTCAAAGTCAGGTTCTTGATTGCACTCAACATAATACTGAATAGCATCTTTAAATTCCTGAATGCGATCAGCTGCCAAATGGTCATTTTCCAACAGTCGAAGCATCAATTCCAAGCGATTGATATGCCATTTTCGACGCTCATTCAAATGTTCAAGTTCACTTAGACGCTCTGCTCGCTGATGGTCTTGCTTTTTGTTTCCACGCTTAGAGCCTGCACCTTCCAATTGTTCAATTTCGAATTCAACTGTCTCAATCTGTCGAGACAACTCGTCCACAGCGTTATTTAAGAATTCACAGCAGTCAGCTTTTTCTTTTTCTTTTGGATCAAGTCGTTCTCGTTGAAGAAGGCCTTCTTTTGAATAAGCCTTTGTCTTCATTTCCTTTTCAATCTGTTTAAATCGTTCCATCTGTGCCTCGATCAACTTGCGGTTTTCTAAAAGGGCTCTTTTGTCCTTGATGTCATTGTTGGCGAGCCATGTTTTGATCTGGTCGCGAAGCCGTTGAAGCTTCTTGATTTCTTTTTTCAAGTCTTGTTCATATTTGTCTTTTTGATTGGCATTATTGGTATGGTGGATTTTATCAAAGATGGTTTCGAATGTCTCCACACCCTCACTCACTTTTTTCAATAACCTATCAATCTCGGCTAGAACAGAGCTTTGTTAGTATATATGGAGATGTGTGGTAGGATTACATTGCAGCTTCTTCATAGACATCTTTTTTTTTTCTAAACTTATTCTTGACTAAAGAAAGGAATTCCATCACGCAAGTTTTTGCAAGTGCACTTTCAGCATATTCAAAGTCCGATTCACGTCATTCTGCGCAACTTTCAAAAGTTTGATATAAAGTATGACAAAGGCACGCATACCTGTCATTCCCCTCTCACTTGTTCGCGCATTCCATTTTGGCTTGTCTTTAGTGTGCACTAAGGATAAAAAGTAGTGGATCATTTCATCCAATCACATCTGCGATGGACATCGGAGAGAGTCTGCTTAGTCCATATGAACCCCGCTCAAAATTTTTTTTCTATTATTTTAGTTCTTTTTTTTTACTCGTTGTAAACATGAGCAAGGAAACCACTAATTCTTTTTCCAAGATGTCCTTGAACCCTGCTGCTTCTGAATGGAAGCCTAACTTTGGTGCTAAGGCTTTTGTACCTTCATTTACTGCACCTCCTGCTGCTGCTGCTCCTGCTGCACCTGCACCTGCACCTGCACCAGGTAAGTTATATGTTTTAGTTGGATCGTGTTATTCATTCTTTACTTAGCTGCTCCTAAAGTAGTCAAGCTTCCTGAATCTAAGCCTGCTGGTAAGTTGTATATAGAGACCAAAAAAAAAAAAAATAATATACAAGATAATGTACTCATGCTTTGAAGCTCCTGCTGCTACTGAAGCTCCCAAGAAGACAGAAGCTCCCAAGAAGACAGAAGCTCCCAAGAAAGCAGAAGCTTCTAAGAAATCAGAAGCTTCTAAGAAGTCCGAATCTGCTGCTGCTGTTGAAGAACAAGTAGAAGAAGTAGACGATGAAGTTGTTGCTGATCTTTACGGTAAAGAACACGTCAATGTTGTCTTTATGGGTCACGTCGGTAAGTTACGATGCATATAGGACACTGTGGCTTATCATCATTAGATGCTGGTAAATCCACAATGGGTGGTAACATTCTTTACTTGACTGGTATGGTTGATAAGCGTACTTTGGAAAAGTATGAAAAAGAAGCCAAAGAAGCTGGTAGAGAATCATGGTATCTCTCTTGGGCTTTAGATACCAACAGTGAAGAAAGAGCCAAGGTAAAGCATCCACTACGATATATGAATATGTGCCTTATTTTATTGTTAGGGTAAAACTGTTGAAACAGGTAGAGCTTATTTCGAGACTGACAAGCGTCGTTATACTATTTTGGACGCACCTGGCCACAAGAACTTTGTGCCTAGCATGATTCAAGGTGCTTCTCAAGCTGATATTGGTGTCCTTGTTATCTCTGCTCGTAAGGGTGAATTTGAAACTGGTTTTGAACGTGGTGGTCAAACCCGTGAACATACTATGTTGGCCAAGACATCAGGTATCAACAAGATGGTGGTTGCCATCAATAAGATGGATGATCCTACTGTGAACTGGGACAAGGCCAGATATGATGAAATCCTTGCCAAGTTTACTCCCTTTTTGAAGCAAACTGGCTTCAACCCCAAGACAGATGTTCATTTCATGCCCTTGTCTGGTTTCTCTGGTGCCAATATTAAGGATCGTGATCCCAAGAGTTGTCCTTGGTACAATGGTCCTTCTCTTTTGGAGTTCTTGGATGAGTTCAAGACAAACGACCGAAAGCTAAATGCTCCTTTCATGCTTCCTATTGCTGAAAAGTACAAGGTAAGAAATGTCACCAAAAGAACACAACCAACTTATACATGTAGGATATGGGTACTATTGTTGTAGGTAAGATTGAAGCTGGTCATATTAAGAAGGGTCAACAAGTCCTTGTGATGCCCAACAAGGTATTTATATGTGTATATGCAAGTAGATACTAAGGCACTTTTTTCTAAAAAAAAAAAAAAAAAAAAGCACACTTGTGAAATTACAGCCATTTACAATGAAACGGAAGATGAAATTGAACAAGCTGTCTGTGGTGATAATATCAGATTACGTTTAAAGGGTATTGAAGAAGATGAAGTCATGCCTGGTTTTGTTCTCTGTAGCAAAAAGAACCCTGTCAAGACAACCACTCAATTTGAAGCACAATTGGCTATTTTGGACCACAAGAACATTATCTGTGCTGGTTATACTGCTGTTTTGCACATTCATGCTGCTTCTGAAGAAATCTCCCTTACTGCCCTTTTACACTTGGTTGATAAAAAGACAGGCAAGAAGACCAAGCGACCTCCCCAATTTGTCAAGCAAGGTCAAAAGGCCATTGCTCGTATTGAGACTGCTGGTCCTATCTGTATTGAAACCTTTGAAAAGCTTCCTCAATTGGGTCGTTTCACTTTACGTGATGAAGGCAAGACAGTTGCTATTGGTAAAGTCACCAAGATCTTGGAGCCCACTGAATAATGTAGAATTTAATGTAAAAAAAAAAAGGAGATATCGGATAATAAAATTATCCTCCTTTTGTCCCGAGTTTACAACATGTGAAATAATTAAACAAGTGTGAGAAAAATGTTTATCTAACTTTTTTAAAGAGAAGCGCGGTTACGAATAGAAGCCAATTTGTCTGCAATTTGTTGCAAAAAGTCTTCTGTGGTTGAATAGTGTTCAGTGGTCATGTCCTTGCCATAGATAATCAAGGCCAAATCCTTCGTCATATGCTTGTCGACTTCAATAGTCTCAATACAAGCTCTTTCTAAATCCTTACAGAACTGAAGTAAATCAGCATTTTCGTCCAATTTGGCACGGTGTTCTAAGCCTCGGGTCCAAGCAAATATCGAGGCAATGGGGTTAGTAGACGTCTTGTTGCCCTTTTGGTGTTCTCTGTAATGTCTTGTCACAGTACCATGAGCAGCTTCAGCTTCCACTGTCTTACCATCGGGTGTATAGAGCACAGAAGTCATCAGGCCAAGGGAACCATAACCTTGAGCAACAATGTCAGACTGAACATCACCGTCATAGTTCTTGGTAGCCCAGACAAAGTTACCATTTGACTTGAGTGCTTGAGCAACCATATCATCAATCAAACGGTGTTCATACCAGATACCAGCAGCATCAAATTGAGATTTATATTGAGATTCATAAATCTGTTGGAAAATGTCCTTGAAGCGACCATCATAAGCCTTTAAGATCGTATTCTTGGTACTCAAGTAAAGAGGCATTTTGCGCTCAAGGGCAACACGGAAACAAGCATGAGCAAAGCCTTCAATGGATTCGTCTGTGTTGTACATGGCCATACCAACACCACCGGATGATTGGAATTCAAAGACTTGCATCTTTTTAGGCTCAGAGCCATCAGCAGGTGTATAGACAATTTCAAATGTACCAGGACCAGGAGCAACAAAATCAGTGGCACGGTACTAATAATATTTGTTATTCAGTGTGTGTAAGTTAGCAATATGTGCTTACTTGATCACCATGAGCATGTCTGCCGACAATAATAGGGTTTGTCCAACCGGGAACAAGTTTAGGCAATGTCTTGACAATAATAGGTTCACGAAAGACAGTACCATTCAAAATGTTACGAATCGTACCATTGGGGGATTTCCACATCTTTTTAAGCTTGAACTCTAAGGCATCATCATCAATACTTGTCATAATCTTATTTCCTCTTTACCTTCTACGCGGGCCTCATCAGGCGTAATAGTGGCACATTTGATACCCACATTGTACTTCTTGATAGCCTCAGCAGAATCAATAGTGACTTGGTCATCCGTCTATCTATGAATGAGAGTACAATTCAATCGCTCTTGTTTGACTTACAGCATCACGATTCTCCACACTGAGATCAAAATATTTAATGTCCAAGTCAAGGTATGGCAAGATAAGTTTGTCCTTGATGAGTTGCCAGATAATTCTGGTCATTTCATCACCATCAAGGTCGACAATAGGGTTCTTTACAACAATCTTACCAGCCATATTTTTGTTTTTAATAATGTAATAAAAGAAAAGAAAAGAAAAGAAAAACCAAAGAAAAATAAGCCCTTTAAATAGACATACACATTACAAAAAAAAAAAAAAAAAAGCGGGGATGTAAACTCAGCTAAAAGGTTACTCTACACTACTTTAAATGACAAATTCAAATTACACAAAGAGATTCACACACTCATATTTAAACAGAACGGAATTCACCGGAATTGTAATTAACTTTCCGAAGATGGATATACAAATAAGCGCCTAAATAAAGTCTGTGCTTTTATTACACTTTATTGAGAAAATAAGTACTAGAAATTAAGCAGAATATGAGATATCTACATTGGATTATAAGAAAGAGCAGAGAATAGAAGGCAGGTAGATTAGTAACAGATATGAACCAGTACATGTAAAATATTGACACAAATATGAGGTGTTAATTGAATAATTTTGTCAATTGCATAATTGCTTCAACGCATTGTATTCATGCACCATAGGACCAAATAATGCCAAAGGCTGTACTACCAAGTACTAAACTACATTATCTTAAAGTAAACATCTCAACAGATCATCAACAAAGAACTAAGTACGTCCAAATATCATCTTAGAATGGCAAAAAAATTAAGTTAATTTTTATTTCGGGTCAGTGTGTAACTAGTCAATAGTTATCAAGGTTAATTTGCCTTTTTGAATGGCTTGAACAAAAGCAGCTTCCATGTCTACTTCTTCCTCCAGGGGTTCATTCTTGCCACTTGCTTCGTTTTTGTATTCAAACTTGACATGATGATCTTGAATACGTTCATATATTTTTTGCTTTAAATGGTCCAAAGAACAATCAATAGGAACCTTCATGGCAAACATGTCGTCTTTATGAACAATCTTGATTTTGATTTGCTGTTTGGGTTCTTGTTTATGTACAATGTCTTCTTTTTCAGGTTCAACATGATGGACGCGAGGATCATAGTCAAGTTCGATATCGCCTTCATGAATACCAAACAATTGTCGCTGTACAAGTTCAGATTCGGATAGATATCTAGGCAAATTTAAGAGTTCGGTACAGTATCGATTCAGATCATCTTTTCGTTCCATAGTAATGGCCTCATTGACTGTCGGAAGTGGTCCTGGCATAAATGGTATAATTCTTTCTCGGTCTGAATTACCTGCTTCCTCAGGAAAAGCTTGTAAAAGGCTCATTTGGAAATCGTAAAAGTCTATGTTTGATAAGTTCATCATTCGCCATTTGGCTATTTACCTTCATAAAGTCGATAGAGAATACGATGACAATGGTCATTCACACGAGCATAGACAACAAACCAGTATTGATCTCCCTCTAAAATATAAGAATCAATAGAGGCAAAAGTAACAATATCATAATTCATGGACTCTGAAGAAGAAGAGCCTGAATGCCGCATGGATTTCTTTTCAAATGCACCCAAAGGAATGCTGGATGCCTCATACAATTGCGTCATTTTTTTCCAGTCATCTACACCAGGTAGACGAGTTTCTTCTTTATCATCAATGGGTTCATCAGTAACAGCATCACGTACTTGTACAAACGAGACAGGGATCAATCCAGGACCACCTAGTCTACCAATAGGTTTAGCAATAAACCATTCATGCGTTGATTGAGCAATAACCACAATGGCTTCTCCTGCTTGAGCATCTAATTCATCAGGTCGTTCTGCTTTGAAATCATACATGACAATACCATACACTTGTTGTTGTTGTTGTTGTTGTTGTTGTTGCTTCTTTTTACCTAGAGACTATGTAAGCTTATTGTTGATATATCTTGTTTTTTTACCATGAATAGAAAGGTCTGAGAATCCAGAATCAAGTTCAGACGCTAGAGAAGAAGAAGCGGTGGTAGAAGAAGAAGTGGGTCGATTGACACTCAGACTTCGTTCTGTCTTGTCAATCACTTGGAAATAAGCAACTGGGACAATTCCTTTCAGATTAGATGCCGGATTGCAAGCTTCAAACCATTCAGGATCATTCTCTCTTGCTGTAACATGAAAAAAATCACCTTTTCTAAATGAGAGTTCATGAGGTGCTTTGGCTTGATAATCATAAAGTGCTTTAATAATCTTTTTAGGTAGTTCGAGATTTGTATTATTTGGTTGAGTAACAGGAGTAGATATCTTTGCTTTTGTCAGTCTACGTAGACTTTTTGAAGCTCTTTCTTTTCTAGAAAGAAACATGACTGGCAACAAAGAATAAAAAGTAAAAAAAAAAAAAAAAAAAAGTTTTCGCTCTCAACCAACTGAGTATGTCGGAGTATTAAGATGGTATATTCAAATAGATATACTCTTTATCGTCCTCATAGATATATATATTTGTATTTATAGAAAGCGAGACTGTGATAATAGCATGTCTCATGAGCAGGTGAAGTTGTCCCAAAGATGTCTATTTTTCAGTCTGTCAAGGTGTATATTTGGTAACTAACTGAGTTTGAAATAAATACAATTGTTGTTGCCATGGTGGCAGTAACCAAGGAAAGAAGCGATTTCTTTCTCAGATAAAGTGAGCTTTAAACGTGTTAAAATTTTAACAGTCCTAACCATCTAGCTATGAAATAGAATATCTTGACCAAAGTATACTAAGCTTGGATTTCTACTATGTGAACACAAAAATAAGGCTACTTTAGCTATGATGTATTCATTTGCATTGATCGAAGCAAAGAGAAATTGAACAATATGTCAATTTTAATTTATTTTCAATGGGAGCAATGATAGAACAAAAGCACTAAAAGTATCCAGGCCTGTTGGTTGTCTCATTGTAGATCTATTGGCTGAAGCTATCACCATAGTCTCCCTTTTTCTTTGTGTTTTTAGGCGTAATTTCTAATGGAAACTACTCTTTATGGCTTATTGAAAAAGAATTCCATAATACAAAATTGTGTTGTTTTATGCATGGATGCTTGTGTCACTATAAATATTTATGCTCCATTGCGTTTACATTTTGGACTTGCGCTAAGACATTTCGTCAGTCAGTTCTCTCGGCTATGGCTCCTCCTTTGGCCTTGAGAAATATTACAGAAGTGAAATGGAAATTTTTTTGGTCTCTGTCTCTTACCACCATTCAACGTAATGTGACATACCGGTATATCTTGGGGTGTATTCCTCATCGTCGATTCTTACATTTTATTATGCCTCATGTGTTTGACTCTCCCTTCTGTCCGGTGTGCTTAACTACCACTGACTCTATTAGCCATATGCTCTTTCATTGTCCAACTAAAGAGAAGGTGTGGAAGGAAATCATCTTTGAGTTTCTTTGGCCTACCACTTCAATATCGGATATCCAAGAGGCTCTTCTGTCCCTGGACTTCTCGTACATCTGGTACTGCCAAAGGAAAGGAATCAAACCATACAGAATCCTCATAATTACTCTTTCACAAATCTGGCTTGCTCATATGAGATTTATCTTTGACAAGACTCCCATGGTGCCCACGGCCATATTAGCAAGCATCCGATTCAATGTTCGTCAGACTATTGAAGAGGATCAATGCCATTCAATCCTGTAACTTTTTTCTATATAATTTATTTTAGTTTAGTTTATTTTGTCTAGTGTGTTTCGCTTTATTTTATTAACTTTCATTTTAATTGCACCCGCCTCTTCACTTTGACTATTACTCTTAGTGTACGCGGCTCAATCAATAAACACATTTAAAAAAAAAAAAAAAAAAACATTCTGGACTTGCTTAGGTTTAGGAAACTTTTACCTTATCCCGTAGCAGTAAACTATAATTGAATTAGTGAAAACTATGTTGCAGCTAAGTCTTAACACAAAGTTTGGTTATTATCATCTTTTGTTATTATGCAGTGGTAAGCAGAACAAAGACAAAGCTACAAGACACATAATGATGGCAGTTTTGGTACTAAAATAAAGGTAGCAAAAAGATACTGGAGAAACCCTTTTTCTGAACCTACTACTCAAGCTGGTCAAGCTAGTATTTCCATGACCCAAGCAAGACCAATCACTATAGGTCCAACCAGCCCTAACACTCTGGCTAATGACCCTGATGCTGAACTATGTGGATGCTTGATAGATGCGAATAATTGCACTTGTGGTATTCTTGAAGAAATTCAAAACATAATTTATGATGTAAGAAGTAGACTATTGGGTGACCAAGTTGCTGAACCAGATATCCCAACTACACAATCCAGTGCTCAATCAACTTCAATTCCAGTGGAAACCAGAACTGAATTTGACATCACCAAAAAGAAATCTCACAACTTATTGATATGATCAAAGACCAACGACTCAAAACTTGTTTAACTGTTCAAGAGTACAAAAAAAAATTGCCTGATCGCCAATTTCGTTTGTACGTTCGGCGTCAAGCACTGAACTTGCTCAAAAAGGATCAAGAAACAGAAGCAAAACCCCTATCAGAATATTGTCAAAATATCTAATGTGAATGATAATGATAGGATGATTCTCAAGACAGAAGATGTTAGTCTGACCCCGAATGCTAAACAAATTTCTCAAGTCTTTATCTTCTCAGGAATTGACAATGGGATTGTGAAGATGTCTGAGTCCTCGACTGTTACATTTGATAAATATGTCTATCACTTAAAGCTGTATAACCGTTTTGCTGTATTGGATGAAGAAGAGCTCAAGCAAGAAGAACCCAATTTTCAAGTACTTCTTGGAGCAAAGGCAATTGTTGTTAAAGATGTTGATTTTTGAAGTAGAAATTTCCATTATAGACACAAGCTTAATTTACTCGACAATTTTCTTTGTGCTTCAGCTACCAATGCATTATCTTTTTTAAACCAAAGTCTTGGAAGCACAAAAAATAAAGATGAAATTTGATGAGCATGTCAATGTTTACAAGAGAGCAAGAACGTGTTGAGAGACTTCTATGACAATCCAAGAATGAAGATATGGGATATAAGAAGAGAGATATACATGAAGAAGGCTAGGGATCGTATTTACTTACAGAAGTATGGATGGCTAAATTCAAAGGCGGAAAAAGACAGCAGAAAATTTGATACGTGTGACAGATAAAATCATTAAAAAAAAGGGCAAGAAAAAGTCAGGACATCAAGGCACCTCTAGCAGTTAATAATGATGATTGGTGATCGGGGGTATGAGCGTTGGTTCAAAAATCAAAGGACACTTGCGATATGGTGGTACTTGGAAGCAAGACATCCATGTTCATTATACAAATGTCTGTATTACCAAGGAAAACAATACTTCTCAGACCTGTGTCTACTGTTTCCAGAAACTTCAACATCCTAAGAAATTAGTCAGAAGGAAGGGAACAACAAGATACAGAAACATAAAAGATGCCTTTGTTTGTTATAATCCTGAATGAAGAATGGTCGTAGTATAAGTGAAAGAGATAAGGTATCTGCTTTAGCTATTGCTATCTCAGGCATAGCCACTCTGCTTTTTCGTGAAACTCTTCCTGCTTTCTCCTCAAGTGTCAGTCACTCCAATCCTGAACTAAATTTGAAAACAGCAGTCTTCTGTACAAGAAGTGGTGCATTAGTCAAGGGTTTAGCATCTTTCTAGAGGATTAAGTATTTTTACTTTATTACTGCTAAAATTTTAACATTTTTAAAGTTTCCGGCAAATAGAAAAAGATCATTCAGCAACACAAACATAAAAAGAAAAATGCATGTGAAAACTTGATTTCTGTATTATTTTATTTCATATGACAAAAAAATAACATTCTTTTATTCATCTTGTCACGTAAAACTGGCTTTTAAACAATGATAGTGTAATACAAGAAAATAAAAATATACCATTCCCTCTTTTTTTCGAAAAAAAAAATGCTATATAAAGTCTTTAGTCCTTATAAGAAGTCTTTTTCTTTACTTTATCACACAATGACAAAAGAACGTGTTTGTATTATTGGATCCGGTAATTGGTAAGCTTACTTTCTTCTCTCTCTCTGTTTTTTTTTATATAACAATGTATTTTAGGGGTTCAGCTGTTGGCAAGATTGTAGGTGAGAATGTATTAAAACACAAAGATATATTTGAGGCTGAAGTACGTCAATGGGTCTTTGAAGAAAACTATAAGGGTGAAAAACTGACTGAAATGATCAACCGAGAAAGAGAAAATCCTAAATATCTACCTGGTATCAAATTCACTCCCAATATCAAAGCCGTACCTGACTTGATCGAAGCCAGCCGAGATGCAACAGTGGTTGTGTTTGTCTTGCCTCATCAGTTTGTTCGAGGAGTATGTGAAAAGATGAAGGACCACATTTCACCTAAAGCCAAGGCCATCTCACTCATCAAAGGTTTGGAGATCAAGCCAGAAGGTGTCACTTTATTTAGTGAAGAAATTTCTCGTAAGCTGGGTATTAATGTAGCTGCTCTCAGTGGTGCCAATATTGCAGATGAAGTAGCCAAAGAACGTTTCTGTGAAACAACCATTGGTAGTCGATCTGAACAAGATGGCCAATTGTTCTTTAAGCTCTTTAACACAGACTATTTCAAGGTGAATGTCATTCGTGATTATGTTGGGGTTGAGTTGTGTGGTGCATTGAAAAATGTGGTAGCTGTGGGTGCTGGTATTTCTGATGGTTTAGGGTAAGTGGATTTTTGTTGGGGGACGAAATTCATTTTCTTTTTTTAGTTATGGTAGTAATACAAAAGCAGCCATTATTCGTTTGGGTTTAATGGAAATGCGCAAGTTTGGTCAAACATTCTTTGGTACAGTAGAAGACACTACTTTCTTTGAATCGTGTGGTATTGCAGACTTGATCACCACTTGCTCTGGGGGTCGTAATCGTAAAGTAGCCGAAGCTTTTGCAAAGACCCGTAAGCCTATTGATATACTGGAACAAGAAATGTTGAATGGTCAAAAGCTACAAGGTACTCTGACAGCGCAAGAAGTGCACCAATTTTTGACTGCACGTCAAATGACTCGAGAATTCCCCTTGTTTGAAACTGTCTATCGAATTATATATGAAAATGCACCCTTAGAATCCATTGTTCGTGACATTTAAATAGAATATATATATATATTTTTTAATCCACAAAGATAATGTTTAAAATGTTTGAATACGTATTTGAAGCAAGAAAGACAAAGGAATCCCATGCATTCTTTATACTACTGTCTTGGTCATGAGAAACCAAAGGTTTAGTTTCTTGTTGATTGAGTACTTGAACACTTTGCCTTTGGTTCGTGTGGTTTTGTTTGACATAAAACAACAGGAAAGTCATGGGCGTGTCTTGTTTATAGGCTATGTTTGGCATGGTTGTATTGACAGTAAAAGAAAATGCATGCCATGGCTCATCCTGAGAAATAAAATTGAGTTTTAGATCGTAATAACCTGGTTTTTCATGCTTCTTTTCAATAGGAACCAAATGTCTATCGTTTAACCAGACTTGAGGTTCAGTCTCTGCCCAGTCTGAATGTCCTTTTGAATCTTGGGTATATAAAACAAATGATAAATCAGATTGAAGCTTAAAAGAAGCTGTCCAAATAGAAGGTGTATGATAATAATTGTATATATGTGTACATGCAAACATAAACAAGAGTCCTATTATTGTCGTCTTTAGGAATTGATAATGATCAAAATACCATCTTGTCTTGCTTGTCAATAGACTCCTATCGTCTTGTTCATTATCACTCGAGTCTGAACGAGAGTCTTCCAGAGATTGTTCTTGTCGTCGTTGAGAGATGAGCTCTTCTTTCAAGACTTCACGTATGACTTGACGTTCTCGGGTTCTTTTGAGTAATTGGAAAATAGCTTTATTTTCAATGGCACAGAACTGATCCACTGCAAGAATTTGATAGGTCGCTACTCGAGGCATATTGGAGTGAGTGCATTCCATATCTTGTAATCGATGCAGTCGATCTACTTGTGTGACATGTTTCTGAAAAGAGGGTTCTTCTTGCCCGACATCCAAATTGCCCAAATCAAGGCATCTTACCTTATATTCAGTCAAGAAATCAGCAAGGCGACTCTTGAGCTGTTCATCTCTCACAGTTGTTAGCGGGAGAACATAAATACCCAACTTTCGAAGTGTACACAATAACAGCAAGTCTTGTTTCGTTCGCTCATCATTTTGACCATCATAAAAATAGACGCATAAATCAATCCCATTCGGTGTACGTTCAGGATACATATAGCCAGTAAATTTCGACTTGAACAGTTTGTTCTCTACCCAGGCTGCTGCTGGTAACTCTCTTGGATTAGGGCATTGATGCCATGCATATTGCAGCAAGAGTGTGTCAGGATGGTTTGCATAGCTTACTGCATTTGAATTCCAAGTAAAGTCCGCTTCAATCAAAGAGACACCAATGTCTTCACAAGTATCGGATATCAGATCCTCATCGTCTGGATCACTTAGTAACAAGACATTATGCTTGGTTTCTTTAAATGGAGTGATTGGCTGGCTAAATAAAGACACTGTTTTTGTGGTTTCCTTATTCCGTTGTTGCTGCAAGACATGCACAAAGCCCTGACTTAGTTTCTTAAAGAGTTCTTTCTTTGTTAATTCACTCGTAGAACCCATAAACAGAACCCGATAAAGAGCGGGGTGCTCAAAGTATTGACTAGAAAAATAAGAAGTGGTGATGGACGAAGTACTAAACTTTTTTCTGCAATCAAGATCTTTTCTGTAAGATCAGACTGATCGTAAATATCGTCTTCATCTACAGACTCACTGGGGGCAATTTCTATTGAGTCTTGGCCATATATAAAAGAAGAAGAAGAAGGATCTATATCAGCTTACATAAATACTTTTTTTTTTTTTGCTCAGTTTCAAAATCACCTTGTTTCACCAAATTATGATGCATTAAGGAGAAGCGTAGTGAAAGAAAAGAAGAACAAGAGAGAAAAAGAAAAAGAAAAAAACGAACAAGTGGATTATCAGGTTGGTTGCTCTTATGCTGAACCAATGTGACTTGATTTTACGAATGATTTTAGACATAAAGGGGATTTTTTTATCGCTTAGTATTTTGGTTGCATAAACATAGTCAGGTACAAAAAGAGGCTAATTCTTTGTACTTGGTCAACTAGAGCTTTCAAGTGTATGTATGAGAGCCATCGCTCAATAATAAGTAAGAACTTACATATTGTCAAAAAAAGAAAAAGAAAGAAATCATAGGAACACATGGCTCCTTAATATAAGGTAACATCAGAATACAACTAGTTCTTGCAAACAACTCAAGCCGCAGCACTCATATCTATTCTATCTTTTACTATATACTCTAACCCAATGGTATGAGATTAACGGATTCTATTATTGTCTTTGTATAAACACAGGTCGAATAAACTGCTTTGTTTATCATTCAAATAATAGCCAATGGTAACAAAGCATTAAAATAAAAAAGTAAGAGAGACAGGTGAACAGCTTGTTATATTGAATGAATCAAGCAAAGACTATTTTGTTAAACACTTGATCTGCTCTAAAAAAAATGATTATTTTTGCACAAATGCAATAAGCTTTATACTATATCGATTCTTTCCATTTTATTCTACAAGACTCTTTCTTGACACAAACAACTTACTCAATTATCTTTAGCTTGCATACATTTAATAAACCATAGGTTTTTTTTGTGTAATAAACAACAACGACAAGAATTTAGTCAACTCATGGAAATTTCTTCTTTGATTTTCTGTATAGCACGCTTATAAAACTGATATTTTTCTGGTGTGGACGTTGGAAAAGACCGAATGTTTCCCAAGTCTCTATTGTTTAGTATACGCATGAACAAACTACTTTTAGTTTTCTTTGTTGCCAAGTAGAATAGAAGACAGAGTTCGTTATTATGTTGAGTAGCTAATTCAATAAGTCATGAATCATTGTCTCTACATAGACAAAGATCAAAGGTTCTCCAATCATCCATTTGAACAACAACGGTTTTGAAAGGCACTTTGTAGATAATAAAACAAAATTATTTGTATGCATTTGCATCTCTAGAAAGCAAAAAAAGGTATGACTTTATGATTCAATGGAATGTCCTTGTTTCTATTCGTTAACATAGCTATTTACCCCTTCAGTGTTCCTTAATGTGGTAAAAAAAGATCATTTATTTATACAATTTTTTTCTTTTTTTTTTTTTTTTTTTTTTGTAAATGGAAAAGGAAGTAAAAGCAAAACAATGGATATAGATAAACAATTAATATATACAATTGAAAAAGAAGAGAAAAAAGATATTGCGAAATAGAAAAAAAAAAAAAGAGAGAGGAAACTATGAATTGTATGTGTGTGTATGTGTGTGCTTGTATGTTGGTATGTGTACAAAAAAAATAAAACTTAAAAAGGAGGAAATGCACTGGTGTTTATTGCACTGGGCGCCGAGTGTTGGGAGTAGCAACGGTTAATCTTCTTGTGGTGGTGATATTTTTTCTTGATGAAGAGAGAGCACGAGCAGCAGGAGCCAATGAGGAGGAGCGAATTTGATTTGATGATCTTGGGTTGGATCGAAGGGGTGATTCAGGAACAACTGATTTACGTTGCCTAGAAGCGATGATGGGTTTTTTAGTAGAAGGAGGAACATGAGCAGTAGCAACAAGTGTAGTGGATTTTTTGGACGTGGTGGAAGATGTGGGTGATTGTCTCTTGACAGAATTGCGTTTTACAGACAATTCTAATTCAGTAACTCTAGATAATAAAGACGATGTTGGAGGTTTAGTCGATCCATAGATAGATTCAAGTCTTTTCATGTTTTCTTCGGCTTCTTGCCGTTTTTTGGTTTCTTCTTTGAGCAATGATTCTAACTTGGCCATACGATCATGAGATTTTTGTCGTTGAACATTGAGTGAATGATGAAGCATTTGAACAAGTTGTACCATGCCGGCAATTGGTGTGCGTTGCCCAGTGGTGGCCATCACTGTCTGACCAATTTGGTTCTCTAGTACGGCTGGAGATGATTTGTTTTGATATTCCTTCCAAATCATTTGAATCTTGGAAGCTGCTTCAGTCGCTTGTTTGTTTTCTTCTTCAATTCCTATATCAACATCGTTCGTTTTGAAATCTTGTTGTCTCAGTGATGATAGTAATCGTCTAGGCACATAATGTTTGCGACAAGTATCGTCAGGTGCAAGAAGGGATGCATTTGAGAGAATACTGTTGGCCCATCTTTTGCCAGCTTCACTCTTGAACTGAATCTTGTTACTGTTTTGACTGGTAGAAGGTGAAGGTTTTTTGACAACAAGGTGTTGATACTTTTTGTCAGCCGTCAAGAGTGATTTGGAATGGCGTTCTACATCGTTGATCCAATCAATCACAGCGCGATCTTTATCTGACTTTCTAGACATGGTTCTGTTTTCTTTCTTGGTGAACCATTCGTTCAGGGCAAGTTGGTCAGGTTGTCGCATTTCTGCAGAGGTGTTGATTGTTTGATAAGAAGGGGCAGGTGTAACTTCGGTAGAGACAATAGAGTCAGGGGCTGATGGCGCCAGGTGATCTTGTAAGACAGAAATACGACGACGTTCAGCTGTAGAATTTGCTAATTTCTTGAGGAATCTTGACCTGGGAGGAAATTCGTAATTTTCTTGTTCTGGAGTTAATGTTTGTGGTACGATGATTTCTTGACTACCATCAGGGTATCTTTTAATGACAGCCTATATTATGCGGAAAAAATATATATATATAAAAGGGGAAGAGAGAAAAGTGACAATGAGAGAGAAAAAAAGAAAAAAAAGAAATGATTAATAATGAGTATAACAAAAGAATAAAAAAAGAAACGTGAAAACTGGGATTTGAAACACATTGGCTATTATCTTTGTTTAATTTCTATCCTCTCCCCCCCCCCTCTCCTTTTTTCCAAACGCTTCGTCTTTCTATCAATTTACTTTTTAAAAAAAAGTGCCTCTTGTCACACCAGTCGTCCAAATTAAGTATTCATAAACATTTTTACAAATCGAGAGAGAAGTTTTCAATGCAAAAAAAAAGAGAGAAGAAAAGCAAAGATAATAACCCAATGATGTTTCCTAGAATATAGTATATATATATATATAAATATAAAAAAAAGAAAATGGCGCACCTTCTTCCGGTCTCCCCATATCATTTGTGACCGGGGTTCGCGTCTACGTTGTAGCACTTGTGCCATTGCCTTTGCTGCTCTAGCTGCTATTCTCTTTTGTTGCTCTTCTTTTTGCTCCTCTTCTGCTGATGTTGATAATGCGATAGGGTCCGTGCGTGTCTGTAGTAGTGGCCGTGCTCTACTCTCCTTCTTTTTTTCATTTTTAACCAGTTCATGCATTTAATAAACTGGGATTTTGTTTTTATTTTCTGTTCAATGAAAAAAATTCAGAGGAACCTGATTTTTTTTTGAGTGTATAAGAGTCTCGCTTAAAAAAACATGTATAAAATTACAAAAAAAAAAATATAATTACAAGAAAAAAAAAAAAAAGAAAAAGGAATATGTATATGGAAAGAAACCAGAAAAAAAAAGATATATATATATATACAATATTTTTTATAGAAAAAGAAAGAAAAGAGGGAAAGAAAAAAAGTGAAAGCAAGAAAAAGAAAAGAAGAAGAGAAAAAAAATACCATGTAACGAAAACTAAACTTTTTTTGTTGACAATCCATGCGGAAAAAGTAATTCAAGAACTGTTACACTGTTAAAAATAAAAAAAAGTAAAAAAAAAAAAAAAAAGAAAAAAGGATTCACATGAGCATATTATTTATTCAAAGGTTACCATCATCATATGTTTAATCATGCATCTTTTGAGGGGTTAAAGGTGGTGGTAATACGGCACTATTATCTTATTAGTCAAAAAATAATATTATTTTTATATACAAATATTATTACCCTGCATTATTTACAGTCGTATCATTATTGCTTATGGCAGTAGATGGTGCCTGATTTGTATCAGCAAAGGGGTCAAATGGGTCATCACTAAAGTAATTTTTTTGTAAAAGATCAGTCGATAATAGTATGTGCGACTTACTTGACTAACTTGAAGGGGTTGTGCGAGTGATGAGTAGTAGCCGTAGCAATAGAAGCAGAAGCAGCAGCAGCGGCAGCAGGCGGAGATGAGGAAGAGGAGGAAGAAAAAGGTTCCTCCTAAGAAAACGAATAAGGTAAGCCGAAAACAACATGCATTTACTTACATGACGAGTGCTACGATTGTGCAGTGTTTGAGAATGAATTGTTGCTTCATTGACAGCATGTTGTTCAAGCATTTCATCATATGTTTTGAAGCAACTCAACAGCTCGTTGTTGGCATTGATCAGGGCAGCTTAAAAACGAAATGAAATAGAAAATATATAAATTAATGTGTAACATCCTCCCTTTTTTTTTACAACTTACAAATCATTTCCGAATCATTACACGTCTCCAAATGAGAACCTAAAATATGTTGTGCTTTTTTACACTTGGCATAGAATTCCTAAGGCTGTTTAGTACGCACTCATAAGAAAACAAGACATACTTGGATCAGCTCATTTTGTGAAATATCTTGTTTTGTTGGGTCGGTGAAGGATAAAGTTTGGAAAAATAACTGCGCACTATTCTTTGCCACCTCAATATCGTTCTTCACGTCAGCAGGCTAAATAAAGTATCAGTCTTTGTGTATGTGTAATTCTTATCCGTTACTTGTCTTGGCACTGTCGATGGTTGGTTTCGAGCAACTTGTTGTCTTTTGTTAGGTAATACGCTGCCTTGAGTCATTACATCATATGCTCTTCTAATAGCTCCAAATTGAGGATCTCCTCCTACTTGACCCACCCAACTTTCTAAACATTGTGCAAGTTTGCCACTCACTCTATCATCCACTGTCTGCTGTATATCAACACAAGCCACTTCCTTATTTTCTATCTGTATCTTTACCTTATTGGAAGCTAAACTAACAAGATCTTCACCAAATGATTTGGCAGCTAACTGTGGTTGAAACTTTGCTGTACAGTTCTCAGCCAAAGAATTTAAAATCTAAAAAAAAAATTCATGCAAAACATAAACACGTATGGTCTCCTTCTTTTTCTTTCTGTTTGTTTTCTTTGAATTACTTACTTCTAGTGCTAATACTTGAGTTTTTGATTCATTAGACATCATTTTCTTTTGTAATAATTTTCTTGCTTCTTTGGCGCCCAAGTCTGTAGAGTTGACAGCGTCACAGATTTGAAATACAAGTGCCCAATCAAGTTCAGTTACTGAAGGGTTTGTTGCTTTCTCAATATTTGACGTGATATCTGTAGGTACAATTTTTTTAGAAAACAAAGGCATGTTGTGAAAAGAAAAGAAAAGAAAGAAAAAAGTAGGAGTTTTAACAATTCACAAGTTTTTATGCCATGATAACAATGAGTTTAGGTAGGGTGTTTCTGTGAAACAATAGCTAGTATGTCTTCTTTTGTTCTTTCTAAACAAGGTTGACTGTCTGAAAGATCAAGTAAGTGAAGCCATTTATCAAGTACACTACAGTCATTGGAGTCTGAATCAAAGCAGAAACTACACGATTGGCTACATGTTACCAGTCTATCTAGATTGAGCTGAATTTTGGCAATCCATTCTTTTCTTTCTTGACTTGTTTCGGTATACAGCATGGGCGAACGCTCGGAACGTGTTGATTCTAAACGAAAACCATACATGGTGGGTGTTTGGTATGCTTTGACATATTGAAAATGTCTTAGTTCAATAATGCCTTTGGGAGACTTGTCTTTCTAGATCATTTATCAATACGAAGCCATATATATATATATATATATTTACACTTGCCATGTCTTTATAATATAAAAGTTCATCTTCTAAAAGCACAAAGTATCTCAGCTTATGACATTGATGAATCATGCTCAACAGACAGCCTTTGTAAAGCCAACCAGAAAATACAGTATTTTCTTTCATATGAAACAGAATAAAGAACAAGTGACATTTAGTCTTCATTTGTTCACTCTTTTTTGTTCTTTGGGAGCAAAAATTTTTCGAAAAATTTTTGATATTTATTTAAGCGTAATAGCTTGGGGAAATAAGCATGTCACTCATAATAGCTAACTGATCTTCATCAAACTTAAGCATATCTTCATGCCATGTATCAGTATGGGTTCTTCTAAAATCAGAAAAGGTCTTTCGAATAGTAGCCTACATTTATCGATGAGTATAAATAATAAACTAAGAATGTACTTGCCTGAATTTCTGCAGCGGGATCGGAGATACATTCAGCTAATTGGCATAAAATGGCAGGCATCCATTCAGGCACTTCATAAGGAAATGCATTGACCAAACATGAAATACCAAGCACACCTGCATGCTTCTGTAACACTGCGTCTGAAAACCCTTCTGGCTCAATGTTTTTACCGTTCTTGTCACGTTGTCTTCTGGGCAACTTGATTTGAATCTTGGCTGTAAATTGCGTCAACAGGGATTGAATCGCGTCTCGTTGCGAACAACGGACAAGACCACCTAATGTCACTGATGCCAATTGACGTACTTCAATCTGTGAATCCAACAACATTTGACCAATGACTTTCATGATACGCAGCAGTTGATCACTGTCTAACAGGAATAGGTTCTTGAAAAAGAAAATCTGAAGTACAGGTAAGGCGCGAATACGGATATGCCAGTTGGTTGATGTGGTCAAGATAGTCAAGAATTGATCCACCATCATGTGTAGCATAGAAGGAGGATAGTCAACACGAGCAATGAGACTAAGTACCTTGGTAGCCATCTTTTGTAAATCTTGATCATCATTGACTTCCTGCATAGCAAATAACTTGGGTAACACAGGTGCAATGTAAGGCAAAGTACCAGACACTCCCCAGAAATTAAGTGATTCATGTAGCCAACATAAAACTATATATAAAGTGTGAGTAGACGTCATTCAGCCACTGTTACTTACTCGTCTTGCTTGCATGTGCATAATCACTGGTTGCATTCTTGACATCACTTGTTACCATTTGAAGGAACCATTCATCTAAACGGGCCAGCATCACATCCATTCTTTCCTTTTGCGTCGCTGTAAGTGTGGTAGGCACATTACCCACACCATCAGAAGCTGCATTGGCTTGTAATAAATGTGATACAGAAGAATAAGAAGGAATCCATTCTAACTGTAACAATTCGTTCATGTTTACACCAATCACTTCACGTACTTGCTTGTAAGGATGTTGAATGTTGTCCAGATATGTAGGCAAAAGACGAGCATTCAAAGGTTCAAATCGCCATTGAAGAGAAGACGTCAAAGAACGGACCAACAGCAATTTACGAGATTCGTTAAAGGCCGCGTCTGAAGTAGGATCTAATTCACCCGACAAGATCAAATCGATTAAGGGTTGGATGCGACGAGGATCACGGCGAGAAGAACAGAAGCGTACAAAAGATTCCCAATAAGTCAAAGAATCAGGTGTAATGTTACTAAATACACTCGTCAGCAAGGGTATTAACCATGTCCAGACAGAAGCTAATTTCGCCAAGTTCCAGTGCTTTGTGCCTCGAATTAAGCCACCTAGCATTTCTGCTGCTGCTCTCTGAGCACTCTTTTGGTCTGTAGCATCACAAAGTTTTTGGATGTGTTCCTTGGCTGCTGATAAGGGTGCATCACCGAAGGTTTGGAAGATACTACTGAAGAGACGAGCATTTGAAGAGGAGAAATGATCCTCTTGTTTTTGATTGACTTCCTGAGACATGTAAGAACAGAGCTTTGACCAATACTCATTCGACGTAAATGTCTTTTTGAATTCATCATAAGCTGCTTGAGAGTCAGGCTCAACAGCATCTTGAAACAAAAAGTCCTTGGTATTTACTCTATAGGCTGTATAGGTCTCAGGCCAAACATACCATCCTAACGTCATATCATCGACCAGCAAGCTAGAATCAGCATTGGTTGGTGTCAGTCCTTCGTAAGAAGCCTTCAGAAGCTTCTGTCCTAAACTCGAATCATTTTTATCCACTTCTATTTCTACTTTGAGAGGATTGCGCATCGTTTTAGAGACCAGTATGTCTTGGTTACCAGCAGCAAATGTACGTTGTTTGATGTAAAGTAAAAGCTGTGTCGTTGCGCCTACACCAATACGACGCATGGTAGGCAGTTCTGATAAGGTAGCATTATTAGCAAAAGCAGCCAATCGTTGAGAGGGCTTTGCATCGACTCGCAAGAACACTTCAATAAAATTAGCAGCCATAGTAGCAAATCGCCAATGCACACGAGAATCAAGCAAGAAGTCTAGCAAGCTATCCATTAAACGATAATAAGCATCCATATTACTTGATAATCTAGACTCAATTTTAGCTTCAATCACACTTGTTTTGTGGTCGAAATTAGGATCTTGCGCTGTAGACGGTGATATACCCTTGATCAACGTATCCAAGTTTCCTGTCACAATCACATGGAAGGACGATGCGTTATAATGAGAGATATAATCCAAAAACACTTTGCGAATTAGTTCTTGAATTGTCAGTTTATCTTGGTGCTGAGCATTGCAGATAGCCATGATAAAATCAGGAATAAACTTCCAATTCCTTAGGCATGGCATCAAAATAGACTTGTGAGTAAACAGATAAAGAGCGCCCTTCATACGATCTGCAGGTGTAGAGGGCTGTAACGCTTCCAACAAGACAGGGACAATCAAGCTCTTTGAATCGCGGAAACAACGAGCAGTAGTAGATAAGGCTACTTGGCTTACTTTTCTGATTTCGGCATAAGAACCTAAAGACATCTCCACGAGTCCCATCAAAATAGCATCATGCAAATGGGTTCGTGTGCGTCCTTGCGTGTTTTGACGTAGTCTGAGCAAATGATGATTATAAGCGCGACGAATCAACAGGTTACGAGGATATCTCTTTTTGCAGAGAGGCGTCTTTCCAATGTTTTTGGCATAGCTATAGCCACTTTTACTACGGTCAAACTGCGCTCTTTCAACACCTCGTTCAGCCAAGAATGTACGGGCAATTTTGATCAAAATCTTGACGCTTTCAACATCATCTTCACGCTTTGTTTTAAAGTAGTCCAGTAATTGATGTATCAATTCACCTATGGATCGACGTATAGACCGAGCTTGTTCAGTGCGAGGATCAGAAGGATCAGTAAAAGCATAGCCTACTTGTAGTTTCTGATTCAGGACAAAGAATTCATCATCGTTGTCTTGATCCAACATGACTGTATCTTCCTCCACTACAATACCATCGTCAGCTACCATTACTGTGCTTCCCATCAAACAATTTCTAACAACAGCCAGATGTCGACAGAATTCATTGCTTACATCATGACTGTTGCCTGTATCATGTTCCATAAGTTCCTTTAAACGGTCCATAGACGGTCGCAAGAACTCTGCCAAAAACGCTAATGCAAAATCCTTTTCTTCTTCTGAAGGTTTATGCCATTGAATCTCTAGATTGGCAGGATCGCCCGGTTGACCCCATACTTTATGTGCATTCGCTTCCATAAATGCTTTGTCTTGCCACTGTGAGGGATTCAAACTCTTGAATTCTTGAGGGTAAATGTTGAGCATAGTGTTCAAGATACTACGGACTAATTTGCCTGTCCACATAATACCACGGCGACTACGGCATTTTTGAATCATGGCATGGGTAATTTGAACAATGTCTTGTTTATAGACCAAAAATTCAGGACCTAAATTAGACACCACTGAAAACAAGATGTTTTGATACCAATGGAAAGTACTGTCAGACTGAATCAAGTTGGATGCAGCAGCATGAGCTACTGTAGATGCTGCACCGTGCTCAAGTTCCATCTGAATATGTGTGATACAGAGAGGAATAAACACTTTAGCTGCCTTGGCAGGGTTGGCAGACGTAACAGCATCACATAATAAACCCACCGCACGGACGGCATTGGGCAACACACGGTCTGTCACAAATTCCACTACCAGTCTCAGGGCTAAATCATACAGCGCATCTGACAGTTGACCAAAGATAACATCGCATGTGTGCAGCAACATTTGTGTTAAGCCAGTTTCCATAGTGGATCCATTGCTTTGTTTCTTTCTGTTCTCTTGAGGCAGGTTTTCAAAGATAGTAAACACACGACGCATAAACTTGGCTAGCCATTCTTCAAATTCGCCTGTGGTTGCTTTTGTAAGGTAATCTTCTGTCTCTCTGGACAGTTCAGCATGAGGGTCATCAAGATAGTCTTCTGTAGGGTAATAGCCGTCTTGGTGCTGTGTCATGTCACGGATAGGAATAGACATCAATGCCGTAGAGATAAACATCAGGGAAGCAATGGTCTTGATGGGGTCATTCATATCGATGCCCGGTATAGCGAGCTGTAATAAAGGCAGCAAATGCTTACCGCCTGCTGAATAATGGTCTCGAGAGAACAAAGGTAAGGCAATATCAGCCAAAATAGATAAAGCACTGGACGTACGGTGAGTTTCTGTCAATGTCTCGAGTGAAGGATAGATACGCTCCAGCAGACCAGGAAAGACCAAGGCAGGTTCAAGCCATGCCAAGTATTTTAATGTAGATTGACTGGCACCCACAGTATATTGATCCTTGCCAAACATACTTAGATAAGTGACAGGTCTTAATATCAACACGAATTCTTTGCGCAGTGCTAATGTCAAACGACGATGGTGTGGTACTTTACAGTCTTCTTCTTGTTCTTCTCTCCAACGCTTCAGGAACTCATAAGCCAAATGACGTGCAAAGGCAGTCAATAAATAAGACCAAGGACCATGGTTGGAAGGGTGATAGTATAGTTCTGTTGCCTGAATCATGTCTGATAAAAGGGATAGACTATAGCTTGTCTCTTTGTTTTCATCAGGCATGATAGTATAGACGATAAAACGAGCCAAGGATTTGAATTTTTCCTAGCAATATCTTATCAGCCTCATGTTTTGCCTTCCCCTCTCTCCCTCGCTCCATAGATGCTTCAACTTACTGGCTTTTTTCTAAGTAACAAAGCACTTCCTGCTTTTGTGTCTACCCGAATACCTTGAGATCCATACCCTGTCGTGGACCCACCTCCACCTCCACCTGCTGATGTACTGCCATCACTACGACTGCCAACCGGTAAATTCATCATCCTCAAACCAGCCGTGAATACCATTTTTACCTGTTGCTTTGTGAATAATCCAATCTGGTCGCCTTGATCCAGGTTGTGCTCAGCAATACGACTGAAAAGGTAAGCAAACTGTGTGTCAAAAGTAGGTGAATAGGTAAACATGGACCATAATGAAAACATGGTAGGCAAAAATTCTTGTATGGTATTATCATTGTACTGAACAGGTAAAAATAGAATCAAGTAACCTTGTGCTCGAATGACTTCAGCAGGTGAATGTGTGGTGAATTTGGGTAGGAATTCAGTTAGGATTTCCGTAGCAGCATTGGATGAGAAAAATCGTCTGGCATATCCTGTCAATCGCAGCACTCCTCCCATCATTCGACTGCGGTATAAGATTTAGCTAGCTATCTCTACATATACACATATACATACGATTCAATAAACAAGGAACGATGTCTTGACTTTGGAAACAACGTCTTTTCCAATATTTGGTAGAGTGGACGCCAGTCAAGTTGCAAATCCTCAACATCCAATCTCTTTTTCTTTCTATCGTATTTCATGAATTCGCATATTCTCTTTTGTCTCTCATTTTACCTGATTAAGCGGGAGCAAGTATTGGCCCAGAGTTCGACCAAGACTGGATCCATGCCTGGCATCACTGACATTTCAAACAAGAGTTTGGCAAGGTTGGCTCTAACATCTCGAGGTACTGCGTGTTTCATATCCAGATAGCTATAGATGATATAAGCAATCAATATGTTAGACAGTCAAAACATGTACCATGTTAATTGTTTAACTGATATCAAAGCGCCATGGTGAAAGTCTTTTGCTTTGATGCTAATAGACAAGTTGGTACAAATGTCATTTAACCAAGTTTCTGCTTCTTTGTCAAGTAAATGAGCATAAGGTAGGCTTTGAGCATAATGCATGGTGTGATCATTATCATCGTTTATAACAGACAATGGTATCATTGTCATTGGATGAAGAAAAAAGAAAAAGAAAGAAAAAGAGGCTATTTTATATCAGGCGGGGTTTTCTTTGCCTGCCTTTAGATAAATAAAGAGCGATTCCATGACGCGTCCTTCCGTTCATAGGCCAATCGTTTTTAATCAAAATTCAAATAGCTTAATTCATGAGGCATAAAAGGATCCTTGCCCCACTGGATATTTTGTAATAACATAGTAGACTGAAGCTTCTGGTCTGCTTCTGCTGGGTCAATCTGATAATAACTCAATATGTCTCTTTTCTCTAATTCGCTTGTTTTGGGTGACTCATAGGCCTCATCGTATGTGGGTATAGGGGGTAAATGGTTAAATACCTATATACGACCATTAGCTATCATTCGTACAATTGACTTACTTGTCTAGCCAGTTTATAGTTGAATGTCTCTTGAGGCTTATATTTTGAGTCCAAATGAGCCAATAAGGTTTCTATGTTACCATGGTCTTGTATTGCTTTTAATGCACGTATGGGGCCAATACCTCGTATAGTACCTGAAAAATCAGTACCACACAAAATGCAGAAATCAACAAAGGATTCTCGAGTCAATCCGAGTTCTTTTCTTGCCAAGATAGGATCAATGGAAAGAATAGGTCTTGCTCTAGAGAAAAAATAGCGTAAAATAGGTGCATCTCCAAACACAAGTGTATCCAAATCTATCCTATATGAGTATTCGCTAAACAAGACGCTGTTTTACCTTCTGATACAGTGGCAGTAGTTCTTTTTGATTTTGATAAATGAGCACACATGGCTTCTGCTTCGTGACTATCACACGTAAGGCAAACATAGCCCATTGTCTTAAGAAATGCTTGACATTCGTCTCTTGTCAGTTGTGTGATGCGGTAAGACCTTTTCTCTACCAAGACATGAATTGGGTAGTTTTCTCTTTCTTTATCTTACCTAAAGAATGAAGCATGGCTTGGTTGTCCTTTTTCAATTGTTGTAATGCCGGTTTGATTCCCTTAAAACGATGGATAACCATGTCTGCCATGACATCTCTTTCCCTGTTGGCTAGATCTCTTACTGTTTTTGTGTATTTGTCTGTATTTTCAGCAATAATGATAGCCACTTTTAATTCTTGAGCAATTTGAGCTAATTTGGCCTCAATTTCATGCTGTTTCTGATCTGAAATATGCGACATAGGATATTCGTCTATATCTTCTAATGCCTCGCCCAATTCACTCAAGATAGACATGGTACTCTGCCTAGACAAGTCTGTTTGATGATAAGCATCCGAAACTTCCATCCAATTGCCCAGACGTATCGACTGTTCTTTTTCAAACAAGAGTGAATGCTTGACCTTATGTCGAGTACGTTCACGCTTTGCATTTTCAAAGTCTTTGGCTTCTAATCGTCGAGGCCCATCAAATACAAAGATGGGCTTGATTTTGTTTAAATCACAGAAGCGTGCAAGTTGATAAAATCCATAGATATGCCGATGTGGATGTGTTTCGTCACCATAGACAAACTTATTTAAATGACAACTAGCATCAATAGCAATCGTTTGTGTTGCTAATACATTACAGCTTATAGAACGAACAGCATTAGGTGCATATCGCGATAAAATGCCAGTTAAACCATGAACACCCATACGCAGTAAAAGAAAAATAAAAATAAAAATAAAATTTTCTGTGACATTTTATTAGACAAGAGAATCTCTTTCCTTATTTGTCCAATCGAATTCATAACGACTTTTGGGTGCTTCGTAAGTCTGCAAAGCATGAATGAATTCCTTGGTTGTATCACAAACAACAAAAATATTCGCATTCTTGGGTTGAATAAAGTTTTCTATGCCTGAATGAGTCTCTCTATCATCTTTCTTTTCTTTTCTTTTCTTTTACCTATCACACACATATTGACCCAGTCAACAAATAGTTTAAAGTAACTCTTGGTGTTGAGTAAAATAATTGGCTTGGAATGAATATTGAGTTGCGACCATGTAATCATTTCCAACATTTCTTCCATTGTACCGAAACCACCAGGTAAAACGACAAAGGCATCACTTTCTTCTGCCATGCGCTTCTTACGTGTATGCATATCGGGCACAATGATAGTTTCTGAAAGTTGTTTACTGCCGTGCTTGAAAAGAGGCTCAGGAACAATACCAATCGTCTTGCCTCCATGATCAAGGGTAGCTTTGGCAACAGCACCCATGATACCTATAGAGCCACCGCCTTATTGTTTGTTAGTATATGTTGATTTGTGCTGTTGTCTTACCATACACAAGTCGGATACCATTCTCTGCTAATAATTTTCCAATTTCTATTTTATAGAAATGAATAAACTATATCTGTTTCTGTCTTATTTGAACCTTTAGCTTCTTGTTCGTAAATGGAATCAGATCCACTACCACTGCCACAAAATACGCAGACACTTTTGATCTTGTTTGGACCTTGGACAGCACTTGAACTCATTATTAAGAAAAAGAAGAAAAAAAAAAGGTAGAAAGATCATTTTTTTTTATTTCTTTCCGCTCATGACTAACTGTGAACACATATTGTGCTACCCTATAAAATAGATATAAATCAACATGATGAAAATATTCTCTCAAAATGACAGCATTCTATATCATATCAATAAGTTTTAGTATGCGTAAATCATTCCTTTCTTTTTCAATAAGACATACAAGTTCTTTATTTTGTTAAAACACTGTTCTATGGGTACTTTAGAAAATAAAGATTATTCGCATAAATATGTTGGGTTTTAGAGAGCAACTAGTATCAGCTTTATATTGTGAGCAACATCAAAACATCATCATATGTAGACACGTATACAGCATGGCTGATATAAAAAGTATCTCAACTCTTTTCCAGTCGCACCAAAAACCGGGCTTTTTTAGTAACTTCCCTGGTCTTTTGGTCAAGACTGCATGAAGAAGCAGCTATGTTGCTTTGGTGTATTAATAAAAGTTTAAGATTCTTTCTGAGTGTATTGATATAAAGAACACAATAACTTTACCACTGAAATTCCGAGAAAATTTTGCAGAAATGTTTATGAGGTTCTTAGGTCATATCTCATCATTTTCATAGTACAATTGGCAAACACTCACCAAAAACTAGAGCCTCTTACACACATTTTGAGTATTTAAGCTTGTTGATAGCTCTATTTTTTGTCTTGTAGCATCAAATAAAAGATCCAAATTCGTCAAGCGAGATTTTTTCATCTTTTGGTCGAAAGATTATTTTGACCATTTTTCGCAAGTCGCTTTTTTTTTTGTTGGTCCAAATCACTTCTAAAGGTGTCCTGTATGTTATCAAATACTGTTTGTAGGCAACCAGAGCATTTAAGCGTACTACCTTTGTGCACATAATTTCTGATAATCAAGGTAAAAAAGTTTGATGCCCTTTGCATGATTCAATGAAACCAATGGCGCGTGTAGGCAAACATGATTGCTCTTTATGAAGACGCACAGATTGTTTCTCATTCTCTTTGAAATGAGTAAGCCAGAGCAATCCATATAAGCAGAGGCTATGTTTTAAATAAGCAGCCGAGTATCCTTTATTTGAATCACCCGTTTTCATCAAACTGTGGCCCAGGATAGATCGGTATCTTACAAGTTGTTTGTAACCTTTGATCTAAACCTTGTGTTGTTCATAGACCAAAAACGTCGATTCTATTTCTTTGTTCCTGTCTAGATGTATTGCTTCCAGAAGATTCAGTACTTTTGAAAGATTACCGTGCAATGAAAGAAGATACGTAGCTGCCTTTAAGACAAAACGTTATTGTGAGGATTCTTTCTTTCATCATGGCAAATATAGGACAAGTTCAAGCAGACTATGTTTGTTTATTGAAACGACTGCCTTCCAAAAATAACACTCCATCAAAAAAAAAAAAGGAGAGCATCACTATACAATCTGGCTTTTAAATGAGTTGTCCCTGAACCATTCTCCACCAGTTTTTAGTATTCAACATCATGGTAGACCCTTAAATATACATATATAAAAAAGCTATAAAGATGCTAGTGTCACCATTTATCATACCCTTTTTTAAAAAATACCATAACAATCCCTTTTCTTTGCCACATGTCGCACAGAAATGAAAAATCAGACCATTCTGTCAAGACTTGAATGTTGACTTTTTAAACCATGCATTCTACTTTTTAGGTAAAATCCCTCCTTTTTTTTATTATTCATTCTTAAAGAAGTATCTTATTTAAACTTGCATATTTCAACAAGAAAAAGTAACATTTTCTTGCTCCTATTTTTTATGGAGCAAAAAAAAAAAAAATAACAGAAAAGAAAAGAAAAAAAAAGCTTATATTTTTTTTTTTGAGCAACAGAACATGATGGCCAAAAAAGGGAATTTTCGTTGCTGAATAATATAGTGATGCACACTTAGAAAACCATAACAAACATCATTTACTATCATAAAGTTTCCCCGATATATAAAAATACAAACCTTTTTTTTCTACCTTTTTTTTTTTCTTCTTTCCCTTTTATATATACACAAGCATGGTCTCGTCTACACAACCTTCACCTAGGATAGATGTGTCCACTTCATTTATGGAATCCTTTGGGCATATTTGTTCTGTTGAACAAATGGAACTCTGTCAAAAGCTAGGCATATTATCTAAATCAGAACAACAACAAGCTTATAAAATAGCCAAGGCATGGATGGGCCAAATCCCTATCGACCCAAACGACTTGGACCACTTGACAGAATGGATTCTCATGCTTCGGGATCGATATTCAGCGCAACTCGAATCTCAATGCATACGTCAACACACCAATGATTTAGAACGCATTGGGTATCTGGATGAAGTGCAACGCCTGAGCCAATTGTTGGAAGAATACGGTGGAGTCCATGAAGACTTGACAGATTTGCTACAAGCACTCAGGAAACTAAGTCAGGATTGGAAACATCGTAAAAGGGATGTGGAGAACATTGTCCTGTCCATCTTATCCTCCAACAAAGATGCAGCCCATCGTGTGGTGCGAGTCACTCGATCTCATTTGGCCACGTTGGGACTGGGCATAGCTTCGATTGGTAAATACTATATTGTGTATGAACCCTCTACCACAGGAGAACAACAGAAAGAAATATTGAATCACGTGGCCAAGAATTTCAGTATGGTGTTTGAAGAGAATGCAGCACAAAATCTAGCAAGAATGGCAGGCAGTTATCATCGCATCTTTCAGGAGGAATCAGACATGGATCTGATGGACCGTATTCAGAAACTCAGTAGCCAGGTATTTGTTCAGCGTCCCAAGTCTGTTGTTTTGCCTTATCCTTCCAGTCTGCCTGGACAAGAACAGGACACCCGACGCAATTCGAGTTTTTTAGAACGAAGGAAATCGGTAGTGCTTGTTGAGAATCAACTTACGATGCCTATGGTGTTTAACATGACAATGCCTTTATTTGAACCTGCTGGATGGGATTGGCCTCATATGCTTAAACACAAACAGTCTAATCAGAATTATTGGTGTCATTCAACAACAACAACGCATCATGATGTCTGGTCTACATCGATTGCCCGCTTAGCAGATCATTTTGCCCAAGTAGGACAAGCTTATTATGCCAATATGCATAACAATGCTCGGTTAATGCATTCACATCGATCTCAAATGTTTGAATTTGCTACTCATTCACTAATGAAAACCTACCGTGCGCTTCAATTAGAACAAGGCTGTGCCAATCTAAATCGAGTGCTTACTTTTCTCTATAGACTTCAACAAGAAAACTCAAGAATTTAATACCCCCCTCTCTCTCTTTATTTTTGTAAATAAAAGAATGCACTCAGACGTGTTAATACCTCGACTTGTGTTTCTTTAGGTTGAGACCGTATCAACAAGGGTTGATTTGTATGATGCAGTAGTAATTCAATATGATTGAGTTGAGACAAAAGAGGTTCAAGTGTAAGTCTGTGTTGGTAGATAGCAAGTAATAGCTTGACATCTGGGTATATGGGATCAACAAAATAAGACTGAATGTGACTTGCTCTGACAAGGTCATCTACATATGGATAAGTGGGACATAGCATTCGTATTCTCTACTTGCCTATTTCAAGGGAGGTCAAGAATGCATCAAATAAGCACCAAGGATCTTGCTTATCTAATAATTTAACTTCAATTTGACGATGAATAAGCCCTAAAGAGGTATAGACGCTTTGCATCAGACAATGAAAATCTTGAGGTCTCATTCTGTTTTCAAAAGGACATACAAGTGATCCCAAGCCATACAAGACAATGGCTATGGGCTCACTTAAATCCATGCCTGTTTCTTGTGCAAACAAATTACCCCCTTCATTTAATATCACACTGAATGCATTGTTCATGTCTGTCAGTGGAGGTGCTGGCTTGGTTCTATTTCTTTCGCGTGTCAAGTACTTGATAGCTAAGGATTCACATGATGCCAACAGTGCTTCTACTGTATGTTGTCTTGTATGCTAATAGTCTATCAGTATGTCTTGTTTCGCTCTATTATCTACCTTGGCTATATTGATCAGGGATGGCTTATCTAGTTTCCATTTGGTTTCAAGGGCATCAAGATAGATATCTTGAGCTTCTTGTACTTGTTGATACATACAAAGTAACCGAGCTAAAGCAAGTCGACTGTTGTAAAGATAAAACGTCATGTAAGCAGGTGAGAGTGAAGTGGTAGGATTCAGACACAATAGATCAATCAAGGATCGAAGTGCCCTTGAAGTATATTCAGGTCGTTTATGTTGATAAAGGAACTGTGCTTGTGTCCAATACGTGTTGATAGCCAGTGTTGGATCGTTGGATGTATCAGCCAAATCCAATTGATGCAATGCCTCTATTGACGCATATGAATTCGTATAGGACTTTTTCTCTCTCTATTTTCTTACCTTGGACTTGAGGATGAACAGGTATTGTTTGAGTTGGTTTGTTTGTTGGCTTTGATTTCTTTTCATTCGCGATATGCTTGGCACTCTTGAGATGTTGAACAAAGGTTGTTTGATTATTGAATTTTTTCTTGCAAGGTTTACAATAGGTATCATCAGTCTTGATCAAGGACGATGGTGTTTCTGTTGTCAATTTAGGAAGATCATAAGGCAAGATCTTGTCTAAAGGCTTAAAGACTAGCAATAAAAAATACACTCAGTTCAAGTTCAAAGCTTATTTATTGTTTCTTTTACTATTAAAGATCTGATTATCTAGACTAGCATCATACAATGGCAACATAAGAGAAAAAGAAAGAAAAAAAAAAAAACTCTTTTAGTAAATATTTAACCTCAGCATCAAGCTGATGTCATACTTGTCTTGCGTACACAAAAGTACATACAAAAAAAAAAAGAACGCGCAAGCAAATCTCTCTTTCTTTTTCATTTATACAGTATGTCTCAAGACCAGAAGCAAGATAAAAACGACCAAGTCGAATCCATGGATATCGTCGAAGATGAAGACACGAAACAAAAGCGTCTTACAAAAGAAACCATCACAGGTACAAAGACATGCATCTTACTTGCGTTTACTGACTACAGGTTAGAATTGAAGCGTAACTTTTCCTTATTGGAACGTGCTGTGGAGACCATTGAATCTCGATTCACTACGCGTGTCTTGAGAACATTGCCTTCTATTAGACGCCGTTTGACTTCTGATATTCTTGCACAAGTGATCACAGACTATTATACTTCAAGTAAGTAGTTATGCAGTGAATCATGATATTCAACTATTGGACTAGATGATGCACAAAAGGCTGAATTGTTGCATATTTTAAATGAGGCAAGTCACTTTACAAGACGCGTCTTTCTTACTTATGTTGTTATAGACTGAGAAATCAACAGCAGATGAAGAATCAAAGAACAAAAATGGTGTTTTACCTGAAGTCGATGTGTATGTTCATTTGTTAGTATTGATCTATCTTTTGGACAAGAATGACATGGAAAAGGTAAGTCATACAGAGAAAACCGAAAAAAAAACTCTTATGTCTTTTTTAGGGCCTTGCATTGTCAACAAAAACTGTAGAAAAGTTATCTATTCTGAACCGTAGAACATTGGATCAAATCTCTGCTCGCGTCTACTTTTATCATGCTCGTTTCCATGAACTATCCAACAAATTGGCTGATATTCGACCGTAAGTAGATTGAACTTGGGGGGTTTTCTTTGGCTAATTCATCCATAGTGTTCAATTAGCAGCCCATAGAACAGCCACATTGAGACATGATGACGAATCGCAAGCAACCTTACTCAATTTACTATTGCGCAACTATTTCTACCACAACTTGTATGACCAGGCTGATAAGCTTGTTTCTAAGAGTACATTTCCTGAAAAAGCAGGCAATAACCAAGCTGCTCGTTATGCTTACTATTTGGGACGCATCAAGGCACTTCAATTAGACTATACGTCTGCTCATATGTATTTGACACAAGCTATTCGAAAAGCACCTCAGAACAATGTCACTGCTGGTTTCCAACAAACAGCCAATAAGTTTTTTATTGTTGTCCAGTTGTTGATGGGTGAAATTCCTGAAAGATCACTTTTTAGACAACCTATCTTAAAGAAAGCACTTGCACCTTATCTCGTTATCACACAAGGTAAAACTACATATATAGATCAGAACCGATTGAACTTACTATTCTAAAAGCTGTTCGTGTGGGTGATCTTAACAAATTTCAAGAAGGTTTGGCTCAATACGATGCTGTGTTTAAAAAGGACAAGACGTACACACTCATCCTTCGTCTGCGTCACAATGTGATCAAGACAGGTATTCGTATGATCAGTCTTTCTTATTCCAAGATCTCCCTTCGAGACATTTGTATCAAACTTCATCTGGACAGTGAAGAAGATGCTGAATTCATTGTGGCCAAGGCCATTCGTGATGGTGTGATTGATGCCACATTAGACCATGCTAAAGGGTTTATGAAGAGCAAAGAAATTGTGGATATCTACAGTACCAATGAACCTCAACATGCTTATCATCAACGTATCAATTTCTGCTTGAATCTTCATAATGAAGCTGTCAAGGCCATGCGTTTCCCTATGGACGCCCATCGAAAGGAATTAGCCAGTGCTGAAGAAGCCAGAGAAAGAGAAAGAGAACTCGCTCAGGAAATTGCAGAAGGTGAATTGGATGAAGATGATGATATGGGTGATTTTTAAATAATAAAGAAATGGCTTTTATTTCTTCTTTTTAATATACAAGCAACCAATGTCAAGATATGTACAGATTTGTTGAATGACACTTTTTGCTAAATCATAGTATTGATATGCAGCCAATACGAGATAGGTCTTGATCACTAAGCGGTGGCTAATGGGGATAAATCTAGCCATGAATGAGTTATGTGCTACTGTTGTCTTTACTTACTCTTCAACAAAATCTTGTAAATAGGCAAGAAGGCAGCCAGAGATCAACATGGCATTGACAGGCACATTCACATAAGGGAATTTGAGTTTAGATACATGGGCAGTAATCATCAGTCCAACCTGATGACCAAACAACAAGCCAAAAAAGACCATGAAAACAGCAAGGTGTTCAGTCACAAGATCAGGCCAGAGAGTTAACCATTGATAAGCCCAGAAACACATATTAAAGTAAGGAGCAAGGCCCAAAGTAGCCTTAAGAATAGAGCCATCTTTCTTTGATGTGTCCGTAGGGTGAATCTTGACTGAGATGACATTGATTAAACTATATAGGAATAGCGTTGGCTTCTAGGTTCCAAAAAAAGAAAATAGAGTACTTACGCAGATACCATATTGAATAAAGTGACAAGACCACCTATAACAATCAAGACATGGTTCAATTGAAGTGCACCCAATAGCTTGGTGTGTGAATTATAAGAGAAGTCAATAAAATCAAACACTTCATGTATACGAAGCATCCAGACAGCAGGACCAAAATAGCCCGAGATCAAATGAACACCACAGAGCATCAAGACACCTTCCACAGGACCACTAAAATAACCTAAGAACAAGACACCTGTGTGGTATTCTTCCCATGTAGAAAGATAAAAGTTACCTAAACTAGCAGTCAAAGAGGCGACAGTCCACCAACTTTGACCCAAATAAGTAGAAGAAGCCCAAGTCAAGACACCCAATGTTGTATTTAAAGCATCGCAACCTATCTAAATCAGTAACCAATAAGAGAGACACTGTACTATTTACCATGATCAAATAATTCACCCAATGGACCTGATGTTTGAGTTCTTCTTGCTTGTTTACCATCAATAGCATCCAAAGATTGGTAAATGAATAAACCAATACCAAATCTAAATCAAACTAAGATACATTGTGTTGTATTTGTTGACTTACGTTGTATAGACCCAGTTAGGACATTCACCTAGTTCATGCGTATAATAAAACATAGTAGCCACATTCAACACGACAGTCAAGAGACCCAGCAAGGTAATCATGTTTGGACTGAAAATAATCAATACAACTATCTATCTTCTTACTCTACTTACGCCATCCAAAGAGGGAACAATTTGACAAGATTATTCCAATAAGGTGCCAACACATATCGAGATACAAGGGATTTATCTACACCACTGTATTTATAGAGGTGTAGACCTTTTAGACTTTCTTCAGGAATATATTTGGTCATAATTACAAAAGAGAGAAGAAAAAGGAAAAGACGCGCGAAATGCGGTCATTGGTACTTTGTCGAGGGTGTCGGATTTACTTGAGCGGGGCTGATGTGTGCATTTCCTAGTTTGGATCTTTTTCTTTACTATGCGCCCCCCTTCCTTTTAAACATTTCATGGTGTTGTTGAACACTGCTGATAACACATCACTAAAGCAAACATTATTTGCTATTGCTTCTAGCATCATAAACTTTGTTTTAAAGTAGAAATGAAATGAGCCTATCTTACTAAAGTAATCATTTATACATTTTCATAATAAATCAGGCCTTATTACTCTGTGTTAGCAAGCCTTGTTCTTCTTATAGGCTGGGGGGGTTTTCAAAGCTATGAGCTTTTATGAATCTTGATGGCCTTGTCTTTTTCTAACGATAGAGTAATAATCAAGTCTTCTTTGCTTTCCTGTTGCTTCATTTTCTGTTACAGAAATATGAGATAAATACTCAAGAATTTACTTGTGCTCAATAATACAATTTGATTCACAAGCATTTGATAGATTACTGTGATAAATAATAAAAAAACCTGTTTTGTTTAAAAAAAAACTTGTTTATAAGAATTAGCATACTTCAAAACTTGTAGCCGTTGTAAACAAGGTAGTTTCAACACATACACTTGGCTTGCTTGGAGAAATAGAACTCTTCAACTCTTGTTTTCAAAGATGGATAGAGAGAAGATGATGCGTTGCTCGTATAGTATAGATCATTTAGCTTTTTATAAAAGGAATCAAGGGCAGTTCAAAAAGAAGATTAATACAGTATAGACAAATTCAGTTCGAGACAATCAATACAAGGAAAATGTGTCTCTAATTCTTCGTTGCGGTCTATAATGGTTTGTGAAGTCTCGAAGGACATGTCAACTTTGCTTGCATTTCTTTTTGTAACTGCGGAAATCTGATCTTTATTTGGGTATTGATGGCGTAAAGCATATGCTGGAGCAATTCAACATTGATGCCTGTAGACATTCAGTCATTTACTATGTTGCTTTCTCTTACAAGGATATTTAAGAACAATTGCTTAAAGTGGGACTGGATGATCTACAAATTAATTGGCTTATGTCATTTGGTCCTGTGAATCAAGTTACACTGCTAAATGAGCTGATACCAGTATTAGAGGTTTCTCATCGACAAGGTACTTAATTCAGAGAAGAACTTGCAGTCTTCAAGTAAGGTAAAGAGAGTGTGATGCTGTGGAAAGACAAAGATTGGGAAATGTTCAACTCTAGGCCAATGTGTCTTTTGTTGCTATGGTAAATATTCTTGAACTGAGCTCTAGATTTGACACAAGCCAAAATTAGCAAATACAGAACAAGAGTTTGAAGTTGAAATAGCTTGCTTCAGTGAAGAACAAAAATTCTTCTCCATCAAGATGACTTTCACAACTAAGGTAGAGTATGTAGCGTATGTCAAAACGTGTTCTCCAAATCCATAAAGTGGATGTTTCTATAATGTCCGTTACTAAGACGCTTATAAAGCTTGACCAAGCAAATGATTTCCTTATAGCATGAAACACATTGGTTGTTTATCAAGTTTTTTTTATAGTACAATGATGATGAAGTTAGTTTACACAAATGAGTTTCATGATTTAATGAGTATTTGTTTGTTTGTTTTATATGCACCTTAATTGTCAGAAGTAAGCATGAATTTTTGTATACTTGTGACGACTTTCAGTTTCTGGTATTTAATAAATCAGACACACATGTTGGAACACATTCAATCTATCTTATTTCTGAATTTAACACTATGACTAAACACGAAAGATCCAAATGTAAGTATTTGATTTTTTTGATACATTTTCTTTCTCTCTTTTTCTTTATAGTGATAACAGCTTATATTGATGCGAACAAATCTGGCAATAAGGTCTATTTTAGTGACTTTCTAACCGTTCATGCCGAAGAAGTTAAAAGGCTTTCAAAAAACTTGAAAAAAATTCGCAAACTTTGGACAAATGGTTTTATATTGATAGCAACTGAGAAGAAAGTTGAATATGTAAATCTTACAAAAGTTCTTAATGATGAGTTCGCTAACTTTGAGCCAAAACTATAGGATGTTGAAACAAATGTTGAATGGACAAGAGTTGAAAATGATATTGAAGCTTCTCTTAACAACTCGCCCCTGAACACCTCTGAAGGACAAGTAAGTCTGATTGAAATACTGTTAGCCTTTGAGAGCACTAATCATTTGGCTCAATAGACCAAGAAGTCAGGCCGTATAGTATACTTCAATCATGAAAATATAAGCTACGAAAGAATGACCGTAAGTAGAAGATCATTTCATGCTTATCAAATGTAATTAAAAACATTTTTTTTTTACTAGTGGGCAGTAGACAGTGACGACATGTCAGAAAAGTTAATGCTTTACCGAATGCAAACTATCAATGCTGCTAAAGACGCAAAAAAGCTTACAACCAACCAATTTTTGTCCGTATCTATTAGCAATATGTTGCAAATACTGACTTTCTCTTTTTAGAATTTTAAACTACATCATTAACTTTGATAGTGAGCTAACAATCATCAATGAATTGGGCATAGCATACAAAGCAAAACAAGTCAAGAAGCAGTTGCGTCGCAATCACGCAGTCAGTAGAAGCAGTAGCCAAATTATACTCTTATGTAATGAGTTATTGCAAGTAAGCTCTTAAACGATCAATTATTTATTTTTGTGTTGTTACTCATGTTTTGTAACTAAAAATTGACAGAAGGCAAAACTTCAAGAAAATGAAGAAGAAGAAGAAGAAGAAGACTTGATGGTTTTTCTGTTACTTGAAAAAATCAAAGCTAAAAAAGAAAAAGATGATGAAAAGCTGCTGTTTTTGTCCTTGTTCGAGCATTTTCAAAACATTATTAGTAACACCAGTATTACTACTGAGCAAAGCTACATTGACTCTACCCTGCTACCATTCTTTGAACACATCTTTAACAAGATAGCCCAAACTGAACACTTTGCCGCTAGAGGTCGCCTAGAGAAGCCCCCAAGTGATTTCGATCTTCTTCTGCCTCTTGGGCTATCAAAACCATCCTCGTCGTCCTCAACCTCGACAGCAACAACATCAGCAACAGCAACAGCAACAGCAACATCATCAGCAGCAAGCAAAAGAGATTTTTCTTCTTCGTCTTCTTCCTCTTATCGTTCCTGGCTAGCCCTTCTTCCAGACTATTTGGTCAAGGCTGTATTTACTGGTATCAAGTTTGATCTTCTCGCGGTTGAAGTCAAGAAGCCGAAGGCCAAATTCTCACAAATTGTAAATGATGAATCCAAGGTAGCTGTCTTGATGAAGCTGATGATCAATCGTCTTGTGCAAAACAGTATTCCTTCTCCTGTGGTCTGTGGTTTTGTAGATAATGGGGATTTTATCAAAACCTACAAGATGTCGCTTACCAGCAATGGAAGCTATAGCTTTGTTGAACTTGCCTGCTTCCCAAGCATCCGATGTCTGAATAGTTTGGCGTGTCTTCCAGTGATGATCGAGCATATGAATCAGCTGAAGGTAAAGCTTGAAACATGTTTAAAATAGCCTTCACTTACCTGCTTTTCATCCTTATTAGAACATCATCTGTGAAATGATAGAGGTGATAAGAATCACTTTGCTTGGTGAGAAATTACCCGGTCCCCTTTCTGTTCCTTCCGCAGTTCCTGTCGAATGGCTCAGACCTTCGTTTGAGTATCCCTATTTAGATACTTCAAATAAAAAGCGTAAATAAGCTCTTCCCTCCTTTTTTATATGTATATGTACTTTTGTTTCTGTTTTTCTCATTTGTAAACAAACATGTCTTATGTAAAATATATATTTTTATTTCCTCAAATGAACAGTGTACATCCTCTAACACAGATATTGTAAAACAATCAACAGGCTATACAGCCGCACAGAAACCAAATAAAAATTGCATGCTTTCCATCCTTGAACAAGTTCCCCCAAAGCATAATAGATAAGCACTGTAGACCGTGTAGAACAAAAGCTTAGGTTGTTTATTTAGCAAAAATGATATTTAATTAATCACAGCCTGGTATTGGTTGGTCAAGCGTGTAGTAGTATGTACGTAATGAAAAGATAGAATGGTATTCATATCTGTGTCAATATTTTACATACACGGGCTCATATCTGCCACTAATTCATCTCCCTTCTATTCTCTGCTCTTTCTTATAATCTAATGTCAATATCTCATGCTCTGCTTAAGTTCAAGAATTTAATTTCTACTCACAACGAAACTTTTTTCCCCTAATAAAGTGTATCACCCAAAGTAACGATGGCCGCATACACTTCTGCAATTCCGTGTTTCCAAATCACATTATTCTCATCACTCCCTTTTATTGATGTTAATTGAATCAATAAAGAACAATCATCTTTTAAACCTAGTTCTTTTTCTTTTTTGTGTACTGCATCAATGTCGACATAGAAAAATAGAAACAGGAACCGAACTTGCGAAAAGAAGGCTACATCAGATTGTATTTGCTTAGTTTGTCGAGATTCTAAACAGTTTTCTGTTGCCTACATTTTGCCACATGCCAATCCTTAATATCACTGTGGCATCTACAAAAGCTGGTATTTACTGATTTCAAACGTTTTTTGTGTCTTTCTGTCTTTTCTTTTGCTTAATAAATATGCAAAAAGTGAGTTCTTTGTACAATAAATTTTCTATTCAGTGTCATAAAGAAGCATTTTTCACCAACACTAAGCGTATAGTTGGTCGCCAAGATCGGTGAAAGAATGCTCAGTAAAGCTGGAGTGACTACGTCAGAGTTCAAGTCTTCGGACCCAATGTTACAGCGAAAACACTGTCATGCTGGGTGCAATCACGAGAAAGAATAAACACCATAAAGCATTTTTCACCAACACTAAGCGTATAGTTGGTCGCCAAGATCGGTGAAAGAATGCTTAGTAAAGCTGGAGTGACTACGTCAGAGTTCAAGTCTTCGGACCCAATGTTACAGCGAAAACACTGTCATGCTGGGTGCAATCACGAGAAAGAATAAACACCATAAAGCATTTTTCACCAACACTAAGCGTATAGTTGGTCGCCAAGATCGGTGAAAGAATGCTTAGTAAAGCTGGAGTGACTACGTCAGAGTTCAAGTCTTCGGACCCAATGTTACAGCGAAAACACTGTCATGCTGGGTGCAATCACGAGAAAGAATAAACACCATAAAGAAGCATTTTTCACCAACACTAAGCGTATAGTTGGTCGCCAAGATCGGTGAAAGAATGCTCAGTAAAGCTGGAGTGACTACGTCAGAGTTCATGAAATGATATCCGGAGTCTGGAATTTATTTTTGTAGTCACACATACTCGTAGAGGTGGAGCACAAAGCCACATAAATGAGGGCAGATAATTTGAGTTTAAAAATACGAGGAAGTAAAAGTCATCACAAATCTCCAGCGACTTTACTTTTTTAAGCTGTAGGAAGACAAGTTCGAAAAACGCTCTCCATTGCATCTCTTCAGCTCAAAATGAACGGGGTTTAAAGCGATATGGCAAGGAGATTTTGTTGAATTTATTGTATAAGAAAGATTGAAAAAGTATAAAAAAAGAACCAAATTACTGCTTACGCTTTTAATAAACAGCAATTATGTTGCTCACCACTCTTGACTGTTTGGGTTGCAAACGCTCAGCCGAATATCGAGGATTATCGATTTTGAGCATGGCTTGGTTGTCTGTAGCAGTTGCAATTTTTCGAACTGAGGTTTCGAAGGCACACTGATTTTATAGCATGCATGACCAACAAAGACATATAACTAAATACCATCTTCTCACATCTCTCTTTTTCCAATTATATCTGGATATAATTACCTTGAACGTCGATCATTACCATGAACGTCGATCATTACCAACTACTATATATACCTTTGTCTCAATTGCTTTGAAATTCTTTCTGTTGTTTTTTTTTCTTTTTTTAGAGCGTCTACTGGCGCCATCATTTCGATTCTTGCTTGTATGATGGTCAAGCTATACTCGACGAAGCCATAAAAATAATATGATAATTATCCACTTTCAAATCTTTTTACATTCTGCCTTTTCGAGGCAAGCCACTGCTTCTCATAGTTGTTCTCCTTCATTATATCCCCTTTCGATGAGCTTACTTCAATGAATTTTTATTTACACAAGAAAGGATTCATGGGATACCTGACCAGCCACTCTAACTTCTCGCTGTTTTTTGTTCTGCTAAGTTAGACATTCAGCACCACTTTCCATCTTACACGTCGATACGTGCAAAAAAGTGAACATCTTCAGACATGATGTGTTTTGTTTTGAGATATATCAATGATTTTACTATATCGAAGATTTTTGTAAGCTACGAGCTTTTTTCAAGGCGAAACAAAACAAATCTCTGCATGAGGAAGGAGACTTTGAACCTATGCAAGCTTTAGTGAATCTTTTTGAAAAAAAATTGTACTTCCAGTAAAAAGAGCCTACGCATAAAGCATTCTTTACGTTCATTATATAAAAGTTTTTATCCTCTTCTTCTTCAAGGGGATATTGAGTGATGTCCCTGAAAACTCTTTTTATCTATTATTCTCCGCATGACCATAAGCATTTCGAACAAACTGCCTTGTCTTAAAGTTTTTTTTTAGATGAAGATTTTTTTGTTGTTGAAAGAAATCTAAGATAGCGAGAAAGATCTAAAGGTATAATTTAGGAATGACATAAATTGCCTTACGTCTTTTTTTATTACTTTTTATTAATTCAAAGCCTCTTTGATGTGTTTATGAGCTGAGTCTTGATTGGATGGATGTTCTTCCAGACACAAGATTGGCTTAAAACACTGGAGATTTGTCATGGATAATGTAGCTTTTGATGCCTACTCCACTCTACAACAAACACGTACTGCTTTACAACTGCTTGCAGATGAAAAGCAAGTACACACAAGACTGTAATTCTTCTCGTATTTTTTTCCCACTAATAACAGTGGCATATCTTTTATTTTATTCTGCTTAGTTTGCTTTCAGCATAATTGTATAATATAGTTCAGTATGAATTGCGCCCGCCTCTTGAGTGCCATTAGGGTAACTTTACGCGGAGCAATAATAAAAATCTTTTAAAAAAAAAAAAAAAAAAAAAAAAAAAAAAAAAGATTGGCTTAAATTGCAAATATCATTGTTTGATAAATAACTTTGACCGATTTAACGGAATTGAATGCATCATTTCAGTTGCTCACATTGTATACCAATAATACAGCAATCTGTTTTCGTTTACGGGAACTACCAAGTAAATGCTTCTACATATTATAGGCACAGGAAGATACAACATTTCGTAGTAAGAAACAGTACTGTTTCACTATAAAATGATGTATGTTTTAATTAGCCTTGTAAAACACAAACAGCAATGACTAATAAAATACTAAGAGAATTTTTGTTGTATTAACTATTATTTGATACTGTCTACTTGAACTTAATTGAATACATGAGAAACACTTTTCATAAAATAGAAAGAGAGAAACCATGGTTTGATGATGACTAAGAATGATAATACTTCTCTTTACCTTTACCTCCGGTATTTCGGGCCTTGCAAGGACACAAAAGATACAGAGGATAAACATACGTTCCGTATGATTCAAATGGCGAAACACGTTTACATTATTTTCTTGACGTATATGACTGTGAGAAATATGTGTACCTATATCTAAAATAATCTGATATGATCAAACCCTAGAGATTTACAATAATTGTATCGTTTCATTGGCTCATTCGATTTGATTCATTACTACTCTCATCTTTTTTTTTTCTGTTTCACACTGTCCTTTTTGAAGCATCAATACATTAAATGGGTCTTTTTTTTTTTATTAAGCAAATAAAAATATGAGTTTATCAACAAAAAAAAGAACATTATTCTATTTGTATTAAAAAGAGTTGAACATGTCGAAAGAACCAGGTGTGAGTTTAACTTGAGAGATGGACGTAAAAGTAAGCCTTTGTGAGAATAAAATGCTTAGCATGATTTACTCGAGACAGTGCTTTCTTTTAGTATTGAATAAAAGTAGTTGAAGCACTATTGTATATGAATGTAGTCGTTTTTATTGAATGTAACGACATTTCTTTTTCTCTTTTTGCGCAAATGCTTCTAGAAATTATGCACACCTTGTTTTTAAATTTCAGAATATGATAAATAATTTTCCCAGTTGCGAATTTTTCTTGTAAGATTGCCATATTTGTACAACACCTTCCTAATAAAGAACTTCCAATGGACTTGTGTCACTGGAAAGATTAGCTGCTTTAAAACGGTTATATATAGAAAGGGAAGATTCTTTCTCTTTATCTTTCTCTTTCTTTTTTCATTTTCAATATATGTAAATCAATTTTACATATTCCTTAAACAACCTTCTATCTCCAACCGCATTTATCTCTTTTTTCTCTTTTGCTTTCCATAATATTTAAAGACGAAGGCTACGACAAACGTAGTCCAAGAAACAACAAAAAAATGATGAACAGTTTGATAGGTGCAAGAAACAACCACCTCGACTTTAACATTTTGTTTTATCCTCAATATCAGGATGAGCGTGGCCAAGTTGTATGTTATCCCGGCTCTGTATTTGAAGGCATTGTACAAGTCAAAGTAGGCGTTCCCATACCTGTTCACCACATCAAACTAGTATTTAAAGCATCTGGTAAGCTATTGCCTGCATCTTTTTTTTTTGTATCTAACATCCATAGAACGAGTCAACTATGATGCTATGGGCTGGGAAAAGTCTAAATTGACAGACGATCGACTATTCGCAGTACGCACTGTTTTGTGGGGATTACCAACAGGTATCGACATCCCCGTGAGCGCATGGCCTGTTTTAGAAGCAGGAGAACATACGTTTCCTTTTGTGTGTCAAATGCCAGTGATCAACTTCCCACCGACGTTCCACCATCACTTGATTGCGACAGCCTTCAACATGATTGTGTCTTTAGAAAAGGCAAACGAACCCTCACCTATTTTGTCCAAGCCATTTCCAGTCTATTTCCAACCTATCATTGAGACTGTTCCGATAAAAAACTTGCATGCTTTCACAGAAGAAACAAAGTTAACAAACCATATCACAGCACATGTCTCTGTGCCTCGCTTAGCTTACAACATCAACGATAAAAACCAATCTATTCTGGTCACAGCCAACTTTCAATCTGACCTTAGAGACGAACAAAGCTTAAACATGTCTCAACTACGTGTTTATATCAAGCGATATTACAATATCAATTACAAGACGTTTTCAAGAAACGAAGCCACCATAATCACACATTATGATCATCCTAAACTTCCTTCTTCTTGTCCTAGTACAGTGACCATGAAGCTAAGCTTACCTGCCAATCCCACGGAATTACCTGCCACTTTAACTTATTCGCCTCACCTGACTGTTGAATACAAACTGGTCGTGGTTGCTAAAGTCCGTCATGGTCCTATTCATGTCAAGAAAAAGCTGTTTGATATGCCCATCATGTTTGGCACATTACCAGCGGGTACAAGAGCACCTCGGCAATTGGAACCTTATTCGGCAATTGTTGAAAACCGATCTACTATAAATTCAAAGCCTCAGTTTATTCGACCTGAACCAAGGGGTCAAGGTGAAGAGGAATTTTTGCCTCCTTACGATAGCGATAGTGTTCCACCAGCTTATAATAACCTGATTAACGGTAGTCTCAGGACGGCTTCCTCACCAAGTTTGCGAATTCAAATTTGTTAGTTTTTATTTATATACACGTCGATACCAACCACTTTAGTTTATTATGGCCTTCTGTAAATAATCAATAATAAACTTTTGATATTATATAAAGAAAGGTCCTAATGGTTCATTTAGTGTTTTTCCTTATTGGGAATAGTGATGTTGATAAAGAATACAACCCATGATAAGGTGTGAGTATGTCTGTAAGCAAATGAAATCCGAGAAAACTCTGTGTCATTCTGTGTCTATAAAAATGCGGGGAAGAAATTTAGGAATGTTTCAGCAAAAAGAAAAAAAGGAAGAAGAGCTGCATAAAATCTATAATTACCTAAATCAAGCAGCAGTCAAGTACTCTGTATAAAGCAGATATGATAGTAGTATCTCTTTAGAGAAAATCACAACAATTTATTAACAAACCATTTCGGTGCGGAGCCTAAATATTTCCCATCAATGCAATCTTCATTTCAAGCGTCTTGTTTTCTCTATTCTAAAAAAAAGTTTATGACTACTTTACTTTGGTAACAAGACTATTTGCGTCTTTTTTTTTTCTTCTCTCTTCTAAGCATATCAAATCTATTCTAGCCTAATACTACATATTTTTAGTCAGAAAAGAAAAATGCTCTATTGAAGCCCTCTCGTTGGGTTAAATTGAAGTAGCGAATACAAAAACGCGAAAACGCGAATGAGTCCTTTATTCGGCAGTCGCGCTTTGTGACAGCAAAAAGAAAAAAAAAATAACTCCTCTCAATAGAATATTATTTTGTTTTTCTTCTTGTTTATCGTATTTTATCAAGCATGTCTGAACCACAAGAAGTAACATTATGGCTTTTCTCAATTTCTCTTCTCACACTTCTTTATAGGATATGGTTATTGATCAACAAGATCATCTTAAACAAGAAGCTGTATGTTTTTATGCGTAAAAATGCAATGTGATTGTTTACCCTTAAATTAGGCTTCACCTGCTGTAGTAGACGATAACGCGTCTCAGATGGATTCTGTACGTCGTATGCTTATGAAAAAGAATGAAATACTAACATATATTTGCAGGATATGGATTCTTCACGAATGACTTCAAAAGAATCTACACCACTTCATACATTCAAAGAACCCTCTGCTGTATGTCACTGACGCGTATCTACTTATTTTCTAACTGACACGACATAGTACGAAACACAAATCAAACGTTATCGATATCTTTTAGATCAAACTGAATTGTTTGCCCATTTTTTGAATTTGAAAGATGTTAAAGATGATGCCATGAAAGCAGTTTTGAAAGAAAAAGAATTACAAAAATTGAATTCTGACGATGGGTAATTACACTAAAGAAAGAAAGAAAAAGGACTCAACATCAATGACAATGATAGATCAAGACGTAGAAGAAAGACAGAAAAAGAAGAAGATGAAGAAATTCTAAATGATGAACAAAGAGAGAATGAAGACGAGATGACTGTCTTTACTCAATCCCCTTCTTGTAAGTATGAAAAAGTGTCGATTCATATTAATTTTTCCAAAAAAAAGACGTCACAGGAGGCACACTTCGAGAATACCAAATTCAAGGTCTGAATTGGATGATTTCATTATTTGAAAATGGTATCAATGGTATTCTTGCTGATGAAATGGGCCTTGGTAAAACATTACAGACAATTTCATTTTTGGGTTATTTGAAGCATGTGAGAGGCATTAAGGGTCCTCATTTGGTTGTTGTGCCTAAATCCACATTACACAATTGGCTAAATGAATTCAAGAAATGGGTGCCTGATTTCGATGCCTTTGTCTTTCATGGTGATAAAGACACGCGTGTAAGTTCTTGATTCTGATGTGTAACTCTATTTACATGAAATAGGCACAATTGATCAAAGATCGTATTCAGCCTGGTAAATTCGAAATCTGTATTACTTCTTATGAAATCTGTTTATTGGAAAAATCACAGTTTAAAAAAGTCAAATGGCAATATATTATCATTGATGAAGCTCACCGTATCAAAAACGAAAATTCAATGCTTTCTCAGCTTGTTCGTATTCTTCAGTCCAGAAACAGACTCTTGATTACCGGTACACCACTTCAGAACAACTTGCATGAATTATGGGCCCTGCTCAACTTTTTATTGCCTGATGTCTTTAGTTCATCTGAAGTGTTTGACGAATGGTTTGAAAAGCAAGGTGGTGATCAAAAGAAAGTGGTTGAACAATTACATAAGGTGCTAAGGCCTTTCTTGTTGCGTCGTATTAAGTCAGATGTTGAAAAGTCCTTGTTACCCAAGAAGGAAATCAATGTCTATGTTCGTATGACACCTATGCAGAGACAATGGTACCAAAAGATCTTGGAAAAGGACATTGACGCCATTAATGGTGTGGGTGTCAATAAGCGTGAAGGAAAGACACGTTTGCTGAATATTGTCATGCAGCTTAGAAAGTGTTGTAACCATCCTTACCTCTTTGACGGTGCTGAACCTGGCCCACCTTTTACAACAGATCAGCATTTGGTAGACAATGCTGGCAAAATGGTTGTCCTTGACAAGTTGCTCAAGAAATGCAAAGCTCAAGGATCCCGTGTCTTGTTGTTTAGTCAAATGAGTCGTGTGCTTGATATTTTAGAAGATTATTGTTGGTGGAAAGATTACCAGTATTGTCGTATTGATGGTCAAACAAGTCAAGAAGAGCGTATTGATGCCATTGATGAGTATAATAAGCCTGGAAGTGAGAAATTCATCTTTTTGTTGACTACCCGTGCTGGTGGTCTTGGTATCAACTTGACCACGGCTGATGTAGTTGTCTTGTATGACAGTGATTGGAACCCTCAAGTAGATTTACAAGCCATGGACCGTGCACATCGTATTGGACAAACAAAGCAAGTCTATGTCTTCCGTTTTGTGACTGAGAATGCCATTGAAGAAAAAGTCCTTGAACGCGCTGCTCAAAAGCTTCGTTTGGATCAACTAGTCATTCAACAAGGCCGTATGAATGTGGGTCAAAAGTCAAAGGCAGCCTCAAAAGAAGACTTGCTTACCATGATTCAACACGGTGCTGAAAACATCTTTAAGGATTCAGATGCCAATGATGACACAACAGACGATATTGATGAAATTTTGCGTATCGGTGAAGAAAAGACAGCTGAATTGAACAACAAGTACTCTAATCTCAATATTGATGATCTCAAGAACTTTTCTTCAGAAAGTGCTTATCAATGGGATGGCGAAGACTGGAGTCATAAACGTAAGGCTGAAAGTGTCGGTCTTTCTTGGCTAGGTCCTGCTAAGAGAGAGAGAAAGGCTAATTATGCCGTGGATGACTATTACAAAGAAGCCTTACGTACAAGTACTCGTACACCTTCTACAAAAGCACCTCGTCCCAAGAAATACAATATTGAAGATTTCCAATTCTTCCCTGCTCGTCTGGCTGAATTAAATGAACGCGATACGCTTTATTTGAGAAAATCATTAGGCTACAAGATTCCTCCTGTGGCACTTGAAGAAGGTGCTACTGACAAGGAAATCAAACAATTGGAACAAGAACGAGAAGAAGAACAAAACAAGATTGATTCAGCTGAACCCTTGACAGAAAAAGAAGAAGAGGAGCGAAAAGAACTGTTCACAAAGGGCTTTTCTAACTGGAGCAAAAAAGATTTTGCTATTTTCATCAATGCCTGTGCTAAATATGGACGCAAAGACTTGGAATCTATCACATCAGAATTAGAAGGCAAGACATTAGATGAAGTGAAAAAGTATTCCAAAGCCTTTTGGTCTCGTTACAAAGAAATTGCTGATTATGAGAGACACATCTCAAAGATTGAAAAGGGTGAAAGTGAATTAGAAAAACAAGCTGATATCCAAGGTCAATTGACAGAGAAAGTGCAACGTCACCGTGTTCCTCTTCAACAACTTAAGATTCACTACACTCAACCTACCAAAGGCAAAAACTATACAGAAGAAGAAGATCGTTTCCTTGTTGTGATGCTTGAAAAGTACGGTTATGGTACAGAAAATGTCTATGATAATATTCGTCGTGAAATCAAACAATCTCCTCTTTTCCGATTTGACTGGTTCCTCAAGTCCAGAACTTCTCAAGAAGTGGCCAGACGCTGTAATACCTTGATCAGTTTAATTCAGAAAGAAAATGCAGAATTCGAAGAACCTGAAGAGAAAAAGGTAAGCCAAAGAAAAAGGGAGAAATTCTTGTGAATTGACACAATAAATAGCCTCAAGTAAAGAGTCGAGGTGGAAGATCCAAGTCAAGTACACCCGTTGCTACTACTTCAAATCAAAAGTCAAAACGTCGTTAGATATTTATAAATAAATTTTTTTTTACTGAGTTGCACAAAAGAAAAATGTCAAAAAACTTTTTTTGTATCTTTTATTCTTACTAGATCTACCATGTCTGATCAAGCCAGTGCCAGTAGTAATGTCAATACAGTTCAGCGTCAACTTATTGCTATTTTCGATCCCGAGAATCTCGCCAAGGACAATTTCTTTCGTGAACTTGTGGAAAGAGATCCTGAGCACTGTAAGATCTTTACTATCAAGATCTAGATCCACTCATTCTTTTTTATTTTAGGGGTCCCTCTTAAGAAACTCGGTATGATCAAGCGTTTTAAGGAAATCATCGGAGGTGATCTCTCCTTGTTTGAACAAGCAGCTGCTCTCTCTCCTGCCGACTTTGAACTTAATGAAGCCAAGACACACTTACGTTGTATCACAAAGCCAGAGGAAAAGAAGCCTGTTGTAAACGATAACCATGAAGACAACAAGGCTGCTAGAGAAGAAAAAAGAATGGCTCAAAAAAAAGAAGTGATGCTTAGCTTTTTCGAGACACAAAACAAGCGTTCCATTTATGCTGTAAGTTAACATAGCCATCCTATATATATATATATTAACATATTCAGTAGAAAGGCTTCTCTACAGAATCAGAGGAAGAACCTTCAGAGCCTGAATTGAAAGCATTCTATGGTAACTATGGCCGTGTGCTTTCTGTACGTCTTCGTCGTGAAGACAATAAGCGCGACGGTGCTTTCAAAGGTAGTATCTTTGTTGAGTTTGAAACTCCAGAAATTGCTCAAAAAGTGGTTGAAGAAGCCACTGAATTCAAGACCTATAGCCTTACCAACATGATTAAGGCTGATTATGTAGAAATGAAGCGTGTAGAGAAATTCAGTGGTCAGGATCAAGAATTTGTCTTGAGAAACCTCACTCACCGTCACTTGGTTGAATATTCAAATGCCAAAAACTATGGCTTCAAAGACATTAAGGAACTTGTGAAGGCAGTTCATCCTCATGTAGGTCGTTTAGAGCCGATTGACGGAAGTAAGACAGGCTGCGGTGTCGTGGAGTTGTTCAAGATTACGCCTGAAGAATTCTTAGCCAAATTACCTGAACAAAAGATTGAAGAGATTCAATTCTTTTTAGTCAGTGCTTCTGCTCGTGCTCATTTTAACAAGGTGCAAAAGGATGCTCAAAAGAAGGGCCATGGTGGTAGAGGTGGTGGCCGTGGCGGTCGTGGTGGCAGCCGTGGTGGACGTGGTGGTAATCGTGGTAACGGTGACAAAAAGAGAGGCAATGATAACCCAAACAACATTGAAGTCAGCTCAAAGCGTGCTCGTACCGTCGTCGAAGTCAAGGCAAGCACACCTATTGAAGTAAAGACTAGTACCCCCAAATAAGCATGATCGTGTACAATAGAACAATAAACATTTGCATACTTAAAAACTGTTTGTTTTAATTGAACAAAATCATCAAGCTAACTTGATTTTTTATGCTTCGCATATTGTTTGGCTGTTCATCATGCATAAAGAGTCTACAAAGTATGTGGAACAGGAAATGCTTGACCATCAAAATAGGCCTTTAGCTTGACTTTGGACAAATTGACTCATTCTTTTTGTTCCATTCTTGTAAGTCTTGTGAAAGTATTTTAACCTTGCCTTTCGGGTCTATGAACAAATTATTGTTGTATTAGATTCTTTAGCGCTCTTCTTTTGTCAGTAGAAATAGACTTCACTACTTGACAACAGGAAGCAAAGAAAGATTAATTTGCTCTACTGTTTAGTCTATTGGATAGATATATTGTTTGCTTAAATTGCGTAAAAGACATTTGTTTAGACAAAGGCTTTTTTTTTTTCATTACAAGCATTTTGTCCTCTCCTGAAGCGGCTGCTTTTTGCGTCAAAAGGGACACAATTAAACTAGACTTGGTTATTATTGATTAATCACATTCATAATAATGAGTAATCGTTTGATTTTTATGTGCTTTGCATTTGTTAAATGCATATGCTTATAGAGCAAAAGAGAAAAAGGTATTTTCTTTTTTCTATTAAGAAAAGAGGGATGTTCTGTTTCTCAAAATTACATGTTACAGCCCTTAATTGTACAACCTTATACTACACATGGATTAGCAACGTAAAAGTTAAATATATATCATCCAATTGTCAGATAAACATGTAGACACTGTTTTAAGTTAGCAACTTGAATATAGATCAATTTTACATAAAAGCAGTAGAGAAATCATGGATGTCAGTCATCTAATCAAGCCATAAACTTGAATATTAAACTATCTTGCAACAGCAGGTGTACATAAATATCTTTTTTTCTAAAAAAACAACCTATTTAACTCTATTCTGGCTCATTTATACAACATACAGCTACAATATAAATAATAATACTACTTTTGTTATTGTAACGTCAGTACCAGCCTTTCACTTTTTTTTCTTTAATTCTATGACTTTTGTCCTGTTGGAATATAGATAGACACCGCGTGTAAAGATCTTACGACAAAACTGATAATGACAAAACAAATATTAGTCATGTCCTTTTTTTCGGCGTTCTCAACGAAAACAGCGTCTTTTTCTATCTTGATACAAATGTTCGTTATGGTCAGTGTAAATGTGGTAAATGTTAACTTTTCCCCTTTTTAATGCCCGGCCATGTACGACATCACTTACTAAAAAGAAAATTGAAGGAGATATCCGATTTGTCATAGCGCGACTTTACTTTCCTGAAAAAGTTTATATTCAAAAGTGCATAAAAATAAAAAACAAAAGGTCAATACACAGAACTTACAGTAATGCAACAATCACACAAGCTGCAACTATGAGTACGGAGCATAGGATGCTATAAAAAAAGCAATATATATCTTATTAGGATAATGATAAAAAAGAAGCTCAATTGTATTGTCAGCAAAAAAAAAAAAAAAAAAAAAAAAGTGCATCTATCTAAGCAATTCCACCTTTTTTCAGGTGTTATGATGATAAAAAGTCGCTTGATTTGTTGGCGCCTCTGTCGTTTTGAGGAAAGAGACATAAATTATTTAGAACGAGTGCCAAGAAAGTAGCCGTTTTGAAATGTATATGTTCTTAACACTTCTATCGGCTCCATATATACTTTTCATTGTTTAAATCCACTCACCATTTTGACTTATAGACTCGTATCTGCATAACAAAAATATGTGCGCTCCTGCAGACTACATAGTGTATCTGAATGACAAATAAATGCATTGCGCTCAGGCAGCACAAACCAGACATTTCCCATGGATAGTATGTTCTGGTCGAACCAATGAAAAGCTTGCTATCTGTTGTCATATCCAGAGAAAACCAGAGGTTTTTCAAGCGCGATTCATACTCAGGAAAAAAAACTTTGTCCTATTAAACCAAATATACTTTCGATCAAAATTTGAAATCTCTTTTGAAAAAGTAGAAATTGAGTGCATAAGATTAAAAACATTGCCTATCATTGCTTGATGCCGGTAACACATTCATCTAAGCGGTAAAAAGGGAGAGGGGGAATAGAATATTTTTTTTAGAATCACACAAGCAAGAATCATAGAGTCCTAAAATAAACTTTCATATTACAATGGGAAATTGTTCTAATAAGAAAAAGTAACACGTTCATATGCATATAGAATACACAGCATTGTCTATAGATGGTATGATCTATATCTAGCCACATGAAATGTCAAAGCATAAAAAAAAGTAATAGCGTATTGCTTGATTTGGTTCACTACTGATTACTTAGATATATAGCAATCTAGATTGAATCCCTAAATCTCGATTAAATTTCTTAATAGTGTTATCTTTAAATTTTATCATTTTTGAAATTTTGACAATAAATGAATAAATCAAATAGAATACAGAAACAATGTCTGTGCAAATCTGTGTGTGTGGAAGTATGAGATTCATTTTGAGAAAAGATTTACTTTGTTTGGACAAATGAAATGGATTGATCTTTGACTGCGTTTATGCAACACATCATGATGAACAATAAACAAGTAGCTTGGCGTCATAAGCTATCTTTTGGAACTCGAACTTTTATCCGCTTATGAAAAAAATTAAATTTTAAACAGAGATCATGGGGGGTGCGACTTTTTCATTTTATCAGCCCCCAATTAGCAATTTGTGAAATCCTTCAATTTCGGATTAAGAAGGCGTATGAAAGCGCGCAATCCCGAAACGTTGCATTGTAAGCATGCTGCTTCATATTTATCGTTTCTGACAAAATAAATGCCCATCGTCTGTGTGTTTCTTTAATAGGGGTTTTGACCAAGGACCAATGTTAGGGTTCAACCTAAATTCAATCGCAATCCCTTTTTGACTTGCGAAATTTTTATATGATTACTATCATCCAAAAAATACTATATTCGCACATGCATTTGATACAAATCAAAGTCCGTCATGTGTGGCGATTAAAAAAAAATCAAAACGAATGACCCATCTATTCTTTTTTTATGTTTGCATTGACCAGCAATTTAATAAAACTAATGAGTTCAATTAATATTGCACACAATAGAATAGGACAAGCTTAAATTCGAAGATAAAAATAATCAAATTAAAAATCTATTATTATAGAAAACCAAAAAAGCTTGTTACTATCCATATGAACTGTATCACTAAAAAAAAAGTGCCTCAGGGTAATATTACACAAAGAAACGAAAAAAGACTAGTCTATCCAGCAGAATAGATAGTCATTCTACTGGGTATAACTCAAATGATTCAACAATAGAGTGATGTACCAATGATAATATAGAAATAGACATATTGTGTACATACAACTCACACACACACATATACATACAGTTTTTTTTCTATAAAAAAATAAAAAAGGAGAAAATTTTGGAATAGATAAAATGAACGTGCTTTTACCATTGTTCAAGTAACAAGAAGCAAGAAATGCAAACCCAGCAACCGAATAAACCCCATTCCTTTTTTTTTGGGATGCATAATGAAACCAGTAAGAGAAGGGTTTAACTCTCGATCAGTTGGTAACACGGTCCCTTTTTGACCTAAGAGTGTTGTAACCATATAGTTATTTTAACAAATCCGTATTAAATGTCAGGTTAGTTTTATATGTGTGGGAGACAAATTAAAAATGGTAATGTTTAATTATGATAGCTTTTTTATTATTGTTATTACTACTAGTATTATTGTTAAAATGAGAGTATGTATAAAAAGATGAAATGATTTATGTATAGACGATGTGATTAAATAAAAAAAAAGAGAAATTACATATAAATTAATATAAATTAGACCGAAAAAAAATTTGTTCTTGTCTGTGTACTGTCTGTGTGTTGTCTGTATATGTAGAATCAAACTCTATCCTTGATAAATTAATGAAATAAAAAAAAAAGAGACATATATGTATATAAATAAAATGAAGGGAGTGTGCATAATACGTGTCATAATCATAGAGAATTCATTTATACAAATCCACTAAAATAGAAGCTGCTTGGAGATGGATTCTCGGTTCGTTTTTGATAGGAATGTATCCAATCTATTCTTTTTTCCATATGCTGCGTACCAACCGAAGAAGGAGAAGGTGGCGAATAATAAAAAGGCTTTCCAGTTTCGCTTTCAGGAGTCATCAATGAATGGGATGAGTTACTACTTGAGGTGCTTGAGGAAGAGAAAGAGGACCAGCCGCGTCTACCGTTGGGTCTCATGTAGTCAGTCTCGGATGATGGTGAATGGTAATAACCATATTGAGCATTGAAAATTTGTTGTTGTTTGTGTTGTTGGCGCTGAAGTCTTTGTTGATATTGTTGGTATTGATATTGTTGTTGATAGAGATGATGATAATGGTAATGATTGTTTCGAGAGCGGGAGGACATATGTGTACGGTAATGTTGCATCATGTTATCTTGGCGGGAGAATCGACTTGGGCATCCTGGATATAAACAATGAAAGTTCTTTTCACCAGTATGGATGCGGTGATGTCTAGCCAAATGTCCACTATAATAAGGGGGTTAGATTGAAACAATCAATAAGAGGGCATCTTACCTAGTAGTAAAGCTTTTTTGACATCCTGGTTCTGTACAATGGTATCTACGCTTGACTTTGATTTGTTCCTTCTTTGTTGAATCATCATCGTTCAACAAATTCACAATGCGTCCTCTTGAGTTTGTGATAAGCATAACATTTTTCGTCATTTTATGATATGAATTGTATTGTAGATCAAAATCAAATGAATTGAAAGAAAGAAAGAAATAAAAAAAAAAGAGTCAAAATCTATCTCTATTTATACAAAGATTTGTGTAGCAAAACTAAAAAAAAAAAAACATGTCCCCCCTCTCACCCCCCCCCTTTTTTATGGATGCTCCTATTCTATCATTTTCCAATGTTTGTAGTTCCGCACGCACTGATCTCTGTTGTATATAAAACGTGGTCCATACGTATTACAGATGTAACCCTGCAGAAAAATAGGAGGGATAGTATTTTCTTTCCTTTTTGTAGAGTGTGATATTAAAAAACGTGATTTTATTTTTTTGTGTATTCACGTTTCTATTCGACTTTTTGTATCAAAAATTTTTAAAAGAAACAAGTAAGTCTGTGCTTTTTTCTTTTTTTGATTCTATGCCTTGTAAAACTCGGGAGATTGAGGAAACAAATGAAAAAGAAGTAAGAGAAATAAACATGATTTAGGGTCTGACAGGTCGATCAAAGATCTATCAACGTAGATCACCGATTTAAAGGGTAAAATAAGCTTTTTCTGTGCATTTGACTTGTTTGAAGATAGATATACACTCCTGTTGCCATAGGAACCATCCTTGAAACAAGACGTTTTGATATCTCCTTTTTGTTAGATCAAGTTTCTTTTTAGGCTTATTATCAATCCAGCTACCAATCAGGTACAAGCGGAGAGTGAACAATGACGTTCATAGTAACCATTGCCATGATAATCTTTTTGTGTATGTCAAAATGTGTTTTTACTGCAACTGGAAAAATTATGTCCATTTTAATTTGCGTTATTAAAAAATTCTTTTTTTTTTAATTTCATTTTTTAAAAAAGAATGATTATGAAATTTATAGATGGGTCTTACTAAATAAAGGTGCATCCGCCATTCGAAAGTCAAATATAACGAGATAAACAAAATCGTTTTTGCTCTTGACATAGTTTGAGTCATGTGGATTGCTACAGACCATTTTGATGAGTACAGAGAAATGCACGATTAAATGTATGCATATGGTTAGGAGAAGGGAACGAATGATAGAAGCTTGATAGCTACCTTTTTGGCTCAGCTATTGGAGGATAGCAAGAGTGTCAAATTTGAAATTTGGTAGGGTTCCATGTGGTTCGACTGCATGCATTGATTTAGTCTATAGGGATACAGCTGGGAAAAAGGATTACTAGTGCTTAGCGCCTATGTATTACCATACTGTAAACTTTGCAATTGTTGCTTGAAATTACACAAGCTGTGAGTCAGCCTTAGATATTCTTTTTTTTTTTTTTTTTTTTTTTTTTTTTTGAAAAAAAGAAAAATCACAAACCTGAGTAAAAATGAATTACAATGACAATTAGACCCTAAAATTGTAATTAATTTGGCAGGGAAATAAGTCTGATTTAAAAGGCATAAAAACAGCAGTTGAAACATATGTAAACAGGCATTTTTGTCCGACATAAATCTTATTTTAAAGTAGATATATCTCAAGTCTATTTGTTGATGAATGTAATCTATTTGTTCCTCAAATTTTTGCCGAGCCATCTCATGACCTGAATGCCTTGCTTGATATCATGATTAAACGTGTGCCTTTTGAGCAATGAACAAATTAAAGTAAGCGACTTGATACACAAGGGGTTAATTTAAACCATAATCAGAATAATTCAGGTTGTAAGATTCTGGATGATTCTTATTGGTGTTTTATATTAATTTTTTTGGGCTAATGTCACTGTCAAATGAACAATAAAATACCAATCATTAGGATTAAACTTTCTTTCTATTTTTGCAGATGCATGAATTAATGCTTGTAAATATACCCCGCATTTTCTTCTTTTCTTTTTGTTCTTTACCAGCCAGAAAAACTACCTCCGCTACCAGCGCCACCACCGCCGCTCATTTGAAGTACTTTTCGACCGCGGAATTGACCTCTTGATCTCGCCCTTTCATCAGCTGCAGCTAAACCATGCATAAGAAAATAAAAAAAAATCGAATCATACATTTACTAACGTACCTTGACGAGCTGCTGCTTCTTCTCTTTCTTCATAACTCAACACAAGTTGCTTCAATTGCTGTTGTTCTTCTCTTTCAGCTTCTTGTTTACTACGTGTGCTTACAGCCAACACTGAATCTGAAGGCACTTGCATAATTTTAGTCTAAAGCAAAAAAAAAGAAGAGTTAAAGAAATTACCTAAAAAAATCATGCTCAGTTACCTGTTGTCGGTTGCCTTTCTTTGTCAATAATGTAAATGCCATTTTTCCTGTTTCGGGCTTATTGATACCTTGGACCATTGTACGACGATCTAAATAGAAATGATATCATTTATAGGTTACACAAGCGCTATGCAAACAAAAAATAAAGGTTTACCTTGTGAACCTCGCAAGTTCATTGGAATAGGCACATCTAGCATGGCAGCTTTCTTTTCAAACTTGCGAGAATCAATACTGTCGCTCATCATCTTACTGAATTCACGCTCAAAGTCCTCTTCTTCCTCTCTGGAAAGTTGTTGCTCTCGTTTGTTGTTTAGAATAACCACATCCTCTTCATCTTCTTCTTCTCCGTCTTGCTCAATGCCATTGGCTTGTTCATTTTCACCGCTTTCGTTTTCTTCTTCATCGAGCATATCAGCATCTTCTTCATCACTTAAAGAAGAATCGGAGGCTTCACTTTCTCCAAACCCATCTTCCATTAAGGGTTTACCTTCACTTGCTTGGACAGTTTTTAATTGTTCTAGGAGCATGCGGTCAACTGCTTCATTGGCTTCTTCATACGAAGTCAAAATGCTCATTTGAGGTCGAAGCATTTCAAGGGTATCCGTAATCATAAAATCAACATCCATAGGAGGTTTATTTTTACTCAAGACATACATCTAATTTCAAAATGAGTATATTCAATCAACACAAACATGACTTGCCTGGAAGAATGTAAGGAAATGATCAAGCTTCTTCTTGGAAGATCCTCGGTCAAAACACATACCGCAGGTATCTAATAAAGTACAACAAAGACGAATACGGAAGAAATCATTAGGTGCATCAATAGCACAATATCTTTCTCTTGCAGGGCGACCATATTCTATAGAACACATTTAGACAAAGTTATACTTTTGCACATCTACCATGACCAAATGTGACAATGGAATACAAGGTGTCAAAGATAAGAGGCGACTCAATCATACGATAATTGTACAATTCACCTAAATATTTGGCTACTGCAATACGTCTCTGGTTATGCTTAAAGATGTTTTGTTCTAATCCAATACGGATTTCTTCTATCACACCATCCACAATTTGAATGCCAAAATCAGTATGGTATCGATTCAGACCACTCGCCAAGATGGCCATCAAATGAATGTTGCCAAACTTGACTTTCCAAATCTTTTGAAAGATCTTGATCATGACTGTTTGAATCTGAGGATCTTCCCAGTGCAATTTACGTAACTGCTTAAGAATCTTATCCAAAGCCTTCTTACATAAGTCTTCATGAATCAGTTTTCGAATATAGAGTTCCATAGTGGATCTTTCCTTGACTTGAATAGCGGGCTTATCTGGTGGATTGGCTTGATAATACGCATTTTCAACCATGAGTGCATATCGACTGTCTAAATGCTGTACATTCTTTTTACGCATCACAGTCTCCAACATACCAACCATACGTGCACTTGTCTCGGGTGACTTGAGCAAGAAGCGACCACAGGTTTCCAACAAGTTACATACAATATCTATATTATGGTTTGTGAAATCATCAAGGGCTACCTTGAATGAATGGAAAATGGTATGAGCAGGTGTCACTCGAAACTTAGTCAGTTCAGACAAGAACCGAATGTTTTTGATACGAGACTCTAACAAGTCCTGTGTCTTTTTACGTTGAAGACCCTTGAATTCGAATGTCAAGGCAGCAAGTGCCATTTCACCAATATCAGCAAAATACACGTTAAGAGTAGCAATCAACCGAGAATAGTAAGGCAACAGATCAAGACGTTGGCGTTGAACATTTAAGAGTGTCTTGACTAGTTTTTTGCGTGCATTCTTATTGTTCATGTAACAGAAATCGACTGCAGCGCTATCAATCAAGTCACGATTAGCACAGGTAGGTAAACGAGCCAACAAACTGTCTAATTGGACACTTTGAGTGGAAGGTTTGTTGGTGCCATCCGTGGTTTCGTCTGTGTTCTCAATAGCTTCTTCTACCATTTCAGCTGGGTCCATAAGTTCTTCTCCTTCTATATCCTCTTCCTCTTCCTCTTCTTCTTGTTCTTGTTCCTGTTCCTGTTCTTGTTCTTGTTCTTGTTCTTGTTCTTGTTCTTGTTCTTTTGGCTGTTGTTGTTGAGAATCCAGAAAGACATCAGGTATCAAAATACGAAGATCAGGTAAATCTTCATAAAACTTGCGTGCATCATCATCTTCCCAAATACCATTACCCAAATTTTCTTTTCCATCAACAAACATGTTGCTCGTGTTTGCACTCACAATGGACTGTTTTGTTGTAGCTTCATCTACAGGAAGATCTGGCATATCTTGATCTAATGCATCTGATAATCTAGATCAGATATTAACATGTATCATAGACACTTTTATATGCTTACGTTTGTGTATGGTTCAATAGCTTTTCATATGCCTTGGTTGCCTTTTCATATTTCTGCTTGTTTTCTTCAGACAATTCACCTCGAGCAAACAATACTTCATCATTATGTCGATTCATTTTCTGAACAAGCTTATGCATTTTTGTCAAATGAGTACAGACTGTCTTATAGTAGCCTGAAAACAAATTCATTAAAAGTGCATGTGTATCGGGGGTAACTACAGAGTCTTGATCGATAGTTACTGTGTTTGATTCCTGATGTTGATCTGCTGCTGCTCGTTGTTTTCGAGGCACGATAGCCAACACACTCTGACCATAATTCTTGAGGAAAGAGGCCACAAGAGGTAAATTAAAATGATGTTCTGTATCATTTGCAAGCATGTCTTTTAAGATCTTGTATATAAATCCACCTTGTTCTACAGATTTCGTATTCTTCTTGCTATTGTTATTGTTTTTGTTGGACTCACCAATCAATCCTGCAACTGCATCACGGTGGGTCTCAACGCCACCTAAATTGACATTGGATAAAGTAGGTATCCCATCGTCTACATTACGTAATACGCTTACAAGCCAAAGTTCACAAGCAATACGTAGATACGTGCGTTGTTTGGTGATTCGTACTGATTCTTCCTTTTCTCTCTGCTCAGGAGTAAGAGTGGCCAAGTATTGTTTTGTAGGTACTTGTAGTACTTTGACAAGCTGAAAAGTTAAAAGAGGTGTAAATGTGGTTGGAAAGCGTTGATGAAGAGCTGACATGACCTATGCATGATTGTCAATACGATCCCTAACTGATTCATTTTTACCTCAACACAAGCTGTAATGTCCACATTTGTTTTACACTTGAGCATACCTTCCATCACACTTGTGACGATTTCTGAAATGTATTTCTCAAGGTTGAGCTTATTGATATCGTTCAATAACTGAGTACGCATATCAACACCTAAAGACGTTTTGCATTTCTTTATAAAAGCCGTGTTTTTTTTGATATTGCTGTCAAGATTCTTGGGTTGTTCTGTAAAAAATGTATTTTTTGTAAGCTTTTAGTTTGGCCTTTTGTCTTACTTGCCTCCTTTGCCTTTTTCCCAAACAAGTTTATTGAGGCGTCGTAGTTCTTTTTTGGTGTCGTCCATAGTTGAAAGCGAGAAAAAAAAAAGACAAGTGTATTTGTGACTGAACTCTTCACTGTAAAAAACCAAAAAAAAAAAAAAAAAAAAAAAAAAAAAAATACAATTTGATTGGAAACTTCAAGTTTTATGGTTTTCAATGCAGTAGAATGAAGATAACAAAAGGATGTATTGCTGTTAAGACGCCCTTTTTTTTTGTTCTTTCATCCCTTGTTAGAGTAAATTGATACCAATTTCAGTTTCAATTAGTCACTAAACCAGTTGGCCTGACTTTTTTTTCTCTGACTTCTTCATTTTAGTTTTGAAACAGCAACAAAGTTAGCAATTCATAAGTACAATACTCACATCGAGTTAGTGACAGTGACTCTAGGCAATGGTAAGAGAAGAACGCCGTCTTTCAACTTTTTGCAGGGACTGTTCTGATAGTGCAATCCTCTGCTATCCTCATAAACTGTGTCAAACCCTATGGTTGTCTAAAGAGTACTGATGCACATTACGAATGAAGAATTGCAACAGCAATGCATCTTTTTTCTTATCTGGAAAAAAAATTCAAATATGGCTGGATCACTGTAATTCAAGTGCAAAGAGATAATACTACGAAGCTGAACACTGGAACTACAACATTCAATTTACTAGTAACTTCTATTTTGCAGTTGGGCAAAAGCTCAACATCAAGTATTCAAACAGGTCCTCATACGAGCCATTTCACCCCCACACAAAACGCATCTATTTATCTTGATGTTGCTTCCATCAAAAAGAAGAGACTTGTCTATATCAGCTACGATAGGTCAAATTCACTGCTTGTTACCCAGCATCGATCTTTTAGTTGATTTGTATGCAATATAGCGTTTCGTCCATACACCATCAGTTGCTTTAAAATATTGTCGTTATTATCCGCTTTGGAATACAATCGCTTTTTACATAAGGAAAAAGCCGTGCAGCGTTCATTATGCATCTTGTCAAGATGGCGGTTTAGTATTGTGGGGCTCATAAGTTTACTAGAGCACTTGGGACAAGTTGAATGAAATTGCAGATTCTCTCACAGACGAAATACCCTTAATATAGTGTACTAAGTCGCTTGTGAAAGCAAAAATACTACAGGGCAATATTATTTTGTTAAATATATCATATGCGTCTGTTTCTAAATGGCGTAATTTTTTACCCTTTGACTGCTTTTGAGTTCAGTTGACTGTATGTTACCGCAGTAAAGGCATTCCTATTTAACAATAGAGATTTTTTTTTCTTTTTTTAAGATTCTCTTCTCCTTTAACCTTTTCATGTCAATAGATAGTACAGCGCCTGTCGTTTGGCTGTCTGGTGCTTTAGCATCAAATGCATGTGTCAGTGCTTTTGTGCTATCACTCCAGCGTATTTACTTGCACAAGACTCAACAAAAAGACCCTGCTCCACTCCGTTTCGACACAAAGCGCGACACTTCTGAACCTATAAGCGATGATGGCCATCGATTGACTCGCTTAACATTCGGTACACTTGTACTGGCCTTACTCGCTGCATTAAATTTCTATGATACACTAAATCAAGGTGACTGGCTCTTGACTACTTCATCATGTGCACAATTTGTTGCTTGGTTATATGCCTTTGTTCTTGTGCTTGTGTCTCGTCGTTATACATTTCCCAATGAATGGGGATGGATCTTGAATGTACATCTCTGTATCTTTTATTCTATTGCTTGGTGTATTGCAATCTATCATACATATGAAGCCTATGTCAACAATCCTAATGACAGTTGGATCCATATGTTGCCTACTGTATTGGCGCTTTTCTTCAGTACAGATCTATTCTATACAACAGCGACAGTACAGAAAGGTCCTCTTTTTGTTGACGAACATGGCAAACAAGTGGCTGGTATTGATGTTGCTTCTATCTTTTCTCTTCTTTATTTCGAATGGGTAACTCCTTTAGTCAAATTAGCCTATAAAAACAAGACATTGACAGATGAAGATTTGCCTATTTTACCACCTATTTTTAGAGGCTATAATCTCTATTACATCTTTGGCGATACGAGAGGAGCAAGTCTTTTAAAACGTATCTATTTGGCTAACAAGACAGCTATTATTATCCAGACTGTTTTGGCCTTTGTGACTTCTCTTGTTTATTATGCACCGGCTTTCTTTATAAACCAGTTGTTGTCTTTGATCCAGCAAATGAATGGTAAAGAAGACACTGAGTCTCTTAGAAAAGGGTTTGTGATTGTTGTAGCTTTGGGTGTCACTATTTTCGTTTTAGGTCTTGCTGTGGGCCAACTATGGTATTATGGTAAGTGACATGGATCAGGCACATATCAACTTACATATACATTCAAGCTTCATCCCATGTTCAAGTCAGAATTAAGGCCATGTTAAATATTGAAATCTACCGCAAGACATTGCGTCGACGTGATCTCTCTGTAGCCACACCCAAATTAGAGGAAGAAGACGATGATCAAAAAGAAGACACTGCAAAGGAAGAATCGAAAGCAACAGAAGATGTCAGTTCTTCTACTGGTACCATTGTTAATTTGATGAGCACAGACTCCAACCGTATTTCTGAATTTAGTACTTGGTGGTTTTCAGTTTTGGCTGCACCTACAGAGTTAGCCGTGGGTATTTATTTCTTGTACAACTTGTTGGGTAAATCATGCTTTTTGGGTTTGTTGGTTATGATTGTTGTGTTGCCCTTGAATCACTACAATGCCAAAATGTATGCCAAGACACAGGACAAATTGATGGAGGCTCGTGATAAGCGTGTTTCCTTAATGAATGAAGTCCTTCAAGGTATTCGCCAAATCAAGTTTTTCGCTTGGGAAAAGAATTGGGAACAACGTATTATGGAAGCAAGAGCAGTTGAATTGCATCACTTGGGTATTACTTATTTATCTGGTGTGCTCTTTTCTTTCTTGTGGCAAGGATCACCCATTTTAGTCACCCTTGTCTCTTTTTGGTCATTTACGAAACTAGAAGGACAACAATTGACAGCACCCATTGCTTTTACAGCTATCACTGTCTTCAATGAACTTAGATTTGCTTTGAATGTCTTACCAGAAGTCTTTATTGAAATGACTCAAGCCTGGATCAGTATTCGACGTATTCAGACTTATTTAGACGAAGATGAAATTGATTCTCCCAACACAGAAGATGAATACAGCGATAGTACAGGCAAAGAAGTTGTCATTGGCTTTGAAGATGCTACTGTAGGCTGGACGACTCAAAACTATAGTGATGAAGAGACCACGGATAGACCCAGTGCTAGTTTTATTTTGAAAGACTTGAATATTCATTTCCCCAACCATGAATTGAGTTTGATCAGTGGCTCTACAGGTGCTGGTAAGACGCTCATGATGCTCAGTTTATTAGGCGAGGCTATTGTCATTAAGGGCAAAGCGCATTGTCCCCGTCAGCCGGTTGTCGATAAGGTCTCCGATGACTTTGTCGTGTCAGATGATATTGACCCTAAAGATTGGCTCCTTCCCTACGCACTTTCTTATGTCTCTCAAACTGCCTGGCTTCAAAATGCCTCTATTCGTGATAACATCTTGTTTGGTTTACCTTATGTTGAATCAAGATATCGTGAAGCTCTGTATGCTTGTGCCTTAGATAAAGATCTCAGTATCTTGGAAGATGGCGATCAAACTGAAATTGGTGAAAAGGGCATCACACTAAGTGGTGGACAAAAGGCTCGTGTTTCGCTTGCTAGAGCTGTTTATTCCCGTGCACAGACAGTTCTTATGGATGATGTGCTCAGTGCTGTGGATGGTAGGTCATTCTGTTTAGATCAAGACTAATCCTATAATAACGCAATAGCTCATACTGCTAAGCACTTGTATGAAAAGTGTCTATTGGGTCCCTTAATGAAAAACCGTACGCGTATTTTGATTACTCATCATGTTAAACTATGTGTCAAGGGCAGTGCTTACATTGTACACATTGATAGTGGTCGTGCTACTCTTGTTGGCTCTCCTGCTGAATTGCGTCAAACAGGCCAATTGACCTCTATCTTTGAGAGTGAAGAGGCAGACAATGAAGACGAGGAAAGAGATGCTGAAGAAGAAAAAGCAATTGAACAAACAATTCCCGGTAATCAAGTCAAGGATGACAAGAAGCCTCGCGCCCTTGTTCAAGAAGAAACCCGTGCAACTGGTATGGTCAAGCTTAGACTTTACAAGCTCTACATCAATATGGTAGGCAGCCCTATCTTTTGGGCAGCTATGATTGCTGTTGTTATGGGCTCCCGTGGTCTTGATGTACTTGAAAATTGGTGGATCAAGCAATGGTCTCGCTCTTATGAAACCGAATCCAACAGCACCACCGTCATGTTCCAACAAGAAAGTGTTCTTTCTCAATCGAAGCCTCTTTATGCTTATCAGCCACTCTCTTTTGACCATACTGAGCCAGCGTTCTTCATCAACAGCAGCAAGGAAGAAGAAGATTCCTTGAACTTTTATCTTGGTATTTATTGTCTTATTACCATGTCCAATATCTTTGTTGGTACTGCTCGTTTTGCTCTTTTGTTTTGGGGTGTCTTGGGTGCTAACAAACAGCTTTATGGTGAACTCTTGCATCGTGTATTTAGAGCTCCTTTGCGTTTCTTTGATACAACACCTATTGGTCGTATTCTCAACCGCTTTTCCAAGGACTTTGAGACAATTGACTCGAATATCCCTAATGACTTTATGAACTTTGTCATTCAATGGGTTGTTGTCATTTCAAGTGTTGTCACTGTATCTACCGTATTACCCATCTTTTTAGTTCCTTTGCTTTTTGTGGCCATTATCAACATCTGGTTAGGTTCTATGTTTGTCTCTACTTCCCGTGAACTAAAGCGTATGGACTCAGTTACTCGTTCGCCCCTCTTTAGTAACTTTACAGAAACGATTGTGGGTGTGGCTACCATTCGTGCTTTTGGTGCTACACGTCGCTTTTTGCAAGACATGTTGGGTTATATTGATACCAATTCTCGTCCCTATTATTATACATGGTTAGTCAATCGCTGGGTCAGTGTTCGATTTGCCCTTACAGGTGCTGTGATCAATTTCTTGACAGGTTTGATCATTTTGCTTAGTATTGATAAAATGGATTCTTCTCTTGCCGGTTTCTGTCTTAGCTTCATCCTGCTCTTTACTGACCAAATGTTCTGGGGTATTCGTCGATACACTAGTTTAGAAATGAGTTTTAATGCTGTTGAGCGTGTTGTTGAATTCATGGAAATGGATCAAGAAGCACCGGCTATTACTCAATTAAGACCTCCTCATGAATGGCCTTCCAAGGGTAAAATTCAAGTGCAAGACCTCGAGATTCGATACGCTGCTGATCTTGACCCTGTATTGAAGGGCATTTCGTTCTCTGTGAAACCTCAAGAAAAGATTGGTGTTGTCGGTAGAACAGGCAGCGGTAAATCTACCTTGGCTTTGTCTTTCTTTAGATTTGTAGAGGCCAGCAAGGGTTCTATTGTGATTGATGGTATTGATATCAGAGATCTTGGAACAGAAGATTTGCGTTCAAACTTGACTATCATTCCTCAAGACCCTACTCTCTTCTCTGGTTCACTTCGATCAAACATGGACCCCTTTGATCAATTCATGGATGAAGATATTTATGCTGCTTTGCGTCGTGTACATCTATTACCTTCTATTGAAAATGCTTCGAGTTCAAATACAGTTGATTCTGATACTACTCTGGATGAAGTCAATGCCAATGTCTTTAAAAACTTGGATTATGTAAGTGTGTCTTGTCTTTTTAGAATGATATGTTTATATCTGTTATAGGCTGTATCTGAAGGCGGTCGTAACTTTTCACAAGGTCAGAGACAACTTTTATGTTTGGCTCGTGCTTTACTTAAACGTAGTAAATTGGTACTTATGGATGAAGCCACTGCCAGTGTTGATTTCGAAACAGACAAAGCTATTCAAAAGACTATTTCGACTGAATTTGCTGACTCTACCATTTTATGTATTGCTCATCGCTTACATACTGTGATTGAATACGATCGTATTTTGGTCTTGGATCAAGGCCAAATTCTCGAGTTTGATAGTCCATTGACTTTGATCAATGATCCAGAGTCTGCCTTTTATAAGATGTGTCGTAACTCAGGCGAGTTTGACAGTCTTCTTGCTTTAGCGAGATCAAAACATGAACTTGTTGACACCTCTTTATAATTTATATATATATATGAAATAAAAGCGTTATTTATTAGAGTAATCAATTCATAACTGTCAAAGTCATTGACAAGCATCTGGTACAGAGACCAAAAATTCAATCAAGACAATGTCAAGTCCTGCCCGAAACCAAAAAATAAAAAAAAAATGGCTGAGTTTCAAATACTAAAAAAATCGGGTCCGGCTGGGGGAGAACCTACTTACAGCAGCCAGAGGCAAACCAGTAAACGGTCTCTTTTCCTTCTGAACATACAATGGCTGGTAACTATCAACACAACACACATGCATCAACAAGAAGAAAAAGAGATATCAAACAAAACCAAATGTCCTCTCGTATCCTCTTTTTAAATTATTCTTGAACGACACTGTTTGAATGGATGGATGGATGGATGGAATAGATAATAAAAGAGGGAAAGCGAGAGGGGTGGATGATATTTTTTCTTTTGTTGTTGATGTCAAACTGAATTCGTATACTTATTCACTTGATAGCTTCTCAGAACAAGGCTCTCGCCGCCAAGAAGGCCGCCCTCAAGGGTGTCCACGGTAAGGCTGTCCGTAAGATCCGCACCTCTACTCACTTCCACATCCCCAAGACTTTGGTCTTGAAGCGTGCTCCCAAGTATGCCCGTAAGTCTGTTGCCCACGCTCCCCGCATGGATCAATACCGTGTTATCCGTCAACCCCTCAACACCGAGACTGCCATGAAGAAGATTGAAGAACACAACACTTTGACCTTCCTCGTTGATGTTAAGGCTAACAAGAACCAAATTAAGGATGCCGTCAAGCGTCTCTATGATGTTGAAGCTGCTCAAGTTAACACTCTCATCAGGTAAGACAACTGAGTTGTGTTATAATAGAAACTAAACTCTGTGTAGACCCGATGGTTACAAGAAGGCCTTTGTTCGTTTGACTGCTGATGTTGATGCTTTAGATGTTGCCAACAAGGTAAGTCTTAGATGCCAATCAATGTATGCTTATCATTAACTTGCTTGTCTTTAGATTGGTTTCATCTAAACAGCTCCGTTTCTTTTTTCGAGTAGAGCGTTCAAATAGTTTACTTAATAAAAAAACAAAACAAAAATCATGTTGCGTTCAATAGTTTATGCATATTTTGTACAATGAGAGAGTATAAATGAACACAAGAATTGACATCAAAAACATGTTAACTTTTTTATTGTTATTAAAGATTTTTGACAGAGAAAAAGGAATCCATTAAAGTACAGCAATTTAACGGGTCTTGAAGTCTATACAATAATGATGAGAACCATGTTAAATACACTCTGTTATATACTTACAGTCCAAGAGAACGTTCATGGCTTCGGATTCTTCTCCAAAGTCAGTGACAGCAACACAAGAACAACCAACGACCTTACGGGCGTTACCTTCACGGTCGATCTTGCAGAGACCAGCCCATTCACCGAGCTTCTTGGCATCAGAAACCTTGATCAAGTTGATGTTGTGTTCAGCACAGAGGGCTTCAACAAGCTTGATGTATTCGGATTCGGTACAGGTTTCAACGAGAACAGCCAAGTGAGCTTGACGTCTGTCAAGAGCCTTAACGGCTTCCTTCAAACCACGAGCAAGACCATCGTGAACGAGAGCACGACGGAGGACTTCTTGAAGAGCATCTTCAACGGACATTTGGCCGGAGGTGGCTTCAACAGCAACTTCGACTTCTTGAGCAATGACTTCTTCGTGGTCAGACATACTATATACACATTGTTTGTTTAGTTATCTGCTTGTGTTCATCCATCATGAGGATGGTTGATGGCTTACGTACTTTATGATTCTAAGTGAGTAGAAAAAGAGAAGGATTCCTATTGTTCAATGGATGCTTGCTTCTTTGTTTGCTGCAGACCACTTTGCGATGATGAAAGCCCAGGCAAATGGTGATAAATCCGGGCCGGGGCTATCTCGAAAAGGTCTATATATTTATTTTGTAGCTCAACTGTCATTCCAAAAGAGATTATCTTCTGCTTCTTCAGAGTCAGAGAAGGGTAGTTATATGACTCTTTTCCTTGTCCTTATATATATATATATTTTAAACTATCTTTCGGTGCAAATTCTCTACCTTTCATCCGGGCTTTCTTGAGCTATAGCTTTATAATCGTTTATAATGATAACACGATTCATTAGAAATACCATATTTAACCACGATTTATTTTTGCTGTCCTTAGACGGCTGCTTCTGGTAAATAGCAGTTTGGTTTTGCTTCCCCTTTTTTATTCATTGAGGCTTTTTGTCAAATATATAGTAGACCTCTTATTAGTATTAAAAAAAACCAGAGAAGTTCAAAATATTAGAGGGATCAAATAATTTTATTGAGGTGACTGTATAAAGTACTTTTAATGATAAATTGATATCTAAAAGACCTTAGAAAGCAACTTGTACAGTAAAGTAAGAAATGTATGAGATAGAATGCGAAAAGAAAGACTCGGATCTGGATTCTACAAAAAACTATCAATTATAGCTATTAATTCAACTGGGCTCCATTTCAGTTCAAGATTTGCTTTAGATGCCAAGTCTAGAACTTCTTTGTTGAAGCAGATTAAAAACCAGGTCACTTTTGTCATAAAACTCACTTTCTTCATGTCTAGAACCACTTTCCCTGTCGTGCTCAGAGTCTTGTTTAACACATTCAAAGAAGAAAATGTTGTTCATAGAGTGAAAGATCATTTTGAATGTTATAGGTTTATGAAATAAGCACCTTTATGCATAATGTACCTTCTTTGGTCTTGGCGTTAGAAGGAAACGCAAGAGGAATCTAAATACGATATATCATTTTGACAGTGATATGTCAATTCATCAGTCCTATCCGTCTGTAGAGGTTTTTTTTTTAAAAAAAAAGAGAAGATTGTCAGTATTAGGGATGCTTTATTATAGTCGAATCATCTTATAGTTCAATAAAGACAGCATTATTTGTCTATCTTTATTTCTTTCTCTGTTCATAATGTATCTAAAGGTGTACAGTATCTATAACATCAGATAAAAGCACAATGTTTTGCTATTTAAGCACTAATAGTGAAATAACCAGAGTAAGAAACCATGGCATTTTCACCCTTGAAAGCAAGAGCATAGTCTTGACGAGCAGTAAGGTTGCTTGGAACCATCCAGGTGTAAGACAAAGCACTTGTAGGAACTGTTGAAGTCATGATATTGGGCAAAATAGTCGTCAAGGCAGCAGCATTACCAGCCATCAAAGCAATGGATTCAACAGTAGTCACTGAGGTATCAGATTGAGACCAAGTGATAGTAAAATTGGAACCCATTGTGGCTGTTGTCTATGCTATCGTTAGATACATATAAGCAATACAAAATGACTTACATTAAGAACAGGGTTTGTGATAGAAACACCTGCTGTAGTAGCTTGAGCAGACACAAAAGGAGTTAAGAGAGGAATCAAAGACAAGAGAGCAGCAAACTTCATTTTTGTTGTTGTTGTTGTTGTTATTATTATCATTTTAACCGTAAATCCCTCTTTTTATATACAAATTATGCTCGGAATCATCGTATCAAACTTTATTTAAATTATATTAGTTAATAATACATTTGGCATAGTATTCAATTGTGTAACAGGCTAAATGTATCCTTGTCAAGTAATTCATCTTGACGCTGTTTCAACCTGTAATTGTTCTAGATACCTCTCCTTGACATATTGAAACGATAATATTAATAATAATTCAACCTAGTCAAACATGACAAGTTATGACGACAAAACGACTTTATGACCACCTCCTTAATTGCAAAACCATGCGTTTACTTGCCTAAATCATCACAAACAGTTTTTTTTAACCTTTTTTTTATTTTATGCCGATAAACGTATATACACGTCTAAAACAACTATAAAAATAATGAATTGATGAAGAAATAGTTACTTAGAACTCAACGGCAGCAGGGAACTCGAAGACAACATCTTTGCCAGTGAGCTTCTTGTAGACGGCAGAGAAAGTGTCGATCTTGTATTCAAGAGAAGTGGCATCCTTGGAATCAAGGAAGACCTTGAGGGTCTTGGAACCATCAACCTTTTGGCGGAGTCTCTTACCGGTGATCTCGGTAGGGAAAACAAGGTCGTCCAAGATGGCATCGTGGACAGCAGTCAAAGTACGAGATCTGGGACGGGGTTGCTTACCGGTGTTACGACGGTTGGGGACAGGCAAGATACGGCGTTGAGCAACAAAGACAACGTGACGGTCAGAGAACTTCTTTTCGAGTTCACGAGTAAGACGGGCTTGGATCTTGTGGAAACCAGATTGGCTAGGGACAGGGACGAAGATAACAATAGCCTTCTTACCAGCACCGAGTTCGACCTGTTCAAATACATTAGCACTCTATCTCTGTCTCTCTATACACTATCATGTTCACCCATTACCTCCTTGGCGGCAGTGATTTGAAGAGTACGGAGAGTCTTCAAGTCAGGGACGCTGGATTCCAAGTCAACGAGAGCTTGAGCAACGGAGAGTTCGAACTCATCAGCAGCTGGGGCACCAGCTTGCTTAACAATCTTGTTAGAAGCCATCTTGACTATATCAATCAATCAAAAGAGTGAAATGGTGATCAAAGTGGTGATATATAGAAAAATGAATAGGTTAGTAATGCTCGATTTTCTATATTTTTTTGTTCACATCCATTGCATCTACACAGAAAGAGATATTGGATGTAGTATTGTCTCATCGTTTTGTGGTGTTATGAGATGGATGGATGGATGGAATGGATGGATGACATTGCTCCATCCATTTTCGCGTTTCGATAAGCTGATCAATCCATCTTTCTTTTTTCTTTGGGTGTTGTGTTGTTGTTGATGATCCATCCATTGTATCTCTTCCTGTGTATATATGCCCTGTTTGCTATGATGGAACTATACATACGTGTAAAATAAAGGAAGGAATCTCAGCATTACCTACTTGCTGTTTGCTTTTACCGAATGAATCTTTGCCGCCGGAGAGCGGAATCGTAATATGAAGATTTGATTGGATATTAATTTTTTATATTTATTGGAAATTAAAACAGTATAGAAATAATTTTGAATTTTTATGCAGCTGGAGCACTACGTCCCAAGATAAAACCGTTCGAGACGAGTTCTTGTTCATTCATCACAGTAGCAAAAGTAAAAGAATTAGGTGATAGAATACATACTCGAACAAGGAGTCTTCTTAATCTTTCATGTGAACTTCGACATCCAGCTATAAAGATAGGTGAATATGATATATCTCCATAATGTATATTTACCTAATGCAGCTCGCTCAAACCACATAGTTGCCTTTTGAAGGTCTATAGGGCATCCTAGTCCTTTTTCATAGCAGTTGGCTAAATGAAATTGTGCTGCAATATGGTGTTGATTTGCAGCTCGTTCAAGCAAACTAAATGCTAATTCGAGGTTCTGAGTGATTCCTAATCCATTTTGTAAATGCAAGGCTAGTTTATCTTGTGCTCTTGCATGGTTTTGTTCTGCTGCCTTTTTATACCAGTATACTGCTTTTGATTCATTTTGTTTGACACCAATGCCATTTGCATAACAAAATCCAAGATTACATTGAGACCAAGCATTGTTTTGACGTGCTGCTTGTAAATACCAATAGGCTGCCTTTCTTGGATTCTTTGAAACGCCTTTTCCTTCTTCATAACAGAATCCTAACGAGTTTTGGGCTACTGCATTCCCTTGCTCTGCACTTTGTCTAAAGTACTTGACAGCTTCAAGTTCATTTTTTTCAACACCAATACCGTTACGGTAGCAATAACCTAATGATAACTGAGCAGGCGCATGATTGTGTTCAGCGCTGAGCATATACCAACGAAATGCCTCACGCTCATTGACAGGTACTCCTGTACCATTTTGATAGCAATAGCCTAACGAATGAAACGCAAAGATGTTACCTAGTTCTGCACTCTGTTGGAACCAATAAATAGCTTCCTTTTCGTTCTTTTCAACACCAATGCCGTTTTGATGACAGAATCCAAGATTGTGTTGAGCCCTTGCATGACCCTGAGTAGCTGCTTTACGATACCATCCTACGCTCCTTGCTGTGTTTTTTGTCACACCAATCCCATTTTGATAACAATAGCCTAGGTTACATTGAGCCCAAGGATAACCTTGTTTAGCAGATCGACAATACCAAAGAGCAGCCATGGTCTCATTTTTCTCTACACCAATACCATCCTCGTAACAATAACCTAGTGAGTTCTGCGCAAATGCGTTTTCTTGTTCTGCTGCTATCTTATACCATCGAACTGCTTCATGCACATCTTTTGCAACGCCGATACCATCTTCATAACAGTACCCAATATTGTAAATGGCCACCGTCTCTCCTTGTGCAGCAGCACGGTGATACCACTCCATGGCTATCTTTTCTGATTTTTCGACACCAAATCCTTCTCCGTAACAATAGCCCAAGATACCTTGGCCACGACAATTGCCTTGTTCAGCACTTTTCTGGTACCAAAAGAAGGCAAGCTTCTCATTTTTAGGTAATACGAGGCCATCATGATAACAGACGCCGAGGCAATACTGACTGGCGGAGCAATGATCGTCTATGGCTGCACGTTGAATCCAAGCAACTGATCTTTCTTCTCCGAGTCCAACCAATGACTCCCACTGATGCGCTTCTGTACGATCGATATAAACACCAGGACGACCGTATTTTCGAAGAAAGGCTAATCGAGACACAGCCAACAGGACGCGTTCATCGGTAATACTTTGTTGAATATCATGTGGTAATGCAGACACATAGTATTGTTCAGCGAGTCTGAAATTCTTGGTCACACCTAATCCAAATTCAAAGCAGAATCCAAGTACAGCATAAGCCCCTTTATTGTGTTCTTTTGCTTTATGTAATAGTTTGATGGCTAATTTAGTGTCTTTGGCACATCCATTTCTACCAAACAAATGCATTTCTGCCTGTTCCATGAATTTGTCATTATCTGAGTGTTTATGAATTAAGATTTTTTCAAAGATGTTTTTTGAATAGCACAAGAACTGATGCATTAAGGGTGTATTTGAATGATCAACTACGTTCATGATGAACAAAAGAAAACAAGAAAAGAAAAGAAAGGGAATTTATAAACAGTTTGAATGCACTGTTGTCCCCTACTTTTCCCCTACTTTTCCCCTACTTTTCCCCTATATCACTCTTTTTTGTCATACAGTCAGGCTTATGGAAATTGGCGTTTTCTAAAAAATAATTGGCCGAAAGTCAAAAAAAAAAGATTGGATTTTAAAAGGTTAAATTACTTTTGGCACAAGTTGGTAACTAAAATTAGCCGAAGAATTGCATTTAGTTGGCAGATGTTTTTGGCTTCTTTATAAAAATCATAACAGTCTCAGGAAGATGAAAGAAGCTGGCTATGAAATAATTGGATATGCTAGAAAGTCGAAAGGTGAAAAGGACGACATGAAGCGAATTGTGGTGATCTGAGCACTTTCAATACAAAATATAGTAAATAGTCTTTCATCATATAAATGAATAATCACTTATAGTACTATACACTATGAATATAAAGTAAGCATTGTATAATGACAGTAAATAACGATAACTGGGATAATATGGATATTTACAAATAAGGAAACCATAATTGTACCTTTTAGATAACCAGGAGAATGAAAGCAGAATTTACATAGTCAACTCCCAGGCACAAGCTGTCAAAGTGTTAAGTAATCAATAATCAGTAATCATAATTAGTCAATAAATCAGGTAGTATAAAAGACAACCTGGAAAAGATATATTTTAGAATAATCAATTTATCTTGTAATAAAGAAGTACTGAACAGTCTCACTGTATTTCTTTGTTTTCTTTTTTATTCTATTCTGTTTTCATTTCACAACCCAAACATCACGCGAGTATTTTTGTTGAACCTAATGGTTGAAAAACTAAAGACAAGGTCACTGGCAGATAGAGTGTTTATCAGTCCGAATTCTTTTGCAGGCGATCCATTTAACAAAAGAGGTGAAAACAAAAGAGAAGAGCTGATGTCTCACATAATTGCAAATGGAGACACTCAAGGTAAGGAAAGTATTTGCCATTCCTGTTGACTGTGAATGGATATTCACCTGTTGATTAGATATGTTAAGATACATATCTGACAAAAAGAAGAAAGTAATACTTGTTACTATTGACTATGCGGTCTTAACCACAAATTGTGAAGACATGAAAAGCTTTTTGAGGTAAATGTAAACCAGAAGCTTGTAAAAGACTATTACTGACAAACCGCAAAAATAGCACCTATAGCAGCATTAAAGAAATTGCTATAGACCTCATACCATCACAGAACAAAGTCAAAATGTATACCAGTCAAGAACTTTTATTAAAATATGGATATATTATATATTGAGCCCTTATTAGGAACTCTCCTTAAGTAACGTTTATTGCTTTTGTTTGCTTTCCTTGAACAAAGCTGGATACTGATGATGTCCAGAATGAGAAAAATTTACAGATGGGTACAAAAAAGGTTCTGTTGGATCGTCTCTGTAACAAACATCAAGACCAATTTTTTCAATTCCACTTATAAGCTCTTTAGCACGATCCTTGCTGTATGGTTTGCAATAGAGCATGCAGATCGCCTTCTCGCGTGTTATAATGTCCATGAGTATTCAAAAAAAAAATAAAAAGGATGGCATAAAGGACAACATCCACTGAGTTCAAAAATAAAAAGGACGGCATAAAGGACGACGTCCACTGAGTTCAAAAATAAAATGGTGAAGCCTTCGAATTGTTCAGTCAAGCTATTTATTATATCGTCCGCAAATATCTGAGGGTCGTTGTCAAGTAGCTTGGTAATGTACTCGCTATGCTGCAGTTGTAAATGAGCTTTTTGGACCACAGTTTTTTTCACTATTTTTATACGGCACTCCTTCCGTTTCTTCATAAATGTGCCACCAATTCGGTGCAGTACGATACTTCACGTTGAGTTCTCTTGCAACTTTAGCCACTAAGACACACTCTTGCGGTTGCTCAAGCATACGGTCGATAAACGATTCTCTGGTCGTATCACTATAAATACTGTATGACTTGGTTCATTTAGTCAAATTACTAGATTTCAACGGCTTCGTAACTGATGGTTCACCAGTAGCTTTTTCGGGGCGTTTAGCACTCAAGTAAGTTTCTCGATTGGTTGTTGTTCCAAGAACTATGTTGGGATCGTCAATTTGTGTTAAAAAATCTTCCATTGGATCGTAAACTTTTCCTCCATGTTCATTGAAAAGGTTCTCTTGTCCATCTTCATAAAAGAATGTAATTATTGCTATGCTTTTTATAAAGAAGCCAAAAACATCTGCCAACTAAATGCAATTCTTCGGCTAATTTTAGTTACCAACTTGTGCCAAAAGTAATTTAACCTTTTAAAATCCAATCTTTTTTTTTTTGACTTTCGGCCAATTATTTTTTAGAAAACGCCAATTTCCATAAGCCTGACTGTATGGTTCTGAACACATATGTGTAACAAATATAGGAAAACGACAAGTGTTTGTTGTTCATTCAGGGCTTGCCATATTTGTATAAATTGATCTTCTCTTTTCGACGTGTCAACAAATAACAAATAGAAAGGAGCTGTTCACTATAAACCAAGTGGGTTACTTTTACCCTGAATTGAACATGTAGCTCTGCATCATCAGTCATTTCTGTGATTTGTTTTGAAATTGTATTGAACTCGATTCTCTATCCCTGCCCTTTTTTATAAGAAGAAGAAAGCCTCCTCAATATATAACTTTGCTTTTTCTCCTTGAAGTTAACAGTTTAATATAGTCAAATTGGAATCATGCAAAATAGGTTGTTGCATGAATTTAAACAAAGTTTGTATACCCCTCCCCTTCTTTTTGCCTACTCCCTTTTGCTTTTAAACAATAAACTTATTTTATGCCTTTCATTTCTTGAAATAACCACGCTTTACTTTTGCTTATATTTGGGACATGCCGTATGTCAAAGAAAATTATGGCAGCATCATGTATAACAAAAAAAAAGAACCCCTTTTGCGCATACAAAGAGTGAAAGTAATATGTCAATGATATTTAAGGTATGCTTTATACAATTATAATTTAGAAACCAAATCTTGAACCATCTGCTTACACTCGTCTGCACTCAAGTACTCAGAGTTTTGAATAGCATTGGATATCAAGATAGTATTCTTGACTTCTTCTGAATTCACCCACACTCTACCATTCATACCAACTGCTGTTTCAAAAGGGAAATGTTCACCTAGTAATTTCAGAATAGGTGTCTCTGGGTTAAGCAGTCTATCGACGCATAAGTACAAAACCACATAGACCATACTATACCTTCTACATAGACCAAGAGAACATTTAAACATGTATCCTCCTGCAAGTTCACCAAATCCATCTGCTTTACCTGTTGTAGGGTTCACACATTCAAGCTCAGGTTCCATATCAGGATTTGCCATGGCAACACGACAGTACACAAGTGAATGCACTTGCAAGTTGGGTCTATTACGCTTGGTGGCACCTTCAAAAGCCAACATGGGCAACACAGCAGAGTGTGCTGTACCAATATCCACACGAAAATATTCACCCATTTTAGCCATGACAGTACCAATCACAGATTCACCTGTTGAAGCAATATACTTTTTACAATCAACATCGTGATCATGCTACATGACTTACTCTTTTTTGATTACTCTCGATCCAATATCTATTGCCTGCTTCTAAATGACGTAAAAACCCAGCTTTGACAGCCACAATATCGTCTCCTTCTTGTCTTAATCCAGGGCCCAGTATGATAGTTGATTCTGTATTGACATCGATCTTATCGCCTGGTAAAACGACACGTTGATCTACTTCCATGTTGTTCAAGTTGAGAAAAGCGAGTGGAAAAAAATTTTGAGCGGGGTTGAGAAGGTCCCTAAAGAACTCCGCATTATTTACAGAAGATGATTGGGCAAAACAACCCAATCGAATTTATACTTGAGACCAAGTTTATAAAGCCAAAGGGGTTCAAGATATACTTTTGACTGCTTTCTTTGTTTTTTTTCTTTTTTAGGCGCGATGGAAGAGCGATACCCGACATACAAGAGTTATCCTCCTGTGCCCAACTGGTACTCTTCCTGTATCACAGCTATCATTGAGCCTCACTTTTTTTTATATGCAACCCGAAACTGTATTGTTATCCTTGGTCTTTGGGATCTCAGATATTTCGGCTCATTTACTGTTTCGACCGAGAAAGTAACAGCTATAGCAGCGCATGAGACATTCTGTTTTACAGCAGGCGTAGATAAAACTGTCAGAGTATGGAATGTCTTGTTGGGTTCTTTATTGACAAGCTATACTGAACACAAGGTAAAGTTTTTTTTTTTTTGCATAAAAATTAAATTTTTATATGTGATAGGCAGAAATCACTGCCCTTAAATTGATAGGAAATGGTACAATGGTTGTCTCGACTGATAAGTCAGGTCTTGTGGTGATAGCAGATCCATTCAACAATAAAAAGCATAGTCAGCATAAAGTAAAGTCAGAAATCACTAGTTTAGCAACCACTACCTACGACCAAGCGAATTATTTGGCTATAGGGTATGCCAATGGCATGATTTTTATCGAGAAACTCGAATCTGATTTATCTACAACAACTGTCTGCCAAATAGCCAGTGACAATGATTCCATTCAATCTTTGGATTGGCAAAAGACAACAGAGGCATGGCCATTATTAGCCACAAGCACAAAGCGTAAGAGACATGTGAGTATATGGCACATTCCTTCTCAGTCTGAATGGACCTCTATTCGACTCCCCAATCCACCTGCACAAGCAACTGAACAACAGAAATCCACTGTCTGGATTGAATTGGCTTGGTCACCTCATGAACAACACAAGCTCTTTTTTAGTTCGTTTATCGGATCCATTGTCTGTTTTGATCTTTCATCGAAATCACCTAAACTATGCAACCATGAACGACTTGAGAAACACAGTAGGAATGTATTTACAATCAATTGGTTTAATCATGGCAAAAACTGTATTACCACTTCATTGGACAAACAAATCATTCGATGGGACGTGAAAAAGAAGAGTTGTCTACAGAGTCTCAAGACACAGGCTGGTTTCCCTTATGCTATGGACTCACCTGCTTGGAATCCTGATCAACTGGTGGTTGGTATGGGTGATAATGCAATCAAATTATGGCGTTTCGCAGACACACAGACAGTCATGAAGTCTAATAAGCATGATTATTATGAAGCTACTGTCTTGTGGAAGGGGTTGCAAGGCAAAATAGAAAAGGTAATAACTGACTGAAAAAAAAAACATATTGACTTGTCGTATTAGGTGCAATGCCATTCTACAAAAGAAGGCCTTGTTGCTTATAGTAATGAATATGGACATGTGGGACTCTACGATACACTTGATCTTCGCCGTATACCTTGCAAGACTTACCATAGATCTCAAGGAGCACCCTTTATTGCATGGGGACCAGACATGAGTGAAGTATTAGAAAACAATATGAAAGACACCCTTTTCTCCTGTGGTGGAGATGGCATACTTCATGTCTATGATGCAAACAGTCCACAAGCACCTCCTGTCCAGTTAAACCAAAGACTACAGGAAAAGAACCTTGCATGGTTTACTAGTCTTACATCCATTAAAACTAATCGATATTCACTCAAGATAGACAAAAAGGCACAGTATTTAGCACTTGGACATACAAATGGTTTTGTGGAAGTGTATTCTCTTCAGACCCTTAAAATAATGTACGTATCAAATTATCACCGAGAACTTGTAAGAGCATTGGATTTCAAGTGTAAGAAGAAGTTGTCCTATGGATTTAGCTGACTTTGTCTGTAGATATCAATGATACAGTGCTTTTAGCTTCTGGCTGTGATGCAGGAGATATTGCTATTCATGACATTGGATCTATCAAAGAACCTATTCCAGGTAAAACAGTAACATTAGAATGTCACTCATAATGGCTCTAGATGTCCCTGTATTTCATTCTGAAGTGATGTATAGTCTAAAAGGACACAAAAAGGGGATCCGAGTATTGAAGTGGAGCAACCATTATGATAAAGCTTTTCTTGCCTCTGGATCTGATGATAGTTTTGTGGTTGTATGGCATGAAGACAAACCCATTTCTTCATTTGATAGACACCGTAATCGAATCTTGTCTATCTGCTGGAGTCCTCTAGACCATGATATCTTGTTTACAGGAAGTGAAGACCGATTTATTTATGAGTGGAACAAGCATGATTTCCCATGTACAGAACCTTTGAATGCCATCAAAAATCTGTACGATAAAGAAAAGGCCATCTTGAGTCAGAACAACAAACGCAAAACTGAAGCTGTCCCTGCTGCCAATGTAAAGAAACCAAAAAAATTAGTGGCTTCAAACGAAGAAACAGATCCTCGGTTAAATAGCATGTTACTCTCTCAAGAATCTGAGAAATCAACCAGTCGGTTAAGAAAAGAACAGTACTGTCTTATTTTGGCTGATTCATTGATTGAAGGCAAAATCAAACAAGCAATACATGAGCTAAAAGGCAAGTATTTGACAGAAGAACAAAAAAAGGATGCTACTGTCTCGAGATACATGGACTTTTTGGATGAAAAACAACAAAGTTCGACAGTTCATGAAAATATTCATGAACTGTTTTATGGTGACAAGAATGATATTCGTCGTCTCATTGAACTTGAAGGTACAAACACAGGTTTTTCTTCATTTACTCATGTCGATCATAGTCAAAGCAATACATCAGAAAGAAACAAGTTCAAGCACAGAGCCTAGTTATGGTGTCCATAACAATGTCAAGTATGATTTTGATATCAAATTGGCCATGGATATAATGCAATGTCAATTCAGTATGTTTGAATCGCACCAACTCGATCAAAATGCAAATAGTTGCTTAACAGACTGGATTGTGCTTGCCATGAGCCCTATGGGTAAAAAAAAAAAGGAAAGGATTACGTGCCATATGAACTAATAAGAACCATAGTTGGAAAACAGACATGGATAGATTTGATGTTAAAACAAGCTCAAAAACTAGAAGGGTTTAAACAATACCATTTAGCAGCATCATGTTACATTGCTTCTTCACATGTGTATGAAGCTATTGAACTCTATCGACGTCATCATATGTTTCGAGAAGCCATTGCTTTAGCCAAAATAAGGTTACCTCCTCAAGACCCTATTGTGTCCAGTTTGTTTGCAGACTGGGCAAATGAATTGCAGAAAGGAGACCAAGATACTTTGACAGCTATTTGGTAAATTCTTGTTCTTGATGTATATGGGCTAACAAGGGCTTTAGTTATTTATTATCAAAGACAAAGGGCTCAATCAGTAATGCTATTAATGCATTAGCTCGTAGTCGTAAAGAATCTTCATTGTTTTATGCAACTTGTTTAGCTATAGCAGCAAATGAAGCGACCAAAGCACAAAGAATAGAGCATTGGTTAAGTAAACTGAATGAACGGTTAAGTAACAAGACAAAAGCTATGTAAATATCAAAACCAGTCGGCATGTCAGAATAAAGCCAATTGATGCTAAATGACATATTTTGCTTGAATTTGATTGAATGAGAGGAGTATAAAATTTTTGATGGTTGATGAGATGAAATCTAAATCTTTTCTTTCTTTCTTTCTTTTTAATATCATGATGGAAGTTCCAACTCAAGTGGGTTCTCCTATCCCAGCCCATACACCTCATGCTGTATCAGTAACATTGCCTACTTGGCAAGATAATGTCTTTTATGAAGAAGCAAATCCTATTGTCACTTCAAAAATGCAATGTGGTTATCCTCGATTCTTTATTCATCCTTTAATTCAAAAGGTAAGCAACTCCATAGGCTGAGAATGGCATTGATCGTCTATGAATCTAGCTATGTGCTCGCTTAGTCTCGAAATTTGGTAAAGAAAATGATGCAGGCATGCTTTTCCCTTCGCATAAAGTAGCAGAACAATGCAGATCGTTCATGAAACGATACTATCAAAACCCCACTGGCACTGTTCGTATTGCAGAATTCGATATTGCATCTCATCAGAAACCAAGTGACCGTGTTCCTATCCATATCATACTGTTTCCTCAAGAGGCTTTTCCTATTGCTAAACAGTTCTGGCAACATGCTGGTGACAATATCACTTCTCGTATGGCTGAATATTGTTTGCGTATCTTGGAAGAAAATGATGCACAAGCCAACAAGAAAGAGTCGACAGACGATGCATTGTATAGACCCAAATTGACCATGGGAAGTCGTAGCCGAAGTCATTATAGCAGTAACAAATTAACGAAACCCACAGAAGAACAAAAGCCTAAAGAAGAAGGCGTGGAACAAGTGACTTACCTTGAAGAACGTTATGGCCGAAATTTACCTGTTGTGTTTGCCAATAATGCTAAAGTAGCTTTGAAGCGTAGAATTGCAGGTGTTTTGATGGGCCATGTTGATTTTGACCATGAAAATCATACTTCTGTGCATGATTTAGATGAACAACGTCAATCCAAAGGTGATCGTGGCATTCAAGGTCTTTCAGAAGAAGATGTATATTTATACCCTTGTGGTATGAGTTCTATTTTCCATGCACATCAAATTGCCATGCTTGTGGGTGATGCCTCTCTTAAGAGTGTTTGTTTTGGGTAACGTTTTACAATACATGGACTTTATAACTGATTTTTTTTCTTTTAGCTTTCCTTATACGGATACTTTAAAAATTTTACAGAAATGGGGAGCTGGTTGTCACTTTTATGGTCTTGGTGAAAACGAAAGTATTGATGAACTGGAAGAACGTCTAAAATCAGGCGAAAAGATCTTGAGTTTATTTTGTGAATTTCCTTCCAATCCTTTACTTAAATCACCTGATATCAAGCGTCTTCGTCGTTTGGCTGATGAATATAAATTCATTGTTGTCGTTGATGAAACGATTGGTAATTTCTGTAATGTGGCAGTTCTTGAATGGGCCGATATTGTCGTGAGTAGTTTGACAAAGATCTTTTCCGGCGCATCCAATGTCATGGGTGGAAGGTAAGTAAAAAAGAAGAGGTGAATAGTTTTTCAAGGTCTTATATTAGTCTGGTTTTAAACCCTAACGGTGCTTACTATAATTCATTGAAGGCTGCTCTGAAAGAAGACTACGAAGACATTTTGTGGCCTGAAGATGTTCTTTTCTTGGAACGCAACTCTCGAACATTTAAGGAGCGATCTCATATTATCAATCAAAATACAGAAGCACTATGTGACTTTTTGGCAAGCCATCCTAAAGGTAAAGAAAACAAAAATAATGATTGAAAACTCATGTCTTTGAATATAGTCCATAAAGTATTTTATCCCAAGTTTATTTGTAGAGAAAACTATGATTCCATTAAGCTCACTACCGAGACCTCAGGTTATGGTGGCTTATTTTCAATCTTGCTTCATGATGAAAAGAGTGCAGCTATCTTTTATGACCACCTTCAATGTGCCAAGGGACCATCACTCGGCACAGACTTTACTCTCTGTAGTCCTTATACAATCCTTGCTCATTATACAGAATTAGACTGGGCCGAAAAATATGGTGTATGCCGCTTTTTGGTGCGTGTTAGTGTTGGTTTAGAAGATAGAGAACAACTGTTGACCATGTTCTCAGATGCTTTAGACGCTATTCAATAATAAAAATCTGGTTTAAATAGATGTATATTTTTATTGTAAAAAGAACAAAATGATTAGGATGAAGAAAAAAAAAAGATATATATAAACACTAATAGTACAAGGATGAGAGGAGAAGTATGATGATGGTAATAGAGGAGAGATTTACTCCTTGGTGTTGTTAATTTCAGCAGGGTTAAGACCATACCAACCAAGTTCGCGACCGAGTTGATCAATGGACTTTTGCTTTGTTTCAGGCACGAAGAAAAGAATAAAGAGACCAAAGGCCAAAGAGAGACCAGCAAAGATCAAGAAGACATAGGGACCACAAGCAGTTTGGAGAGCAGGGAAGATAAGGCCGACAATGAAGTTACAGAGCCAGTTGATGACCAAAGCAATAGAAGAAGAAGCAGAGACTGCATAAGTAGGGAACACTTCAGAGTTGATCACAAAGGGAATGACACCAAGACCAATGGCATAGAAACCAACAAAGATGTAAATAGAAAGAACTTGAAGAGCAGAGACATTGAAACGAAGACCAATGGTCATCAAAACAGCCCAGACACACATACCAAAGGCAGAAATGTACATCAACATCTTACGGCCTAAACGATCAGCCAAGAAGAGACCAATGATGGTGATAACAATATTCAAGCCAGAGACACCAATGGTGACATACTTGGCAGTGTCACCAAAAGAGTTTTCGAAAATAGAAGTAGAGTAATACATGACTGCATTAATACCGGTCAATTGAGAAGAAGCATGAACAACCATCATCTTCAAAGTCAAGACAGCCAAGACAGGAATCTTGAAGATTTGAACAATAGAGATACTTTGTTCACCTTCAAAGGCCTTTTCAGTAGAACCAGCTTCGTTATCGAAACCTTCATCATTGTTGGCAGGAGTCTTCTTGGCATCATCAGAGTTACCACCCTTGGTAAGAGACAAAATCATGTCAGAGAATTCTTCTTGAACATCACCTTCACGAAGACGCATCAATTGAACACGAGCTTCATCAATTCTGTTTTGACTGATCAACCAACGAGGAGAACGAGCACAGAAGGGCAAGACAAGCATTTGAATGATGGCAGGCACAATAGTAATGATTACAACAACACGCCAACCAATAGCAGAAGAAAGACCAAGACCGATACATTCAATAATCAAAATACCTACAGTCAAGAGCAATTGAAGACAACAACCAAGAGCGCCGCGGTACTTGGGAGGGGAAATTTCAGCAATGTACATTGAAATCACGACTGTCATGAAACCAGAGCCAATACCGACAAAGATACGGCCAACAGCAAATTGACCAGGTTCAGTTGAGAGAGAAAGCAAGATAGCACCAATAAAGAATGTGACGTTCATGATAATCATAGAATCACGACGACCAAATTTACTAGCCATGTAACTAGCAATCATGGCACCTAATAAACCACCAACAGCAAACATACCAGTAGCAGCACCCCTATCAATTGGTTAGTAACAGAAAAAAAATGATCAAAATACGTACAAAATCCAGTCTGACATAGGAATACACTGAGGTAAAGGCGAGTTTGGATAGTAAGTGACGGTACCATAAGGTACACCAGGACAATGTGTGAGTGCGTTTGAAGGAATGTTTAATGCTGAAGTGTTGAAACCATTATTAAGTGCGCCGAGTGCTGACACTAATGAGCAAAATATGACGAAAGGACGAAGTCCGGATGATCGGGAATCCATTGTATTGTTTTCAATGTGGGGTAGAGAAAAAGAGAACAAAGACGGTAAAAAATGGTAATTAACTGAAAATTTTGTCCTCTTATTTATATTAAAACAAAAGGAACCGTGTTTTCCGATGACCGAATCAGATTCTTTAAAAGAAAAAGGGTCCGCCTATTGCCTAAATTTAAACCATGAACACATTATTCTGACGTAGCACATTTTCAAACGGAGGCGCGTATTTGTTACATGATATCCAATGCAATGGCTCATTGATATTGAATAAACAAGAAAAAGTCATATGATTTCTTGATGGTTAATTTATTTATCCTCCATTTTTGAAACTAACTACGGACAAATATTATAGAAAACATAAACGTCATCAATCACCAATAACCTTCTGATTCGGATGAATCCTATATTCGATCGATGATTCGACTCGATTATGGATTTTTTAACTCTTAGTTAAGGGTTGTCTGTGTTATCAGGAACAATAATAACGTGGGCGCGGGGTGCTGCTGAAAATCTGGGAAGAAGCGGGAGATTTTTTGACAGACAGCATATCCCCCTTTTTTTTTCTGAACTTCAATAACGTGTTATATGTATAAACTTTGAGTTTAATAGAATATACTCAATAAAGAATTTACCTGTAGTTAACTGAAACTGTAGTACAAGGCATAGACGTACGTGAATACTCTGAAATGCCTGCAATATACAAGTTAATTAATTAATAATGTCTTTTTTTGTTATGACGTATACAGGTAAATACTTGAGTACAATTTCCATGTAAATACTTGAGTACAATTTCCATGTAAATACGATAGCACCAATGATATTGAAGTTTGTCAATTCCCTTTTTGGCCAGTCCGGCTTTCTTTTTTTTGAAAGCTTGGTTTTCTACTACTTGAAGGAAACAGCGCATGCTTACTACATATTAACACACATTAGATGATAGAACTGCCTAAAAATAATTGCAAAGTAATATGGTATTCACTTGTTTTATTTTCTGCGGAGTTCCTACGAAAAGACTAGAATTCACTCAGAATCCAATTTGTAAGCTATCGTCTCAGATGCCTGCAACTAGTCCTGACCCCTATTTTCCTCATGTAAGCTAGCCGTCATACAAAGCTGAGTCTAAAGTATTCATTGACAGGGCAACTTTTTTTAAACTAACGAAAACATCAAAATGAATGCTTCTCAGAACCATTAGTATTACCATTAAAATGTACGCAAATGATACTGAGTTACTCTTAGTTCTTTCCAAGTGTCTCTCTCTTGCAGGATAACTGTAACGTAAAATTGTTTATTGACTGTTCCCGACTTCAAACAAATGGATTCCGAAAAAATTACGTGCCACATGGAAGTCAGTTGCCGCCGTCTCCCTGTCTCTTGGCAGACAAGAAAAAAAGACAATATCAAAATTAAGTGGAACTAGGCAGTAAAGTGATCCGGATGACTTTACCAGTAATTATGGGTGGCAATTAGGATGTATGCTGTGATCCTGAGAATATGTATCACTTTAAATATCAGTCTGAAAGCAACTGGAATTGGTTTAGAAATAACAACAAAGTCTTTAATGACAATTATCAGAATCTCTTATTGCTCAATATAGGGTATAGTCGATTAGGTTTTCAATAATGGATGTTGGAAATACTCTTGAAGCATTGCAATGTCATTGAGAAAGGGTATATGTTGACTGCTTTTTTGTTCTTCATCATCATCATTTAGAACAACCTCAGGTTCGACAATATCCTCTTCTTCCTTTTCTTCCTCTTTTACTTCATCCACTTCTTCTTTGTCTTCTTTTTCCTGTTCTTCTTGCTCCATTTCCTGGTCCTTATCTTCTTTCTTGTTCTTTTTATTAAATTTTCCAAGAATCTTCTTCATCTTTTTTGCCAATTGAATAACTGACTTTGGTTCTGAGGTATTTCTTAATACAAATGATGAGTTGAGCAAATCATCCAAGTGCCTTGTTTTGTATAATTTGTACATCTCTTGGCTATGCAAAAACAATAAGAACACAGTTTTCTTCTTTTAATTTTACCTTAGTGCATATTTAAGTATGGACTTGACAATAGATTTTAGAAACCATTTTTCAATAATACCGCTTTGAACTCGACAGATAAATATTGAAAACAAGCGTTTTGCAGTAGATTTGTATTCATTGCTGATAGACTCAGTATGAATCAGTGTCTCTAATTGAGTACGGGTTGATTTTACATAGGCTTTAAGGCCTGCTTTAGCATCATAAAGAGGATTCTGTTCGTACAAATACAGTATGAATTGATCCCTTGCAAAATATTGGTCATCTTCATTCACTTTCATCAAACATCTACAACATCATAAGGACGCAATCAAACATGACTCAACACTTACTTTAATAAATAAAAATCAGGATTTTTGTTGAAAGACTCTAGAGACTTTGCTACAGCGCTTTGAATAGCCTCTTCATCTTTAGTTTCTTTCAAAAACTGTAACAAAAAAGTCAATTCATGTATTGAAGGAAAGAAACACTTACTTCAAAATACATGTTTAATAACTCTACATCTCGAAAATACACTTGGTACGCTTCTGCCATGTTTTTCGAGGTTGTTTTTACACAGCGTTCATATCGAATGATATTTGTATCATATTCATCATACACTTCTTCTTCTAAATACGATTCAGGCAGAGCACTTTTTGCTTCTAGCCATTGTTGATAACAACAAATAGCTTTCTTTCGCAACAGAATAGGGTGATGATATTGAGGTCGATTAAAGAGTCTAGAAAAGAATGTGAGTCAACTGTTGCTTGGCATCACATGTATTTCTTTACAGATCAATTTCTTCTAAAGCGTTGGCCCATTTTCGTTCAAGCATCAGTTGATCAATATACGCATCAAATGTAACAAGAGACTAAAGAATACGGTTAGTTCATGACAAAACCTTCGAATTTACTTACTAAAGGATTAGGTGAATTGATAAACACAGCTCTTAGATAATCTGCAAGTTGATTGGGAGACGTTTTGCCAATGATCTCGGCACCAACCTAATCCACAATGTCAGAGAGAAAAAGCAAGAGACATGGATAAACAGTACCTTCCAAAAGTTGTGTATGTTATAGCGTGATGTCTTGATCAATTCAGTAAACAAAAACTGTGCATCGTCGTATTGCTCAAGATCGATCAAATGCTTCAGCTTTGTGTGAGCTCGAATAATGTCAGAACGAATAAGAGGCTTCGATCTTTGAATAGGATAAGGTGGAAGACCTGTTACGTTCAAGACACCCTTCTTTTTTCTATGTCGTGTTTTCATAATCAAAGAACAAGTTAATCTGTCAACAAAGTAACAAAAAAAAGCAGTCGAAAGCCCAGAAAATTTTTTGTACTATGGCATTCTCTTGAATATTAAAGTTGACTTGTGCGTTGTTTGCAAACATGCTTTGGTTTGTACCAAATGTATTCAATGGTTCTTATAAGCATACATAAAAATCAAGTGTACATACTCATTGACTATGATAAGGCAACAGTGTATATTATATGAAGATTGAGCAGAAACTATACATGCCAATAAAGGTATCGATAACAACTACATGACTTTTATAAGAATATGTATGCAATACAAGCCAAAAAAAAAATTTGAGCGAGCATCCTATCCATTTGAATATGGTTATTTAAAAAGTGATAATTTGTGCGTGAAGGTATTTACTTATTTTATCAGTTGACGATATTTATGCCAAAGAACAGTTTTCAGATTACATTAAGTCTTTCCAATCTATTCTACCGTGCTTTTTTCTTTATGAGAATGAATTCTAGCTTGCTCATTTATCTTCATATCATTCAATTATTGAAACTGAAGCAGCATAATTTCAGCCCAGAAGATATTTGTTTTATCAGTCTAATTGTCGAATGATGACTCGTCAAAGAGTGATGGTATTCGAGACTATACGGCCGTTTCTTTAGCCTTCGACCCTTATTTTAATAGTAAAAGTACGAAACATTCTGTCATTCACAGCTCATATGCGCTATCTGTGAGACTTTTACTGATGTGCTTTCCATAGTCTCTTTGACTTTGCGCGTTTTGAGTAGTGTCAATATTATGCAAACACAAAATGGTTAACATCGGAGATTGAAAACAGGAAAATAAAAGCATCTAGATTACTTTTAACCGCGTCAAAAAAAATCAACCGTTTGCTTGGAACAGCATGAAGACGCAGCTATTTTACTTTGGTGTAGTAATAAAAGTTTTAAGGCTTTACTTTTTAAGTGTATCTATATAAAGAGCACAACAACCTTTCTGCTAAAGTCTTGAGTAAATAGACAAAAATTTTTATGGGGTTTTCACTCGAATCTTCTCATTTTCATAGTACGATTAGTAAGTAAACACACTCACCAAGAACTAGAGCCTTTAGCGCGTATTCTGAGTATTTAAGCTTGTCGATAACTCTATTTCTCGTTTTGTAGGGTAAAATAGAAGATCTTTTTTTTTAAATGTTTATTTGAAAAAAAATCATCGTATAGATGGAAACTAGTGTATGTGAAGTAAAGTGACTAGCCATATGACATATTTTGAAAACAATGCTTTTGTGAAAGCATTCAGTATGATTATATGAGTTTTATATAATACCAAAGAAAATAGCCGTCATCTGGGCTAAAAGGATATATTAAGTGTTTCGTTCGTCGCTCCTGAGAGTCAGCATTCTTTATATCTTGCCTTGCTTAATGCTACAGATGGCAATACCAATACCACAAGTAAAGGACACCATTCTAAAATGTCTTCAATTACTTGGCACTTGGCACAATTGTTGATACCTAAGAGATACAGTATTTCACAAGAGATTATAGTAAAATCCGGAGCACCACCAAGAGTGACCAGACCATCGTACTAAAAAATTCTTTAGACGAAAGAAAGGCGTTTTTTTTAAATGTGTTTATTGATTGAGCCGCGTACACTAAGAGCAATAGTCAAAGTGAAGAGGCGGGTGCAATTAAAATGGAAGTTAATAAAATAAAACGAAACATACTAAACAAAATAAACTAAAATAAAATAAAATATATAGAAAGAAAAAAAAAGTTACATGATTGAATGGCATTGATCCTCTTCAATGGTCTGACGAACATTGGATCGGATGCTTGCTAATATGGCCGTGGGTATAATGATGGTCTTGTCAGAGATAAATCTCATATGAGCAAGCCAGATTTGTGAAAGAGTCATTATGAGGATTCTGTATGATTTGATTCCTTTCCATTGGCAGTACCAGATGTACGAGAAGTCCAGGGACAGAAGAGCCTCTTTGATATCAGAGATGGATATGGTAGGCCATAGGAACTCGAGAATTATTTCCCTTCATACCTTTTCTTTAATTGGACAATGAAAGAGCATATGACTAATAGAGTCAGTGGTAGTTAAACACACCGGACAGAAAGGAGATTCAAACACACAAGGCATAATAAAATGCAGGAATCGACGATGAGGAATACACCCCAAGATATACCGGTATGTCACATTACGTTGAATGGTGGTAAGAGACAGAGACCAAAAGAATTTCCATTTCACTTCTGTAATATTTCTCAAGGCCAAAGGAGGAGCCATAGACGAGAGAACTGACTGACGAAATGTCTTAGCCGATGCCTTGGCGCTACCAATAAAATAGAAGATCCAAAATTGTCAAAACGAGATTTTTTCATGAGTAGTACCCTTTGGTCGAAAGGTCATTTTGGCCATTTTTCACAAGTCGCCAAAGGCACTGCGTTTGTCAGGAAGCATGGTTTTTGGACATGTATAGCATTTATGCTTATAGAGTAGGTTTTTTTTTTCTAACTTTTTTTTGTGTGGTTGTACAATTATGTGTTGGCTGAAAGACTGCCTCTTTTTCAAGATATATAATGTCCTCTACATATATTTACGCAAAAACGATCAATTTTCAGAAATAAAGCTAAAGTGGCTGGAGTGTTTCTTTTGAAAACTGCGTATAAAATTAACAATCAAGGTAAAATATAAAGATATGTTCAAAGTGAAAGTTGTCAGATTCGACAAATTGCTTTTTTTTTATTGATTACAACACGTAATTTTCAATTAAACAATTGTGTTTAACTCTTCCTTTCTTCGTCTTACTCGAGATGAATAATACTTCCATCTCTAAATCTCAATTCTCCAAGTGATTTGTATTCAGAAACAAGCTCTACACAGCTAGAGAAAAGACTTTTTAGATTTGGATCCACACCTTCTATTTTGCAAACATATTTCTTCACATCTTCAACGGTATAATGATAGCGCGCATTTAGAACCATCATTTCACCAGACGTTCTCTTGTAAAGAATATGTAGTTCACCTCCGCGATCAGGCAACTTTTGGTACAGGCCAATATGGCTGTATTCCTCAATACCATATTCTTCTAGAGTACGAAGAGAATCCAATAGACGCTTTTCTTTAAAGAAAAGTATTTGGCATTCTTCAGGAACGCTATAAATCTTCTCGACTAGGGATTGCAAATCTCTTAATGTGGCTTCTTGTTCTATCATGGCTGTTCTACCATATTCGCTGTTGTTATTTTTGATGATGATGGGAATTAGACGCATATGATAAAATAAGCAATAAAGAAAGAAAGAGAGAGAAGAGGAAATTAACTGTCTTTTTATAAAGAATCACAAAGGAGAACGCTCTACACGACTTCTCTTTTAATATGAAACAAAAGTAGAAGGCGTTTCTCATACATTAATTGTCTATTACAATAATTTGACAATAAACAAGTTTGATACTTGTTTTTGATTATATGCAAAACAAACAGTGAAACACTATGGATACGTTTATAGTCTGCTTTTTGCTGCTTTGATTGATGAATACAGTTTTATAATAGGAGCAAGGTCTTTGTTTATACATGATTCAATCACTAATAAAAGAATCGGAATTGATTCTTACCAGTTATCAGTAACAGTAAGCAGGTATTTTATGACTTACACAATCGGAAGGGTTTTTGTCACGTCGAAGGTTTTCTCGATATAACAAAAATCCTGTACATGCTGATATGGCTGCAGACACAAGTGCTGTAATCAAATTGAATGTCACTGCAAATACTAAAAGAAAAAAGGCTTCATTAATATTAAACCATAGCAAAAACAATTTTACCATATCTTGGAGCATCTTTAGATTGAAACAAATAGGCTGCAATGATACTGCCTAAATTGCCAATCATCAACACAACCGCAACAGCCACTGCTCGTACTGTTAAATCAGGATAATTAATAGCAGACCAGCCAATAGCAGCAGCAGCTTGTAATCCAACCCCCGTGGGTATAATAAACAATGTACCATACAACGCTAAGAAAGATATGAGAACGAAAGCCTTTTTCTAAAAAAAAGCCATTGCTAACCCCATTTGTTATAAAGCACTAAAAGACAAAGATATCCTATAGCAATAATCAATGATCCAGCAACTAACAGAGGAGATCGACGATTATATTTTCCAGCTAAATAACCTCCAATCAACACACCAACAGTAGCCACTGCACATGGAGGTGCTGTCAGAAGCTGAGAAGTCAATGGCGAAAACCCAAACCCTAAATCAGTATCAGTCTATGCACATCATAACTTAATTTACCATCAATTAGAAAAGGTGCGAACACAGTAACACTAGTAATATTGATTGAATTCAACAAAAACACAACCGAGAATGCCCATGTTTTCCAATCTCCAAACACAGTTTTGAATGTTGACAGTGATACAGAATCCTTTTCCTGCACTTGGTTGATCATCATACGGTTTGCTTGTAGTTTTTTTTGTTCGTCAGATAACCAGTGAACATGCTGAAGATCATCAAATAAAAACCAATAAGAAACCATAGCCAGTACAATGGTAGGCACGCCTTCAAAAATAAACAGATATTGCCAATCATTTAAACCATTCTTGCCATCTAGCCAAGACATAGCATACGTTAAGGGCCCAGAGACAAGGCCTGAGAGTGTGGCCATGGTGATCAAGATACTTACACGAAAACTGAATTCTTGTGGTGTATAAACTTTGCTTAATAGAAACATGATGCCTGGAATATAACCACTTTCTGCTGCTCTATACTAGACATTAATTTCTAGCCATTTCTACCAATCTGTACCTACCCCAAGATCAATCTTGCCACAAGTAAACCCGTAAAATCAATGACAAATGCAGTCAGCAAAGTAGCTAATCCCCAAACGAGCATAATAAACGATAACCATTTTGCTGCATTAGTTTTCTTGAGTATAATATTCGATGGCACTTCAAATATAATCTATTTGGAAATTAGGTCATAAACAATCAAACAAGTCTTTACATAGGTAATAAAAAAAGCTGAAATTGCTGTACTTAATTGCGAGCCTGTCAACTAATTGCTTGATATCAGATCAACATACATGATTAGTTCGACTTACCTTAAGATCAGCCTGAAGTCCTGCTAAACTACAAGAAAAAAACAAATGAATTCAATGAACACAGCATGAAACACATTTACGTTGCATTGCCAATATTGGCTCGATCAAGAAAATCTGCAAAATAAAACAGACAAAATAGTGGCATAATACGCAGATCTAATCTTCGAACCAATTTCTTTTCATCTTGGCTCATGCTGGCTGTAAATTCAGCTTCTGATTTTTCAAAACTGTTGATGCCACATTCAATTTTAGTATCAATACTTGTATCACCTGTCAAAGTAGATGAATTAGACGTTATAAAAGAAGCCATAATAAAAAGAAAAGAAAGAGAATGAAGAAGAAGAAGAAATAATTAATGGCCTTATGCATATACAGATATAAGAAAACACTTTAAAGCACTCCTTATACTTTTTTCACTTTACTATACTTTAATCAACTGCATTTATCTCCTTCTTCTTTCGGTTATACACTGGCCCGAAATAAAAAAAATTAGCCCAATTTTTTGTCATTCGAACTTAACAACAAAGATATTCTAATCCAAAAGCCCTTTAATATGCCAAGATAATACTTAAACGCGCTCAATTCATTGCGAATGATCCGTTGAGATATTTATTTAAGATAATGTAGTTTAGTACTTGATAGTACATCCTTTGGCATTAATCAGAGCTTGGTATTGGTCAGTTAAGCGTGTATTAATATAAATATAGTGAGAAGATAGTATAACGCAAAGAAAAACAAACAAACGACTCACCCCTTATGATTATATTCTTTGTTATTCCTCAGAACAAGAGTTGATTAAACTAGAGCTTTGATAAATGGTTTTAGACAACTATACCAGTAGTATTACACCTCTTGGTACAGACACATTAATGTTACCTAGTCTACTGAGATGCATGGCTCTAGGGGAAGCTGTTCAACTACCTCCTCATATCCGTGTCAATATTTTACATAGACTGGTTCATGTCTGTTACTAATTTATTTCTCTCTTTTATCTCCCTTCTATTCTCTATTCTTTCTTATAACCTAATGCAAGTAACAATATCTTATGCTTTGCTTAATTTCTAAAATTTAACTTTTGCTTATTTTTTCTACACAATT